GCATCCGTTTCTTTCTCAAGACCATCACCATCATCATTCACTTCTCCCTCGCAGATCACAACAAACGTCATTAAGTTCTACTACACCCTTTGCTCTCCTCACCTACATACATACTCAACATCAACAAAACTACAATCACGGATGAGGTGAAGATCGTGATTGGTTATTTAACTAACAAAAGTTCAGAGTTAGAATAAAATCCTCAAGTCCTTGTTTGTTGTTCTGTGAATTGAAAGCTGACCTCATCTGATCTTTGGGGGCCGTCATCGGTAAGTTCTTCTTCCTTCTTTTTTTTTGAACAACTGCGGAACACTCAGCTCAGCGAACACTCGGCGAACACTCGGCGAACGCTCGTTTTTTTTTTTTTGCGAACGTTGTTATTTTTTTTTTCGTGACACGGTGAGGAACACCCTTTTTCCTGTTATTTTTGTGACACGGTGAGAAACACCCTTTTCGCTGTCTTTTTCTTTTCGTGACAGGGCGGGAGACACTCTTTTCTGCGTGACTTTTTTTTTGTCCGGGAGACATCCTTTTGCGCCGGACTCTTTTTTTTGTTCTCAACCCGTCACCAAAAAAAAAAGGTGACGGCAAAAATGGTGTCTCTCGCCCTGTGCCTCGAGGTGTTCTCAGCGAACACTCAGCGAGCAGTCAGCGAATTCTCGGCGAATTGTCAGCGAACACTCAGCAAATTCTCAGCGATTTCTCAGCGAATTATTTTTTTTCAGCGAACACTGAACGCTGTTTTTTTTTTGTTAACCTGAGATTATCCTCAAAAGAGTGCACAGGCAATTCGATCTATCGATAAGAGTATCCCACCCAACGCAGTTCCCTCTGCTACATCCGACGAGATATACCATGTCGACACCCACCCCGATCCCGAGACGCAGAAGGAAATTGTCCTTTGGGTGGACATCCTCTAGGCGTTCAAGTATGCGAAGTTGATTCGGCACAAGACGAGGATTGTCCCGTTCCTGAAAGGCGAAGATTTCACAATGTACATTAACAAGGTGACCATTGTAACTTGTCAACATGTGGCGTGGGAGTGGCATTGCGGAGTGACAGGAAAGACATGTACACTAATGTCCGTATGCTTGGAAAATGAACACAAATCACTAGTCTTCAGCCTCGCAGGATAACCGCCATGTCGGACACCATTCTAGATGTGGTCGTGGATACTTACAGCAATCGACCACAGGATTGCGACTCCTCAAATCCAACAGCAGGATCCGGTACAGCCACCACCAGCAACTTACAAAAGCACGATGAGGGCAACGACTGAGAGACCCATGGAGAGAGACATGGCCCAGACGGCCATCAGTGACAACCAAGGGGACAAGGACGCTTAGGTAACTCTTGGAAACATGTACAAGGATGGGGTGGAAGCTCCGCAGGACTACCAGTCAGTCATGGATTGGTATCTCAAGTCCGCCGAGCAGCAGTTGCTCAGTGCAACATCGGCGATCTCTACTGCTTTGCTCATGGTGTGCCTCAATACTATGCACGAGCAATGAAGTGGTACCTCAAGGCAGCTGGGCAAGGATATGTCACCTCTCAGGCAGCATCGGCTATCTCCACAGGCATGGCCAAGTCATTCCTCTCGATGTTTACTACTTTGGTCGCGGAGTGTGCCAGGACTATGCAGAGATGAAGACGAGTTGTTCCGGGGGCTTGTCGTCTGATAATCTTGACCAAAACTTGTTCAAAGTGGTGATAGGGTGAGGAACGATCAACTGGAGAGGGGAGATCCCAATTGAGGGCAGTGGATTGCTAAAGGGAGTTTTCGTCGGTTCAAAATAAATAAAAAAAGGCCACACACACTCATGTGGACATGGTACCGAAGACAATGGGAAGCAACTTCCTTATGCTTTGTATACCAGTCAGCCACTTGTTGAAAAGCGTAAAAGTACCAAAGTTAAAAGTTCGGGACATTCAATAACACACAGTACATAATCAAGAGCAGAGTTGAAAGCAGAAACAGAAACAGAAGACAATGAAAAAAGTTCTGAGAAAAAAAGGATTTATTGTAGAATGGCATTGTTGCCAACTAATACTGGGCTTGCGGCTTGGGGTCCTTGATGGCTGGAGACCTTGGGGCTCTTGATGGCTGGAGACCTTGGGGCTCTTGATGGCTATAGGCTTGGTGTCCTCGATGGCTGGAGGCCTGGGGTTCTTGATGGCTGATGGCCTGGGGGTCTTGATATCTTGAAGTCTGGAGACGGACACTTGCCGCTTGCCGCTCCCGACTTGCCGCTGGGCCGACCGGGTGAGAGAGGGGGTCGTGCCACGTTCCACCCTTGGCTGCCGGGCCCCGCGTCCACCTCAGGTTGCCAGGCTTATACGAGAGCCAGCTTCGTCCTGCTCTGGAGCGCACACCTTTACCATTTGTTCGTTACATGTGACATCAACCTCCTACCTGATCCTTGCCACCATCGGCGGCTCCAGTTCCCTGCGGTACCTCGCTCGCCTTGTCCTCTGTCCTTTTCTCGTTGGCGTAAGGGCTACACACCTCCACTCCTAGAACCATTCCTCAACGTCAACCGCCTTGCCATTTTTCCTCATCACCCATTCGCCTCTGCCATTCGCTTTGCCATTTGCCAGTCCTGCTTCCAGTCCTGTTTCCAGTCCTGTCTCCAGTCCTGCTTCCAGTCCTGCTTCCAGTCCTGTTGCCCTCCTGCCACCCTCTTGTCCTCCCTACCCTCCCCACCCTCCCTTCCCACTCTCTCCCTCTTCCCCTCTTGTTCCCTTCCTCTCCCCCTCTTGTTCCCTTCCTGCCACCCTCTTATTAGGCAAATGGCGAAACGAATGGTAAATGCAAATGAACAACGAAGAAAAAAAAGCAAAGAAGGACAGAATGGTTCTAAGCAAGCCCAGACCCAACGAGCCAAAAGGACTAGAAGTACAAGGGGGGGTACCTCGGAACTGGGCGGCCTGCGGTACAAGTCCAGTGGGGGAGTCACGAACGAACAAAATGGAAGGCGGTCTCAACAGAGGGACAAAGCGGTCTCTCGCTTATACCTGGCAACGGAGGCAAACACGACACCTGACAACCTGGGGGCGAAACGCGGCACCTTGCTTGACCTCAACTCCAGGGGTACCTGAAAATACAAGGAGATGCGGTGCTGCGTCTTAGTATTGAAAGTGGGGATAGGTATGGGAAAGTGGGGATGGGTATGGGAGAGTGGTGGGTATGGTAGGGTGGGGGTGGGTATGGGAGAGTGGGGATGGTAGAGTGGGGATGGTAGAGTGGGGATGGGGATGGTTCACAAGAAGACAAACAAGACAATAGAGAACTTACCGGTCGACATGGGCAAGGGAGGAAGGGAGCGGTGAGGAAAGAAAGAAAGAAAAAAAGAAAGAAGAAAGATGAAGGGGTATGTATATGGAGGGAGAATGTCACGCGTGGGAGCCTTGGCAAAAGCACAAGGCAAAACATGACGACACTCTTCGCCCTTGCTTCGCTGTCATTCCCACGCTTGCTCTTCCCTCATCTCGTTACTGTCTTTTTAATCCCGCAGCGCCTTTGGCTCCCACGCCCTCCGTTCGACTTGACTTCCGTTTGTTTCTCATCATCAGTACGACCGACAACCCTCTGACCCTGCTCTGTCTTGTTGATGGAGATGTTACCTGTAACAAGGCGAGGGCGAACTAGAGGGAGAATGAAGGGAACGAAGAGAACGAGGGAACAAGAGAAATGAGGGAACAGGAGAAGCGAGGGAACAATGAGAACGATTATATGGGCGTGTTTTGTTTAATAAAGACTTAAGTTATCAAACTGAAGAACTAAACTGCTATCGACAACAACTATTTATCGGCTCCTCCCAGCATCAAGCTTCCTATCGTCGGTACAAACGATCTCATTGTCAGAGAGGCTTACAAAGTTCTTCACGACACAATCCTCCGGATGTTTGAGAGCAATCAACCGTGCACTGGAGACGAGGTGTAGAACCATGTCGTTGTTACAAGTACATCTGGGATCGGCAAACCCGCATTGCTAGTGCAGGGTATCCAAGACCCACCTCATCAAAAGACCACCGCTCTTAAAGCTTATCAACCGCCTCAACCAAACAAGCTGTATTCCCCCTCCTGATGATACTCGGCTTATCTTCGTCGTCCCAAGTCATGTCTATACCGATTTCAAGATGCAGAGATACTTGACCCTTGAGGGGAAGTTTACTGCACCGCCCCTGCGGATGCGCAGCGTGTGAAGCAGTATGCACTGAAGATCGATCTAAAGTCAGCAGTTTGTGGCAAATCACCTGGATTGCAGGTTCCGTTGCAACAAAATGGCGGCATGATGAGATAGATACAACAGATACACTGTGTTCCCACGTTAACCACGTGTTGGCGCTGCGGAAATGCTCCTCTTCGTCTTCGCCATTCAGACAAAATCATACTCCATATTTCCTTACCACATTGAGAAATAAAAATAGTTGACCGCCTTTTGTCATAGCCTTTGCCACGATCTCTAATCGGTCACTCTTTCTCCTCCATCACAATTCCACTTTACCACGGCTATTGGTAAAATGAAGCGGTTCGGAAAGAGAAACGCACTGCTTTCCGTCTCCAGTATTCCGCCTTCAATTCCATCGATCGATCCGTCTCTATGTCGCATGAATCTCTTAAGGACAACTTACCGTTATCATGGCACGGATTGATCAACTTTCCGAAGCTATCGACCAGAATAAGTACAACAACACACACACATCGATGACTCCACTTTCGTTATCACCAAACCTCGACCGACTTACATCGTCCCCGCAAAAATCACTCCTCGCTATCTATGCTGTCATTGCCCTCCAGATGGACTTTTTCAAAGTCAAGCTCGACACCTTGCTGAGAAACTCATCGACATGTCCGACTTCCACTTCGCGTCGCGGAGGGGAACGGACTACGGCGCCCATCCACTTCTGCGCGTTCAGCGCAAGGGGCTCCGACTCGACGATGAACAACGGTCTCTCAGAGAAGAAAATTGGCTAGGATCTTGACCGGACTGGCCCATCTCACGCTCCCTTTTGGATACCCTCGCTCTCATGGCAGCCAAGGATGACACTGAGAACATATGGAAGGATCGAGCAGCTGCACTCGCCAGCATAATCTGATACCTCGCAGGCGACATCACAGCTCAAGCGAACGAGTCTCGACAAGACATCCTCTACCGACAAATGGGTCTGTCCAAACCTGCCGCGGTTACTCTTGCAGACGTCGCCGAGAGAAAAGCGGCCATGGATGCCATCAATACCGTATTTCCTATCAAGAAAGGCACAACAATCCTCCTAACAAGGTTCGGGACAAACACAACTTGACCAAGTCTGGTAACTCCAACGACAAGTCCAAGGACTAGCCCAAGAACAACAATGCCAAGAGTCCCAGTAACAATAACAACAACAGCAGCAGCAGCGGCAATTCTTTTCTTCATTTTTTTTTCTCCAACTGGATATACAGATGGAGTCCCTGGAAAGGAAGAATAATGAAAGACGATGTCGCATGTAATGACGGCTGAAGCCAATTGTTAGACATCTCGAGGGACTCTAGATGTCCCACCCATCTCATGTTTCTCTGACAAGAGATAGAGAGGAAGGTATCTGGAGGTCCCCCTTTTATAGTGGCAAGCACTCCCTTTTTTATTTTATTTTCAGACAATCATGGCTATAATAGAGATACACATATCTGGAGTCCATGGAGATGTCGAGTAATAGGTTTCAGCCGTCATTATAGTCGGGATCGCCATTCATTAATCAACCTTTTTCTTGTCCTTAGCACAGCACTAGAAGTAGACCCATGAGCTTCCTCACCACGACCAAAATAACTAAAGATTAACTCCTTGGCATGAGTCACAGTCGCACCCGCAGAGGCAGCAGCGGTCTGTGCAGAAGCAGCAGCCGCTTGGGCAGAGGCAGGGACAGAGATATTAAGCGACTTTTGAGCATGCTCCTCTGCATGCTTCTTGCGCTCCTTCATCTTGAGCTTTCCTTCCTTCATCTCCTGCGCCGTCTGCAGGGCCGCAACCCTCGAAGTATGCAAGAATGCTCTTCTAGACACCCCCGCGCCATCAAAATACACCAGCGTGAAGTTATTCAATCCCCCCAGAGCCTCGGTTACTAATTCCCGGGCGTCGGGTCCCAATGCACGTCCAGCCAGATCCTGAGTTGCCGAGATGGCAGGGGTGGTGACGATATCAATGGATTCTTCTGCGGCTTGGATCAAGATACCGGCCGAATTGAGGATGGAATAGGCCATGTTCTGCATGGTCGAGTAGGATGCGGGGTCATCCTTGACCGTCCTGTATTTGATGACACGGTAGCCAGAGCTGAGGGCGCCCTGGATAACGGCGGATTTGAGGTCGCTGGTGACGCCTGAGGTTTTCCTCCTGACGGAGATTAGGTTTCGGATGCGGTTCTTAATGAAGGGTGAGATCCTGAGTGGGTGTTGTGTCTCTGGGATCTTTGAGTTCAGGTATGTGCTCGACCTAGAAGGAGTGTAGAGATGGAGCATTATATTCGTCAGCTCCAGTTGGGTTCTTGGTGTGAATCAGGGTATAAGACCGAAAGGTGAAAAGCAACAGCCAGGCAGAGAGCGTACGTGGTGATGCCTCCGGCGACGACAGTGGCACCCTTGATCATGACTTCGCCAAAGTACTGGGATGCACTTGTGAGGTAGTCGGTCATGTCGTCAGCCGAGGGAACCGAGATCTTGATTCGCAATGGTGTGCCGTCCTATGTAAGATAATGTTTAGTGTGGGCATCAGCAATGGTCCATTTTTCCGCTTAAATCGGTTTCGGGTCTCAACATAAAAAACTAAGAATAACACTACCACGCGCTCATGCACAACACCCTCCCCCCACAGCCAAAGAAAAAACTTACAGATTCATCAGGTTCCTCAATAGCCTCGACAACAACAGGAGACTTGGCATTCTCTGACAAGGAAACATTATCGTCGTCCACAACCTCGACATTCACCTTGTCCAGCACACCATAGATCTGGCCCACATCGTCGACGATGGCCAATTGGTGCCGGAGCTTGTACTGGTTCGTGTAGACAATTCTGTCTGTGAGCAAGTTCTCCAATGCCGCAATGTCTGATGCTTGTGAGGTCCTATTGGTGTTTTCGTAATTGGTTGGTGAGTGACAATGAAAATATTTACGACACAACACGGGCCACACACAAGAGAAGACATAATGAGTTTGTCCTGAAGCTGTCTCACTCCCTAGCATATCAGAGGAAAAACTTACTCAGGGACATGAACCTCCAAGTAGCCATTTCCGGGGACAGAAAACCTCCAAGTATGGTTCCCAGTCTTTTGAGCATGCGAGCTAGGCATTAAAGGGTGAGTAACCAGACTCTTGTAAGATCCAGTCGGAATGTCATTGGTCTCCAGCGTCATGAATGTCGTGTGATGATGACCCTTTGTCGCCTTTGTTCCTGCCGATGTTGGGGAGGAAGAAGAACCTTTGGAGGGGACGGTGGATGTGGAATAGACTTTGAGCTCTCCCGTTCCAATGAGCTTTTTTTTGGCGATTGCACTTGTGAGCTGGGTGATGGTAGTGTTGGGGATGGTGAGGACGACTTGGATCATTGCTGTGGGCGTGTTGTCTGCAGCCCCGTCGTACGCGGGGGGTTGTTGTTCTGACATGTTGCTTTTTGTTGATGTTGGTATAGTTGTTGATGTTGGTTTGCTTGTCGATGTTGGTTTGGTTCTTGGTTGCAGTTGTAAATTGGTAGGGGGAGTTAGATAAAGAAAAGAGCCGAGGATCATGTAGGAAAAAGAAGGCGTCGAGCAAAATGCAAAATAGATACGGTCCATGCAGGATTCGAATGCAGGTGGAAAAAATGGACACGACACTATCATGTCCCTGACTTGGCGAGGCACAGCGGTGTCATGCTTCGTTCGTGTCTTTCCTTCCCTCTCTAACTTGTCAGCACGCGAACCGCGTCCAAGGGCTCGCCATCATCGATCTAGAAAGGAGATACCGAGGCGCGCCTTCTTACCTTGCCATCGGAGTCCCCCTTCAATTCAACTGGTTCCTAATAGAGTTCACCGACAAGTCTAACTCTGCTTATTCGCCCTACTACAACCACTAAGAAAAACCACCCTACCCTTCCTGCTTTCGTCGCTCTTTGTCCATCACTGCTTTGCCCTGGCCTTTATTTACTCTTGTCCTCAGCTCCCAGCAATCCATTTGGTGCGTCAAGTCGAACCAGTGATAGTGTATATCACGCTGCAATATAGTGTACAAATGTACTAGGAGCATCCCTGTGAGCTGCACCAGACAAGACAATTCAAAAAAACATGGTTAGAATTGCTTTGTTGTGTGTGGTTTGTTTTTAATGAGTGAGTTGAAAGTCTAACAAAAAAAAGTGGGAAAGAGGAGGGAATTGATTACTCGCTCTCGTCGTCAGTGACAATGCGGCGCCTGTTCTTGGCTCGGGACTTGGGTGACGCCTTGGCCTTGGATGCGGAGGAAGCTGTTGCTGCAGATGCGGCCTTGAGTTTCGAGTTGGCGTTGGCAGCTGCCCGGCGTTGAGTGTACACAGGCAGCTTACCCTTCTTCGCCGTCTCCTCCTCTTCCTCCTCTTCTTCTTCCTCCTCCTCGTCTTCATCCGCGTCCTCGCTATCCCCATTTTCCTGATCGCCACCCTCGTCCTCACCATCATCGGCATCCTTTTCTTCATCCTCATCGTCGTCCTCCTCCTCCTCGTCCTCCTCCTCCTCGTCCTCCTCCTGTTTTCGAGTTCGGCGGTTGCTGCGAGTCAACGGCTTAGCTGCTGGCTTCTTGGCTTGAGACCGCGTCGTCGCAGCTCGCTTGGCAGGAGTGGCAGGTGCTGCTGCCTTCTTGGCAGGTCGCTTGCCTTTACCCTTCCTACCCTTGGTCTCCTCCTCAGATTCTTCGTCGTTGCTTCCTCCCTCCTCATCATCCTTCTCCGATTTTTCATCCTCATCCATTCCCTCGTCCTGCGCCTCCTCCTCCTCCTCCTCTTCCTCCTCGTCACCCCGTGCCTCCTCTTCATCCTCTTCCTCCTCATCGTCATCCTCCTCCGAAATCTTGCGTCGTCGACTGGCAGCAGCCTTCTTGACAGGAGTTGCCTTCTTGGTACTGGCAGTTGTGGCCCGTGTAGAACGTGACTTGGAGTTCAAAACACCAGCAGAGGACCCCTTCTTGTTTGCAGCAGGAGTAGAAGCATTGCTGCCCATGGTAGAAGAGGATCCCGATCCAATCTTGGGGCTATTGCGACGACTAGAACTTGCCGATCCAGATGCAGCTCCTCCAAAGCGCTTCTTGTCCTTTTTCCGCCGGTCGCTGTCGCTGCTCTGTTGGTCCTGATCACTCTCATCGTCTTCATCATCCTCGCTCTTCTTCTTCTTGTTGCTGCTATTGCTGCCGCCACGACCATCCTCCTCATCGTCATCGTCCTCCTTGTCATCATCGTCATCGTCCTCTTCACTGTGCCGGCTCTCCATGTCTTCATCGTTTTGGCTGACATTGTCCTCGTCCTTGATCCACCAGTCCTTGGGCCAAGCCTCCTTCTCATTGGCGCCAAAGTTCTCCGTGAGGGCCTCCAGGACTTGACTGCGCACCTGTGCGGACCACACTCGCAAAAAGTGTTGCTGCGTTACTTCTCCAGACAAAGCCTCACACCAACCTCGAATAAGGGAGAGCGCCGTTCTGAGTAGAGTTCCTTGCTCCTTCCGCTGCTTCACAGTCAACTTGGTTCTCTTGGACTGACCGCCGCTGCCAATCCTGGATCGAGTGGTCTTGGTTGTTGGTGTTGTCGGTACCGAGCTGCTAGAAGTTCCCAGATTAAGATCGTCAAGATCCTCCCAGATCGGCGCTGCAGTCTTGTCACTCAACGACAGAAGAATGGCCCCAAGATGGTCTGGGTAGGTGCTTGCCGACTGACCGACCCATCTCTGACAGAACTGCGTCATGTCGTCCGAGACAAGGTCGGCCCTGCTGGCAATCCGCACAATTGTGGTTCCAAGGCGGATATCCGGTGGGCTCACAGACAGTGTACGGATCAGGTTAAGAAGTCCACCGAGTGCCTCAGCCTGAGTAACCGAGGTCATGGCAGGAACCCAGCTCGCGTTGAGAAGTCCTGTAATAGCCTTGTTGAATCCTCCGAACTCAGAAACAATCAATTGCCAAATCCCCATCTGGTCGAATGTGCCCCACTCCAACGTCCGCCCAATGACTTCCACCGTCTCTGTCCCCACCCTGGGTTCCCATCCGCTCGCTAGCGATGAATAAATCGAGCCGGGTGATCCGCAGTCCTCCTGCAAGTTGTTGTTCTTCTTCTTGCCCTTGTTCTTGGCTGGTGCGCGATCATCCGACGGGAGCGACGAAAACAAGATAAACTGCCGCTGTGATAATCCAAGCGAAAGACAGTAGATCTGGGTTGGTGTCGCCAAAAAGATCACCATGCGCAAGAACGAGTCGGTCCTGGGGATATAATTGGGCAAGTACTGGAGAACGAGGGGCACGAGGGCATCGAAGACGCTCGGCTGTCGATCCTGCACGTTTTGGAGATCCCTGACAAGGTATTCTTGGACCAACGATTTGACGCGCTCTTCCCGATCCATCTCAGCTCCTTCCTCGTCCGGTGCTTGAGCAAAGTCGCGCTCAGCGGCGTTCTGAAGGTACGATCCATATAATGAGAGTGAATCCTCCAGGGTGATGGGTGCTCCGGATGAGGCGCTACTCCGGCAACCATGAACGAGACCAATCAGGTACCACATGCTGAGTAAACGCGCGCTCGGTTCGACAGAGGCCTCGCAACTCGATAGCATCTGTGCAACCCTTTCAGCACCCTGCCATCCTTCCGTCTCGGTGATTCTCCAGAGACAAGCCATCAGAGCTCCCATAACATCGGGGTCCTCCTCCATTGGCTCGTCCTGATCCTGGGAGCGTCGTCCATTGACAAGTGGTTTGGAGCGAATCCGTACTGCCGCATACGACTCTGGGATACGGCATTTCCTGGCGAACATGCAGATCTCCTGTCCAAACATCTGAGCCATATCAGCGCTCTCAACACCGACTCCTGCTTCATAAACCTCACAGACTTGCCGGAAGGTAGACATTGTCTCCTGTGAATCGGGATCCGCCTCGTATGCGCTTTTAAATGAATGGATAAGACCACCAAAAATCCAGAGGGAGGCTTCCGGATCTGGGGTGCCAGTGGTTGAAGCGTTTTTGCTGTTGTCGCCTGTGCCCGACTCTGACACGCCTGCGCCATCCTCGTCCGTCATGGTCCAGTCCAACAGAGTGCGTGACTGAACTTGTGGCGGGACGTTGCTGCTCTTGCTGCCCGACCCAATGTCTGCAGAGGATTCCATCACCTCATCTTCCTCCTGGTCATCTTCGTCGCCTTGAGCCAAAGCAGATGACGACGTGCTGCTTGAGGGCGCTCCTGACTCATCCACCTGCATCGGCTCCTTTGACGATTCACGGGAACGATGTGACGATGATGTTGTAGGATCAGACTTCTTTGACTCCTTGTGGGGAAGTGAGCCTTCATCGTCAGAATCATCCCACTCCAAACCAGTCTGAGGTTCATCCCGTGAGCCATCAAAGTCTCCTGAACCATTGTTTCCATCATCTCCTTCCCCCAGATCGTCCGGATTGTCTGATGTAAGACCACTTGACAAAGGTAGTCCCTGGTTCTGATCGGCTGGGTCGGCCACGTGAGCGTGAAACATGGAGCGCATGTATTCACGGATAAGTGGAAACTCATTCAATTGAGGGGCCTTGTATATAAGTTTGAAAGACCTATTGGTAGTGCAGAGTGCAAAGGCGATAAGTTAGAGTAAAGTCCAATCGCCATGAATTCAGTAGAGAATAAGCATGGTGCCCGTTCATACCTGATGACGCCCTTTTCGGTGATCGACTGAGCTGCCTTGGCGACGTGCTCTTGAATGTACTCGCGCAGTGGTGGACAATAGTTCTCAATTGCAAAGAACAAGAACTCCATCATGATGGCGGTCAAGTATGGTGCTCGCTCAAGCGATCTCTCCATAAGAAGCATCGCGGGTTCTATCATAAGTATACGCCAAAAAATAATAAAATGTTATGATCTTTGCAAAGTTGGAGCACACTGAGGTGAAGTTTCATTATTGCCCGCCATTTGAACGGAGTACATACCGATGTTCATAATGCTGTCTCTTAATGGCTCGAAGAACAACCAGTCGTACATCAGTGCCAGCTTGACATTGGCAGCTGTAACAGGAGACTAAAAAAAATGCTATGAAAATTAGTATGTTGTTCTTTTGACTTAATATCTCTCGTACGTAACAAGTACATGGTAGTTTTGCCATAAGATGAGTTACCCTGATGTTTCTGAGAAAGGTTTGAATAAGAGCATAGCGCGGTACAGTAGGGCCAGCCAATACTGCGTTGGCAGGGTGATAAACGCCACAGATATAGCGCATAATATCCGGATAAAGGGTGTCAGACTCAGGGGTAGGCAGAAACCGCTCGGTGAACCACTGGACATTCCTGTAGTGCTGTCCATTGTGGATCTACAAGCGGAGAGTGCACAAAAAGAGAGCGGGATATATTAGCATTCATCGCCGTGTTAATTTAGATACAACGTGCCGAGTCAACTGTGCAGTGACTTACGTGCTCCAGGATGTGCAGGAGCTTTTGCTCCATGTCATAAGAAAGTCTGCTCGCCAGGTAGATCTTTTGAGAAGGCACAGCAAGGATCTGTCGGATGTTTTCCAGTTGCGGGTTAAGGGACCTGGGATTGTACAGTAGGTCGACCCAAATCGCCTCAAACTCCGGGATCCCTCTGCCCACGTCTTGCAGCGCTCGGATGAGATCTCGGCCAAGCTCTGTGCACTCCCGGAATTTCTCTCGCAACAGCCTGACACAATAGTTCACTTCCTGCTGGCGAAGAACTGCTAGTCGACTACTGCCGTGATCCAGAATGATACGCAAATAAGTGTAGCACGAGTAGGCGATCAAGACTGTCGATGCGTCCACAAATTCCTGGTTGCCTTGGAGTAAGCGGAGAATAGATTCCGCATGCTGTACGTTGGGGATCGAGACATCTCCTCCACGAATCTGTTTCATCAAAGCAGTGTAGAGTTGCTCGATAGAGTGGATCGCTGGCATCCGTGCGTCTGTGATATGGCCGACAATCCAGATCAGTTGCTCTCGCACGGCGGGTCGGATCTTTGGGAAGTTAGGGTATGAACAAAAGTACCGCGTCTGCTTGAAAACATGGCCATAGCTGTCGCGCTGGACCAGCCTCATAAGTCGCGCTAAGGCCTGGCAGGAGTAAGAATGTTGACGGTTGAGGTTTGGTGTAGAGGCGTTTCCGTTGACACTGTTGGAAGGGTCGTTTGATCCAAATGATGGGCTTCCAGGGTGGGTGTGGTATGTGAGGATGGCGTAGAAAAGTCCGTTCAGGATCTCTGCGTGCTTCGACATGTCCGCAGATACGATCTCCTGGAGGTGGTGCTGAATCTCCATCTCTGATTTGCCTGGGAAGATCGCCACTAGTGTGTTATAGTCCTTTGCCAGATCCTATAAGCGCACGGAATACATGATGGGTTAGACACGCATTCGTGTTTGCTTTTCATGATACATATATAAGGCGACGAATGCGATAGTAATTATTTGCTGTGGCACTAACCGCATCGGTGGGGTCTTCGTCGTCATACAGGCGTAGGTCGAGGATATAGGAGGGCCCATGCAGCTGCTCAGGGTTCGCCATCTTTTGCTAATCAAATTTCTTGTTTCCGGGTAAAAAAGTGAGCGTGAGGAGAAGTGTGCGTGGATGTGCGTATGTAAGGTGCCTTATTGGAGAGGGTAATGTACAAATGGGAGACACTCGCTGTGGAGCTGTCTGAGGGTGATGTAATGAGTGAGTGCCCCAGCAGAGCGGTGGGTGGGAAAAGGGAGGATCGACGCGATGTGAATGGGATTGATGAGAAAAAAGAAGCGAAAAGGTTCACTCCTCGCTTTTATAGTGTGCTGATTTGTGACTTCTCCACACACATCCAGAGTCCAGGCACACGGCACACGTGATATATCCCAAGAGACGCGCAGTTGGCTGGCCGTCTCTTTGTGTGCCCTTTTCTTGCTCGGTACTTTTGCCACCACTTCTTTCGTCTATTCATGATCTCTCCAGAACCGCACACGGGACAACAAGCTCGGGGACCAGGAAACCCTCGTTCAAGGAACACACATTCACGAACTAATAGAATTGGACAGTCGAGCCACCATGGAGATCACCATCCTCGGAGAATACAGACCATTCGGGTCTGAACCCTCTCTTAAAACCTCAACGACAACAAAGCCCACACAGGGACCTTCTTCACAAACAGCACGCTCTAGTGCACATACGCCCTTTGCATCTACCAGCCGAGCGAGACCACGCTATGGACTGTACCCGCCGACATACGACGACATTGTCCAAGGCAACCTTGATGCCCAGAACGGAGCCACCGACGCCAGCAACTATCAACCCAGCACAAACAACAACAGCGGGGCAAGCTCGCTCAGCAGGATAGGTCCTCGAGGGTATGATACTGAAATCGTCGTCAGGGGCGCCAAGGTCACTTGGGCTCAGGGAGGCGTACTTCGTATGTCCGTCGATTTCTCGTCCGAGAACGAGGTTGTCCAACACACTCTGATTGCCTGGCTCCTGGTCAACAACTCCTCCAAAACAAAATCGGTCCGCGGACCTGATCGCGAGATGGAGAACGATGATGTATATAATTTCGGGCAAAACCAACAGCGACCTTCGACCAACAACACAGCCTCCATGGACCGGGAATGTCGACAACAGGCTCTTGTGGTGGTCCTCAAAGATACCGTTCGCGTCTACTTCACGGGCGGCGAGACACACTCAGTTCATCTTCCTTTTGCTGTCCACAATGTCTGGGCACTCGATCTCGGTTTGATGCTGGAGCGAAAAACAGAGCCCGAGGAGGACCTAGAGGAGATTGAGGATGGTTCGGGACTGGCGCGGTTTTATATGACCATGGATCCTTTGAACGAGTTCCAAGCCGTGACGCTCTTCAGACTACCGGCCAAAGATGCGTCTTCACCGGTGACACTGTCGCAGGAGGATGTGCCGCGGATCAGACATCTGGGTGGCACAGTTGGCGACATTCTCAACACCTGTGTCTTCATATCCTCCTACGAGACAGTGGACAATATTGTAGTCACATTCGACCTTCTGCTCAAGCATCACCGTGTTTGGCGGTACGGGTCCAAGATGCCGACTTCTCTGCCGTTTTCAAGGATCGTGCCCGAGGAGGGGATGCAAATATCTGGCGATCATGATGAGGAGTTGGATACGGACCTTCAGATGCGTACTGACACTTACTTTTACGAAATCGCGAGTGATATCCACCCAGCGTCGTAAGTCACATTATGTGGTATGGGCAAAGGTGCAGCAACTTTTCTGACAGTGCGCGATTCTAAATAATGAGAGTGTTGCTGTGTTTGATTTGTTTAGGGCAAACTCCAAGATTATGAGTGCTCATGCACTCGATGGCTCGCCTGTTGTTTGCGTGTTCGACCAGGATGCCGACAAGATCTCTTGTTACCGAATCATCGCCAACCAGCTTACGATTCATCTCTGGACAAGACCCGCTCGCTCGGCGATTTCTTTGGAAGGAACTCGCAAGTTTTATCGCGACATTCTGTTGGTCACCCCCGAAGGAGCTCTCCTACTCTGGACTGGATACGCGGACGAATTCATTCCGTGTCATGTCGACGTCGATATCGAGAAGTTCAAGCGCCACAAGAATAGCACTTCTGGACAACCGCCCAAGTCACATGCGATTGATCATCTTGGGTCATTCCGGATCAAGAGTTCAATCTTTAAAAAGGACAAGGACGCCATCATTACAGAGGTCCGAGATGCAGTCGAAGACAGGTTCAATATCATTCTTGGAAGCGGGACCATCATCCGGGCAAGACTCGACTTTGTAGTCAGGTCTAGTCTAGTGCAGGAGTGTTTGGACGCCATCAGTTTCGCCATGCCAATCGAGATTCTCTGGGATTTTCGTCACCGATTTCTCCAGCTGCAGTACAGCAGTGAGTCCAAGTACGAAACAGTGCCAGCCACGGACGAATGGGGAAACTTTTCTGCCACACTTCTCTCGTACTGCGATCCTAGCTTCCATCCTACCGGGTTGACGTCACCAACCCTCTCGTCTCGGTCTCTCCCTTCGGTCGCCAAGAAACCTGACGTGTCGGAACTCGACTGGAACTTTTTCTTGGATTCAGACGTCCACCAGCGCATGTTCGACCATCCAGCCTTTCAAGGAGATGCCTCTGACCTTCCCACATCGACGAGTAATCCGTACACAGAGGTGGTCATTCGAGCACAACGGATGGCAAGACTCAGAGGCCCATCCACGCGGCAGTCGTTCAATCTGGACCTGGTCAAGTTTTACACATTTATTCTCGTCGCACTCCATCTCGTCTACGTGGACCGTAGTCTGAACATTGTCACTTCTCAGCAACGGGAGCTAGAGCCATTGCTGAAGCAATTGGCTCGCCTCGTAGGATGGAAGACGTGGGAAGACTTTTACGCCCGGCGGGATTTTTCCACGACCAAGCGGGTAGAGATGCCTGGTAAGTAACGTAGCGAAACGATGCAACTTGTGGATCTGGGTCATTAGTTTAGTGTATGAAATGAAATGAAATGTCTTCTAAACGATCATATCAATATGATAGAGGTGTTCATGGAAGGAGAAACTTTGCCGCTGGAGCTGTTCCAATTTGATCCGCCGGACATATTCAACTGGATCGTCGACATGGTAACACGACCACAAGAGACCCCAGTCTTTCCCACTCTGGACGCCCTTTCTTCGATTCGCGAACCAGAACCAGGCCTTTCGCTCATCCCAGCTGCTGTACCATGTGAGCTGACTCGCAAGGTCACAACTTTCTATACTGCGCTGATGGATGGCGAGACTGCTGACCAGAGTGCAGTTAGAGCCATTGTCGAGGAAAGGTTCAGCACCACACAGCTGGATCAACTACCTTTTGGGATTTCAGTTCCTCTCAGGGAGGCTCTCTGGAAGTGCCGCAACAATCCGCCACCAGACATGGACTCATACGCGCTCTCCTTTATCGGCAGGAACGATCTTGCAGAGCTAAAGTCCAACCGGATGCCCGGGTATTATATAAAGCCCATCTCTCAAGTGACCGTAAGTTGACGTCTCTTCTCGTTTATATTTCAATGGAAACCTCGCATCGCATTATGGTAGTGATAATAACGGAATTCCGCGGTCATTATATAGGATGCGCCGAAGCGCCAGGATATCGCGACGCTCTGCAAGGAGGACACACCCCAGGAACGAGAGAACGATATGGAGAGTACGGGAACAGAGATTGCAGAGGCAGAGATCACCAACATGCGATTCGGAGCCGACAAGCGGATAGAGGAGACACAAAAGATGCTCCAGTCTTCAGTCATGCTCAAAATTCGACCCAAGGACGAACCCGGTTTGAACGAGGACGATTTGAGGATATCTCATCAAGAGGTTCTTCGAAAACTTGCGCTGCGAACTTTGGCCTTGCCTGTTGGACGTGCGATCTTGACCTTTGGAACCGTGACCCAAATCTTGACCCAGCGGTGCCCCTTTCCAGATATTACGCTGACGGCCAAAATTTTACCCGTGTACGGCGAGACCGAGTTTGACATTTCCCTTCTTGGTGGAGACCAGGCCATGAGTTGGCCATTGTTCAACAATGGCGTCGCTGCAGGACTCAGGATCTCGTCGACCAGCAAGGATGTGAGCCCTTCGTGGATCATCTACAATCGACCCGACAACCTCAGCTGTAACCATGCTGGATTTCTGCTCGCCCTCGGCTTAACTGGTCATCTCAAGAAACTCGCCTGGTCACATGTCTGGCGATATCTCTCATACAAGCACGAGCTGACCTCGACTGGACTCCTTCTCGGCCTCTCGTGCGCTTATGTCGGCACCATGAACACTGCCACCACCAAGTTATTGTTCCTGCATGCACCTGCCTTGCTTCCCAAGGATGGGTCCGAGTTTAACCTGTCGCTCTTGACACAGGTTGCCTGCGTGTTGGGAATCGGTCTCGTTTATGCGGAGACCTCGAATCGACGGATGGCTGAGGTGATGTTGACAGAGATTGGGTCGACGTGGGGTCATTTCTTGGAGCTGTCGAGTAACCTGCAGGAGGCTCATTCGGTTGCTGCAGGATTCGGGCTTGGCCTGATTACACTCGGACAGGGAAACAAGCCTATGGGTCTCCGAGATATGAAGATTGTCGATGTCTTGTTGAGCTACATGCCTGGAAGCGCAGACAGGCCACGGCGGCCTCAGAACTACGGAATGGCAGATGGAAATGCTCCATACCCAGGGATGGACGATATGAGCGGCTCTCGCAGGCATACGGGAGTAGATCTGACTGGCACTGGCGCAACCATTGCGATGGGTCTGATGTATCTCAAGACAAGCAGCCGATCTATTGCTGCCAAATTGGCTGTGCCCGAGACGCAGTACTTGCTGGACTACCTCAACCCCAACTCTCTCATGTTGCGAGTCATCTGCAGGGCGATTGTTCTTTGGGACGAGATCACCCCTTCCGAGGATTGGGTTCTTTCCCAAGTGCCAGAGTTCCTGCGAGACGTCAAGACAGGAGGACCACCAAAGACAGAAACTGGACCTCAGTCCTACTACAGTATCCGCGCTGGTGCTTGCTTCGCAATTGGTCTCCGGTTCGCAGGCAGCGGTAACGAGGCAGCCTACAAGTGCATCCATCAGCATCTCGACATGTTTCTCGAGCTCGGGCGCGTCAGTCAAGGTATATTTTCTTTTCAGCTTCCAAGTCAATTGCACCGTGGCGTAGTATTCTCTATTAACCATTTTTTTCTGTGTAATTTGCGATTTAGACGAGTCGTACGAGGACAGCATTACAATGGCGACTATGCGGACATGCTTGGATGTGACGACAATGGCTACCTCGATGGTGATTGCTGGTTCGGGCCGAATCGATTTCCTCCGCACGCTTCGCAAGCTGCACAAACGGATAAAGGGTGACACCAACTACGGCAGCCATATGGCCTATCACATGGCCCTTGGCTTTTTGTTCCTCGGCGGAGGAAGCTGTACCCTCGGAACCACCAACCGGTGTGTGGCAGCACTTCTGTGCAGTCTTTATCCACGCCTGCCCATCGATCCCATGGACAATCGCGGTCACTTGCAGGCGTTTCGACATTTGTGGGTTCTAGCTGTTGAGCCAAGATGTTTAGTGACAAGGGAGGCCAGTACTGGCGCCTACTGTCCTGTTCCTGTGACAGTCCATCTTAAGCCAACGGTCCATCAACCCCAGTCACAAGCAGGCGAAGGCCAGGATGCTATGTTGGTTCCTGAAGTGCCAGTTATTCCGGCTTCTCAGGAATCAGAGTACACTGGTCTTAACCCCAATGTTACGCTAGACATAGCCAGGACGCCGTACTCGACCTCCAAGCTGTCGATGATGACCCCTTGCCTTCTCCCGGAGCTATCGACCATCTCCAAGATTGAGATTAAAGGGGCTCGATACTGGCCGATTACGTTGGATTTCAACAATGAGAAGGAGGACTATGCGCAGATGTGGAGGATTCTCAAGTCTGGATCGATCGCGGTGATGAGACGGATTGGACATTTGAGCTATTCCGAGGATCACTCCGGAATGCGTGGGATCCTTGCACGGCCATTTCCTAAGGTTCTTACGGGCGAAGGAATGGAGGGCGATGGTGTTGAGGAGAGTGGTGGGCCGAGACGGGAGAGGCGAAAAAAGTTGGAGCGTCTGGTCGAGATGCGCAGGCAGCGGACGTTGGGAAAGACATTTATCCATTCCAGTGCAGAGACTTTTTCGAAGACTGCGGGCTCATTCGCTGGTGGTGCTGGTCGATCGATAGAGGGCGGAGGACGGTTTTCGTTGCAGGATACCTTTGACATTGGATCTCTCAAGGATGAGCTTGAGCCTGACTCTGCGTTGTTTGGACAGGACTTTTCATTGACACTCTTGAAAGATCCTCAGGTGGCGTCGTTTGCAAAGTACCTTTGTCGATTGCGTCCTATGGTTGAAAGCGATGACACGGAGGATCTGGCCAAAGAGGAGCTGCGAGCGAGTTATTTTACGAGCGTGCTGTACGAGTGTCTGACGATGGACAAAGTGGAGATGCTGGGTGCCCATGTGTGGTTGTACGATGTTGCGAATCGATTGGAGGATCTGGATGAGATCTCGTGGAGGAGTCTTTGGGAGCTGAGGATCCTGAAGCAGTACTATGAGATGCAGATGGGGCGCCGACTCTTGGAGATACAAGATCGCCGAGGCGTTGGTGGTGGTGGTGATCTTGGACACCGGACGGCTGGGCCGAGAGGTGGTGGCAGTAGTGACAGCGGGATTCGGATGATTGAGGACGATGGGAGCCAGACGTTGGTCAAGATCAGCCGGATTACGGAGCTGTACTCTGAGGTGACGAAGCGGGTTGACCAAGCGATGAAGGTGCCTGTCGAGGATGAGGGCGCGCGGTTTATGGAGCGAGAAAGGGAGGAGGAGGATGCTGGTGATGATTTGTGGAAGACGACGCGAGGCAAGGCGCGCCACTACTTTGCAAATGGGACGTTTCCTTCCTTTACTGAGAGTGAAGCGCGTGGTGGAAGTGGTGGTCACCAGAAACGTGAGTCTGGAGCCAAGTCGTATTCGAGAGGTCGCGGACAGCAACAGCAACAGCAGCAGCAGCAGCGGCAGCAAGACGACGAAGAAGAAGAAGAAGAGGAAATGGAAGGAGAAGAAGAGGTTATGAGTAGTAAGAAGAAGAAGGTGGTGAAGACTGACTGGTTCAAAGTGTGGCTCGAGTTGAATAGGATCCCTGGGCCAGATCAGATCCGATCGATGAAACGAGCCCTAGAGAACACGGTGGACCAATGGCAGCCCCATTTGGGTCAGGGAGGTGGCCAGAGCAGCAGCAGCGGTGCAGGTGGGAGTGAGATGAATGGCCTGCTCGCGCAGGTGTTCTCTGTGGCGTATCCGCGGGTGAGCCTGAAGGTGCTTGAGTATCTCGTTCTTGATCAAGAGTAAATAATCACGTGACCATTGTGCCGTGTGTGTGTGTCTCTCCACTGTGGTGCAGCCACGCATCATCGATTATTGTCCGTTGCAAGGAGAAAGAGGAGAAGAGGAGAAGAGACGAGGAGGAGAAGGAGTAGAAAGAGGAGAAAGAGCTACTCTTGTGTCTATTTGTCTTGGCAGCAACTTGTTCTTCTTAGAGTGCACAGATTCATTCCTTTGCACCCGTTGCAGTATCGAACCCGGTACCCGTACTGACAACAAGAGCAGCAGGCTGTCGTTGTATCTTGGCTGTTGCTAGTTATCTTTCATCTCCTTCTTCCTTCCGTCGATTTATCCACTTTTCTTGGCTCTTCTTTATCCCTCTCTCTTTCTTCTTCCTTTGTTTTGTTTCTACACCTTTGCTCCATCCTTCCTCTTCTTTCTCCCTTCTTCCTTCTTCCTCCATTTCCAATCACCTTGCTCATCCATTTTCAACTTCACACTGCTCTCTCCCTCTACTCCACTCCACCTTTCAACTCCCCACCTCCAAACTTTCTACCATCCGATTCAACAGAGAGGATCCTCCTTCCCGCTAAATGTCAAAGGGCACAGAATCCTTTGCGCTCAACCCCTTACCTCCCAACAGCCACACCATCGCCCTCAACAGGGACGGATCACGCTCAGCCTCATCCTCATCCACCATTGCAACAGGAACCAACAACAATAGAACAAGTCCTCGTCCACGCTCACCTCCCTCTTCCTCTTCCGCAACAACAACAACCCCGCAACAGCACTCGTATTACCCTAAGCAACTCGCTTTTGCATCGCCCGCCTCTTCGCAGCAACAACAACAACAACACGACTCGGACGGCTCACCTGGAACCTTTGGCCAAGGTTTCTCTCCTTCCTCTCCTTCTTCCTCTTCCACTTCCGCCCCTCTTTACCAACAACAACAACAACAACAACAATCACCTGCAGCGGGCTCATCAGGCATGGCACTTGGACTCAGCGGAAGCAGCAGTAACAGCAGGCAGCATTCCAAGTATCGTTACTCGGACGACGAGGACGAGGACGAGGAACCCTTGTTGCTTCATAGCAGCACTTCTTTTGCGGGCAGTTCGAGTTCTGGAGCCACTCGTGGAAACAGCAACAACAATAATGGTGCAGCACAGGTAATACCCTCGCGCTTCTTTTATGAACTACCCTTCCTTCCAACTGTCAAGACAAGCAGGATTCATTCGTTGTTGGTAAACAACTCACAGAACAGCAATGGGCGAACAAAGGACAACAAAGGAGACGAACCAGGGACACAGACAGGGACAAAGGGGGCAAGGAGGGGTTTCTGTCACTCTTCGTCCCTTTTTTTTTGTTATGAACGTTGTTCGTGTAGTGTGTAGTGATCACTTGTTTGCTATTCCTGAGCAGAAGGAAGCGCGTGGTATGGGATTCCGATCGCAACTGTCATGCATACTGACAGACTGACAGACACGTCAAGACAAGGACGCCTATGTGAATCACACTCCCCTATTTTATTCCTCGCAATTCTCATTCATCCTTGACGATCGAGGTACTCACTCTGTCTCATTCGACAATGAGCACCCTCTCTTCTTGGTCTTGCAATTCATGAAATGACCCACCACACTTCCCTTTCCTTCGCACATTTTTCACGCCTCACACACAACCGCCTTTATCGAGCACACGCCCCTTCGACAACCGGGACCCAGAAACGAACCGATACGAACTACACAAACTCTTCTTGCAGCAGCAATACAACAGCCGGCTAATATTTCTACCTGGCAACACTTTATATCATCTTCCTCGGGGACATTCCATAGGGCAAAGGACCCAGCAGACAAAGGTTATCGGCCATCATGGACGAACTCAAACCCTCCAAAGACTCCAAGGCAGCAAAATCACGGACGATCGACTTTCACGCATCAGGTAAGTGGGAGTTGGTATTACCGGTCGATGCGTGATTTTTTACGTGTCTATTCAGTCTCATGCTCACGTCTTGTTGTTGTTGTTGTAAGGGTTGCTTGTGCTCACGCGTTTGCCATTTTGCTCGTTGACTCTTTGTTCGATAGCCAAGGAAAAGAAAAGATACCCTCCCAATGTCACCCGCAACACCAAATACAACATCTTCAGCTTCTTGCCCGTGGTTCTCTGGGAACAGGTACTCTATCCTTGTCATTATGCATCACATCCTTGCGCATAAGTTGGAAAGTACCACATCCCTTACTCACATCACACGATCGTGTTCTTCGTTGTTGTTCTCTTCACTGAATCATTTAGTTCAAGTTTTTTTTGAACTTGTACTTCCTCTTGGTCGCCTTGTCTCAGTTCGTGCCAGCCTTGAAGATCGGTACGTTTTTCCCGTGGACCGCGGAGTTGCAATGGCGTCATGGGAGTTGAAAGAATGATTGGAAAAAGCACAGGCGTCAATTGGGAAAACAACAGAGCAACTGCATGAATGTCACTTGCATCGACCTGATCGATATGCATGCTTACGATTATGTCTTTTTATTTCTTTCATTACTCTGCTTAGGTTACATCGTGACCTATGTGGCACCATTGTGCTTTGTCCTGGCAGTGACGATAGGCAAGGAGGCCATCGATGACATGAAGCGGTATCGCAGGGATCAGGAAGCCAACTCTCAACGCTACCAGATACTCACCCCTTCAGGATTGAAGATGGTCCCGTCGTCAAAGATCCGCGTTGGAGACATGATTGTGGTCAAGAAGAACCAGAACGTGCCCGCCGACATGGTTCTTTTGAGGACAACCGAGGAGTCTGGCGCTTGCTTTATCAGGACAGATCAACTCGACGGAGAGACTGACTGGAAATTGCGACTCGCAGTGCCATCCTGTCAAGCTTTACCTAGTGACGAGGCTTTGCTCGAACTCAACGCATCCATCTATGCCGATTCGCCTCACAAAGACATTCACAGCTTTATCGGAAACTTTACTCGGGAAGGCGATGGTCCTGTAAGTGGATAATAGACGGTCACTATTTTGCAGGGGATACTGCTAGGTTGCTGTGGCACTGGCTGACCAATTCGGTATCCTTCCGTTGTTAAAATGTAGGGCCAACACATGGAATCGTTGAGCGTAGACAACACGTTATGGACCAACACTGTTGTGGCTTCTGGAAATGCGATCGGATTTGTTATCTACACTGGCAGGGACACCCGCGCTGTTATGAACACCAACCACCCCAAGACAAAAATTGGACTCTTGGACAATGAAGTCAACCGTCTCTCCAAGGTACGTATTTGTTTCTATCGTGAGGTCTCAGCTGTCGGGGCACATTTTACCTCTTTCACCAGAAACTAACACTGTGTCTGTTGTAAATGTGTAGATTCTTTGTGCATTCACGCTTACGTTGTCGCTAGCGATGATTGCTCTCAATGGATTTGAGGGGCTATGGTACATCTACCTGTTCCGTTTCTTGATTCTGTTTTCATCCATTATCCCAATCTCGCTTCGTGTCAACTTGGATATGGGCAAGACCGTTTATGGATGGCAAATCATGAACGACAAGGAGATTCCCGGAACCATTGTCCGCACTAGCACCATCCCCGAGGAACTTGGCCGCATTGAGTACCTTTTGTCTGACAAGACTGGAACCTTGACAAAGAACGGTAAGGAGATAAATGTTAAAGTGTTCTTGTCCTATGTATAGAGAATGCGATACCGTTGAGTCAGCATACTAATTTACACAACACGCGATTGAATCTACGATAGATATGGAACTAAAAAAGTTGCATATGGGAACTATGTCGTACAGTGTTGATACCATGGACGAGATTTCTACTCACCTTGATACTGCCTACTCTCAGCAATGTAAGTAACAGCTCAGAACGGTCTTCGATTGTCAACATGGCACTCTTCATACCTGGCACCGGAACCTGACGCCAAGACTATAATCATTTACTTATCCTTAGCGAGCGGATATAACAGGACGCGTGGAATCTCAACGGCGCCGACACACATTGGAGGCAGCAAGGCTCGCCGCGATATCTCGTCGCGAGTTCGGGATATTGTTCAGGCATTGGCAGTCTGCCACAACGTTACACCTGTGACAGAGGACAACGGCAGTATCACATACCAAGCTTCATCTCCCGATGAGGTTGCCATTGTGCGCTGGACCGAGAGCGTCGGACTGACCCTTGTGTTCAGAGACATAAGCAACATCCATGTGCGCAATGCCGGCGGCGAGATTTTCGAGTTTGAGGTGCTCCAGGTCTTTCCCTTCACCAGTGAGACCAAGCGCATGGGAATCATTGTCCGCGATCTGACAACGGGCGAGATTATGTTCTACGAGAAGGGAGCCGATGTTGTGATGGCCAAGATTGTTCAGTACAACGACTGGCTGGAGGAGGAATGCGGCAACATGGCTCGTGAGGGTCTAAGAACGCTGGTGGTCGCCCGCAAGAGACTGTCTGAGGAGATTTACCAGGAGTTCGAGGCCAGGTATCATGTCGCCAAGACCAACATCACCGACCGTACCAATTCTATGAATGCCGTTGTCAATCAGGTGCTGGAACAGGATCTAGAATTGTTAGGACTGACCGGTGTCGAGGATAAACTGCAGGATGGCGTCAAGACGACACTTGAGCTGCTGAGGAACGCTGGTCTGAAGATTTGGATGTTGACAGGAGACAAGATCGAGACCGCCACCTGTATCGCCATCTCGTCGAAACTCGTCGCTCGCAACCAGAGCATCCATCAAATCGCCAAACGTAAGTTATCGAGACAGTTTTGGTGGCAAAAAGTCATTGTTTTCTAGAAGTTTGACTAACAAGTATACTTTCGCCACTTACAAAATATAGTGACGAATGCGCTGGATGCTCAGGATGAACTGGACTTGTTGAGGGGAAAGAAGGATTGCTGCTTGGTCATTGACGGAGAATCGATTCAACTTTGTCTGGACTACCTGCGCGAGGAGTTCATCGAGATCACCGTCCGATTACCTGTTGTTGTCTGCTGCCGTTGTTCGCCCACTCAAAAGGCCGATATTGCTCGTCTCATCAAGCAGTACACCAAGAAGAGGATCTGCTGTATCGGTGACGGTGGTAACGACGTGTCGATGATCCAGCAGGCGGATGTCGGTGTCGGTATTGTCGGCAAGGAGGGCAAACAGGCGTCGTTGGCAGCGGATTTCTCGGTAAATCAGTTTTCGTACCTGACAAAGCTGCTGTTGTGGCATGGACGCAACTCGTACAAGCGATCGGCCAAGCTGTCACAGTTTGTTATCCATCGTGGATTGATCATCTCGATCATGCAGGCGGTCTTTTCGGCTATGTTCTACTTTGCGCCCATTGCACTGTACCAGGGCATGCTGATTGTTGGATATACTACCATTTACACCAACGCACCTGTGTTCTCGCTGGTGCTGGATCAAGATGTTCCCGAGGACATTGCGTTGCTGTACCCTGAGCTCTACCGCGACCTCACCAAGGGACGCTCTCTCTCCTACAAGACCTTCTTCAGCTGGCTCCTCATCAGTGTCTACCAAGGTAACCTTACTTTCTTTCATTTCGGCCGTCGTGATGACTGTTGTTGAATTATTTGGTATTGCAAGTGGAAACTAACAGTCCTTATTGTGCGTTTCATCGTTTGTAATAGGTGGTGCGATTATGATTTTGTCAATTTGGCTGTTTGAGAACCAGTTTGTGAACATCGTGTCGATCTCATTCACAGCACTGGTGTTGAACGAGTTGTTGATGGTCGCTCTGGAAATTAACACCTGGCACCGATTCATGATCCTGTCCGAGATTGCGACTCTCATCATCTATGTCGGCTCCATGGTCTTCCTCCCCACTTACTTTGGTAACGCATGCCTTTCTTTTTCTCGCTTGTTGTTTTCTCGTGTGAACATATGATATGAAACTGAAACGCTGACCGTTACGTTTTTTTTTTTTTTTTTTTTTTTTTTTTTAATTGGTAGATATGAACTTCATTTTGACAAAGACGTTTTTGTGGAAGGTGGCTGTGATCACGATGGTGAGCAGTTTCCCGCTGTATGTGATCAAGATGCTCCGGAGAAAGTTTGCACCACCCAGTTACTCCAAGCTCACAGGATAGACAAGTGGCGTACGCATTGGTACTATGACAGCCCGGCCAAGACGGAGATCAAAGCAGGATTCTCAAATCAAATACAAGCACTTTTGTATATTTTTATTGGACGCATTGTTGTCTGTTTTTTTTTTTTCTTCTTTTCTTTGGCATTGAGGGGAGGGAAATGTTGGTGAGGGATTGGGAAAAGGTGCGAGTATGTGAGTGAGGTAAAAAGTACGCGTGCAAGGTCTTGAGAGTTAAAAGCCCTCGAGAGGTCGCAGGGAAGAGCAGAATTTAGCTTATTTTGAGGGGAGAGAAGTGGATAGGAGTGAGGGATGGTTATGTCCTGAGTGGCGGCATTATGGACGATTGCCAGGTAGCACAGACGGATGTTAGAAAAAAAAAAAAAAAAAAAAGGTTACGAGAAGGTGAGTAAGGGCTACAGATGGGATGCATGAGATGTATAGTTAGTTTTTGAAGGGGGGTGACTTTCCTGGTCGCGGAGGACGTATCGGTAGTTTGAGACGAGGAAACGGACCCTGCAGGGAAAGAGCAAGATAGAGCTATCTTTGAGAGGGCGTCTTTGTTTGATTACCTCCGATGGTGAAGTGTCTTTGGCGGCCCTGGGTCAGCATGCATGCCGCGCGTCGCACAGGTGGGCTCGGTGCACCATTCGCTGACCTTGACATAATCTGATCCTGGGACAACTTCCTCTTCAACTTCTCCGCTATCACTCTCACTCTCGTTTCCAAGTCTTTGTCACTGCCCGTTCCATGGTAACGCAGCGGGACGAATGCATGTGAGGATTTTTTTTCTCTTCCCCTGTTCATGCATTCCATCCCTGCTTTGTCTACTTTCTTCTCCCTTCCCGTAACTTCTCTTCTATCACCCTCTCCTTTTCTCCCACTTTCGCTCTCACTTTTTCGCACACCCATGCTTTCTTCTTTTCTTTGACTTCACCTATACCCATCCCCCAGCACCATCCTCAATATACTTTTCATTTTCTTCTTACCCGCCCACACATCCGTCCATCCTTCTATCGTCTCCTTCTCCACAGAATGCTACATGGAAACAGTCCTCAGGAACAGATCCAGGCACTCCGCTCCGTCAACAAGGGCGTTCCACCCAACTCCATCCCTCCTGCCGGTCCTGATGAGATCTATCACGTTGACACACATCTCGACCCTGACACCCAAAAGGGGTTCATTTTCTGGGACGATATCGTTCAGGCATTCGATTACGCAGTTCATGTCCGCCACAAGACGAGAGTGGTTTCGTTCCAGAGAGGAATAGACCATAGTATGTATGTATAGACTGGTTGTGTGGGCTACTGCTGGCTAGAATGCATGTCGTGGGCGATGGTAGTGAAGGAAGAAGACAACCATACTAATTTTTTCTCTATTGGACAATGAAATCGCCCCTAGCCTTGAGCCTCGCAGGATCACCGCCGTGCCGAATATTGTCTTGGATGTGGTCGTAGATACTCCAGTGACCGACAATGCGGGGGCCGTTTCTCTCCAGGTCCAACAGCCGGATCCTCAACCAGTGCCGCCGCAGGACGGCAGCGCCATAAAGATCGAGGATACATCCCAGGATACCATCTCAGCACCCAGTATTACGTCGATACCCATTACTACGACTGCTACCTCCACACCCAACACAACGTCCTCATCCAGTTCCCCTTCAACTACAACATCCGCCGTCAGACAGAACCCAGTCTACGGTCTTGTAGAGGTCTACGGTCTTGTAGAGGTCTGCGGTCTTGTAGAAGTCTACGGACTTGTAGAGGCGACGAAGGAAAGTTACACTCGCATCGACAGACCCCTTACGTTCCCGTCAGCTCGAGATCCGCAAGCAGTGCTGGACGATCAAAATCCAGCTGTCAAGGATACTCCAACCACTCCTCGTCCTGACAACGACAACAACTCTCAGCAGCGTGGGCCGCGGAGCGCAACAGCTAATGTGTCCGTGGCGTTGCGATTGGCACGGACGATCATTAGTGCAAGTAAAGGGGACAAGGACGCCCAGGTCGCGCTTGGCGACATGTACAGGGACGGCAAGAGGGTTGCGCAAGACTATCAGGCCGCCTGGGATTGGTACTTCATGGCCGTCAAGCAAGGAGACGCAGCTGGTCAGCAGAGAGTAGGCGCCCTCTACCATAAAGGATTCGGTGTCCCGCGGAACTACTCAGCAGCCATGAGCTGGTACATCAAGGCCGCCGCACAAGGATATGCTGTCGCTCAATACAGCATCGGGTTTCTCTACCAACATGGCCGCGGTGTTCTTCAGGACTACGCACAGGCGATGGAGTGGTACATCAAGGCCGCCGCACAAGGATATGCTATCTCGCAATGCCGCATAGGTTGTCTCTACGACAACGGTGAAGGTGTTCCTCAAGACTACGCACAGGCGATGGAATGGTACCTCAAGGCCGCCGCACAAAGATATTCTGTCGCTCAAGTCAACATCGGCCTTCTCTACGAAAACGGTGAAGGTGTTCGCCAAGACTACGCACAGGCGATGGAATGGTACCTCAAGGCTGCCACACAAGGATATGCTGTCGCTCAATACAACATCGGCCTTCTCTACGAAAACGGCGAAGGTGTTCGTCAAGACAACGCACAGGCGATGTATTGGTTCCTCAAGGCCGCCAATCAAGGTGATACTTTTGCTCAGAACAGCATCGGCCTCCTCTACGACAGCGGCCGAGGTGTTCGCCAAGACTACGCACAGGCGATGGATTGGTTCCTCAAGGCCGCCAAGCAAGAGTACGACGTTGCTCAATACAACGTCGGCCTGCTCTACAGGAATGGCCAAGGTGTTCGTCGGAATTATATAAAGGCCGCGAAGTGGTTCTCTAAGGCAGCCGACAGAGGAAATAAGGACGCCAAGCGAGAATTGGAGGCCTTGAAGAAAAAGGGTGTTGTTGAGAACTAAAAAAATAAAACTGTAGCCCATGACGATTCATCGAATTCAGATGCGAAGGTGGAATGAGTCAACGCAGACTTATCAATTGTGAATAAAAAAAGGCGGATAAGTGAGCCGATGTGGGGCAAGGAGTGCTCTCTCTCTCTGTTCTCACATTCGTGCGAACTCCCTCTCTCTGGCCATTCCCCTCTCTCTCTCGGTTCTCACATTCGTGCGAACTGGGCCATCTCTCTACCCCACCTTTGTGTGAGCTGGTCATTGAGAATCATCTCCTTTTCCCATTGCCAGCATGCTCAAGGACAATTCATGTCACCCTGTCGACGTGGCCAAAAACAGCACAGACAACTCAAGTGATGATGGCGTCTTTTGCTGCGTTTACTCCAAAAGGCTTAGCAAGGACAGCGTTCGCAGTCATAAAAGGGACTGCCATGACGGGTTGGTTGAGCGCTTTCATCCCCTCAAGTGCACATGGTGCTCTCGCGCGATAAAGACTCGCAAGGGACTATCCAAGCATGTAAGCAACTATCAGAAGGTGCTTGGCCATTCGTTTCCGTTGACATGTCCGCATTGCAACCATGAGTGCCAGTGTAATAGCAACAGAAGAAGGGTAACATACAAGAGCAGGAGGCAGAAACGGATAGTGTTTATTGTACAGGGGAGCCAGGTTATTTATATGTGCTAGGCTATGGGCTCCAGAATGGTGGCGATATGGTGAGGTGGTGATGTGGTTAGGTGGGGATGTAATTAGGTGATAATGTGGTTAGGTGGGACAGCGGTTAGATGACGCTAATGATCTAGGGTTACAACAGACTATGATACTGTGACAGCCAGACAACCAAAGACCTATTGATGCATAGTGAGAGTTGCGAAGTGTGGAAGCAGGACACTGATGGCGATATCGATGTCATGCGAGAGTTTGATGAAGAGCCGGTCTGCGTCGTCGGAAACATGGCAGGCGTCCAGTACTTGAAGACGCTGTTGGAGCCAGTCGAGCTGAGATACAAGAACGGAGAAAGTCTTTCGGTCTTCATTTCCCTGGAGTCACCAAACGGGCGCAGGACGGATCCATGACGTTTGTACGGCCCATTAAGCGGCGCAAGTCTCAAGCCATAGTCGACATTGCACTTGAGACGGCACTCAAGCGTCACAGTTACGGGGACCTGGTCTGTATCGACGATTACAGGCCACTTGAAAACGGCGACGAGATGTGGCACATGGGATTTGCTAGCAACGGAGAATTTCTCGCTACGAGCCTCGAAGGGCTTCTTCTCCAATCGGGCGACATGGTGCTACTTGTTGACAAGGTAGAAGTTTTCGGTCGAACTCCTAGCGAGGATCCTCACAGGCTGGAAGTCGCCCACCCAATAGGCAAGAGGTCTTTCATCGTTGTCAACGAGTGGCATGACGAGGCACATAAGGTCATGATTGGTACCGTGAAGTGGAACGCGCTGGTAACACTGGCAGTTATCTTGACGAACGGCAGAGTCATTGTAGGCCCAAATAACAAGTTCTTTTATCCGCACCTCGACTCCCGTCTGTGGATCCGAAAGGACAAGAGAACACCCCTTTTCAACACCATGGAGCGACAGGTTCGGTCTAAATTTGATGTCAAGTCGACCTTTGGGGACTTTGCCGCTGTCGATCCATTACTGAATGACTTCAGGACTTTACCGGTTATGTTAAAGACGCTCTACGAGTTCAAGACGGACAATGCATGGTCAGGTCTCAAAGTGGGAGCATTCGTTTTCCACCAACTATACAACGACCAACACAAGATTAACAAAGCTGAGGTGCAGAGTTGCATGGAGGAGGCTCTCAAGCAGCGTAAAGACAAGCCATGCAAGATCCTCGACATTGTTGGACATATATTAAATGTCATGGCGGAGGAGGAGGGAGCCCCAGTATCGAAAGAGGCCAACAAACATTTGACAGAACTGGTGCCCAAGCTGAGCAGCGAGATCTGGACTCTCAACAAGGACAAGGTCTTACCTGCTATCGTGAAGAGGATCGACGAGATTCTACGATGAATTTGAACAGGCCCTACTCCTCTCCCAACCCTGGACTCTATTCTTCTTTCCCTCATCTTACTTTACCCCTCTACGCCTCTTCAACGTTCACCTCACTGTCTGTACACTCACATCCTACGTTGTTGTGCGATAGCAGGACCGACTATCTAATAAAGTGGCGATCCACAATATCCGTTGGCTTACCATCGGGAATGATGTTCAATCTGTCTCTATCCCTTAATCCGTAGAAGGGGATAATGTAAACTATAGTTTCTATCTATAGAGGTTAGGTTTGTTTGGGGGGTCTTGCAAGGGGCTCGGGCCGTCCTAGAGACTTGAGGTACTGTTCTCCGATCAAAGCGATGTTGTGCGCCCCCACTCCATCTCGGTGAATCCACCGAGTGCACTCAACACAGGCGCATGTCCTCATCGACGGCTTGGCGAGGCGGGTGGCTCGGTTCTCAACCACACATGTTGGACACATGGTGGAAGTAAGATACTCGTCGACCAGGGCAGCCTTGTATCCGAGCGCAGCACTCTATCGGTGCAGGAATAATAAAATTGTGTTCCATAGATTTGCCATGGCATCATGAGTGCACACAATCAAGACAAAAAGATACAACCATGCCTTTCACAATATTTTTTTGCCTTTCGTACCTGCTGTAAAAGACGTCTGAGAAACGTGGTGTGCACCGAAGAGAGATTAAAGCCAGACCGGAAGGTTCCATTCCCCAGGGCAAAAAAAACTTTTCTTTGGTGGACGGGTACGCCCTCACATGCCTCATCCACCATCCGCAAAACGCCAGCGACGGCCAGATCCAACTCCGACATTTTCGCCATTCTGTGCTCGTGAGCCGCTACCTTCCATTCTCTTGACGCGTAAATCCCGTGGATCAGCGGTTCCTGCTCGTAGTACTTCTTGTGAGCTGCCGTCAAAGCATCCAACGAGGTGTCGTAGTTCGTTGAGGGGAGAGAATTCTCTAGGTCGTGGACAGACGGGAGAGTGGTGAGCTTGTCCAGGTCGGTAATCCGTGTCCAAAGGGATGAGTCGACAACATCGCCTGGACCAGCTGTTGGGTGTCGCCTTTTCCAATGCTGTTCCCAATCTCGGAAGGCCAGAGTAGGCTGGTATAGGGAGGCCCTCTTGATCAGCAGATTGATGACTTTTCCACCGGGAAGTGTCAAACAAAATGCACCACTCACTACCTCTCCGGGATCAATACCGACGACAATGACTGAATCCAGGTCGTCGCCAAACGCGTCGATAAGATGCTGCCGCGTTGGATAAAGCTTCTCGATCCTAGAAAGAAACTCACTGTAATTTGGGGATTGGCGGGGTTTTGTAAGGTCATACGCGAGAATCTGCAGCTGGTGGCCATCCGTCCTGATATAGTTGTTGAGGGCGTAGCGGTAAGAACGCGGCTGCTGACGTGGGGTGGGAAGAGGCGGTGGGGTGGAGGTCGTCGATGACGATGGCGTTGATGATGGCAACGGTGGTGTCGGGGCCGTGAGGGAGGCGTTGTGCCGCTCTCGGAAAAAATTGACCTTATTCGTCAAATACCGTGCGAGCTCTAACTGTCCGTAGATGTGTGGATGGGCCTCCTCACGCTCAGCCATGGTTGTTGTCCTCTTCCCGTATGTCGTCTGCTGCTTATTCCTGGCTTCCTTGATGACATCTCGGTCACCGATGAATAGTTCTTTGATCACCTCTCCGTACGAAGAACGCTGTTTTGCCGCTGCCCAGTTGTGAGTGTAGCGGGTGTCCTCCCATACGTTGTCCAACTGAACTGCCTTCTCTCCCCAGAGAAGCGCAACCAACGCTTCCTCGTTGATGTCGATGAAGGAATCGCTCATTTTGGCCTGGGTGCAGAACCGGGGCCGCTTGGATGATGGTAAGAGGAGGAAATATCGCCAGCAGAGTTGAATATGACCCGGCTTGAAAATGATCTTCTTGGATCGCTTGAGGGCGTCGTCGTCGTCCACACCCTCGTTAACGTCAGCAGCCCCGGCATCACCACCAGCGTCGGTGTCATCTTGATCTATTTCAGGAAGACCATCGCAATCAATGGACAGCTTGGAGAGCTGGCATTGCATAAACAAAAGGAGTGTTAAAATATGTTTTACACCCCATTGAAAATATTTGACAAACTGAACGGATATGGATAGATGGTACCTTTGTTCTAAGAGTCTCCGGTATTCTCCTGTAATGCAGTTTCTGATCTAGGCAGATCTTGGGTGCAAGTTCCGCGATGATATTACTCAAAGCCAGATCCGTTGAGTTGAGGGCTTTGAACCCTGGGCACAGCGTCTTCTTGAACTCGTTAAACGTCGAGATTGCTTCAGCGACAGCATCCTTGCTCTTGTCCGACGCGGGTGGACGTCCTTGGGGGACAATGGAATTCCTCAAGACGAAGGACAGTAGGTTTTGGACAAACCTTTCCGCCCAATCGGAATCCAGGATCTTCTCTAGGAAGCTCTCGTCCGGTCCATCCTCTGCCTGGTTCAGTCCAGTCTCGATCAGCGGCTGTAGAATGCGCATCTCGATAAGCTTGTACACAATGTGTTTGGCGCTATTGACGGTAGAGACTGCCGAACTCACGTGTTGGGTTAGCTGCGCAACCTCTGCTTTCGACAGATTGGTTGATCTTCCTAGGCAGCCTTGCAGGGATCCAGTCGTGAGCGTGACCGTTGCGAAAACAGACTGGAACGCTCTCTTCAAGGCCTTGGGTCCAGCTATTCCTTTAGGTTCGCCAAGGAGTTTTTTCTTTTTCTTCTTGGCAGCGGGGGCAGGCACTTGGTCGATACGGGGGGATTGCTCCTTGGGCTTTGAAGGACGGGGGATCGACGGCTTCAATCCTGAAAGTTCCACGACATCAACAGGGCTGGCCTTTTCTAGGAAAACAGTGTCCGGCACATAGCGATCTTGCACGTCTGTGCGCGAGCGGAATCTAGATGCGATTTTGCAATGAGTTGTGTTAAGGTGGAAATATATGTATATAGCTGGACAAGGCGGAGAAAAATACCAGGAAAAAAGACATACCTGGAACGACGCCACTTCTGTCGTCGCCGCTGGAGGGCACGTGAACCATGTCGGCGTTGTTTTTTAATCTTTTGCTTGTGCGATGGTGGATGTTCGGCTGGGCCATGCGTCTGCCTGATGGAAGGTGATCCCGCTGATGTAGCTTGCGGATATGGTGCTGATCCTGCCTTGGGTGCCGTTGGGAGTGGTGGTGGCGTTGCCTCTGCGTCTGTCGCCGCCCCCTGAGAAGCTGGATCTACTAGCAGCCCAGGCGGCAACGATCCCGTCCGACTCGCGGAAAAGCGACGCCAATCATTGTAGGCTTTGTTGAATTATGTTTCCTTAATTATGGCCATCAGTCGTGTGTGTGTATCGGCCGCCGGGCTGATCCTGTTGTTGTCCAGAGTGGTTTCCTCGCAAAGCACGAATGTCTTGAGAGCATGGCCGAATTCTGTCACATCTACACGCAGCTGTCGATCGGCCGTTTCGATCCTCCTCAGATCCTTGTCGTGTGCCTTCACCGTTGGGTTAGGATTGCATCGCAGTCGACGACGTGCGCTTTGGGTGGCTGAGTCCTTGATTGTACGGGCCTTTTGGTGTATTATGTCAAGGTAGCGCCTAACATAGATCCGAACCACCTCCACTCGATCTTGGCCAACCGTTCCATCAAGACCTGTCATCTTGAACTGACGGATCGTATCGACATTGGATGTCAAGCCATAGGAAAAAACTCCGTTGGTGTAGTCGTTGTTCGATACCAGAGCGGCAAGCGTTAGATGTACAGGGGTCGGAAGGCCATGCTCGTTCAGAAGCTCATCTTTGTGGAAAGTAGTCCAAGTGTTCTTGACTGGCATGGTGACGGACATGATTGACTCGAATGCCATGAGATCGGAGTCCTTGGTGATAACTCGGATATCTCCGGGTACGGCAGCGTTGTTGACTGTCCGCGCAATGCACGTGTCGCTTTGGTTGAGACATTGGCAAATCGTCCATCCACTCTGACGCAGTACTTCCGAAACGGCGCGCAATGCCTCCGGTGGTGCTCGGTACGACGCCTTCAGGCGTTTGTATAGCTGTCTTTTGTTGTGCAGCTTGCCCTCCGTGTAATCTCGTTCAAGTGTTTCCAACTGCTTGGACAGCGCCTGATCTCGTTTGCCGTGCGCCCATTCCTTCTCCATTGATCGTAGACCATCCATATGGAGCATTGTGATGTCCTTAGACAATCGTGAGGAGAGAATCTTCTCAATTGCGGCTCCGACAGATCGAAAATCCTATTGGAAACAGCGAATTATTATTTTGGTCACAGCAATTTAGCTTTTCTCCAGATAGCATGAATCATTTAACTTTTTTCCAGATCAGTACAATCCATTTAGCTTTTCTCCAGATGGTATGATTTATGGTACTTACAATGACCTTTTCCTGGGCGCAGATTGTGGTCAGAGCGCCGCTCTCGTCGAACCGAATCTGGGATGGCTGTGTTGCCAGCAATCGCTGCATGTCTTCAACGAGAGTCGACGACCCGGAGCTGATTTGGAGGGGTCGGAGGCGTTTGTTAGAGGAAGCAGTGTCGGCGGTGTCCACATCGTCGACGTCGGCTGCTCGTTTTGGGCTGGATGAAGCCTGCCGTGTAGATGTTGTTGTGTGAGTAGACATGCCCGCGCCATCGACGTCGGCTGCTCGCTCTGGGCCGGATGAAGCCTGCTGTGTCGATGTTGTTGTGTGAGTAGATAATTGACATCGGGCGGACTTTGCAGCGAACTGCACTGTTTTATGGAAACTCAGCGAGTTCACCAACGCAAAAAACATCGACGCAAAATCTACTTCACATCTCTTCTTGGTTAGATCTTCCTCCACTCCGTCTGTCGCCTTGATCCACCCGGTGAGATTTGTGATGCCCATTGCTGTAATTCTAAGTAATTCACAATTGAAGGTTGATGGTTAGCGCGAGTCTGATTTCATAGATTCTCTCAATAGCACGGGTCGCAATCACTTTCAACATCGGCCTTACATAGGTCTGTTGAAGCTCAATTGAGAAGGGGGGCAGTTTAGGAGAAGGGGGAGAAGGGGGCAGTTTAAAAGAAAGGGACACGAGGCGATGCAGAACGGTGAAAAAGAAGCTGGTGGTCTTCATTCACTCAGCCTCAGGCGCTCACTCAGTCACCGTGACCGTCAGAGCTATGAGCTAGGGGTGAGCGAATTAAGGGGTAGGATGGTTCTTTCGCACCAATCCCATGCATTTCAGCCTCAGTGGACAGACACTGAGATGCAACGCTATCGGCGCGGGCACAGGACCCTTTCTAAAATTCAGGGCGCGTATGATACTCCTAAATCATTCTTGGTGCAAAGAAGACCTTGCAGGGAGAGCAGATTCGCTGGGTGGGTTGAGGATATGCTTGTGTTATGCCTTCTCGTTTATTTTATCTGCACAGGATGCAGCCAGTCATGAGTAGTTCAGTAATTCATCGTTTGGTCCCTTGAATTTTTTCGAGACATAAGGGGATACTTAGGTAGGGGTGTCGCGACATTTGGCGGACACTATCAGATCCTTAGCCAGGAACTATCGGAACTCCCTTTGATGCATGGAAGAGCCGAAGAGTTTGTTGATAAGGTACGCATTGATGATTGTTGTATCCAGTAATCAGAAGAAGATCGGAGCCCATGCGCGATAAGTCCTGAGCTGAGTCGAATAGTAGCTGCATAACTCGTCGGCAATGTCGACTCCGTTCATGTGGTGGTTATTGTCATCGATGATTTTGGGATGGGAAGTAACGCCATGGAACGTCCTTTATGAGCAGCCCGCACTGACTTTGCGCTGGCGCTTGTCTCTCGAGGGCGTCTGCGATCTTGGACAACGGATCAGTCGTTGTCGCCGAGGCTGAGGGCATGGACGGTGAAGAGTATGGAGACAGGTCTATTGTCCATCCAGAACACGGTAAGAACCTGAAGTGGGTCTGGCGATTGTCGCAGTTAGCTTTTATAGCCTAGCAGAGGGCAAGAGTGGTAACTCTCTTCGTTAAATAAAAGAAAAGGAAGCGAAGCACCTATCTATCACAGGCTCTACTTTTGAGAACCAATGTTGCTCAGGCTCGTTGGGGTTGGAGACATGAAAAAAACGCTTCAGTTGTTCGAAGCGGACGAGGGACATGAAGGTAGTGATGTTGTGTTGAGGACATTCAGGGAAGGTTGACCAATACTCAGAGACAGAGTTCTGCCTGAACACGCCCATGTAGACAATGATGCCGAGGAATGTGCGCAGTTCGTCAGGTGTGGTCTTTACCCATTGGCGCGATCCCTCTCCTGTGCCGGCTCCTTTTGATGCTGCATATGCGTTAGTGTTGTCTGCCAAATCCGTCAATACTGGGTCGGAGAAGAAGAGTGTGAAAATTGTCAATGGTGATAGTTCACTGTCGAGTCGAAGTGCACGGGGAAGGTTGGATTGTGCTGGGTGTCCATCCTTGTAGTGGCGAAAGATATTGTCGAAATCTAGTACAGGCGGGAGTTCTCTAGTCTCACGAACGGGCTTCTTAGCAGCCTTCTTGGCAGCCTTCTTCTTTGTCGGTGGAGTTGGGGCACCTATCACCCCTTCATCTCCTGCCTTCTTCTCCTCCTCCTCCTCGTCCCCAGAGCTATCTGTACCAGGCGTTGGTCGAGTACGACAACGGACCGAAAACAACAACTCCTCCTCCTGTGCCTCGTCAACCTCCTCCGCAGATGCTACTATGGTGCCTTGAGAGTCAGAAACGTCAAAGGAACCGAGGAACTCGAGACTGGAGTCCATGAGTGAGTAGGGTGAAGTCGATGTGTGAGAAAAAAAAGGTAATGGGTTGCGGGATGATGATGAGAAAAAAAGAGCTGAATTCGAGAGTGATGAATGTAATGTGACGAAGACGACAAGGACACTCCCACGATGTAGTCTTCTAACCCGTTTTATTGGAAACCTGGATAAATCGAAAAAATGTGGTGCAAATTTGCACCACAAACAAACTAGGGGATAATGTCACTGGCGCATTGTTTCATCTTTGCTTTTTCCATTAGTCCCAAGTGTCCCTCTTATTTCTAAACTACCTATGGCTACGGCAGAGTCTTAGGCGCTCTCATGTGTCAAAGTGAGGATTCGGCCGTCCAATATCTTTTGACTATCTTTCCTTGCGTATCTGTTGCTTATCTCCCTTCTTATGGGTGCCCTCATGCTTATGCACCAACATCACCGCTTGATGTAAGGCATCTACAACGATATCGCTGAGCACGAGGCAGCCGTGCTCCTACGTCATCATCTCAGGAGCCAGCCTCGCCGCACAGACGCGCCGACCTTTGACATCGACACCTGGTCCGACGAAGCTTGTATCGCTCATATGCGGTTCGACAAAGACCAACTTTTGCTGCTCAAACGGCATCTAATGATCCCAGATCTGCTGTGGACCACTAATAACGACATGTTCACCGGCATGGAGGGACTTTGCATGCTGCTTTGTCGACTCGCGTACCCCAAGAGACTTACTGATGTTGTTGAATTTTTCCATCGAGACCAAGCTGCGGTGTCGATAATCCTCAAGGCGATGATTGAATGGTTCTATACATCTTGGAACCGCCTGTACGACTGGGACCCAGAACGACTGACACCCGAGAGGCTAGCCATGTTCACGCAAGCGATAGCCGCTAGGATCGCCGCCCATGCAAGAGGTGACGTTTTTGGCTTCCTTGACGGAACATCGATTGAGATGTGTAAGCCAACACATCATGAGCAGTGCATGTTTGGCAGCAAAGGACAGAAGCATTATCTTCGGTACAATTTGGTCATGCTGCCAGACGGCATCGTAGCCCATGTCAGCGAGCCGGCTGCAGGGACATGCAATGACTCAGTCATTTTGCAGGACTCTGCTCTTCCTGGCATCCTCGCTCAGTATGCTCATCACCCGGACGGACATGCCCTCAAGCTTTACGGCGATAGTGCATACGCTAGCGATACTCACATCGCAAGGCCTCGCGACCGAGGTCAAGGCCAGGCTGCTCGGCATGTCCTCGAAAACCAGGTGATGGGAACAGGTCGCATCGTCGTCGAGCAGGCCATCGGATACACCAGCCAATTTTTTAAACAAAGCAAATGGTCGCCAGTGATGAGGATCATGGACGGTCGTGCGGGATACTTCTTCCGTTTGAGTGTTCTTTTCGATGAAGACATCGACTGGAAAGAGCCATCGAACTGGTCGCCAAGGAACTGTGCCCCATCGTTGAAGACTAGGAGTCTGGTGTCATCCTTGACCTTTGGTAGACACCCATGCTTGACAAGGCGATCCTTCGCATCCTCGTGCACGTTGCGGACGAAATCGGATAGGTCAAGCTCACGGTGATGTCGAAGTGGGAGGAGCTTGAGGAACAGTGCGTTGAAAATATCCTTGAATAGAACATGCGGGCACACCTGCAAGAAAGCCCATCGTGCGCTGGTAAATGTCTTACTGCTGCCGGGGACGCTTAAGCAGTACTTGAAGATGAGGAGCCGAGAGAGAAACAGCAAGAGCGTCGTCTTCCGTGCAAAGAGGTTGTTGATCTCAAGGTCCACCACGGCGGAGGTTGCCTGGACTTCCCTTAGGTAACTGTGAACGGTGTTGCGAAGAGTCATCATGTCCCCTGATCCCCAATCGTCGCTCGACGCGTTGAAGTAAAAGCCCCAGTGCTGAGATAGGAGCTCGATAGGAGCTCGATAACAGCTAGAGTTTTGCCACAGCTTGTATGAGCACAAATGATCGCAAATAATAGTCAGTATCATGCCTCGAAGCCGTTGAGTGATATCCATAAAGCGCATGCTGCAGCAAGTGGCTCACCAGAGACGCCGAACACTTTCTCATGAGAATGGAAGAAAGAAAAAGACAGAAAGATGTAAGTGCAACGGACAATAGCGATGAATAGGAAAACATAGCCAGTGTCATTCGCGCTGACTTTCTTACCGGGTATATGGTAACGGTTATTCTCTCTCACAAGTTCGAGAATAGAGCCCGCTGCGAGATTCCTTAATGTTGAGTCAGGTGTGGATGGATCGGGGAGGTCCATGAACAGCAGACTTGGACGTATCTGCCGGCTTCCCGAACGAACGACGCCATGCTCTTGGTAATCCACGAATGGATCCTGATGTAGTAGGCAACGATCCTTCGCCCTTCACAAACGCGTCGAGAAAGTCGACAATTGGTCCTAGCGCAAAGAACTTGTCCGTGATCCGTTTGATGTCAGCATGGAGGTCGCCTATTTGCATGGGTTAAAAGGCGATGTTAGAACACTTGACGCTCGAAAGAATAACAACGACAATGCACAAAAAGGCATAAATGAGTCCATACCAGATAGCGGCGTGCCAGGACGAGAGTTGTCTGAGAGAGAGCCAGGGAGGGGAGTCAAGGCTCGAGAAGGGACAGGTGCATGGACTATGGTGGTACAAATGGATGAGTGCTACAGGTTAGTGCATGGGCCAGAATGGACGATGCAAACAGCAAGTCACAAATAGCAATAGACGCGTGTGTGCATTAGTCCACACATTCGTGCGAACTCCGTCCTGTCATGGCTCATAAAAAGAACGACGTTCCTCCAAATACATTTTGTTTGTTGTGTTTACAGTCTGAATGAAGCACACAAAACAGACCAAGAGTGTTGTTTAGGACCACCCATTGTTGTAGCTAATGCTTGTCTTGTCACAGTCCTTCCCATGGTGACACAGCGGGGCGAATGCGTGTCGGGAATATTATTTTTTGTCTTTCTGTGTTCGTGCACTCTCTCCTTGCTTTTTTCACCTTCTCCCTTCTCGCAACTTCTCACTTTTTTCTCACACCCATTCTTTTCTACTTTCCTTTCACGTCTTCACATATGCCCATCCCCAAGCACCATCCACAACACACCTTTTATTTTCTTCCCACCCCTCCACACATCCACACATTCATCAATCCATCCATCCATCGCCCGCTTCGCCACAGAATGCTACAAGGAAACAGCCCTCAGGATCAGATCCAGGTACTACGCTCCGTCAACAGGGGTATCCCACCCAAATCCATTCCTCCTGCCAACCCTGATGATATTTATTACGTTGACACCCTACTCGACCCCGACACCCAAAAGGAGGTCATTTTCTGGGACGATATCGTTCAGGCATTCGATTACGCAGTTCAAGTCCGGCACAAGGCGAGAGTGGTTACGTTCCTAAGAGGAAGAGGCCATATAATGTATGTGTAGAAGATGTGAGGGCTACTGCTGGTGACAATGCATGTCGTGGGCGATGGTATAGTGAAGGAAGGTGACAAGCATACTAATATTTGTTTTTCATGGACAATGAAACACATCGCGCCTAGTATTGAGCCTCGCAGGATAGCCGCCATCCCGGACATTGTCTTGGATGTGGTCGTAGATACTCCAATGACCGACAATGCGGGGGTCGCTTCTCTCCAGATCCAACAGCTGGATATTCAGCCAGTGCCACTGCAGGACGACAGCACGGTAAAAGTTGAGGTTATTGAGGTCGTATCCCAGGAAGCCATCTCAACACCCAGGACTATGTCGACGCCAATTGCTGTGACTGTTACATCCACGCCCAGCGCAACATCCCCTTCTACCACATACTCCACTATCCGACGGAACCCAGTCTACGGTCTCGTAGAGGTGGCGATGGAAAACTACACTCACATCGATAGACCCCTTGCGTTCCCGTCGGCTCGAGGGCCACATGAAGTACTGGACGATCAACCGCCAACCATCAAGGATTCTGTCGTCCCTTCTCACTCAATCAACAGCAGCGACTCTCAGCTGCAAGGACCGCAGAGCGTAATCACCAACGTTCTTATAGAGAGGGATGTGGTTCAGATTAGCATTAGCGCCAGTCATGGAGACAAGGGCTCGCAAGTCGCGCTTGGCGACATGTACAAGGACGGCAAGGGGCTTCCGCCAAACTATCAGTTGGCCATGGATTGGTACCTCAAGGCCGTCGAGCAAGGAGACGCAGCTGGACAGCAGAGAGTAGGCGCCCTCTACGATGACGGAATCGGTGCCCCCAAGAACAACTCAATAGCTATGACATGGTACCTCAAGGCGGCCAATCAAGGACATGCTTCCGCTCAACACAGCATCGGAGTTCTCTACAACCGTGGTCGCGGTGCTCCCAAAGGCTACGCAGAGGCGATGAAATGGTACCTCAAGGCCACCGAAGGAGGACATGCAGGTTCGCAGAACAGCGTTGGTGAATTATACTACTTTGGTCAAGGTGTTTGGGAGGACTACGCACAGGCGATGGAATGGTATCTCATGGCCGCCAATCAAGGACACACCTCCTCACAATACAACATCGGCGACCTCTATAACTATGGTCAAGGTGTTCTCAAAGACTACGCAGAGGCGATGAAATGGTACTTCAAGGCCGCACAGCACGGACATGTCAGATCACAACACAGCATCGGCCTTCTCTACGACAAGGGCCAAGGTGTTCCCCAAGACTACGCCCATGCGATGGGATGGTATCTTAAGGCCGCCAATCAAGGACATGCCGCCTCACAGTACAACGTCGGCATCGCCTACAAGCATGGTCAAGGTGCTCCTCTGGACTTTGGACAAGCGATGGACTGGTTTCTCAAGGCCGCCAATCTAAGGTCTGCCTTTGCTCTTAACAGCATCGGTCTCCTTTACCATCACGGTCAAGGTGTTTCCCAGAACTCTGCACAAGCGATGAAATGGTACCTCAAGGCCGCCGAGAAAGAGAACGACGTTGCCCAATATAACATCGGCCTACTTTATACAAATGGCGACGGTGTTCCCCAGGATTATACAAAGGCCGCGAACTGATTCTATGAGGCTGCCGGCCAAGGACATAAGGGCGCCAAAAGAGAATTGGAGGCCTTGAAGAACAAGGTGTTGCTGTAAACTAAAAAAAATAAAATTGTGAATTGAAAAATCCATGAAGATTCATCGAATTCAGGTGCGAGGGGTGGAATGAGTCAATAGTTTTATCACTCATTACTCTAACCATTCGGACGCAGACTTATCACTCGTACCTTTTTCATCCTTCGTTTTTATCAACAGGTGACGATCGTGGCGCAATAACGACCCCAATCCCAATCCGTCCTGATTCACTGCCAAAACATTCGCCAAAGGGTGTTCTGAATCTGGTCCAACTCTCATGTTAAGAAAGCGTCGAAAGCCAGAATCCTAACTTTGTGACCTGAGCAAGGGACTTGAAGAGAGTAGCCTTGTTGGTGGGGGAGGCAGAGGCAGGGAAGGCCTGAATGGTCTTTTAGACCTCGTCGACGAGGGGCTTACGACCGGCCTTGAGGATGAAAGGTTCGTGCATGCAGCTAGAGAAGAGGTCTTGCAGCTTCTTGATGTTGTGTTTGGGCGGTGACGTTCTCTAGGTGCGGCTTTGGGATATTTCCGAGGGAGGCGTCAACAATGTAGCGGAGCACTCGCTGTCATGTAAGAAAAAAGGTAAGAAAAAACAAGGGCAAAGATAAGGGTTGTGCTGGCCTGGAATGCAGAGGAAAAAAAGTCAGTGCATGCGTGCGTTACCTTATTGCTGGCGCCCAAGATGTCAAAGGGGCTGATAAACGATCCATCCGACAGGATCTCGTGCTGCTCATTGAATCCACCACCTGAAGGTTCACGCATGATGACAAAAATAATGGGGGAGAGAGAATGTTAAACGTTTGGTCAGACAGTGCACCTTGTTTGTTGGCATCTTCACCCCTATACAAAACGAGGGGAATGAAGCGTGCGCGGTAGTGCAAGAACTTGATCATGTGCAGGGGGGAGGCAAGGGAGACGGAAGGGGTTTAAGTACAAGTGAACTTAGAAAAATCCTGGCAGGGGCCAGCAGTGGGGTCCATGTCGTTGATGATACCGGATGCTGTGAGGACGCACTGGGGGGTTGTGCAAATGGCCTGTTAGCAAGAGGGTGTGTGAGAGGGAATAGAAAAATGGATTTGGCAAAGAAAACAAACAGAATAGGGTTAAAGTCATGAATCAAAAAAATGTGCATTGACGGACAAGCAAAAAAAAATCAAACGCACGGCCGTGGAGCACGAAGAAGCGTGGGGTGAAGGAGAGGAGAAGGAGGGAATTGGACCTTGTTGGGGATGGGCCTTTGCCGCCATGGTTGTTGTCGACAGGGCCGGCCTGGACGGCGCTGAGGGCGACACCGATCGCCATCAGCAATTGTAACTTTGATGTGAATTGTTTTTTTGTATACAAAACGAATGAAGAGGGAGGGAGGGGTCGTTAGGATATGAGAGAGAGAGAGAGAGAGAGAGAGAGAGAGAGAGAGATGAATGGAATGAAGAGGGAAGTAAGGTAAGGAGGAAGGAGGATCGATGATGGAAAAATTGATCAGGGGGGGGCGTCCTCCACTTTATATACCGCAACGATGCTCTCATGTAACGATGAATGTTTGAGGACATCACATCGGCACATATCAAACACCGTCGTGAGATGTCCGTATTTACGAATGGGCGAAGACAGAAGTGTTAAAAGCATATTAAAGAATAGATAATCTGAAGCCCTACGCGAAGAAGAAAACGAATGATAACCGCGCGGGCTCTATCGGGCATGAGATAGTAATAAACAATAACAACACGTTAATGATGCGAAAGCACAACAAAAACATACTGCGTGTATCTTCTTTATCATTCCTTACATTCAATAAGAAATAAGGTGTCAAACGCAACGAGCTTTCTCTGGCAATCGGCGATCGCCGCGAGTTTGCATTGTTGAATTTTTCACGCCATAAGTGACTCTTCGCTGCATCCCTGAAGATCAAAGATCTACTATCTTATCTTCGAAAAAACACAGAATGACATATGCATGTTCAAAGCTCTCTATTGAAACAGCACCTAGAGGAAAAATCAAACCTTGATATTAGGACGTTACGAAACAACGTACGTTGCAGCCTTCTCTTAGTACAGATCGAAAGCAAAAAGGCTCCATTCCAGAGACCTGACTCGGAGTTATCCTTCTATACGAAAAGAAAAAAGAGACGTTTGTTGCTTGAAAGATCAGAGTGATCACAAGTGCACGCGATCATGACCTGGGAAAGATAAAGACCCCAAAAGAAGAAAAAAAAGTCGCCTCGAAGCCAATACACCTAGAAATCGTTAGAGTCATTTCCCAGTGACGACGATACCTGCAATCGCCAAAAGTGAACCTTGAAACAACGAATCTTCTTGAACAATCCGACACCCGTACCCAATCCTACAACCTTTTTTTTCTAGACACGAAGTAGACGCTTTTTCATTGACGATCCATTATTCACATTGAAAAGATAACAAAGAGTGGAATGGATGAGGGTGATAACGCCGAAGATTTATTCTCATGAGATGTTGACAATACTATTGTCCAATGGTTCCAAAAGCATGAAGAAAAGTGTGTTCTGTACAACAACTTCCACCTATCGGTCACCTCGCTTCCTCCACCATGATAAAGATCTACTAAACACCAATCCACATCCCTGTCCGCAGGAATAAAAAGCAATATTCAAAAAGGCGGTAAGGCGTATTCGTTCAAAGTCTCTCATTCCTGAGCACAAAATTAATAGAAACCATGGAAGGATGACCAAATGAAAGCTAGAGAGCGGAAGTCGACTGAGCAACTTCGAAGAATAGAGGTGAAACCAACTACTCCACTTGAAGGAACAACGGCTACCGTTGAAGCCGAACACTCGAACACGTAACAAAGCAAGCGAATCTTTAATACTTCGTCTTGTCTTATAAATAAATAGAAACACTTGAGTCCAACCCTTGAGCAGGAACATATATGATCAATAAGTAGACGATTAATGGAGAAAGGCTAACTCGCGATAGCTTCATCGATTCTCATTCATGAGTAAGAGTGCGATGCAACGTGCAAGCGAGGTCGGCAGCACGTATCCGGTACTCGTCCAAAAGGCTAGTATGCGAAACAAAGGAACGACATGAAGCGGTTGTTGTAACTGAGAGAAGGAACGTGTATGGCGAACGTGACCTCCCCGCATCGTTCTTTTTCATGACCCTACAAAAAAAACCCGCGCAACATTTACAAACTTTATCCTTCAAGATGGCGATACTGGATCCATATCCTCGTCGCATTTCAAAAAGAGTAGGAAACAGGGCTGTTTCATTACGCGTATTTTTATCCGTGAAGGATGTAATAGCGATTCATCAACGATGGATAGGGTCTGGGACTTACATAAACGCGAAAATCCAAGGTGATCTGAAGCCATTCGGATCGTCTTCTAAGTTGATCATAAAAAAAAAGGAGAAAAGGCACTTGTAAATCGGGACCAAACTCAAAATAATTCTCGCTCAACCCGCACGAAATAATGAAGATAAAAACGCGCAGAGTGAACAGACGGCTGGACCCACAACAAACATAAACATGATATCGTCTGTCTCTATTACAACCACCGATTCCTTGATCCGCGGTATCTCACAGTCGTCCCATTGGAAAGAGTGATGTGATAAAATATGTAAAGACAACGACTGTACAACGTGCAACGCGACCTCCGGTCGCCACTGCCTGTGCAATGGAGGTTGTGCTGACGTCTGGACATTAGACGAGGCATTCCGTCCTCTTTGGGAGCTGGTGGACGCAGCAAGTCTGGCCGACCTTCTGGTAGGCATACGCGTGGAGAGTCCGTATCGGAGCAAGAGAAGTGGAGATTGCTGCAGGACCTTCTGGCGTATTGAAGGAATACTGGAGACGGAAAGCAATGAGTTGCTCTTTCCTAACCGCTTCATTTTACCAATAGCCGTGGTAAAGTGGAATTGTGATGGAGGAGAAAGAGTGACCGATTAGAGATCGTGGCAAAGGCTATGACAAAAGGGGAGTGATGGTCAACTATTTTTAATTCTCAATGTGGTAAGGAAATATGGAGTATGATTTTTGTCTGAATGGCGAAGACGAAGAGGAGCATTTCCGCAGCACCAACACGTGGTTAACGTGGGAACACAGTGTATCTGTTGTATCTATCTCATCATGCCGCCATTTTGTTGCAACGGAACCTGCAATCCAGGTGATTTGCCACAAACTGCTGACTTTAGATCGATCTTCAGTGCATACTGCTTCACACGCTGCGCATCCGCAGGGGCGGTGCAGTAAACTTCCCCTCAAGGGTCAAGTATCTCTGCATCTTGAAATCGGTATAGACATGACTTGGGATGACGAAGATAAGCCGAGGATCATCAGGAGGGGGAATCCAGCTTGTTTGGTTGAGGCGGTTGATAAGCTTTGAGAGCGGTGGTCTTTTGATGAGGTGGGTCTTGGATACCCTGCACTAGCAATGCGGGTTTGCCGATCCCAGATGTACTTGTAACAACGACATGGTTCTACACCTCGTCTCCAGTGCACGGTTGATTGCTCTCAAACGTCCGGAGGATTGTGTCGTGAAGAACTTTGTAAGCCTCTCTGACAATGAGATCGTTTGTACCGACGATAGGAAGCTTGATGCTGGGAGGAGCCGGTAAATAGTTGTGGTCGATAACAGTTCAGCTCTCCAGTTTGATAACTTAGGTCTTTATTAAACAAAACATGCCCTTATAATGCTCTCCTTACTTGTTCCCTCGTTCCCCTTGTTCCCTTCGTTTTCCCTCTAGTCCGCCCTCGTCTTGTTTCAGGTTGCCTCTCCGTCAACAAGACAGAGCTGGGTCAGAGGGTACTGATGATGAGAAACAAACGGAAGTCAAGTCGAACGGAGGGCGTGGGAGCCAAAGGCGCTGCAGGATTAAAAAGACAGTAACGAGATGAGGGAAGAGCGAGCGTGGGAATGACAGCGAAGCAAGGGCGAAGAGTGTCGTCATGTTTTGCCTTGTGCTTTTGCCAAGGCTCCCACGCGTGACATTCTCCCTCCATATACATACCCCTTCATCTTTCTTCTTTCTTTTTTTCTTTCTTTCTTTCCTCACCGCTCCCTTCCTCCCTTGCCCATGTCGACCGGTAAGTTCTCTATTGTCTTGTTTGTCTTCTTGTGAACCATCCCCATCCCCACTCTACCATTCCCACTCTCCCATACCCACCCCCACCCTACCATACCCACCACTCTCCCATACCCATCCCCACTCTCTCATACCCATCCCCACTCTCCCATACCTATCCCCACTTTCAATACTAAGACGCTGCACCGCCTCTCCTTGTATTTTCAGGTACCCCTAGAGTTGAGGTCAAGCAAGGTGCCGCGTTTCGCCCCCAGGTTGTCAGGTGTCGTGTTTGCCTCCGTTGCCAGGTATAAGCGAGAGACCGCTTTGTCCCTCTGTTGAGACCGCCTTCCATTTTGTTCGTTCGTGACTCCCCCACTGGACTTGTACCGCAGGCCGCCCAGTTCCGAGGTACCCCCCCTTGTACTTCTAGTCCTTTTGGCTCGTTGGGTCTGGGCTTGCCTAGAACCATTCTGTCCTTCTTTGCTTTTTTTTCTTCATTGCTCATTTGCATTTACCATTCGTTTCGCCATTTGCCTAATAAGAGGGTGGCAGGAAGGGAACAAGAGGGGGAGAGGAAGGGAACAAGAGGGGAAGAGGGAGAGAGTGGGAAGGGAGGGTGGGGAGGGTAGGGAGGACAAGAGGGTGGCAGGAGGGCAACAGGACTGGAAGCAGGACTGGAAACAGGACTGGAAGCAGGACTGGCAAATGGCAAAGCGAATGGCAGAGGCGAATGGGTGATGAGGAAAAAGGGCAAGGCGGTTGACGTTGAGGAATGGTTCTAGGAGTGGAAGTGTGTAGCCCTTACGCCAACGAGAAAAGGATAGAGGACAAGGCGAGAGAGGTACCGTAGGGAACTGGAGCCGCCGATGGTGGCAAGGATCAGGTAGGTGGTTGATGTCACATGTAACGAACAAATGGTAAAGGTGTGCGCTCCAGAGCAGGACGAAGCTGGCTCTCGTATAAGCCTGGCAACCTGAGGTGGACGCGGGGCCCGGCAGCCAAGGGTGGAACGTGGCACGACCCCCTCTCTCACCCGGTCGGCCCAGCGGCAAGTCGGGAGCGGCAAATCAGGCAAGCGGCAAGCGGCAAGTGTCCGTCTCCAGGCCTCCAGCCACAAGAGCCCCAGGCCATCGGCCATCAAGAGCCCCAGGTCTCCAGCCATCAAGAGCCTCCAGCCATCAAGAGCCCCAAGTCTCCAGCCATCAAGAGCCCCAAGCCGCAGGCCCATTATTAGTTGGCAAAAAAGGCATTATATAATAAACACTATTTTCCCCATTGCCCTGTTTCATTGTCTCCTGTTTCTGTTGCTTGCATTTAAATGTCCTGATCTTTTTACTTTTGATGACTTTTGCAACGCATAAGGCTCATTGTCGGCACCATGTCCACATGTGTGATGGGAGGAGGGTGAATGAGTGAGGGGGGGGGGTGAATGAGTGAAGATTAATAGAAAGAAGTGGGGAGGCAACGCTTTGGCCAAGCCATGCGAATGGTTAACAACAAAAATACAAATACTTACTTTTTTAGTAACACAAAGTAGAGTTTTCTCTCTAAACAATAAAGTGCAAGGTGTTCGATTCTGTGCAAGCGAGTGGACACCAAGTGAAAAACAGAAAGAGGAAGAGGCATCCAGGCTGCTCTATTTGGACGGGAAGAAAAAGTGAGAGAAAGCATGCTGTCGTTTCAATGCCCAGCCACAAAAAGAGAGAGAGAGAGAGGTAGTAAAGTGATGTGGGAAAGGGACAACGAAAAGAAGGGGAGAGAAGAGAGAAAGAGAGAAAAGAGAGAGTGACAAGGTAGGGAGAGGGTGGTTTTTCTGAGGGAGACAATTGAAAAAAGAATAAAGAACAAGAAATTGAGTCGCGAGGAGATCCAAGTGGTTGTCGATGATCAATGAAATCGACACGACTGAAAGAAGGATGAAAAGTAGAGTATGAGTTTACGAAAGGCGAGAGAGGACAATCATGTAAATGAGTCTTAGGAGAGAGAGAGAGAGAGAGAGGGTTTGAGCATGGATTCGCAAATAAGAGTAATCTAGATATTAGAAAACATACGGGGATTATCATATCATTAGCAGGAGATATTGCCAAACTAAGCGTTGTTACATGGATTAAGCATGGCTTTACACATTGCCACTTTGATAACGCCTGGCTTCTTACATTAAATCCCATTCGCGAAAGAACACTCGCTCCTCGCTCCCTCACTCCCTCATCCACTCGTCTCTCGTTCTATTCCTTCATCCACTTGTCTCGTTCTCCCTCTCGTTCGCCCATGCCTTGTTTCGCCACCTAATGGAGAAGAGTGGTAACCTATTATCGCGGCTGATGTTGTATATGTGCGAGTGTGTATTTTTTATGGAGATCGTACAAGCGTCTATGTGGGATAAGGCTAGAATAAGGGAAAGTGAGAACAAGCAAAAGAAGGCGGGCAAGAAGAAAAGAATGTCGCATCGCCTGTTCCGTAACTTCTACAAAACAAGGTCGGCAGAGATGGTCATAGAAAGGGAATAAGTAAGGAAACGAAAGAAATGGGTGTAAGGGGGGTTTTGTACATGATATCGACCAATTTTTGATATTAAAAAGCGAGATGAAAAGAAAAACAAAGAACTGAAAAAAGGAAAGAATGAAAAGAAAAAAAGTCTAAAGGAAGAAAAAGATCAAGGGCCGAACGCTCAGCTGGAGGCGTAGGGGTAGTGACCGAAATGGCGCATGTTCTCCTGAAGGTGAATGGCCTGTTCATAGAACACAAACATAATGGCCGACTGCAAAGAGGTCCAGAACACTCTGGGTCCAACGCCTCTGAAGAGACCGCCAATGACTCCGTGGTGCTTCAAGTTCCATTTGAGTCCATCCCAGATGCCAACATAGTACTTTTGGTTCGATGCTGCCACAGTCCCCGTTGCTATTGACGTTGCCTGGAACGATAGAGAGCAAAAACAGCGTGATTAGGTCTAATTGCTCTACTGATCTCGTACGCATTGTCTGCCAGAGCAAAACAAGAGAGTCATATCAAGGGTAAAATACTTACGGAGGTGGGCTTCTTGACTTGGGTCTGCAAAAGGGTCTTCATGACGTCCAGAGGAGTGGTTAAGAATCCAGCGAGACCTCCGGCGACACCACCGCAGGCAGTCTCGATATGAAGCGACATTTGGCCGTCTGGGCGTGCCTCCCATTTCCGTGCCTCGGCCTTGAACTTTTCGTAAAAGGCAAACTGCAGCGCCGAAAAGGGAACATCACGCAACAGGGTGGCCCTGTAGCCCTGGTACAAGGCTGCGACTCCGTCGTATTTGACAATCATCTGGAGTGCGTGCCAAGTGTTCTTGTAGTTGTATCCACTTATGAACGAGGGGTTGTTGTACCGTCCCTGAAGCTGCATCCTGGTCTTGAGAACCTCCGAGGGGACGTAGATGAACGATGCGAAAAAATCACCAATGGATCCTATTTGTCGTCAATGCCGGAATGGATGATGGTTAATTGAGTGGTCCCTTTTGAATCGCTGCGTAGTGTGGTTCTGTTGGTCACGCAGACCATTGAATCCTGATAACACCATTACCTCCTGCCAAATGTGCCAAAGTATCGGGGCATCCTGCTGCGGTCAACGTGCGCTTGGTATATTCATAGGTTCCAAAGTAAAGAGTTGTTCCTGGCACTATTAAAGTTGAGGTGCGAAATAGAAGGGTCAGTTATGACATGCGCATGTTAGCTCCGGTTGACCAATTGATCAATTGAACACGAAGAAGGTCAATTGTCCTTACAAGAGCCGGTCATGGCAGGAGCCAATCCACTGTAGAGCCCTCTGGAGACACCCTCCTCGCGCAGGATGGTGCTGTAGGCGTGGAACATGTTGTTGTACTTTGGTGGGTTGGCTGTGGGCTGTCCCTGCAGTCTCGTCTTGACCGTATCAACACTATCGGGCGTTCAAAAAATATACAAAAAGGGAAAGAGGCACCCAATCAGTTCAGGAAGAGGATGGAAGGGAGCAGTGCGCAGGCACACATGGACATTTGCAAGCAAGCCATGCGGATTGGACGTGCAAGGAGGTTACAAAATAACAAGAGGAGAAACAACGGCAAACAAAGTAGATCAGGGTGCCGTTACCTGTGCATAATGAAGTCGGCGATGGTACCTCCCATTCCTCCTGCCAACAAGACCTACAGCAAACATCAAGGAAAGAGTTGATTAGATCTTCAAGTGGATAATGGGCGGGAAGGTAGATCATCGTTTGGATTTTCAGAAACCAACGTCCTTGTTTCCAGAGTGGGTTTCTAGGTTCAGCATGAAGAAGAGGTACATCCTTACATCGAGGTATGGTGGCTCATGCTCTTCGGCGACGGTGGGAGGGAGGGCACGCTTCAAGGCAGGGGAGGGGTTAAAGGATGACTGCAGTTGAGACATTGAGGCGGCAGCGGCAACCGTGGCGGAGGAAGTTGTGGCAGTGGGGGAGGAGATCCCGCCTTCGGAGGACATTTGCGGATCTGATCCTTTTTTTTATTTGTTGTTGGGTGTGAGTTTATTGGCGGGGAGAGGAGAGGAGGGGGAGAGGAGGAATAAAAACAAAAGGGATCGTGTATGAGCGTGTGCACGAGTGTGGGGGGAGAGGAGGGTGATGGGGGAAGAGGAGGGTGATGGGGGAAGAGGAGGAAGGTATGAAGGAAACAAAGGGAACGAGAATAAGGAAAGACGGATGGAAACAAAAAGAGAAGAAAAGAGGTGGGAAAATTGTCGGGCCAGTCGCTGTCTCTACGTCTTTGTCCCTGGTCGGACTGAGACCGCCTAATGATTCGTTCCTCTCTCTCCCTGCAAGCCCACGGTGGTGCTCCATTCTCAAAATTGCTATTTTGGGTCAGCTCAAGTCAGTCCAGTATGACGTCACAGAGGGGTTCGTTGCGGTGTGTCTCCCAAGGGTAAAAAGGACAACAACGAGTCGCTTCTACGTTTGGTGGCCTATTCTTTTTTTCCTTTCTTTCTTTCACACCATATCCATACTCCGTAGGCTGCTGTAGAACACCTCTTGAACGCGCCTGGGACAGAGAAGAGAACGCGTTTATGTCTGCGCGTCGCCTCAGGAATCGCCCTTGGCTACTGATACGATACCGCAAGGGCAATGGTCACTATTAAGGGGAGCAACCACCATTGAATATTGGTGGCCAATTTTTGTCGCGTTTCTCTGATCTTCGTTTTCCTTTTGTTCTTTTCCTCACTCACATCACTCACGCAGTTTTCACCTTGTACCTTGTATCTACCTCTGTCTCTTGTCCTTTTCTCAACAACAACACGCACACCCTTTCACCTTTCAAGTCCCTTATCGCCGCTCACTCGCAACATCCACAAGTATAAAAATCGAGATTACATTCACCTCCTCTTGGTCCTCACAATTAGCACCAAATCACAACTTCACAAACAGCACACATGGCGAGGAAAGGCTCAAAGAAGGCCAAAAAGCAAATACCCGAGGCAGAAGCCACCTATGAGGTAAACCCCCTCATTGTCCTGATCTACCTCCCGAATGCCTCGGGCTTGTCACCCGGAGCTCATGTAACGCAAGTTGAAGAAAGCGACGACTAATAGAGTACTACACTTTGGCTCGCGTGCCCACTTCACACATTGCTACTATAGATCGAGTCCATCTGGGGCTACCGGAATATCGAGGTACAGCATATTTCACAGACTCGAGGCTTATCCGACGGTCACTTTCGGTTTTGGCCTCCAAAACCCGACTCATTTAATTATCTCTGCAATGTCGCTCATAGGGAAAGCAGGAGTTCCTTGTCAAATGGCTAGGATATCCGGTCTCGGACAACACATGGGAGCCACTGGAGAACCTCGACAACTGCTCATTTATCGTTAACGAGTTCCTCGTCTCCTACGGGATCTGTGAGCTGCGAGGAAGAGCCGAGGTATCAGTAAGACCTCAGGATCTGCGTCCGACCGTACAGGACACATTCTCATCTGCCAGCATCCTTGCAGCACAACAGGCTGCAGCCACCCGATCGGCACTTTTGTTCCGTCCCCAGTCCAGAACCCCAGCTCATCGCAGTTCACGCTCCGTTTCGAGATCTCGAAGAGCAAGGAACGCGTCCCACTCTCCTTCTCGTTTGGAGGATGTCGAGGTACTTTTCATCTGAAAAATGATTGCAGTGGATAACAAAATGCTCAAGGGGCTAAATTTTTCTTGACGGCTGATACGAGAGCTTTCTTCTTTGTCATTGCCTCAATATATAGTCGATATACCAGACACGCGTACGGGATCGGGAGCTGCGTGCATTCGAAATACTTTTCAAGGACTCAAAGGGACCTGAGATCATTGTGGAGAACACTGTTGACTCGGCGGGGCGTCCCAAGCATTTCAAGTATATCAACGACTCTGTCTACGGGATGGGCGTTCCACAACCAGACCCCGACTTTATCCTCTCCTGTTCATGTGCACCAGGAGAGTGTGGACTTAACGACAACTGCAGCTGTATGAAGGAGGCAAAAATCTTCAACGACAGTGGCGCATTTCCCTTCGAGAGTGACGGCAAAGTCGCAGCACAGGCGAACAAACTCTTGTGGGAGTGCAACTCGAAGTGCGGATGTGGCCCTAGTTGCACCTGGAACTACTCTCAGCGGCCACGGCAACTGGCGTTGAAGATCAAACGTTTCGAGGGTAAAGGATGGGGATTGGTTTTGGATCAGCGGGAATCGGTGCCTCCACGAACCTTCGTCTCGCGGTATGTGGGCGAGATCATCACGAACAAGGAGGCGGAGCATCGAAGCCAGATGCAGGACAGTACCGGAACGACGTATCTCTTTGACCTTGACTACAACGCGGAAAAACAAGCCACCTACTCGATCGATGCTTGCAAGCTTGGAAACGAGACGCATTTCATCAACCACTCTTGCGACCCCAACCTGTCGGTCTACATGTTGAAGAGTGGTGGTAATGGTGGGGATGAAAATCTGATGACGCTGAGTTTCTGGTCGAACCGCTGGATCAAGTATGGTGACGAGCTGACGTTCGACTACAACGGAAAGTATGTCCCAGAGTGGCACAGGGAGTTCATTGGTGAAGCCAGCCAATCCCAAGGCACGCTGCATCCTGGAGAGGGTACGACGCCCTGTCACTGCAGCGCCACCAACTGCCGCAAATGGGTCCATCTTTGAAGCCGAGGATGTTTTGCTTCTCCTCTGTTTGCTTCTCACCCTGTTAATATACTCGCTACATTCGCACATCCCTCTTCGCACTCACACCCTGCTCATTCTCGCCCTCGCATACATGTCCTTGCGCCCACATGCACTTTTCGCACACTCTACACACACACCCTTCTGCACATTGCTTGTAAGTTTGCTCTTACACTTTGACAACACATTAAATATAAAATGTTTAGATTGCTTTGTCAGATTAATTAGTTGTCATTATCAGGAGGTTCTAGTTCTACTGTAAAGAAAAAGGGAGAATCTACGAATGCGAAGAAGAAGGATGGTCATAACCTCCATAAACAGCCAAACACCCAAAACTATATCTTGCCTCAAAGAACTGGGCTATCGCCAAATAATGGAAATAAATCCCCGCCACCACCGCAACATGCCACAACTGATGCGAATGGCCCCATCGATCAAACCATCCGGGGAACTGTCTCTCCGGGAACTGATGTCCATAAAACACCAGCCCTGTCAAGTATGCTAGTCCAGATTTGACGAAAGGTTGAATGAAGTGCAAGGTCGGGGCCCAACCCTTTTGGTGGCCTGCATAGGCGAGTGGGAGAATACCCGAGCAGGCCATGCCGAGAAAGATAAAGATTCGGAAGTAGCGGAAGGAAGGGAGGTCGAATTTTGGGTAGAAGGGGATGATGCATCCTACGATTCCCATCCCACCCGAGAAGGACAGGAACATCCAACGTTCGGTCGTGTCACAAAAGAATCCATAGTGCAGTGTCGCCATCACGGAGGCTGTGATCAGGACACCGATTCCGATATAGTCGAATGTGGCGGCGCAACGCATGACGGTGAGTCGGGAATGGCACAAAAAAGTGTGGTAGAGGGTTGAAGAGATGAGACATTCCGCTGCTGCAAAGAAGAAGAATAAGAAGACGAGATGGTCGTAGAGGGTTGTTGTTGGGGATTTGCCGAGGACGGTGGTGTGGATGTGGAGGGAGAGGAAGATGAGGCCGAGGAGGCCGAGCATGTGGGTCCAGATGTTGCAGGTCTCGTTGTGGATGTGGAAGATGCTTTTGAGGCATTGGCGCTTTGAGGATAAGAAGCGGTAACTATTACGGAAAGATGTTAGTGTTAGCGTCTCAGTATTTCCGTTGATATGTGCTTTTATATGCATGGAAGAAAGGTCAGAAAGGTAGCAACGGTTGCACAGAGACAGGGTATCACAATCAAAGATCTCGTTCTTTCCTTGCTTTCAACTTACCCAGTAAGAATATACGGATTCATCTGCCACTCCTCGGGCAACTCCTCAAACCGCAACAACCGTTTTGCACCCTCAATCGCCGCCCTAGACGCAGTATCCCAGGTCTCTGCAACCTGATGCTCGACCTCTCGGATTTTCTCGTTAGCGGTGGCCTTTGTGGACCGCCAGGTCTTGGTAGTCTTTTGGAGCGAGTTGTCTAGAGTGTGTTGCATGTTCTGCAGGATGTCGTGACAGTCTAGTTCTAGAAAGGAGCCTCCTCCGTTGTCGTCGTCATTGTCGTTGCCGTTTTCTTGGCCCTTGCTAGAGGAGGGGGTATCATTTTTGGTGGCGGAGAATTGAGTTTTTGAAGTGGCGGGATTGGTGGGCGGTGTTTCAGACAAGGGCGAGTGCTCTTGGTGGCGATGGAGGAGAGCGGTTGCTGTCGCTGCTGTTGCTGAAGTGGGGTTGAGTGCTTTTGTCGAGGAAGACGAGGAGGGAGCCCTCATTGGACGTTGTCGCATGGATCCTATCATTGCAATTGTGCTTTTGGTTGTATGGGTTATAGGTATCGGCTGGAAAAGTGAATGGAGTAAGGGAGGAGGGTGAATGCGATAAGCGGAATGAATGTTTGGAATCGGCGTTGACAAGGAGAGGAGAGGAGAGGAGAGGCAAAAAAGAACGTGTGTGGTGCCTTAAGCGAGAAGGATGTAGGTAGTTGAGGAAGAAAGAAAAGGAAATAGTAGCCGGAAGAAGTGGAAGAGGAAGGTTATTAAATATGTTGTGTGGAGGGAAAAGGTGATGGGTTGCTCCACTGAGAGCGTCTAACATATACTCATGTCACCGGTAAACAACAATAGCAACCTTAGTCATTGACTTCAGGTCAGCCCAATCCCTTCTTCACTCACAGAAGCCTTAGCCGTTACTGTTAGAACGAAAATGAATGACGGCGTTGGGCCTGGCCCTGCGCGCTTATTTTAGTTTCACATACACAGCCATTATTCTCGCTCAACATCAATCGTCACTTTTTTCAACGTTTTTATTCCAACGTCCCCTGCACGGACACACCCAATTATTTTGCAGTTGTTATTACTTCTTTGTCAGCGGCAATAGCTTTATATATACAAAATTAAAGGGGATCTATCAGTCCGGACAGACGCGTTTCTGGCTGTTTTAATTAGAGGTGGTGGCTGTGATGGCGACATGACAAATGGCTTTTCCCTTCGGCAAATAGCCTTAGGGGGATCCTATTCAAGGTGGTTTTTTTTGTATTTTTTTATTTTTTTTTGGCTGACATGGTTATGAGGACGCTTATTCGTCATCGAATTGAGGTCACGTCATGGTCAGCCAGTTTGTTTGTTTGCTTTAGGTGACTAGGAGAGACATAAGGAAGTAAGAGACCAAGTGGATTGGCGACTGGGTTACCTGGTCATTATTATTTTTTATACATCAATTGCAATAGACATATGGTACTTTACTTCCGGGTGAGGATTGTATATTATGTGGTCGTGGCTCCAATTCGCGTCTGAAGGGCACCATGTGTCTGGCCTGCAAGTTCAACGTACTGCAGTAAGAAGATGAGCATTGTGGGGATGTGCAGCATGTGCGATGCAATGGTGTACCTGTGTCACATGATTCAAAGCCCGACAGGAATTCTTTTCTTCCATGGTCTTCTGGCCGTGCCAAGTGTTAGTGTGAGAGCGATCGACGTCCTTGGGTATCTATCAGCCCTGCTCTGTTAGTTGGTTCTCACCACACACTTGCAACCACATACACTCAACACACACCACCAACCAGTCTAAAGTCAGCACATCATCCTTTCTTTATCTTTCTTTTTTTTTCTCCACTCCACCGTCATCCATCCGCTTGGCAGCATCCAAAGGACATCCCAACCAACCAACCACATACAGCCAACCAACAACAGACCAGGACAATCACTCATACAACGGCAATGGAAGTTAACAAGGACGAGGCACAACGGTGCATGGACATCGCACGGCGCCACCTCAGCTCTGGAAACTACTCGAGCGCAAGAAAGTTTGCCACAAAGTCCATCGCACTCTTCCCCACCCCCGAAGCAAAGGCCTTCCTCACCAGAGTCGATACCCAAGAAGCTGCATCCACATCCTCCCCTGCATCCAATGCCTCTTTTTCATCAACCTTCTCGCCATCCACGGAACCATCCTCCTCAACCCCCAGCAGCACAAAGAGTTCACCCAACCCTGGATCTTCGTCGGCAGGGTCCCGTACTCGTCCTGAATCTGTTCCTCCACGACCCCGCTCTACTCCTGTGGAACATAAGCCTGCAGAGAGAGAATATACCCCGGAACAGGTTGCTGCTGTCAAGAAGATTCGGTCCTCGGGAGGGGACTTTTATAAGGTCTTGGGGATCAACAAGGATGCTTCTGAAGCAGATATCAAGAAGGCTTACCGCAAGGTATAGTGAAGTTTAATATTTTGGGATGCTTTGCTAGCTATGCATGGACAAGGGCCAGTAGATGAGCAATAACAGTTGAGAGGCAATCAACTGCAGGGCAAAGGAGTGAATGGGTGGATAACAAAAGGGCAAAGGGGTGAATTGAGAGGCAGCTAGCCAAACAGGCAGACAAGTGGATCAGTCCCAATTCGCCATGCAACTTTAATATTGATCAATGATTTTTGAACTCCCTTTTTTTTTTGTTTCGTCTCCATTAGTTGGCACTGCAGATGCATCCTGACAAGAACAGCGCTCCAGGGGCAGACGAGGCATTCAAGAGTAAGTCGACAACATTTTTTTTCTTTTTTTTTGTCGTTCCTTCCTGGGTAATGGGACGTCGTTCTTTTTTTCACTTCGTCTAGATGGTTCCAACGGGATCACATCCGTGTCTTACGTGGCACAAACTAGATCATTTCCTTGTTGTTTCTTGGGAACACGCAAAATGCCCAACAAAAAACGGCCACCAAAAAAAAGTGCTCTCAGTTTTCTATTCTTTTACGATCTGACCAATAACATCCTGTCATTACTCACATGTCTCTTCTTTGTTGTTCCTTGACTAGTCGTGTCGAAGGCATTCACAGTGTTGAGCGATCCCCAGAAGCGTGCCATTTTTGATCAGCATGGACCAGAGGACGGCAAGAGCAGCGGAGCCAACTATGATCGTGCTTCCCCCATGGGCGCACAGGGATTCGGCGGCGGAATGCATGGCATGAATGGATTCGGAGAAGAAGTCTCCCCAGAGGAGCTCTTCAACATGTTCTTTGGCGGCGGCAACTTTGGCGGTTGTAAGTATCCCTTCCCTTTTCGCACCTTGAGATGTCATTGACTTGAACCTGTGAGCATCATGAATTGTTGGCTTCCATCCTAACGTGATCCAATGATACAATACATTATAGCTTTCCATTCGGCGACGTTTGCAGGACCAGGATTCGGAACACGCCAGTTCCGCACACACCCACAGCAGACGCAGCATAGACAGCATCGTCAACATGCACAGCAGCAGCAAGGGGGCGGAGTGGGCGGCGGCACAAGTGGCTTCTCAAGCCTCTTACAGATCTTGCCCCTAATCCTCTTGTTTATCATGTCGATGGCTTCCAACTTCTTTTCCGACAGTGATTCTTCATCTACTGCAGCGTCACCAGCGTCATCGGACTTCTCATTGGGACCTCACGGATCATACCAGGCGGCGCGCTTCACGAGCGCTCACCATGTGCCTTACTTTGTGAATGAGCGGAAATTCAGGAGCTCGTTTATGGCACCCGGATCGGACCATGTAGATATGAACCAGGTGATCAATGGGATGAAGGTGCGCCAGATCCTGACGCAGTTGGAGGAGAATGTCGAGACGGCATACTTGAGGCATTTGCGGACCGAGTGTATCAACGAGAGGAAGCGGAAGGAGGTTGCACAGAACCGGGCGATGGGCTTCTTTGGACCGGATAAGAAGATGTGGGAGGCTGCTCAACGGATGACGACGCCGAGCTGTGATACCATCCGTGAAAAGTTTGGCTACAATGTGTAGAAGTTGTTTGTGTTGACCGGAGGTTGGTTTTGGAGGGTTGTAATGGGGGAGGGGGGGGGGGGGGGGCGTGCGCACAGGAAGTAGCATACGGTTTAGATTAGCAAAAACACATAATGATACACCTCCCGTTCCTATTTTATCCTAACATCCACACACTTTTGATATCCTGACGGAATGGACAAGGACTTACGTGGCTTGAGGGCGAAGACCAACTGATCATATTGACAATTGATTGGCGCAAGAAAAACACGTGGCTTGGAGATCAATAATGTTACCAGTCGAGTTCACTCGCGTTAACTCATCTCTCCACAACGTGCTCTCGTGTTCAGCGCCCTGTTTGGTACACAGCCTACTACGCAATGTACACGCGCCATGTGGGAATGGCAGCTCATTTTCACAATCGCTTGCAAAAATGCTGACCGCGTATCACAAAATTTATGTACCCTGCATGATCGTCCTTCAATTGTACGCGTGCCGTGAATCGAATCCAAAGATCATACTAAATATATCGTTTCAAAAGGAAGTGCCCACAAGTCCGTGGGATATTGCGCTCGACGAGAACATTTTCATTCTTTCAGAATAAGCGTCAAAACCAGGTTCTCCGTACCAATGGTTCTTCAATATCCCACATTCCACAATTTTTATGGCAGACAAACCACACGATGTTGCGCCCCCCCCCCCCCCCCCCATCTTCTACACTCCAAGCCGTCGCAACACCCAGTAGGTGCATGTCTACAGGGGTCCCCCAGGATCGATACAGCTCGGCAAGCCATCGGCAAGCCATCGGCAAGCCCCATCGCCTTGACGCAAGGCAACTTTCCGTTCTGGGACTTGACAACCGCGCCGTCCATTTGTTTACAATCCTCGACGGTGTCCGCTTGAGATCCTTGCGCCAGGAACACCACGGCTGAGAGGACCATGAGGAAGGGCGAAGGCACGCATAATAAAAAAAAGAATAGGTCTGTTTTGTGTGTCAAACAAAAGTTTGGATAGAGCGAAAGATTAGCAGGGGTCATTTAAAGAAAAAGAGAATTAGCCAATAAAGACTCGCTTTTGCGCAAAGTGCTCTTAATGGATAGGAGATATCCTCTACTTTGGGTTTGGTTGGGTGTTTTTGTATGTTGGCGAGAGAGAGTAAAAAAACCAGCGGATGTCTTGTTTAAAAATATGGTGTTGATGGTCGTGAAATGAGTGAGGTGAGATGAGGATGAAAGAAAAAGAGCATTTCGCTGTTCCACGCTTTATACACAAAAAACGATGATCCATTGGTGGGTACCTTTGAGGCTGAACAAAATAATTCCCAACAAAAAAAATGATGAGGATGGAACATGCCCTTGTACCCCTATCTCTTGCTCTCTTGCTTTCTCTTCCTGCGATCATGCTCTGGAAATTTAAATGGACTGGGCATTAACAAGCAGTGAACAAAAAAAAAAGGTACACAAAGGCACTCTGATGTCTTTGAAAAATGGCATTCGGGTCAACGAAAATAACGGACCGACGATCTCTCCTAACCGTTTATACTGTGGGCCTTGAAGTTTGACCTTGCAGCTCAACTTGGCGACAAGTCTCTCTCTCCATCCTATTGTGGTTGGTATTGAAAAGACAGCATATTTTCTCTCACTTTTTCTTTCCGTCTAAATATAGCCACTTGATTCCTTTCACTTACAATGCCCTTCAAAACAATAGCAACGTTGTTCTCCACTCGCTTGTGCAGAATCTAACACCAAAAGATTAAGTGCTACCTCGTCACTTTGGGAAAAAAAATTATCGAACTCTACTAAAACGTACGCCTCTAGACCATTCGCATGACTGACCAAAGGTGGGCCAAAGCGTCGTTCTTGCTCCGAACCACCTTTTGTTGCAGCCAATACTTGTCGTTGTCACTGTGACGAATGCATGTCGGGAACTTTTGCTCTTTCTCTGTTCATGCACTCCCTATCTGCTTTGTCCACCTTCTTCTCCCTTCCCGTAACTTCTCGTCTATCACCCTCTCCTTTTCTCCCACTTTCACTCTCTCTTTTTCGCACACCCATTCTTTCTTCTTTCCTTTCACTTCTTCACCCACACCCATCCTCTAGCACCATCCACAACACACTTTTCAATTCTTCTTACCCATCCACACATCCACCCATCCTTCTATCACTTCCTTGGCCGTGCGATGCCACAAGGAGACAGCCCTCAGGAACAGATCCAGGCACTCCGCTCCGTCAACAAGGGCGTTCCACCCAACTCCATCCCTCCTGCCGGTCCTGATGAGATCTATCACGTTGACACACATCTCGACCCTGACACCCAAAAGGGGTTCATTTTCTGGGACGATATCGTTCAGGCATTCGATTACGCAGTTCATGTCCGCCACAAGACGAGAGTGGTTTCGTTCCAGAGAGGAATAGACCATAGTATGTATGTATAGACTGGTTGTGCGGGCTACTGCTGGCTAGAATGCATGTCGTGGGCGATGGTAGTGAAGGAAGAAGACAACCATACTAATTTTTTCTCTATTGGACAATGAAATCGCCCCTAGCCTTGAGCCTCGCAGGATCACCGCCGTGCCGAATATTGTCTTGGATGTGGTCGTAGATACTCCAGTGACCGGTAATGCGGGGGTTGCTTCTCTCCAGGTCCGACAGCCGGATCTTCAACCAGTGCCGCCGCAGGACGGCAGCGCCATAAAGATCGAGGATACATCCCAGGATACCATCTCAGCACCCAGTATTGCATTGACACCCATTACTACGACTGCTACCTCCACACCCAACACAACGTCATCATCCAGTTCCCCTTCAACTACAACATCCGCCGTCAGACAGAACCCAATCTACGGTCTTGTAGATGTCTACGGTCCTGTAGAGGCGACGAAGGAAAGTTACACTCGCATCGACAGACCCCCTACATTCCCGTCAGCTCGAGATCCGCAAGCAGTGTTGGACGATCAAAATCCAGCTGTCAAGGATATTCCAACCACTCCTCGTCTTGACAACGACAACAACTCCCAGCAGCGTGGGCGGCAGAGCGCAACAGCTAATGAGTCCGTGGCGCTGCAATTGGCACGGACGATCATTAGTGCTTGTGAAGGGGACAAGGACGCCCAGGTCGCGCTTGGCGACATGTACAGGGACGGCAAGGGGGTTGCGCAAGACTATCAGTCGGCCATGGATTGGTACCTCAAGGCCGTCGAGCAAGGAGACGCAGCTGGTCAGCAGAGAGTAGGCGCCCTCTACCATAAAGGATTCGGTGTCCCGCGGAACTACTCAGCAGCCATGAGCTGGTACCTCAATGCCGCCGCACAAGGATATGCTCGCGCTCAATACAGCCTCGGGGTTCACTACAAACATGGTCGCGGTGTTCCTCAGAACTACACACAGGCGATGGAGTGGTACACCAAGGCCGCCGCACAAGGATTTGCTGGCGCTCAATACAGCATCGGAGCTCTCTACAAACGTGGTCACGGTGTTCCTCAGGACTACACACAGGCGATGGAGTGGTACCTCAAGGCCGCCGCACAAGGATATGCTGTCGCTCAATACAACATCGGCCTTCTCTACGACAACGGCGAAGGTGTTAGTCAAGACTACGCACAGGCGATGGAGTGGTACCTCAAGGCCGCCGCACAAGGATATGCTGTCGCTCAATACAACATCGGCCTTCTCTACGACGACGGCGAAGGTGTTCGTAAAGACTACGCACAGGCGATGGAATGGTACCTCAAGGCCGCCGCACAAGGATGTGCTGTCGCTCAATGCAACATCGGGGTTCACTACAAACATGGTCGCGGTGTTCCTAAGGACTACGCACAGGCGATGGAATGGTGCCTCAAGGCCGCCGCACAAGGACATGTTGTCGCGCAATACAACATCGGCCTTCTCTACCAGAACGGCGATGGTGTTCGTCAAGACCACGCACAGGCGATGGAATGGTACCTCAAGGCCGCCGCACAAGGATTTGCTGGCGCTCAATACAGCATCGGAGCTCTCTACAAACGTGGTCACGGTGTTCCTCAGGACTACACACAGGCGATGGAGTGGTACCTCAAGGCCGCCGCACAAGGATATGCTGTCGCTCAATACAACATCGGCCTTCTCTACGACAACGGCGAAGGTGTTAGTCAAGACTACGCACAGGCGATGGAGTGGTACCTCAAGGCCGCCGCACAAGGACATTATGCCGCTCAATACAACATCGGCCTTCTCTACGACAACGGCGATGGTGTTCGTCAAGACTACGCACAGGCGATGGAATGGTTCTTCAAGGCCGCCGCACAAGGATGTGCTGTCGCTCAATGCAACATCGGGGTCCACTACAAATATGGTCGCGGTGTCCCTCAGGACTACGCACAAGCGATGGAGTGGTACCTCAAGGCCGCCGCACAAGGACAAGTTGTCGCTCAATACAACCTCGGCCTTCTCTACGACAACGGCGAAGGTGTTCGTAAAGACTATGCACAGGCGATGGAATGGTACCTCAAGTCTGCCGCACAAGGATGTGCTGTCGCTCAATGCAACATCGGCGTTCTCTACGAAAACGGCGATGGCGTTAGTCAAGACTACGCACAGGCGATGTATTGGTTCCTCAAGGCCGCCGCACAAGGATATGCCATCTCGCAATGCCGTATAGGGTGCCTCTACGACAACGGCGATGGTGTTCGTCAAGACTACGCACAGGCGATGGAATGGTACCTCAAGGCCGCCGCAAAAGGATACTCTGTCGCTCAAGTCAACATCGGCCTTCTCTACGACAACGGCGAAGGTGTTCGTCAAGACTACGCACAGGCGATGGAATGGTACCTCAAGGCCGCCAAGCAAGGGTATGACGTTGCTCAATACAATATCGGCCTGCTCTACAGGAATGGCCAAGGTGTTCGTCGGAATTATATAAAGGCCGCGGGGTGGTTCTCTCAGGCTGCCAACCGAGGACATAAGGGCGCCAAAAGAAAATTGGAAGCCTTGAAGAAAAAAGATGTTTTTGTGAACTAAAAAATAAATTTGTGAAGTGAAAAATCCATGAACGATTCATCGAATTCAGATGCGAATGTGGAATGAGTCAACAGTTTTACCACTCATTACTCTGATCATTCGGACGCAGACTTCAAATTGTACTTTTGTTTTCATAAATGAGCCGATGTGGGGCAAGGAACGCTCGTCATATCATGGCTGAGCTCATAAAATGAAGGATGTTCCTCCAAATATATTTTGTTTTGTTTACAGCTTGAATGAATGTATGCATTATGCAAAATATACCCAAAGCGTCGTTGTTGCTCAGAACCATCCAATGTTGCAGCCAATGCTTGTCTTTGTCGCCGCTCGTCCCATGGATGGTAGCACAGCGGGACGAATGCACGTCAGGAATTTTTTCTCTTCCCCTGTTCATGCACTCCTTCCCTGCTTTGTTCACCTCCCTTCTCGTAACCTCTCTCTTTTTTCGCACACCCACTCTTTTCTTCTTTCGTTTCACTTCTTCACCCACACCCATCCCCCAGCGCCATTCTCAATACACTTTTCATATTTTTCTTACCCGCCCACACATCCGTCTATCCTTCTATCGTCTCCTCCACAGAATGCTACAAGGAGACAGCCCTCAGGAACAGATCCAGGCACTCCGCTCCGTCAACAGAGGCGTCCCACCCAACTCCATTCCTCCTGCCAGCCCTGATGAGATCTATTACGTTGACACCCAACTCGACCCTGACACCTACAAGGAGTTCATTTTCTGGGACGATATCGTTCAGGCATTTGATCACGCGGTCCAAGTCCGGCACAAGGCGAGAGTCGTTACGTTCCTCAGAGGAAAAGACAATATAATGTATGTGTAGAGGATGGGGGGGCCACTGCTGGTGACAGTGCATGTCGTGGGCGATAGCAGAGTGAAGGAAGAAGATAAGTATACTAAGTTTTCTTATTATTGGACAATGAATAACATCGCGGTTAGTCTTGAGCCCCGCAGGATAGCCGCCATGCCGAACATTGTCTTGGATGTGGTCGTAGATACTCCGTTGACAGACAATGTGGGGTCCGGTTCTCCACTGGTCCGACATCTGGAGCTTCAGTCAGTGCCACCGCAGGACGACAGCGCGATAAAAGTTGAGGTTGTTGAGGTTGTATCCCGGGATGCCATCTCAACACCCAGTGCTACGTCGATGCCCGTTGCTGTGACTGTTACATCCACGCCCAACGCAACAGCCGCTCCCACTGCAACAGCTGCCTCCTATGCAATATCCACTGTCCGACGGAACCCAGTCTACGGTCTTGTAGAGGAGGCGATGGAAAACTACACTCACATCGACAGACCCCTTGAGTTCCCCTTAGCTCGAGGTCCACATGCAGCACTGGACGATCTTCTAACCCCTTCATATCCAATCAGCGACGATGAAGGTCAGCAACGTGCACCCCAGAGTGCAATAACTAGTCTATCCGTGGAGATGAAGTGGGCAGAGGCGATCATCAATGCTAGTCATGGAGACAAGGACGCCCAAGTCGCGCTTGGCGACATGTACAGGGACGGCAAAGGGGTTGCGCGAGACTATCAGTCGGCCATGGATTGGTACCTCAAGGCCGTCGAGCAAGGAGACGCAGCTGGTCAGCAGAGAGTAGGCGCCCTCTACGAAGAAGGATTTGGTGTCCCCAAGAACTACTCAACAGCCATGGATTGGTACCTCAAGGCCGCCGAACAAGGATATGCTATCGCTCAAGATAGCATCGGAGTTCTCTACACCTTTGGTCAAGGTGTTCCTCGGGACTATGGACGAGCTATGGACTGGTATCTCAAGGCCGCTGATCAAGGATATGCTCTCTCTCAATACAGCATTGGGTGTCTCTACAGGAACGGCGAAGGTGTTCCCCAAGATTACGCACTGGCGATGGAATGGTTCCTCAAGGCAGCCAATCAAGGTGATTCTTTTGCTCAAAACAACATCGGCCTTCTCTGCAACCATGGTCGAGGTGTTCCTCTGGATTACGCGCAGGCGATGGACTGGTTCCTCAAGGCTGCCAAGCAAGGGAACGACGTTGCTCAATTCAACATCGGCCTATGTTATATCAACGGGCAAGGTGTTCCACAGGATTATACAAAGGCCGCGTGGTGGTTCTCTAAGGCTGCTCACCGAGGACACGATTACGCCAAGATAGTATTGGAGGCCTTGCAGGGAATTGGCGTTGTTGTGAATTAAAAAATAAAGTATGGAAGTAAATAATCCATGACGATTCATCGAATTCAAGTGCGAGAGTGAAAAGAGTGCAACAGCTTTATCACTCATTACTCTAATCATTCGAACCCAGACTTATCTGCTATTTTCATCATCAGGAAATATTCCTCCTACTACTCTGTTTCTTTCTCCTCCCTTCCAAGAACCAATATCTACCACGCCTCACACTCCTTGTTAGGTTTCATAGGCACACCTGCCTCATACTTGAATGCTCTGGCGAAATCAGGCGAGTTCTGGGTGGCGCTGTTGATTCGCCATTGGGGAGGCGAATGGGTGTGTGGTTGACGAGGTCTACAAGTGACCCTGGTGTCATCACAGTACACCACAGGCGGCCATAGGAGATGAAGAAGAGTTGTTCCGAGGGCTTGTCGTTTGATAATCTTTACCAGAGCTTGTTCAAAGTGGTGATAGGGTGAGGAACGATCAACTGGAAAGGGGAGATCCCAACTGGGGGCAGTGGATTGCTGAAGGGAGTTTTCGTCGGTTCAAAATAAATAAAAAGGGTCACACACACACACACACACACACACACACACACACACACACGCACACACATGTGCACATGGTACCAAAGACAATGGGAGGCAACTTCCTCATGCTTTGTATACCAGTCAGCCACTTGTTGATAAGCGCAAACGTATCAAAGGTAAAAGTTCGGAACATTAAATAACAAACAGAACATAATCAGAAGCAGAGTTGAAAGCAGAAACAGAAACAGAAGACAATGAAAAAAGTACTGGGGAAAAAAGGATTTATTGTAGAATGGCTTATTTGCCAACTAATACTGGGCTTGCGGCTTGGGGTCCTTGATGGCTGGAGACCTTGGGGCTCTTGATGGCTGGAGGCTCTTGATGGCTGGAGGCTCTTGATGGCTGGAGGCTCTTGATGACTGGAGACCTTGGGGCTCTTGATGGCCGATGGCCTGGGGCTCTTGTGGGTGGAGACCTGGAGACGGACACTTGCCGCTTGCCGCTTGCCCGATTTGCCGCTCCCGACTTGCCGCTGGGCCGACCGGGTGAGAGAGGGGGTCGTGCCACGTTCCACCCTTGGCTGCCGGGCCCCGCGTCCACCTCAGGTTGCCAGGCTTATACGAGAGCCAGCTTCGTCCTGCTCTGGAGCGCACACCTTTACCATTTGTTCGTTACATGTGACATCAACCTCCTACCTGATCCTTGCCACCATCGGCGGCTCCAGTTCCCTGCGGTACCTCGCTCGCCTTGTCCTCTGTCCTTTTCTCGTTGGCGTAAGGGTTACACACCTCCACTCCTAGAACCATTCCTCAACGTCAACCGCCTTGCCCTTTTTCCTCATCACCCATTCGCCTCTGCCATTCGCTTTGCCATTTGCCAGTCCTGCTTCCAGTCCTGTTTCCAGTCCTGCTTCCAGTCCTGTTGCCCTCCTGCCACCCTCTTGTCCTCCCTACCCTCCCCACCCTCCCTTCCCACTCTCTCCCTCTTCCCCTCTTGTTCCCTTCCTCTCCCCCTCTTGTTCCCTTCCTGCCACCCTCTTATTAGGCAAATGGCGAAACGAATGGCAAATGCAAATGAGCAATGAAGAAAAAAAAAGCAAAGAAGGACAGAATGGTTCTAGGCAAGCCCAGACCCAACGAGCCAAAAGGACTAGAAGTACAAGGGGGGGTACCTCGGAACTGGGCGGCCTGCGGGACAAGTCCGGTGGGGGAGTCACGAACGAACAAAATGGAAGGCGGTCTCAACAGAGGGACAAAGCGGTCCCTCGCTTATACCTGGCAACGGAGGCAAACACGACACCTGACAACCTGGGGGCGAAACGCGGCACCTTGCTTGACCTCAACTCCAGGGGTACCTGAAAATACAAGGAGAGGCGGTGCAGCGTCTTAGTATTGAAAGTGGGGATAGGTATGGGAGAGTGGGGATGGGTATGAGAGAGTGGGGATGGGTATGGGAGAGTGGTGGGTATGGTAGGGTGGGGGTGGGTATGGTAGGGTGGGGGTGGGTATGGGAGAGTGGGAATGGTAGAGTGGGGATGGGGATGGTTCACAAGAAGACAAACAAGACAATAGAGAACTTACCGGTCGACATGGGCAAGGGAGGAAGGGAGCGGTGAGGAAAGAAAGAAAGAAAAAAAGAAAGAAGAAAGATGAAGGGGTATGTATATGGAGGGAGAATGTCACGCGTGGGAGCCTTGGCAAAAGCACAAGGCAAAACATGACGACACTCTTCGCCCTTGCTTCGCTGTCATTCCCACGCTCGCTCTTCCCTCATCTCGTTACTGTCTTTTTAATCCTGCAGCGCCTTTGGCTCCCACGCCCTCCGTTCGACTTGACTTCCGTTTGTTTCTCATCATCAGTACGACCGACAACCCTCTGACCCAGCTCCGTCTTGTTGATGGAGAGGCAACCTGTAACAAGACGAGGGCGGACTAGAGGGAAAACGAAGGGAACGAAGGGAACGAGGGAACAAGAGCAACGAGGGAACAAGAGAAACGAGGGAACAAGAGAAACGATTATATGGGCATATGGGCGTGTTTTGTTTAATAAAGACTAGGGTTATCAACTGAAGAACCAAACTGCTATCGACCGCAACTATTTATCGGCTCCTCCCGGCATCAAGCTCGTCGGTACAAACGATCTCATTGTCAGAGAGGTTTACAAAGATCTTCACGATACAATCCTCCGGACGTTTGAGAGCAATCGACCGTGCACTGGAGGCGAGGCGTAGAACCATGTCGTTGTTACAAGTACATCTGGGACCGGCAAATCCGCATTCCTAGTGCACGGCATCCAGGATCCACCCTATCAAAGGATCGCCGCTCTCAAAGCTTATCAACTGTCTCAACCAAGCCAGCTGGACTCCCCCTCCTGATGTTCGGCTTATCTTTGTCATCCCAAGTCATGTCTATGCCGATTAAGAAGCAGAGCTACTTGATCTCAGAGGGGAAAGTTTACTGTGCCTCTTGGAAGATGCAGGCTCCATTGCAACCCTGTGGTGGTGAATTGACAGCACCGTAGCGATATTTAAAGCATCAAGTGAACAATGCTTACATACATGTAAGGATCGTGAAGGTTCGTCAGCCGCACGAGACTGATACACAAGCAGTTGCATGCATTCTCGGTATTGCATAAATGAAAAGGGATCCATTGATGTGTTCAAATTGTATTCTATGCTTTTCTATTCTATTGCTTGTTGAAACTAATCTTTGGTCGTTTAGATCTCAATGTATGAATAAACGTATCCAACGCCAACTTGTCCGGTTTGACTCTCGAGATATCCACAATATGAACCTGGATTCTATCACATGCCAAGTCGACATTCTCCAAACTCGTCCAGTTCTCCGCCACCCAGTCGGCTTCCTTGGCTCCCATTCTATACACCGTCCTGGGTCCCAATCCCAACCTCTTCAAAGACTTCAAATCCGACAGTTGACGCAAGTAACCACCAGCGGGGAGGACGAACAGGTCGACAGGTCCTGCGACGAAATCCCATTCCTCCAATTGTTCGAGTTTGCCAAACTGGGAGAACATGTAGTCCATACACCGCTTTGGAAGAGACTGCTTCCAGCTGTCACCCTTGACGGTTGGAATGCCCTGAGTCAGTTGAGAGCCGAGTTGCAACTTCTTCAAGCCGAGGCACACCCAGTCGCGACTGCACATCTGGTCAAACTTGTTGATATCGACCGTCTGGACCGAGATCTCGTTAATCCTTGCACGGATAGATTGCAATGATGGTAGACCGGTAACAAGTTCGTTGAAGACTTCAAAGTTCATGGCGTGATCCTGGAAATGGATCTCAGTCAAGGACCCTGAGAGATGTTCGGTCATGGCCAAGGCGGATTCGGACTTGAACTGGGCGGAGGTGATCTCGATTTTCTTGAGTCCAACGGCGTCCACACCGCGATCGGGGCCCATGACGCTCAGGAGAACCGGCAAAGGATCGTCTTTGAGTGTGGTATCTCGTCCCGGATGGAAAACTGAAAGTTGTGGGCAGGCACCATTAATGAACGCCTCTTTCAAGAGATCCACCGTTTGAGGGGCCTTGATCGTAAACATGTGCAATTCCTGCAACAAAGGGCACTTCTTGAGCAACGGGACCATGATCGCGGATTCCTGATCCTCGAATGTCGTGGCAAGTTTCAGGATCTTGACGGTCAGATCCTCCATTCCTTCCATATCGATCTTGGCCTGCTCGTACTCCTCCTTCTCCTCGACTCCCTTGAACGAATCAACGCCCGAGAAACTGAGATCCAGTTCTTCACACTGTCGACAAGCGTGGATGACTCTTTGGATGTGCGTAGGGTTGACATATTCGTTGCACGTCATTTTTAAGGTCCTGAGTTGGGTAAGCGATTGGAGGGAGGAGAGGAAATGCTGAAAGACGTCCGAGTTGTCGAGGGCGAGGGTGATGGTCAGATCTTGTAAGAGCGGCACGGATTGTAATAGAAGGACGAGACGGAGATCAACGCGAGCAGCATTCACGCCGCCTACAGAAGATCCAAAGGCAGGCTGATGGTAGGTTGCGGTCGGAGGATTGTATGACCCGAAGAGGCCAGTCCTGAATCCAGTGTTGAATCCAGTGTTGAATCCAGTGTTGACTGTAAATTGCCCGGTACTCTGCTGGACAAACTGTACGGACTGCAGATTCGGGAAGGCCCAAAGGTCTCTTGACTCAACAGCGAGGTTAATGGCGAGGTCCTTGATGACTTTGACATACTGCTGGTAGCGTTTGAGTCCGGGGATGAGCTTGAAGTTGGTGTAGAATGCGCGAGTGTGCCAGAGGTGGGGGACGAACCAGTCGAAGGATTGTTTGGAGGTAAGGCACAGGTTGGTCATGTCGCGAGGCGTGAGGTATTTGGTCAACTCGGCGCGAATCACGGCGTCGCTGAAGGCGTGGTCTTTTTCCATAATGAATTGTAAGTGATGAGGAGGGAGAAGAAAAGTGGATGGAGGGAGAAAAGTAGATGGAAGAGAGGAGGAAGTGGGGAGAGGAGGAATGAAGTGAAGAGCAAAAAACTGACCTTTTAAAATAAGTAGGCTTTCAGTTTATGTGGCGTGTTGGGAGTCGTTTTGCCACCACAGAAACTTAAATGAAGAACTCTTTTTTCAACTGATGATTTGCCACCACATAATTGAGAGAATTCTTTTTTCAGTTGACATTTTTGCCACCACAGCAACAAAAATGAGAGCAAAAATGAGAGCAAAAATGAGAGCATGGGAGTCAGAACAATTTGGGCGACGAATACTCGCTTCGGTGACGTAATCTATGCGCCCATTGTTCCGCCCACACACCCCTTTCTCATCTCCACACGCTCTCTGTCCCTTCGCCCTTCATTCAATCCTGCTCTCTTTTCTTCTACACTGCTGGCAGCTCTCCTCTCTCTCTCTCTCTGTCTCCCCATCTTTCTCCTTTCTTTCTTGTCCTCTGTCGCTAGCCACAGCACTACACTCTAGTTATTCCATCGCCTGTATTCTCTTCGACAAATCACATCGGCTGGCCATGCAACAGGTAAATGATGTCGTTTCATTTATCCCCCTCTCCCACTCTCTCTGCCTCATGGCTTCCTTTAGTTCACAACCAAACGGAGGACCTCAGGTCTGTAGAGATGGGGTTAGTTTTCGCGATCTTTGCCAGCCCTGTGGCACGCTCTTCGTCAGAGCCTCCTACTTGGCAGCCACTGATTGCGACTGGCCATGAGAGAACCCACACATGCCTCAATGGCAGTTTTTACTGTATGTCGTTTTAAATGTATGATTGCATTGTCTAAGTCATCTTCTTGGCTGTATTTCTTAGTATCTGCGCCCAAAATATCTTCAGAAAGCTGACACTCATCCAATCCTCCCTTTTTATGAGCTGGTCTGGTTCGGCTATAATAGAAGGACCAGACCAGGACCCTAATACAACCGTCCTTCACTCCTCTTCACCTCTCTCTGCTCAAAATAAACTAAATTCTTCACTCTGAGAATATTCATCGGCGGAACTGAGCAGGCTATTTTCTGGCGCAAACATGACACCTATGCTTCAAACCCGTTGATCACATTAAATACCGTGCGTTACAGTGAAATCAGTCCTTAGCTTTGATCGATGAATGGAGCCGATGTTTGTCAGACCTCAAGAACAGTTCATATGAAGTCGGCATTGGCACTCACCCAAGATGACATAGATGAGTACTACCGCGATCGAGTCTTGTTGAACGCGAACACGATGCCCTTGAATCATCAAGAAATCAGCTTCGCGTGACGGATTGACAGCTTACGTTGCGTATGGAGAAACGCCAGGGTAAGCCAAATGGATACATGGATGCCTGTTAGGAATGTGTTTACTTGGATTTCCAATGCTAAGCCCGTGCTATATTACTTTTAGAGGAGTATCCTTGATCCATGAAATTGCGCGACCAAATCCAAACTTGCATATACCGATTGACTCGGAGACTCTTGTATTACTTATGCATTGCCTTCTTAGGCACTTTTTATTACCATGCGATCCCTGGGACGAACTGGATGAGGCATCACTCAAAGCACCCCGTAATAAATCAGTGTTAACTTCAACGTCAATAGGCTCAACAGCTGTGAACTCCACAACGTCAACTGCAGGTACTTCAGCGACGTGCATGGCTACAGTAAGAGCAGGACCCTCAAGCGGAAATACTGAATTGCCGCTGCTCCCGGAACGCGACCATCGCTTACTGCTTCACCCTCGCATCTGAGATACCCTCCCCCTGATTGTGGAGCTGCTATCGACTCAAACCCCTCAGCCACTACAGCAACGTTTGACAACCTCGTCATCATTACAAGATCTGCAGCTGATTTGAACGCTTCGGCCGCTGTCTCGGGGACTGGCATTAGAATGGAGCACCTCAGTAAGAGATCTAGGAGCCATTACTGACTCGAGCTTAGCTCCTTCATCTTCAGCAACCACAGATGGCCTTCCCACTGCTCATACAAACCGGGTCGTGACTAGCGCATCAGGCAGATCCCCCGGAACGTTTCCAGCCGTACCTCCATCAGATGAACAATCAACAACTATCGATGCAAATGAACGAGCAATTCTCCCATCACAAATCGAGGAGATTACGCATACATGTGCGCCACAGGAAGGCAAGGCATGCTCAACTTGCCTCTTCAAGAACTACCAGCGGCTCAGTGTGGATGCCCTCGTGAAAAGCCAGCTGAAGATCACGGAGATTGCAGACGTGGTATCTTTGATGGGGGTATTTGTGCCCTCAAGACCAACCGAAATGATGAATCCCTTTTTTCAGATGATATTCTTGTCCTCTTCATCACACGACCTTAATCGTGGCATTGTTACAGTTATTGTCCCTTCAAACCTTATCAACGCGAAAAACAAATTGTTCTTTTTCATCTGTGGAGGGGGGGGACTTTTTGTCCTTGCTCGCCTTGCCTCCTCCTCCTCACATTCGTGAGAGACATATTGGCGAAGCGCGTATGGCTATTTAGCGCGATTCCAATTCACCGAGCAAGTCACTCACCCTTTCTCCCTTCCCTCTTACTTCTTTCCTTACACTAGACAGGACCCTCTCGCAGGAAGATAGCAGCTGAACGATGCTCTACCTTGAATACACAACTCGCGCCTGCATAGGTTCCGTCCCCGACGAAGGACGGTACTGCGACAACCGTGCCACAAAAGTCACCGCCCGTGGTCAAATCCCTCCCGGCTCCGATTCTTTTCTTTGGATTATCCCGACCACCTTGAACCTGCAGCTATCGAGGGGTCAGCCCCATTTGTATGATTACAACGGACATTCGAGTGAGAGTTTTTTGATTCGCCCTGCGTCCAGGAGGCGTCAGGGAAGGGAGCAGCAGGGAGGAGCAGGAGGGTAAGGGTATACAAGGCAGCAGAGTTTGGGCGGGTCGGTGGATCAGGATGCTATGGTCTACCTTGATCCATCTGATTGAGGGTCGTCCCCTTCTTTTCATTTTTCACCACGTCATATTCGTATATCTCATAATCATAAAGCGCGCATAAATTCACAATTGTACAACAAAAACCGACCGCTTCCAACCAAATCTGTTGTTTCTATTCATCGAACCAGGACAGGTATTCTTGATGATTGGTATCGACATATACACCTCGAAACTGGCTTCGAACAACCGCTGCAGTCGCGTCATCCACACACAGGAACTGAAGTAACAGGTTCTTGAGGGATGGGGTTGCTACAAGGAGGAACAGCATCTGGTCGAGGGAGAGCATTTCCTTCTCCGAAGAAAATGTTGGATCATTGATTCTACCATACATTATTTTCTCACAGTGTTGGTTTCTTATGAGGAGGTCTTGGATGGAGGGGAAGCAATAGTCGACGACCGGGAGGTTCGCTGGTTCGCTAGACTGTGTGTCGTCGCTCGTTGTTGCTGAGGGTGACAATGGTGAAATGCCGTAAGAACTGATGGTGGATATGACATCCTGGAAGTGGCGAACTGACGCCCTCAAGGCCTTCAGAGACCGGAATCCTTCCAGCTTCCGAAAGAACTTTGCCGTGACCTGCTTATCCGGGAAATCCAATCCATCCAGATCCAGTCGCACTAGCGTCCTCCCTACCGCCTCCCACGACCGTGTGAAATCATAGAGCGCTCCTTGATGGCTGGTCTCGGGTGTCTCCGTCCAGACTTGGTACCTGGACGATGTGTACAAGTACCCAACCTTCAATGTCTCGAGGCACTTTAAGTATGGACAGGATATGACGTCGACCAGTCTGGCGAGCGCATCGTCAAAATTCCCTATTACACAGAAGGTTCTCAAAGGATGCGGCCGTCCTTGTTGTTCGAATTCCAATTTCGAAAGGGAAGAGTCGAGAGTCGTAAGGTTGAGATGTTGGTGTGAGGTTTCAACGACATGAAGGATTTCAAGTTGCGGGAAGAGGGTGAAGAGGTCTGGGATGTTGAGTTCATCGATTTCGAGGTGGTTGTAATTGTATGCGCTCAAACGGATGGCGCGGAGTGTTTGTTGGGAGTGGGTTGAGAGGGCGTGCCAGTGGTCAGAGTGGAGTGCTGACCAGGACTGGAAGAGTGAGACTTGTTCTAGGAGCGGACATCTTTTGAAGAGATGGAGGAGGGTGTCCATCTCGGCGCAGGTTCCTCGTAGTTCCAGCTGGCGAAGGATGAAAGGCTTGCTCTCTATATTCTTGTCCACTCCTGCTCCTGCTCCTGCCTGTGTTCCTGCTCCTGACCCCATATATGTTGCAGCTGCAGACGGCAATGCCCCCTCCTGCATCTCATCCTCCACGCCCAGGCCAATCTCCTCTCCTTGGCCAAAACACGACACAACCTCACGCCTCATAACAGCATCCTTCGGTACCAACGGCGGCGCCCTCCCACTCTGCCTTGGCTCCCACATTTTTTCCTTAAACTGACTCTTATACCCACACGGATGGTAAATCATCCTCTGCGGCGAGTAACAAATCCGGAACCTCTCCACGCCTGGACAGCACTCCAACAAGGAAAGTGTCAAATTCTCAAGGTACCAACTCGATCGTTCCTGGCCAATCATCCCTCGGCCATTAATACAGAGGTCCGTCAGATGGGAGATGTGACAGAGGCTCCAGAGCATGGTGGGTTTTAGGTATTCCATGTCAATATTGATCTCTACCTTCCTCAACCGCGCAACCATTACCCCTGAGCTCTGTTTATGCTCCACCGATTTCTCTCCATATCCCTGTCCCTGTCCATGTTCTTGCTGTGGTAGCTGATCCCGATCCTGACTATCCCCTTGAAACCGCGCCTGCGACAAGATCCGAAATATCCTCTCCAAATACTCATACTCCATCCAGTACACCTCCTTCCCAAACTCGAACTTAACCTCTTCCAAGAACGGACAGTACTCTGCCAACGTCATCAGCATGGTCTTGTCTACCGCTCCACAGGAGAATTGACGAATAAGGTGACCGTGGGCTTTGACAAGGCTTGTCAGCTTGCTCGAGGACTTGTGGATAAATAATATCTCCTCCACATGGTACGATATAAAGTAACTACAAGCGAGAAGAAGATGGAAGGAAGAAACATCATGGGCGTGAGAAGGCAAAAAAACAGGGGAGACCAGTGGGGGGACAAAGGCTAACATTCTCCATAGTCTTGTAAAGTACCTGTGCCAGTGCCGGCAGACAAGGACAGGGGAAAAATAGATAAGCTTGCCATTATCGTCCTGGCGTGGCAAGAATGAGCAAATGAGGTCGCAGAGTTCCTTGATATCCAGAATGCGGTTGCAAGGGAGGAGTGCGTTCCTATGTGTCTTGTCCGTGTTCTTCTTTTTTGTCTTCTTGGAAGATGTGGTGCTGCTCTGTGTCCAAAACATTGTTGGTGTTGGTGTTGGTGTGGGGTTTTGGGAGGGGGGTTTGGAAAGAATAGAGAAATGTGTAAGGATGAGTGAGAGAGAGGAGAATGGAAGACAAAGAAAAAAAGAAAAGAAAGAAAAATACAAAAAAAAGTGAGAGCAGTATGGGAGTGGCCGAAATAGGAGCGTAGCAAAGGAAGGGTGTGGCTTTGACATGGTAGCCTCTTTGGCTATGTCCCATAACTGGATGATGAGGCGCGGCTGTGAAGGAAGTAAAAATACAAATAGAGCGTTCTGCGGATGGGCTATGCGTCCAAGCTAAAAAAAAAGAGGGTGAGGAAGGACATTGCATCGGCCGAGGGTCAAGGCGACGTTTCACTGAAATTAAGCCCTCCTTTATGTGCAATCTTTGTCGCTTTTCACTGGTTGCATCATTGTACAGTACAGCTCCTCTCCATCCTCCGCCTTCTCCACACTACAAAGAGCTCGGGGGATAATTTACAGGTTTTCCATCTTCTGATTTAGGCGTGTTTGTTGTTTGGTTCTCCATGGATGGACTAAATGGTAGAGAGGTGGCTCATGTGAGAAGCCGGTCATTTTATTTTTTTTGGATTCAAATGGAGGGAGGTAAGAGAGCGGAAGAAAGCAATGAGGAGGGAGCAAGAAAGAGGAAGGGACGGATCCGTGGGCTTATTTTTTCAGAATTAATAGAATGGCTATAAAAAAAAAGAGGGATGCCGTTACAGACTATCTTTCTTACTCAAGGTGTAAGCGCTTTGTTCTACTTGCCAGGCATGTGTTGTTAACGAAGGAGGAAGAAATGATGGGAGAAGAGGTGGTGATTTTTGATGACGAGGCCTCTTTTCTGATTTTGTTATTGCGCTCGGAATACCTCGCTCTCTCCCTTCTCCCTCTTTTCTGCACACCTCTTCGCTCCAGCCTGTACACCCTTTCTTACTGCATCTCTTTCTGCTCAGCTACATCTTCACAGCACCACCACGACTGTGCGCATGTCCCACTTCTCCTTCCTCTATCTTTTATGAAGATAAATAGAACATCCAATCCCTTTGCATAAACCTCTCACCGACATACTCTCACCTCCTTCCTCATGCACCATCATTCCTGTCTATGCAAACGAAAGAGGAAATAGAACATGCTCCTGGAGTTGGTTGCCCGAATCCATCCAGCCTCTCCTGTTTTCACTCCCGTACCCATCTGGAAAGAGGGTTCACTTATTTCCGCAATCTTCGAGACTCCTCTCACTGAAAAGGGAGGAGGGAGCATTCATCTTGTTTTTGTTCTGATAGTACGCGGAGTGGGACTCCGTTGAGTTTAACGATAGTTTGGCACTGAAAGCTTTTAAGGTACGTTCATCAATTGCCTGATTGGCACTCATTTTTGTTGATAGCCACTATACTACAACCACTAACGTTTCCCTTTCTTTTTTGAAGCTTTGCTTACTGGACCGAAAGGACAATGTGGCGAAAGGATGAAGGCCTTTTGATTTCTGCGTACGAGCACCGTCAAGGATATTGGGCTAGTCATGCAGGGATTTTTTGAATCCAAGAATGTCACCAGTCACTTGTAAGAATGAATGTGCTGCAAAATCTGTTGTTGGCGTTTGGTAGAAATTGCTTCTAAGTAATGTTTTTATTATCGACAGATATCCCGAACAAAGTCCCAGCAGCGCAAAAGAAATAAGGACTAAAGCCCGACTGACCCGACTTTACGGCCGCTACTGGAAAAACAGAAATCGCATGGTGCAAGTTTTCTGGACCAACTCACGAGAACGACGAGTGGAAGAACCTTTGAGATTTTTTCCGTGATGTCCGCTATGGCATGGCCTTTTTGGACCCTTGATTTGAAATGGCACCTCTCTTTCATATCGTCTACGAGATTGGAAGCTACATGTGACTAAGGACTGAATCCCGAGGGATGTAAGTCCTTCATGAAGTGGGCAAGTTCATCATTCCAACCACAACTGCCACGGTTGCCTTACTGATTGCAACTTTCTCCACTCTATTGATCGCAAAGGTATGTATTTTAGCTGTGTTTGAGTATGTTTTGTAAGTTATTCTCATTGAGATTTTTTATTTCGCTGTTGTAGAATGATATTGAGGATATTGCAAAGGGCCCATTCAATGTTCTCAAGAGATCTTGGGACTACAAAGACCTCGAAAGATCCAAGAAACCTCGCGTTCAACGACCCAATCGCGGTCAAAAAAAGTAAGTAGATTTTCAATATATAATAACGAGAGGTTAAGGATTGAAGACAATACTGACATTGGTCATTTTCTTCTCGTCTCGTCCGAAAAAGCCCTATCTTTTTTTTGATTAAACCCTCTGCAGACATGCTATCAAGGAAAACAGTTGCTTACTCTCAAGGTCGAAAAACAACATCATCAATGCTCATCTTTTTCTTTCCTTCTGTGCATCCCGTCTAGATAAAAGACATCAATCCTGATGGTTAGCTTTAGCGCACCACCTACCAGCGACATAACAGGCGAATGCAAAAGGGGACAGATTCTAAGGGGGAAACTGTGAGGGGAGTGATTTTTACTTATTTTTAAACCTTTCTTACCCTAATCTACACAACATTCAACATCTTCAACAAAGCCTGAAATTCTAAGGCAAAGAAAAGTTGGAACTATGGAGGCTCCAGAGCCAGCACCACTCCTTAACCCAAGCTCGTAATAAACATTAATTGTCATTGTGACCGAATTAACCAATTGACCGGTTAACGGATTGATCGATTAAAGGATTGACCAATCAGGTACGCGCCATCATGGAAAAGGGTGCAAGCGCGTCCACGAGAAGAACAGCGCGGCTGGTGCTTTCATTTCTCCTCATCCTTGCAGTTCCCCTCTTAATCCCACACATCCCCCCCCCCCCCCCCCCCCCCCCCCCACCCACCCTCAACACGCAACAAACATCCACAAGTCCCACCCTCCATACCCAACAACATCCCACTCCCCAGACGAGTGGCGTATCAACCCGCGTTTGTCCAGAATTTCTCCCGATTTCGCGAAGGCGTTTCAAGTGTCCTGAGGGGAGTCCTATGAAACCCTGTCAAGAAGTGTGGGATCTGGCGAGCGACCGACCGACGTGTAGTTATAGTTTTGGTTGGGAGGAGGAGGAATGCAAGGGGAAGGATGGGGGCCGAGTGTGTGAGGTATTGATTTAGGAAAGGGTGGGTGTGTTGTTTTCTTTCGTTAGTCGCGTGGCGATGCTAGTACAAAACTTTAAAGCCACACCAGACATGATACGATGCTGGTGCTCAACAGGCAAAGTAAAAAAAAAAAAAAAAAAAAAAAAACGCGATCCATAAGGTCGGGAAGGAAAGAAGGGTTTATTATCCTATCTGCAGCAAAAAAAGCGTAAAAATGGTTGGGAGTTATTTGGTGATGGTTGTCGCTAATGAAGAAAGATGAAAAAAAAGCACGCTAGAGAGTATGTTGCTTTCTTCCTGTCCGCCCGTCTTCGTGCCCACTTCCCGCAAAGAAAAAGAAGAAAAAAAAGGGGCATGGTAGGACCCGCTGCCTTGTGCCGTGTTAAGAGAAGATAGCTTCCCGCAAACTCTTGACATCAAACATAATGGGGACAACAAGACCATTGATCTTGACATTGATCAACTTGAAGTCCCCATCATCTCCACCTCCTGCCTGTCCTGGCTGTGCCGTTTGTGCTTGATGTTGAGGTTGTGGGCCCAGAGTATGCGGCCGAGTTGAGTACGTGTGAATGGATGCCGACGACGACGTTGCTGAAGACGAAGTTGACGCTGCTATCGCTGGAGGAGGTGATGGTGAAGATGACGCATAAAATTCATACGCCCGCTGCGATGGTAACTCCTCTAATCCAGGCTGGTCGAATTCATCCTGCATCAGGTTATCAAAGTTATTGTCGCTGTTGTTGACATCTTCCATGTCATGGTCCTGATCGATTGGCGCAGATGGAGGGTGGATAGTAGGGATGGCGGTGAGACGGTGGTGCTGTTGGCGCGCGAATGCAGATGCTGCTCGCGGTGCTTGTGTTCGTGTAGCTGATGGCGGTAATGCGGCCGGGACCAGGGTTGGGTTTGGTGGGATGTTTGTTGGTACTGCTGACGCTGATGATGCCGATGCTGCAGAAGACGTAGAAGGTCCTGCCACCGCCGCTATTGACGCTACTGTTCCTGTTACTGGTGTTGAGGCTGATGGTGAAGAGGACGAAGCTGGTGCAGTGACAACAGGAGAATTAATGGCTGCCACAACAGCCTCTCCAGGAGTAAGGATCCTGTTCCTGATGGCCTGATCAACAGTGGCGGGTCGAACTCTCGGCCCTTGCATACCAGGCGGAGGCGGACGAAAAGGCGGACGAAAAGGCGGACGACCTGGCCCCCGCCGTATAGGTCCCGGACCTCCTCCTGGTCCTACCCCTCCTGCTGCATGTGATCCAGGCGGTGGGGGTCGTCTACGGAGATGAGGAGACAGCGGCGGTCTACCTGGTCGTCTTGGTCCTGGCATTGGCGGCCTTGGAGGTAATAACCCCGTTCCTGTTCCCGGTCCTGGTACAGTTCCTCCCGGAATCATCAACGGTCTCGGTCGAACGGTGCCTACTACTGTTCCAACCGCTCCAGTTTCAGCTCCTGCTGTGCCATCTACCAATCTAGGTCTCATCCGCGGCCCTCGTGGTGCACCAGGTGACCGAACAATAGCACCACTACCAGCAACAGCGCCCGATCCTGAAGCAGCAGTAACAGCACCAGCAACCTTCGCCGCACCTCTACCCGGCGGCCGTCCCGGCGGCCGTCCAGGCGGCCCCGGTTCCTTTGGCTCCCTCTCCTTCAAATACACAAAAATATTTAACACAATCAACTCCTCATCCCCCAACCGCTTCGCCTCCATCCTCCAAGCCTTCGCCATTTGCTCCTCAAAATTCTCCACCGTCATCTGCTGATAGTACTTTTGAGGCACACTTTCCGCAGGCTTGATATACGGAATCCCATCCTCGGGCCAGAACAGGTCTGGGTGTCGTGTTACATGAGCAGATATTCGTTCGCGGAGGATGACGTAAGAGTCTTGATCGCGGACGTGTGGGTAGGGGTCTGGGTCGGGGAGTCCGTGGGTGAGGCGGCGGCGTTCGAGGGGTTCACCTTTTCGGAGGTGGAGTTGAATTTTGTAGGCTGTGGGTAGGGGGCGGAGGTGGGTTCTTGGGTTGTTGGTTTTGCGTTGGGGCTGGGACTGGAGTTGAGGTTGAGGTTGTTGGGGTAATTGCTGCTGTTGCTGTTGTTCGCCTTGCTGCTGATGCTGGAGGGATGTGCCTGGTGCATTGTTATTGTTGTCCATGATGAGTTGATCGTGTTGTTGTTCTGGTTGATCGTCGTCGTGATTGTTGAAGGGATGAAGAGGGATGGAAGAGTCCTGCTCGACCATGGGAGCAGTTGGTCCTGTTGGAATAAAAGAGGCTTGTTGTTCTTGGGCCTTGGGCTGGTGTGTGGAAGTGACGCCAATGGGGGAAGAGAGGTTGTCCTGCTGTGGGTCCATCCTCCCTGTGCAGGGACAAGAAAAGAGCGAGAAAGAGAAAGAGGTGTGGCAATTGCACAGGCACCGCTGGGTCAGAAATAACCAGAGCGCGACAAGGAAATGCTCGTCACGCTCATATGAGAAAAACATGGTCCACAAACATTGGCCCCCTTCAATACTAATGATAATTTATTTCTTGGAGGAAGGGTGGACAACGTGCTCGTGCTCAGAGGTGGACCGCCGCACAGAGTGAGGGTACAGCGCCCCATGGATATCGCCCCACCACCACTTTCCATTGTTCCTGAACCACTCGACTATTAGTAAAAGAAAAAACAACACATATGTTAGGTGACCAAAAGACATCAATTAGAACAACAAAAAAGTCGATTTCAATTGATCCAAGCCTTACTGGTATTGACGATGCCCTGTTCGTAGTCTACCGTTGGTGCCCAGCCAAGCCCAACAAGCTTGGTCGAATCAACAGCATACCGCTGATCATTGAACGCCCGGTCCTCCACAAACACAATCCGGTCAATACACGTCCGACACTCGCGCTGGTGATGGCTCGCCCGTTCCTGTCTCTTAACAATAGACCACTCTGGTTCCTGTACATATCCATTCGATCCTCTTCCGTTTCCTGTAATCCCATTCCTAAAGCGCAGTGGTGACGACGGTAAGGGCTCAACAACCAAGCGATGGATCAGGTTCTGGGCCAACTCGATATTACTCAACTCATGCCCCGCACCAATATTGTAGACCTCGCCTATAAGTCCCCGGTGCAAGATCACATCTAGCGCATTCGCAGCATCCGCCACATACAGGTACGTCCGTGAATGTTGTCCCGATCCATGGATGTAACAGTGCCCCTCCGACAATTCCCCACCGTCCACCTCTGTCAATCCTGATCCTGACTTGGTCTTGTACGAGTCCGGGTAAAGCAAGTGCATGATAAACTTTGGAAAGATCTTCTCGGGATACTGAAAGGGTCCATAAACGTTATTGCTCCGTGTGATAATAATAGGGATCTTGAACGACTTGTGATAAGCCTGGACCATACATTCTGCAGCAGCCTTGGTGGCCGAGTACGGGTTGCTTGGCGCCAATAGGCCGTCTTCCTTGCAGTCTGGCTATTTTGAGATAATAGAGAGAGAGGGAGGGAACGCCGCAAAAATTAATTGGAGTTCTGTCCTAATTGCTTGCTTGTGAGTGGAGAAATTAAATATAGTTTCAGCCCATAGGCACAAGAAAAAAAGAAGGACGTACCTGACCAAGACGACATTCGCCATAGACCTCATCCGTCGAGACAAACACAAACCGATTCTCCACTTCGTCACCGTCACCGTTTCTGTGTGCCTGACTCTGATCCTGTCCATTTTTACCACCATTCTTACGGGAAGAAGGTACAAAATGCTTCCTAGCTGCCTCAAGTAAGACATGAGTTCCCAAGACATTATTCTGAGTAAACTCAATCGACTGCCCAAACGACTTGTCAACATGCGTCTGCGCAGCCAAATGCAAGATCGTATTAATCCTGTACTCGACCATCGTCGACTCGATAAACGCAACGTCCGTAATATCTCCCTCCAAAAACACAAAGTTTGGGTACAAGGGGTTGGATCTGGTGTTGCCCTTGCGTGGATCGAACTCGTCGGTATCGTCGGAGGGATTCAAGGTGTCAGACGATTGTGTCCATGGTATCTCTGTTGTTGTTGTTGTTGTTGTTGTTGTTGTCGACGGGGATGAAGGTGAGGATGAGGATACAGTGTCCTGATCGATTTCTTCTCCATGTTCGTTGAGGAGGGCAAGGAAAGGGCGGAGGTTGTTGAGAGAACTACAGTAATCCAGCTTATCAACGACGACGATCAAGTACTCTGGGTAGTTCAGCACCAGCTTTCTGACCAGCACCGAGCCACTAATAGGGTAATTAACGGTTCAGTTGAATCATTTGGAGTTAGAGAACAATGCCTTTATCTTTCGACTGATAACAACGATAAAAAGTAAACAAACAGGTAGCAGACTTACATGAACCCTGCACCTCCAGTCAAGAGAATTCGTTTAGTCCACTTGCTATTGCTGTTGTTGTTGTTGTTGTTGTTGTTGTTGTTGTTGTTGTTGTTGTTGATGATGCCAGGTTGAAAGACGGAGTCGAGAGAGTTGCGCCCGAGGAGGTCGTTGTGGATGTCGAAAGAGTGGAGGGCATCATGAGTGCTCATTGCTGGGGCATGGTTACAAAAAAGTGAAAGAGAGGAAGAAAAGAGTTGAACAAAGGGGCACTCTGTTTGCTCGATTGTTCAATTGGTGGACCTGATCTGGTACACGTGACTTGTCTGAAAGGCAGATTCTCTGAAAGGCAACAACGAAAGTAAAGTAGCGCAAGGTTGGTGGCGTCTCTTCTCCCCACTTAAGACTGGACAGACTGCCCCACTTAAGACTGGACAGACTGCCCCACTTTTTCTGAGTGGGAAGCGAGCAGGTCAGACAAAGGCGTCATGCTGGTACTTCTTTGTTGTTTTATTACTTGACATTACATTTGAAGAACCCAAAGAACAAGACCTACGATGCGTCAGCAAAGGCCTGTTCGTATTTCAGGTTGGCCTCCCTTACGGCTCGTGTCTGATCCTGAGGGCGTCCCCTTCTCGCCTTCTTCTTACCCTTGGGCTTCTTAGGTGCACGCACCACCATCACTGGCACAGACGAGTTGTGAACCAAAAAGTTACTGATCGATCCCAGTAGCAATCTACGAGGAGTATTACAATGGTTATAAGAAGAAAAAGTTAGGAAAAGTCATCTATTGCTAGTTGTTGCATGCCAATCCTTGCTTGAGCGCAGACATCAGATACGCACCCTTTGATGGCGCCGCGACCGCGGGATCCGACAATAACCGTAGACAGGTCCTCCAAGTCGTCAATCTAATGTTGTGCACACATAGGTAAGCAAGGTGAGTACATAAGCAAAAGGGCAATCGACTCTCACTTTTTTTCAATAGAAAATAAGAAAATGCCTTATGCGTACCATCTCGACCAAGAGCTCTTTGGCTCCCATGGACTTTGTGGCGGCAATAATGTGGATAATGACAGTAATGTCCTTCAGACAGGTGTGCTCCAGCTGTTCGTGAATGTTCTTTGTCAACTTTTCCGCGTCCTCTCGCATCTCTGTTTGCACCCCCTTCTTGACCGCTTTACTATCTATAGACACATCGAGAAGGAGGCGAAAAAGGTGAGTAAAGTGAGATGGATCATGACCTTCCGTCTTTTTCTTCAAAATAATCAAAAATAGATGTCTGCGACACGATGATTCACACAAACAAACGATAAACCGAATGCAGAGTGTACATACCTTTTGTGTCATCCTCAACGATGGTGACGACGTTCATTTCATCTCCGTTCCGAAGCAGCGTAGTGATTGCCCACTCGGTGGCGTGCCAACTCTCTCCTGACAGATCTGTTGCGACCATGTAGTTTTTGCGTCCACGTGTTGATGCCTTGTTTTCCATGTCCTCGGGATGGTTGTGTGGGTGGGGGACGTCGCTCCCAGAGTACTTCAAAGTAATACGAGTCCGGGCAGGGTTCTTGGCTGTCTCGACCAGGCAAGGAAGCGCAATGTGCGGCTTGACAGGTTCCTGCAGACGCTCTTCCTGTCCTTGCGAGATAGTGCTTCCGCTGCTAGTAGGGTCTTGATAGAACTCTCCCTCCATGGCAATACTGGGGATGGACATTCTGTTGGATCCTGGCGCTCCTGATGCGATAGCTCCTCCTGCTCCTGTTACTGTGCCTTCAGTGATGCTCGTCAGACTGCCATCACCCGTGCCCAGTCTCAGACCAGCAACCGATTCACCCAGCTGTTGAACGTTGGTCGCCGAGTCGTTATCATCATCGTTCGAAGAGTCTTCCTCATCGTCTTCCTCTTCTTCCTCCTCCTCCTTCTTTTTCTCGGCAAGGGTCTTGAGTTTGGTGGTGCCGTCCATGGCCTCTAGCCGTGCGTTGAGGTGGGAGGCATTGAATGCTCCCTCTTCGTCGTCTGAGTCTGAGTCCGAGTCTGACTTTTTGTCGCTCTCGTAGGAGGCCACGTCAAAGTCGTCAGAGTCGTCCTCCTCGGAGAAGAGCTGGTTGTCTTTTGACTTTTTTGAGTGTCTTGACTTGTTCTTTTCGTAGTTCTTGACTGATGCGGGGGAGAGGGGCATCTCCTGTGAGGCGTCGTCATCATCGTTGTTGTTGTTGTTGTTGTTGTTGTTGTTGTTGACGGGTTGGGTTGTTTGAATGGCGAGGTCTTTTGGTGCGGACATTGCTGTGTCCTGATTGCGGTCTTGTGAAGGGAAATAAGTGTGTGAGGGGCGTGTGAGATGTGTGTAGTGAGGTGGTAAGGTGAAGAAGGGCGTTTCAAGGATGGGAATAGGAGGTGGCGAGGGATGGAAAGATGTGGGAGTGTCAGGAAAGAAGAAAGAAAAAAGGCAAAAAGGGGAGACTGCGGGTTTATCCATTTTTTGCGCGTCTTTGAGACACAGACGCAAAGACGAAAAAAATCAATCAAAGCCTCATAAAGGTGTTGACTTGGTTCTGAGGGTTAGGAGAGGATCATGTTTGACTCCTTCTCTGCCTTCAGCGCTATACTCTACTCTACCATACAACGCCATTGGCATGGTATGGTACGACATATCACACAGCATCAACGGTATCTGCAGCACTGGCTGCTCAACTGGCCGCCTATTGATATCAGAGAAAGTATTCTGCGTTGTATGAAAGACATAGCTTAGAAGTGTGACTGTGTAACGATAACCAAGCCGAAAGGGTAAAAAGGCAACCCGAGAGGAATCAACAGAGTTGATCAACTCTCACTCAGACAACATTCACACGAACGACGCGACACTCAATAATGATGCGTCCATGGCTACTCCGAGCACAACAGGCGGCAGGAACACGACGTCTCTCATACAACCACACACAGAGGATACAACCCTGCGGGACAAGAACACTAACCACAGCACACAGTCTCCACCACCCACAGCAACAACGCCCCGTTCACGCGGCACCACCGCCAACAAGAAACTTGGTCAAGGGCCGCTGGGAACCCATCATCGGTCTCGAGATCCACGCCCAGATAAAGTCGAACACAAAGTTATTCTCAGATGGCCAAACGTCTTTCAATGCACCCACCAATACCCATGTCACCCTCATCGATGCTGCCTATCCCGGCACCTTGCCCGTAACGTCTCTTTTGATCAGTTTTGTTGCAGTTATCACTCATTAATCAATCACACACCATCTCATTGATCGCTAGTTGGTCGATCGCCATTGGATTGAAATCTAACAGAAATCTGTTATTTATATCAATGGATTTAGCAATTGAGCCAGGAATGTGTGGATCTGGCCGTCAAGACCTCCCTTGCCCTGGACGCCCATGTTTACCCAGTATCGTCTTTTGATCGCAAACACTACTTCTACCCAGATCTGCCCCAAGGATACCAAATCACCCAGCACTACGGTAACAACTTATGACTTTGGACTACGCTAGTTTGAAAAACAGAAGCCGTTTACTCACGTATTCGTGTACTTTTTTTCATTTAGAACCGTTGGCGCAAAATGGCAAAATTGAGCTGTCACCGCTGGACGGGCTGGATTACCACTTGACTGTCGGGATCGAGCAACTGCAGCTGGAGCAGGATACAGGAAAATCACTTCACGATGTCTATCCGGGGCTTACCTTATTGGATTTCAATCGTGCCGGAACTGGACTGATGGAGATTGTGACCAAACCTGATTTGCGGTCGTCCAAGGAGGCTGGTATCTTGGTCAAGAAATTGCAAGCGCTCTTGCGCGCTATCAACAGTTCTGACGGAAACATGGACGAGGTAATTATTGATCTTTTTGAGAATTCGAGAAGCACACCGGGGAGCGAGCTGAATGAGAAAGTGGCACACGTCTAAATGTTTAGTTGTCCATGGTATTCTAGGGATCCATGCGATGCGATGTTAATGTGTCTGTGCATGAAGTCGGGAAGGCTTACGGAGAGCGCAGCGAGTTGAAGAACCTCAACAGTATTAAGTCAGTTGTCGACGCTATTGGTAAGTTACGCGTCAAACAACGTCATTGCTGTAAATAAGCGTGGTAATTAACACCACAGCAACTTCATGCAACCACACCAAGGCGCTCACACTTTATTGCTACATATCTTGAAAACATATAGACGCGGAGATCGCGCGCCAGATCGAGGCATACGAATCCAATGAACCAGTAACACAGGAAACCAGAGGATTTGATGTCTCCACAGGAACGACATTCAGGATCAGAAGCAAGGAATCCGCACCAGATTACCGATACATGCCAGAGCCCGATCTGCCACGCCTAGTTTTGGATTTGGCGACGATCCGTGCTCTGAAGGCGCAACTTCCAGAACTCCCGGATGTGCAGAGGGAACGTATTATGAGCCAGTACGATTTGAGCATGATTGAGACACGGACACTGATGGGCGAGGATGGGATGGTTGAGTACTTTGAGAGTGTGGTGTCGAAAGGACCCTCGGCCAAGAGTGTCATCACTTGGTGAGTCTTTGTTGAGCTGCGAATTGATGACTACTCCACAAGGCAACGAAGGCGTTTCTAACAAATATTTTATATTTAACGATGAAATATAGGACAATCCATGAGCTGCTGGGAAGGTTAAATACGCGCGGTATCAAGTTCTCTCCAAAGGTCGTCAAAGCTCCCCAACTCGAATCCCTCATCAACTGTGTCGACCGCGGCGTGATATCCGCAAAAGTCGGCAAGACCATCCTCAACCTAATGATCGAAGGTGACCTACGCGACGCAGAAGCAATCGTAGAAGAAAAAGGATGGAAACAGATGGAGAACCATGACGAATTGGATAAGCTGTGCGAGGATATGATGTCCCAGTATCAGGATAAAGTTAAGGCGGTCCAGAAGGGGAATGTGGGGGTGTTGGGGTTCTTTGTGGGCCAGATTATGAAGCAGAGTAAAGGGCGTGCTAACCCTGTGGTTGTGAACCAGATCTTGAGGACCAAGATGGGCTTGCCGGAGGTGTCCGAGTCTGAGGGTGTTGGACAGTCGAGTAGTAATGACCAAGGGCAGAAGAACAAGAAGAAGAAGAAGTGAAAGAGATAAAACATATTTGATAGTTAGTGTTGTTACGGTGTCATGGCAGAGGAACGATGTGAATCGCACGGGTTGCACAAACAATTTTTTCATACTGCCTTCCATAATTCCAAACAAGTGTCGGCCTGTGTGTGTTTGCGTGTGTGACGAAGATTTACCTGTCCAATTGCAACGCACTCAACTGAGCAAAAGGAGCAAGTCTGTGCCCAACAGTCCAACACACACTTCTCACTCTGTCACTCACTGACACTTTTTTTTCCCCTTCTCTCAAATTGCATTAACGAGTCCTTCTTCACCCTTTCTCTTTTTCATCCCTCCTTCTTCCTCTTTCACCTACCCACACACGCGTCCCTCTGCCCCCTTCCTCATTGGCACTTCGACACACCCCGCCCCACCCCTAACCTTCTTCAGCTCCCTCTTTGCCGTCGCCAAATGTCAATTAGTTCCTCACCATCCCCTAACCACCCCTAAAACATAACACAAAAAACACAAAAAAAAAAAACCTCAACACATTCACAGTATTATGGCCGAAACTCCATTCAGGCCTCTTAATGTCATCGCCGGCGCAGATCCAGCCATCCCAGTGACCAGCGTCAAGTTTGATCCCCACCACGAACTCGTCTGGGCCGCTAATGAAAATGTAATTACAAACTCGCAGTTGTCAGTTGTAGTAGCATCAGTGTTGTCTTGATGCTTTTGCGTGAAGATAACCCTTGTGTGAAGAATCAACTGTTCATGTGTTTGTGTTGAAAGAGAAAACATTTTCAGACCTGGTTTCTTATTCCTTCAAATGCTATTTTGTATGAAATACGTAGGGGTACATATCGTCATACTATGGCGCAGGATTGCAACGGTACTCGAGTTTCAAGGCTCACAAGGGCCCCGTCCGGCAGATGATGGTGCTCGATCGTGGGATTGTCTCGATCGGCAAGGATAGTATCCATCTCTCCAACCGTCGTGGCGTTGCCAGCTGGAACCTCCTGCAAGTAGTTCACTTCTGCTCAATTATTTGCGCCTTTGAATATTTATCTGATCTGTTTGATCCTATGATGGTGGAGAACTTTTCAAAACTAATACCATGAACCATCTCTGTCCCTTTTGTTGCATGGATATGTGGAACACGGGTCGAATTATACAGTGATGACAGTGCACAGGACCTTCACTCGATGGCACTCATGGGCAATGCCGAGATTGTTGTGGCAGGACAACAGGATAAGATTCTGTCCATCAACATGATCCGAGGCATCGTTACCAAGAAGGTACTTTATCACTCGTTTTCTCTTTACAAAAGACTTTCTACAGGCATAGAATGCCGGTTGAAGTAACACCCGCTGCATGATTATTCACACAAACTTGGGGACAACCCACGCAAACCATTCACCGCATAGGTCGAGACAGATTCAGAGATTGTCGTGATGAAGAAATCGCGACTGCTAGTATGCGGATCGACCCGAGGAGACTTGATCCTTCACGACCCACGATCCATGGCAGTGGAACACAGGATTCAAGCCCATACTGGTACCATCTCGGATCTGGACGTTTCAGGAAACTTGATTGTCACTTGCGGGTTTTCGGAACGACAGGGCACCTTGATCATCGATCCCCTGGTCAAGGTCTATGACATGCGTACAATGCGATCGCTCGCGCCGATCCCGTTCCCCAATGGACCCTCCTTCCTCAAAATGCACCCAAAGCTCTCGACGACTGTGTGCATTGCATCCCAGACTGGACAATTTCAGATGTGCGACGTCGGAAACCTCACCAGCGGAATTCAGTTCTACCAGGTACACCATCAACAACAAGAACATATATTACATTCACTGTAATCATTGGAATAATGGCACTAACAACCATTCAATTGAACTTTGGAATAGATCAACACGTCGAGCTATGTCAATTGCTTTGATATCTCGTACAGCGGCGAGATGGTGGCGCTTGGTGATGCGACAAACGTAGTACACATGTGGGGCGACAAACAGGAACCTCAGATGAACCACTTTTCCAACCCAATCGACGCTCCGACAATGCCAGTACCACCCACCGTCGCCGTCGGCGATAACGACCCTCTGTCCTCAATTGGGATGCCCTATTACACGGAACAGTTGCTCTCAGCATGGCCCGCCAAGACCATCTTCCCTGTCGGACGAAAGCCACAACCGATCCCCTCAGTCATCTTGGACAACATGAAAATGATTGACTTTGTTGGATATGCACCCAACCCTGGCCTCAGATTGCGTAACCAGGCACCATCTCTGCCCAAGGTCAACTTGCGGGATACGCCAAAGTTCAGGAGCGAGCAGCAGAAGGAGTTGTACTTTGGCAAGAGGAAAGGATCGATGGCGGTGGCTCAGGATCAGGATGATGCCGATGTGGATCTTGCTACTGGAATCGTGCCAAAGTACTACAAGCGCGTCGAAATCAAGTACAGCAAGTTTGGTGTCGAAGATTTTGACTTTGGGTAAGTTTTCTTTGATTTGTCTGCATTCCTTGGATAAGCATTGTCACTCGTCGTAATGTATAACTGATCATATGTTGTTGTTTTTTTTTCATTCTGGCGAACAGGTTCTACAACAAAACGCAATTTGGAGGTCTGGAGACGCATATTGCCAACTCGTACTGCAACGCTCTTCTACAGGTCTTGTTCTTCACACCTCTACTCAGGACCTTGGCCAAGGCTCACATCGGCCAAACATGTCCTCGCGAGAACTGTCTGACATGCGAACTTGGATTCTTGTTCCGGATGCTGGAGGATGCCAATGGACAAAACTGCCAAGCCCGTAACTTTTTGCGCGCCTTTAGCACCATTCCACAAGGTAATAGCAGCATGCTAGAATCGTGTGCGTCAAGATCAGGAAATTGAAAGCAGGTCAAATATTGACCCTTTTGTTGTGACTCACTCTTTAATATCAAATAGCATCTGCACTTGGCCTGTTTGAACCTGATGAGCCCGACAGCAAGACAATGTACTCATCCTTGATCCAGAACTTCAACCGCTTTGTGCTGGAGCAACTTCATCAGGAATGCAGTTTGGACAGAACCTCGGCAGCAGCAGGGCTCAACACCCCATCGGGATCGGCGACTTCTCCCATTCAGCGGGTTTTCGGAATGAAAACGGCCAATACTAACATCTGTGGACATTGTGGACTCGAGGAAGAACGGATCACGTACCCCTTTGTTCTTGATCTGATGTGGCCCAAGCCCGTAAGTTTCAAGTTAATTGATCCGTTGCAAGAGATTTTTCACTCAAGTGACACATAGTGCCACATGAGATTTGGTTCACTGATCAAAATTCTTTCGGCACCCTCTTCCCCTGTTACTATCAGCCTGCGCCAACAAACGCACACCAGTCGTCCAAGAACCACCATCACCATAAGGCCAAGGAACAGCAGCATCCTATGTCGTTTGCAGATGTCTTGAAGGCGTCCATCTGGAGAGAGTCACACAACCGGGTATGGTGCACACAGTGCCAGCAGTACCAACCAACGACCAGTCGCAAAACTCTCCAGGATCTTCCTTTGGTTCTCAGCATCAACACAGCCATCAACTCGAAGGAGCAGCCGACTGCTTCCTCGGGCATGTTTTTGGACGACCATGGCAAGGGCGCCGATTGGCTGCCTCTCAGGTACGACACGTGGCTCGCCAGCAGTATACTTGGAATAGAAACACTCAACCAGTCGTCGACTTTTCTAACGTCGACTCTTGCTATTTCGTTACTAGGTTCTCGTTGGGCGTGGATGACAAGAATGTCCAAGTGTTTGAGAGTGGAGCACGCGAAACTGGCGACTTCCCCTTGAATGCAGAATATGAACTCACTGTAAGTGTTCTCTTAACTTCTACCATCGGATCATACAACGCAACGTATGCAAGCAAAATATATTTTGACACTTACTCCTCTTTTTCATCATATAGGCTGTCGTCAGTCAGGTCCAGACAATCGGTGATGTCCCCCATCTCGTTTCCCACATCAAAGGTAACCCACAGGTCAGGTGTATGGCTATTGGCAGCATTATATGTCCTTTGCTACCGATATTTCCCTTGTGGATATACGTTACTAAACCAACTCCTCTTTTTCCCCTCTTTTTCCATTAGTCATATCTGATAACGATCCTGAGATTTCTGAGCAGTCGCCTTGGTACATTTTCAACGACTTTTTGGTCAAAAATGTGCAAGAAGGCGAAATCTCGCAGTTTCCCAACTCTTGGAAGGTAGGATGAAGCACTCGTAGGAAACCGTTGACTGACTCCTGGAAGCGGTTTGAATAGAACTCGAAACTAACAGTGGGCACATCACCTTTTGAATGAAATAGTTACCTTCAATCCTATATTATACCAAGATCAATAATGGTCCCCCACCTATGATCTCGGAGACACCTGAAGGCCCAGATACCAGCATTCTTCACATGGACCTTTCCATCTCAAAGTATGACTTGAATCGTTTGAGCGTTTGTTTGTCGCGAATACCTCCTGACCGTACCCACTCTGTTCAACTACGCGCTCCCCAATTAGACATCGAGACCCCAACTATATGTTCTACCAGCTGCTAAGGCCAGAGGAGATCAAGCCAGACGAAAAGATGTTGATCGCGATCGACACAGAGTTCGTAGCGCTCAGCCGAGTAAGTGTTCTGCTGCGATATTCCTCCACAAGGGTTCATGTCGTCTTTTCCCAACTATTTACTAACTAAAAGGTGTTCCTTTTAATTTTATAGGAGGAGACAGAGATTCGGAGTGATGGTACAAAGTCGCTACTCCGCCCGCCAAGGATGAGTCTGGCAAGGGTGTCTGTTCTTCGCGGCGATGAAGGTCCTCTGGAGTACGTACCTTTTATTGACGACTACATTGCAACCTCTGAGCCTGTCGTGGATTATTTGACCGAGTACTCTGGCATTCAACCCGGCGATCTGGATCCGGGAAAGTCCAAGCATACGTTGGTACCTTTGAAGGTGGCGTACAAGCGTCTTCGAGTCCTTGTCGACATGGGGTGTATCTTTGTTGGACACGGTCTGCGCCAAGATTTCCGTATCATCAGTAAGTGTGTGAGCCTGTGTTGCCTTGTCTTGTGAGAAGGATAGGGCGTGTTACTGTTGCGAACCTAGGCTAATTGAGATTTGACATGCGTTTTGATAGATATCTTGGTTCCGCCTGAACAAGTCAAGGACACGGTCGATATTTTCCACATCAAGAACCGTCAAAGGTGAAGCAACGCGCATTGTGATATCAGCACTATGGTGATGGATTTGCGTGCACTTTCTGACTCGGTTTCCCCTCCATCATCATAACTTATAGGAAAATCTCATTGAGGTTCTTGGTTTGGTATCTGCTGCACCAGGACATTCAATCAGAGACACACAACTCGATCGAGGATGCCCGCACAGCATTGGCACTCTACAAAAAGTATCTCGAGCTCAAGGAAAACGGTCTTTTCCAGGAAGTTCTAGAGGATATTTATAACGAGGGAAGAAAGAACAACTGGAAGCCCACCCCTGGTCAGTTCCCTTCTCCTTGGCCTCGGACATCGACACCAGTGATCGCCAATAATGGACCTGGCGGCGGAGCTACTTTCCAGACTCTTTCACGGCCTGGCACGCCTGCGACGCCTGCGACCCCTGGGACTCCCTTAATAGGATCGGTGCCCGTAGTGTTGGGACCATCTTCGGCTGGTGGGATTGTTGGCGTTGGAGGTGCGAATGCGAGCGGTGGTAGTATTGTGATGACAGCTCCTACTTCATTACAGTCACCGCTTGGTATGTCTGTTCATCAACAGCAGATGCAGCAGCAGCAAATGCATCACCATCAACAACAACAGATGTTCTTGCAGCAGCAGCAACAACAGCAGCAACAATGGTCGCAGCAGCAGCAACAGCAACAGCAAGGATACGCGTATCCTATGGGTGGTCAACCACCCCAGCAGCAACAGCCTCCACCCCACATGTATCAACAACAGCGCCCTTTCCCCCCATCATGAGTGTAGCTTGTTAGAAGTAGCTATCGCTAGTTCTCTATTTTCATTATTATTCTAGCCTTCCCTTCATTTTACCGCACATGTGCTTCAATCGTCCCTGGAACTCTTCTTCCCTCCCCCTCCTCTCTTTTTCCAGTATCTCGTTATTTTTACACATTCTCATCACTACCTTTCATTATTGTGTTTCCCTCCTCCTCCCCTTACAAAAACTCCTCGTATCTCCACCCCCACCCATCCATCAAGTTAGACGATAGAGAGAAAGAAAACACCGCGTCTCTACAACCCCTTTCACCGCCATTCCTTCCCGCATTCTCATTCTCCCAGAAATAAACATTTCCAACACAAAATACCAAGAAAAATGGCGCTCATTTCCATAGTCGTCCTCTGTCCATTCCATGTCCCACCTCTACATTTTCGATATCCTGCCCCTTCCTTCCTTCCTTCCTTCCTTCATCTCTCGCTCCTTCTCTACGCGTCAGCGGATCAAAACAGGTCTGCCGGACGGCCGAACATTCGAGTCCAGGACAGCAATTGAATATTCTGCCATGATCAACAGCCTTCGCCACTCTTGAAGCAGGAGGGTTGGCCGTCGATGAAGCTCCAGGGATTGACACTACAGTATCTCAAACATCATACTCCCAGGTCAATACAAATACACCTGAACACGTTCTTGTTTGTGAGATTAATTTCTTTCCCGTCGAAGAAAATTAAGCCCTGCTGGTGTTTCTGGAAGATATGAGGGAGGTAAGGTAACAATAGGAAATTGCGAGCAATGGAAATCGTCAGGGGGGGTAAAAAACAGATGAAAACGATGTTGTTGAGCAAAGAAAACAGTGTTTCACCCCCTCCCCCCCCCTTCATTCTCTTTTCAACGCACGCGTAGTACACGATTTCAATCAATTGTCGCGCATTCATACAGAAAAAAAGAATGTGGCCCATGGTACTTGATATGTCAAACCAAAGAAAGGTACCTTTGGCAAAGAGAGCTCGAGATCGGGGGGGGGGGGGGGGGGGGGGTTGCATCAAGCAAGCTGTCGAAGAAAGCGAATGTATATGTTGACGCTGTTGAACAAGGAGAGGTGATCAAGCAAGGGCGACCCTTGTTTTCTTCATTTAAAAAGAGAGAGGGTTGTGGCAAAAGTGATGTGGGAAAGGGACAACGAAAGAAGGAGAGTGAAGAGAGAAAGAGAGAAGAGAGAGAGAGAAACAGGGTAGAGAGAATGGTTTTTCTGAGGGAAACAAAGGGAAAATGAACAACGAACAAGAAAGAAAAAAAGTAGAGTATAGTCAAAAGAAATTGAGTCACGAGGAGGCCCAAGTGGTTACGATGATCAATGAAATCGACACGACTGGTGGAGCGAAAAGTAGGGTATAAGGGAGAAAGAGGGCGAAGCTGTAAATGAATCTTGGGTGAGAGAGCATTGATTCGCAAACTGAGAGTTATCTTGAAATTAGAAAACATACGGGGGATCATCATATCATTAGTAGGAGATATGGCTAAAGTAGGCGTTGTTACATGGAGTAAGCATGGCTTTACACATTGTCACTTTGATAATGCCTGGCTTCTTACATTAAAACACACTCACGAAATGGCACTCGCTCCTTGCTCTTTCATTCCCTCATGCACTCGTCTCTCGTTCTCTTCGTCTACTCGTCTCGCTCTCCCTCTCGCCCGCCCTCGTCTTGTTATAGGTTGCCTCTCCGTCAACAAGACAGAACAAGGTCAGAGGGTTGTCGGTCGCACTGATGATGAGAAACAAACGGAAGTCAAGTCGAACGGAGGGCGTTGGAGCCAAAGGCGCTGGAGGATTAAAAAAAGACAGTAACGAGACGAGGGAAGAGTGAGCGTGGGAGCGACAGAGAAAACAATCGAGTGGCAAACAGCAAGGGCAAAGAGTGTGGGAGGGCGCACGCCCATTGGTCGTCATGTTTTGCCTTGTGCTATTGCCAAGGCTCCCACGCGTCACATTCTCCTTCCATATAAATACTCCTTCATCTTTCTTCTTTCTTTTTTTCTTTCTTTCTTTCCTCACCGCTCCCCTCCTCCCTTGCCCATGTCGACCGGTAAGTTCTCTATTTTCTTGTTTGTCTTCTTGTGAACCATCCCCATCCCCACTCTACCATTCCCACTCTCCCATACCCACCCCCACCCTACCATACCCACCACTCTCCCATACCCATCCCCACTCTACCATACCCACCACTCTCCCATACCCATCCCCACTCTCCCATACCTATCCCCACTTTCAATACTAAGACGCTGCACCGCCTCTCCTTGTATTTTCAGGTACCCCTCGAGTTGAGGTCAAGCAAGGTGCCGCGTTTTGCCCCCAGGTTGTCAGGTGTCGTGTTTGCCTCCGTTGCCAGGTATAAGCGAGAGACCGCTTTGTCCCTCTGTTGAGACCGCCTTCCATTTTGTTCGTTCGTGACTCCCCCACTGGACTTGTCCCGCAGGCCGCCCAGTTCCGAGGTACCCCCCCTTGTACTTCTAGTCCTTTTGGCTCGTTGGGTCTGGGCTTGCCTAGAACCATTCTGTCCTTCTTTGCTTTTTTTTTCTTCATTGCTCATTTGCATTTGCCATTCGTTTCGCCATTTGCCTAATAAGAGGGTGGCAGGAAGGGAACAAGAGGGGGAGAGGGGAAGGGAAGGGTGGGTGGGGAGGGTAGGGAGGACAAGAGGGTGGCAGGAGGGCAACAGGACTGGAAACAGGACTGGAAACAGGACTGGAAACAGGACTGGAAACAGGATTGGAAACAGGACTGGCGAATGGCAAAGCGAATGGCAGAGGCGAATGGGTGATGAGGAAAAAGGGCAAAGCGGTTGACGTTGAGGAATGGTTCTAGGAGTGGAGGTGTGTAGCCCTTACGCCAACGAGAAAAGGACAGAGGACAAGGCGAGAGAGGTACCGTAGGGAACTGGAGCCGCCGATGGTGGCAAGGATCAGGTAGGAGGTTGATGTCACATGTAACGAACAAATGGTAAAGGTGTGCGCTCCAGAGCAGGACGAAGCTGGCTCTCGTATAAGCCTGGCAACCTGAGGTGGACGCGGGGCCCGGCAGCCAAGGGTGGAACGTGGCACGACCCCCTCTCTCACCCGGTCGGCCCAGCGGCAAGTCGGTAGCGGCAAATCGGGCAAGCGGCAAGTGCCCGTCTACAGGCCTCTAGCCATCAAGGACCCCAAGTCTCCAGCCATCCAAGGCACCTGGCCTCCAGCCATCAGGAGCCCCAGGCTTCCAGCCATCAAGGACCCCAAGCCGCAAGCCAGTATTAATTAGCAAATAAGCCATTCTACAATAAATCCTTTTTTCCCCAGTACTTTTTTCATTGTCTTCTGTTTCTGTTTCTGCTTTCAACTCTGCTTCTGATTATGTTCTGTTTGTTATTTAATGTTCCGAACTTTTACCTTTGATACGTTTGCGCTTATCAACAAGTGGCTGACTGGTATACAAAGCATGAGGAAGTTGCCTCCCATTGTCTTTGGTACCATGTGCACATGTGTGTGTGTGTGTGTGTGTGTGTGACCCTTTTTATTTATTTTGAACCGACGAAAACTCCCTTCAGCAATCCACTGCCCCCAGTTGGGATCTCCCCTTTCCAGTTGATCGTCCCTCACCCTATCACCACTTTGAACAAGCTCTGGTCAAGAATATCAAACGATAAGCCCTCGGAACAACTCTTCTTCATCTCCTATGGCCGCCTGTGGTGTACTGTGATGACACCATGGTCACTTGTAGACCTCGTCAACCACACACCCATTCGCCTCCCCAATGGCGAATCAACAGCGCCACCCAGAACTCGCCTGATTTCGCCAGAGCATTCAAGTATGAGGCGGGTGTGCCTATGAAACCTAACAAGGAGTGTGAGGCGTGGTAGACATTGGTTCTTGGAAGGGAGGAGAAAGAAACAGAGTAGTAGGAGGAATATTTCCTGATGATGAAAATAGCAGATAAGTCTGCATTCGAATGATTAGAGTAATGAGTGATATAACTGTTGCACTCTTTTCACTCTCGCACCGGAATTCGATGAATCGTCATGGATTATTTACTTCCATACTTTATTTTTTAATTCACAACAACGCCAATTCCCTGCAAAGCCTCCAATACTATCTTGGCGTAATCGTGTCCTCGGTGAGCAGCCTTAGAGAACCACCACGCGGCCTTTGTATAATCCTGTGGAACACCTTGCCCGTTGATATAACATAGGCCGATGTTGAATTGAGCAACGTCGTTCCCTTGCTTGGCAGCCTTGAGGAACCAGTCCATCGCCTGCGCGTAATCCAGAGGAACACCTCGACCATGGTTGCAGAGAAGGCCGATGTTGTTTTGAGCAAAAGAATCACCTTGATTGGCTGCCTTGAGGAACCATTCCATCGCCAGTGCGTAATCTTGGGGAACACCTTCGCCGTTCCTGTAGAGACACCCAATGCTGTATTGAGAGAGAGCATATCCTTGATCAGCGGCCTTGAGATACCAGTCCATAGGACGCCTTTCACGTCCAAATTATCATATGGTGTTTGTTACATCTCTGTAGATCTCGACGATATCCATAGCGACTATGAGATGAGAATGTATATATGATACCAAGCATGTAAGACAACCATTGTAACATTTTTTGTTTAACTATCCTACTAAACACCATGATATTCTTCAAACAACAAAGTCTTCTTATTTTTTGCACACCAATCTCTTGAATGTCTCCATCTACTATTAAACTGTACCCTTCACTGCAAGATTCAGCAGAGTAGTTCTTGTATGTGATCATCTAAAGCACTTGTACTCTCAACTGTATCTTTGGGGCGAAATACAGGGGAGAGATTACATTTTAAAAATTCTGTGCTGTCTATTGCTATTTTATTCTGTGTTCTGTTGCCCACTATGAAGAGATATGTCAGCTATGGAAGTCAACGCTCCGTTCCTTGGGCTTTGGATATTTTTTATATGCTTTTTTATATCCTCTGCACATGGAGGGGTCGCATAGCTCGTCCATAGTCCCGAGGAATACCTTGACCGAAGTTGTAGAGAACTTCGATGCTATCTTGAGCGATATCGTATCCCTGTGCGGCGGCCTTGAGGTACCAATCCATAGCTATTGAGTGGTTCCTCGGGACATCGAATCCTTCTTCGTAGAGGGCGCTTACTCTCTGCTGTACAGCTGCGTCTCCTTGCTCGATGGCTTTGAAGTACCAATCCAAGGCGGCCTGGTCGTCTTGCGCAACCCCCTTGCCATCCCTATACATGTCGCCAAGCGCGACCTGGGCGTCTTTGTCCCCTTCACTAGCACTGATGATCGTCCGCGCGAGTTGAAAGGGCACTGAGTGAGGACGTTGAGTTGGGCGTGGATGTAGCAGTCGCAGTAATAAGCGTCGACATAGTTCTGGTTGTTGAAACGACATCCTGGGATGCAGCCTCAACTTTTATCGCGCTGCCGTCCTGCGGTGGCACTGGGTGTAATGCTGCCTGTTGGACCTGGAGTGAGGTGATCTCTTTTTCAACTGTTGGGCTATTCACGACTACATCCAAGATGGTGTTCGGTACGCCGGCAACCCTGCGAATTTCAAGACTATACACGGCCCGTTCGTTTCAGCAAGCGATAGATGTTAGTCTTTAGTATGCTGTTATTTTACTCTCTCCATTCCTTCTCGTCTTATTGTGAACTTGAACCACGTTCCTGAATGCCTGCAGGATATTGTCCCAGGAGGCCTTTCACATCCAAATTATTATATGGTGTTTGTTACATCTCTGTAGATCTCGACAATATCCACAGCGACCATTAGATGAGAATGTATGTATGATATCAAGCATGAAAACAACCATTGTAACATTTCTTGTTTAACTATCCTACTAAACACCATGATATTCTTCAAACAACAAAGTCTTCGTATTTTTCGCACACCAGTCTCTTGAATGTGTGTACCCACTATTAAACTGTATCCCTCGCTACAAGATTAAGGAGAGTAGTTCTTGTATGTGATCATCTAAGGCATTTGTACTCTCAACTGCATCTTTATGGTAATTTAAAAAATCTTGTAGTCTGTTGCTGAAGAGAGAAATTGTCGGTGGCTTGAAAACCCTTTAAGCCAAGTTAGAAGAAGCCTGCTCGAGTTCAGAAAGAACAGCACCTTTCTTTCTTGATATCCGAGCAGCGTCGAAAGTGTCAGAGTTCACGGTCGTTTTCCTTTTTATACATCTATTGAGTTAAATACACACATACACACATCTACACACATCTACACATCTACACACCTACACACACCTATACACACACACACACACACACACCAATACGTCCTTTTTTCCTTCCCATGAGCGACCCAAACACTGGGTCGTCCGCGCTTTCGTAAGAAGGGACAGTTTTTCCTTCGCCTCTCGGTATCTCCCATGACACTTCGACACAGGCGTCTCAGCCCCTCAGACCACCACACTAATGATATCACATGGTAGAGATGCAGCAAAAGCGACAATCAGAAGACTGACGATTTTTTGTACCCCTCCTAAGGAGCACGTACCCATTTTTCATTTCTTTTTTTTCCCCTACTCACCATACTCCTCAATCACCCACTCGCTCACTCTCAACGCACGCACACTCACACGCAACACCGCACTCAACCTCTCTTGCAGGTCATCACCTCGGAAAGCCGGACAACAAGACAAACCAACTACCACCACAACAATGAACCCGCAGCCCCTCACACAACCCGAGCCGTCCTCTAGCTATAGCTCTACCACCGTCACCTGCACCACAGGTGACGCCTCCAAGTCTCAAACATCCGATGAGGCTGCCATCATCGGCTGCATAAAGGGAGAAATGCAACGCAAGTTGGACCAGCTCCAGGATGTCCACAGCGCCTACGCCTACCTGACGGCCCACTGGGACGCCCAGAAGAACTTTGAGGCGTTTGCCATCCGCCAACACGGGTACGTTGTCCATCAGTGCTGGCATATGTCGGAGATGCCTTGGAACTATCGGGATCGATTGCAGCAAGCGGTGGTTAGGCTCGAGAGTGAGATCAAGGAGATTCGACAGGAGCTGAGAGATATTGCTATTGCCATTGGGGGTCACAAGTGAGTGAGAGGGGGAGGAAGGACGCAGGCTCTTTGCATTTGCCGTGCGCACACACGTGAGCATGCACACACCTAGGGGTTTAGTCTCTTTTGTGCTCTGACACTGCGAGACTCCTGAATAAAAATGAGCCTTGGGACTTCGTTGTCCTGTGCGTGTTATTCTTTGTCGGCCAACTTTGTTCCTGCCCTTTCACTTTCGCGATGTCTTCTCTTTCTCCTTCCTTCGTCTCCCTCAAAACAACCAAAAGATAGACGTTCGAAAACCAGTGTATTTGAATTGTGTTGTCCGCAAGCATATGTGAGGAAGGGTTTGTTAATAGGAAGGCAGTTAGATGCTTTGTTATTGTCTTTTATAAAGGCCCGCGGGTTCGAGGAAGATGTATCGACGGGAACCTGCTCACTTTTGTGCATACCCAGGGGGGTTCCAAGAATGTGTCCAAGGCACCATAACAGGAAAGATTACAACAACATTTATACTTGCTGCCATTACATTTCCCGCCAAAAGACAAGCAGAAAGGCACGTAATCGATGAGGTTCCAGGTTCCTTTATTTAAACAGCCTTCTAGGCCCATGGTGGACTGGATGGAGAAGTCGTTGTCATTCGTGAATTCTTCTCGTGTTGGGCCCTTGACTGAGAGCGAGGGTGAGGGCCAGAGTGGTTGACTTGAACAGCACTGTACGTTGATTATGGGGAGAGTAAGTGCTAAGGTGTTTTTTTAAAAAGTTTAGAAAGGAGAAGGTTAATGAATGAGGAAGAGAGAGAAAACATGCCCAAGGGGAAAGTGACAGAGGGCTGGTATTGAAGAGGGAAGAAATGAGTATTTTCTAGTAGGAAAGGATCTGGCATGAAGGGAGCGGAGGCCTATGTAATGTAAGTATACAGTGTACACGTCCTAAGTGTAGCGCGTCCTTAACTAGCGCTCGTTTTCCTTACCTCTGATCGTTTCGCTTTCTGATCACCTTTGTATCCCCTTCTCTCGAACAAGACCATTTTTTGATCACTCGACAAATCAATGACATTTCTATTTGGACATCACTCACACAACTCGTGATCCATTCTCCACACTTTTTTTGAGGTGCCTCATTCTTTTCCTCGCCACGCTCATTCACACACCTAAAGATCCACCCGCCACCATGAGCCAGACACCTGCAGACAAATCGACCCCCAAATTTACCACCCCTACTACCGCCAGTTCGACCGGCACTTATAATGCCATCAACCAGGTCGACCATCGTCCAAATCCTACAGGACGAGACGCTGCGCAAGCTGGATGAGTCCAAGGATGTTCACAACACATACGCAAATCTGAGTGCCAATTAGAATGAGGACATAATCGACGTGGGTGTCCGCCAACAACGCTTCGTGTTCAACAACCTTGGATTAGATCTGCCAAGATTCGGGAATACCGAGATGACTTGAACGATATGGCGGCCGAGCTTGAGGACAAAATTTCAGATATTCGCAAGGAGCTCGCCGCTACCCTCACCAGAAGTCGCAAGTGATGGAGAGAGAGAGAGAGAGAATAAGTTATTTGGATTCATACTTTCCTTGCGATTTTTTTTTGTCCCCGAACCGAGATAGAATGTTCAGCCTTTTGTATCTCTGAAAATAAATCTCAATACATTTTCAAACGTGTCAATAATGCATAGGCCTAGTTTGATTCTCCTTCTTCGTTACATTTTTAACATAACAGACCTACAGCCCATTGTCTCCCTCTCACCTATCCAAAACCACCTGGAACATATATATCAAGTACCAACAACCCCGCCACCACCAACATGGACATTAACGAGGATGTATCGCCACTGTCACCAGGAATTCTCAGTTCGAGATCGACCGCCGACTGTAGGAGTTCAAGTATGTCCGTGAGGCCTTCCACCTCTGTCACATTCATGGCAACAGTCTCTCGCCTGACCAGTCCTGCTTCACGGCTCTTCGAGTTCACTCTGACAACGAGCATCCTCTAACGTTCCGTAAAGAGTTGCAAGATGCGGGGGCCAGGCTCAAGGAGGGTGTTCAGTATGATAGGAAGAGCTGACATCGACAGACCAAAAAGCAACGTCACGTTCGCGTTTTTCTTAAGTGCATGGGAAGCCAGCATCATTGCCTTCGGTGCCAACTGACATATTGACGAATCACAAGAAAATGTTTGAGAAAGCTGTTGGCCTTCTCTGCGAGTCAGGAGCTGTACCGTGTAACAAGGAGGTGTTCTAAGTCTTTTCGATATTTTTTTTGTCATTCTTCTTTTTTAAGGCGGTGTACGAGCTTTTCTCGCTAATACTATAGATTTATTATTGTTTGTGATCTTGTATCAGGCATTATCAATACGGTCACTGAATCAGGACTTGGATTCCGTTTGTCTGAACAAATAGCCCAGGAAAGTCTGCAGGGCTGCATGATGTACAGATCCAGGCGATCACCCAGCTTACGACCAACCTTGTAAACGTTCTTTATTCCGATGGAGATGCAGCGTTTGCCATGTCGATGCCAAGCTTCGTCTACACAAAGCTTGAGAAGGACACGACCAAATGGAGGCGCAACAAGGACGATCAAGAACAATATGTCGTCCTCGACCCACTTTGAGCGTCCCGCTTCTGAGCATGTGTATGTCCCCGCCTGTGGTTCGATCTTCAATACCTTGCTTGAGTCGGACGGTGTACGTGTGATTTTTTTTTATCAAGGTCCTTGTTGAGAGCGCAATTAAGCAGTATGCTTGATCAGAATTCTTTTTTCTTGTTTCACAGTGGCTCTGCAGCCTCAAAGTGTTCTCGGCAACTGACAGAACAGGAGTTTGGGATAAAGTCGAGCACTACCAGCACCACCAGAATGACTCGCAAGGTGCACCAAACACTGCCCCTCATGGTGGAAGGTGCGTGGTCAGGCGAGGTGGCCATTTTCGAGTCCAAGCCGGTAGTCAGCGATGCGACCTGCGAGAGACAACATAACAAGTCCATTCGTTTGAACACAGCGATCTTCAAGAATCTCGAATCGCATGGACTGGACATTTGTCTTTGGTATCCGATAATCACTGAGATTAGGGCTGCCTCTGCGGATTTCTACACTATCAAAAAGTACGAGAACATGTTGGGTGTAGGACGGATGACCATACGAAACTGTTGGATTCCCACTCACTCAAGTCAACTGAAAGGTTTCTTCAGATCAGAAAACATGGAGGCGCTCGTGGGCTTTCGCTTAAGTATCTGAATTTTTGGTTAGCCGTCACTGTATTAGTTGCTTGTTCAAACTCGTGTGCTAATTTCTCATCTCCTCCTTCTAGCGGCACCTCCTGCATTGCGCGAGCGAGGCCACGGCGGTTGTCTCGGCAAAACCACCATTTCCGTTTCCCGTGATGCCGCCGCCGCCGCGGATCCCCATCATGCAGTACAATGAATCAACATCTGCGCTTTTGGCCTTTGAACCTTCGTATGGCAGCAGTGCGGGGTCCCCTTCATCAACCCCCCTCCCTCCAATGTCAAAAGGACCAAGCCTTTCGTGATGTTCAGCCCATGCAAGTCCAAGAAAGCTAAGGTGGAAGACTCTACGGATGATAATGTGCATGATTAGTATGTTGACGTGGAGTGAGTGACGCTGTGTCTGTGTATTATCGTTCAGTTGCACTTTTCCCTTCGGTTCCATTTTCGTGTCATCGTAGCCGGGAAGTGGGTACAGAAGTTTAGTTTATTGTGTGTGCTCAGATGCGTCTTCGGTGACGTAATTTGAGCGCCCATTCTCTGCATGTACCCTCCCCTTTCTTTCACTTAGCCCTCCGCTACACACACACTCTCTCTCTCCTCTGCTTCCTCCACCTTTCTCTCGCCTTCACGGTGTGCTCTCCGCAAGGTAACTGCCCACGCATACTCACGCCGCATGGAAGTCTTGTCGTGTTAGATCGGCCTCCTTTAAGTGTAGCGACCGGGGAGGTGGTCGCAGGGCGGATAGTCTTCAGTTTGAAGGTGCGACCTTTCCTGAGAGTGGTCGTGCAGTCAGATTGTTGGATCCATGTGGGTGACCTGCGGCGAGTGAGGAATTGGGCCTTGTGATGTTAAATCGGCCACCTTTAGGTGTAGCGTGGTTGACGGATGCTTTGGTGACCGTGACAATTAAACATTCATACGACAGTGCATACTACGTATTCTCACACTGGAGGAGCCTTTTTACTTACTCGCCTCCGTCAGTCAACAGGGTGAGTGGTATAGCTGGATCGCTTCTAACTAATTTTATTCGTTACAATATTGAGTATCGCAACTAGACAGCCTTTCATCCAACAATCTACAACATTCTCGGAGATAAACACCAGTCGATGCAGGAGAATGACCAGTGTGTGGAGAAGCCGATTGTCGAGCAAGGACCAATTTCCCTCAGGAGATATCTACCTTGGGTTATGGAGCAGATGATAAAGATCATGCCTCGTTCGCTTCGTTTGTCCAGAAATTCAAGTTATCAGACTTGCCAGATGCACTAGAGACCTATGAGGCATTGATCAACTCACAAATCTCAAAACTTGGCGCCAACAATCGTTGAATGCAGCGCACCGCACCTTCAAGAATCACAGTCTGCACGGATTCTGGCCAAATCATATGCTCGAGATAGAGCGACGTAGGACAAAGACCAACTTTGATATTGTGGCCACAAAGACTGCAAGGATTGTGCAGAATGCAAGTTCGAACGAGACATTGAGAGCAGCAGGCGTGTTGGGGAGTGGCGGCAACGATCAGTACGAACTGGAGTGTTCATTGCAGCCAGAGAAAAAGATGCAGCAAGGTAGTACTGCTTACTCCAGCCAACTGCTCATTGCCAACTTGGATGTTATATTTTCGGGACTTAGACCGTTGATCGATAGGCCATTTCACTCTGAAAATCAAAATCGAGGGATTTTTACCCTTTTGTTCTATGCGAGATTTCTGTTCTCTATGGGTCCTTTTAGGACACCTCCGTTCTCTTTCAACAGTTGTGCCGCCCCAGCCAAACTCCTTACCTGACAATATCTTTAACTTAGAACGACTACGTGAAGTAACCTTAAAGCTAGAAGAAAGAAAATAAATTACGTTTCTACTTAATTAAATAAGTAAAAAAACATTACGGGTAGTGGGTAGTGGTACTGTACCTCACTAGCGCCGAAGTTCCACTTATCATGCACTCCATATGTCTTTTCACAATTTCAAACTAGAGTCAAGCTCAACAAGGTCTTCTTTCCCCGCTGATTTTGCCAAGCCCGTTCCTTTGGCTGTGGTTTCGCTAGATAGTAGACAGGGACAATGGGGATCTCGTTAATCCATTCATGCGCGCCATTAATTTGATGATGAGGCATTTGGCTACCTTATGAGGGTCATAGTTACACCCGCCGTTTACCCGCGCTTGGTTGAATTTCTTCACTTGACATTCAGAGCACTGGGCAAAAATCACATTGTGTCAACGCCATCGCAATGCTATGTTTTAATTATACAGTCATATTCCCATTGTCCGTACCAGTTCTAAACTGAATGTTAAGTGTGCACCGGACGCCGAAGCAGCTCAAGCGCTTCCGTAAAAAGTCTCGAACAGATCCGTCCAGTTTGCCCAGCTAGTTCCACTAGAATATCTAAAACCTCAGCACAAAAGCCTAATGCACCCATTCCTTTTCCCGAAGTTACGGATCTATTTTGCCGACTTCCCTTATCTACATTGTTCTATCAACTAGAGGCTGTTCACCTTGGAGGCCTGCTGCGGTTATGAGTACGACCAGGCGTGAAAATCATTCTTTCCCTCGGATTTTCAAGAACCGTTGAGAGCGCACCAGACAGGACAGAGGTGTCCTGCTCTACCAAATATTGAGCCGTATCTCCAGGTAATCTTCACGGTGACAGTCTGTTAAAAAGAAAAGAAAACTCTTCCTAGGGCTCCCACCGGCGTCTCCGAGTTCATTTACATTGCCGTAAAAAATCCACATCCTGGTGCAGGGACATTAACCTGCTTCCCTTTCGATAGACGGCGCAAAGAATTGCGGACTTTAAAACGGAACTCCCCTATCTCTTAGGATCGACCTACCCATGTCCAACAGCTGTTCACATGGAACCTTTCTTCACTTCAGCCTTCATAGTTCTCACTTGAATAATTGCTACTACCACCAAGATCTGCACTAGAGGCTGCCTGCTCAGATGTCTAAAGCTTCTTCACAACTTTCAAGCCTGCCTATTCGTCGGAGCTTCACTTTACCCTAACGGCGAATTATGGGCAACACGCTTGAGCGCCATCCATTTCCAGGGCTAAGTCATTGGGCAAGTGAGTTGATACACACTTTTGCCTTTGCTCATACTCTCAATAGCACCAGAAAAGCACCCTTGCTTCTAAATCAAGCGTGCGCACAAATACATCCATCCTCCTTACCATCCAGATATATCCATCGCGTCCGATACAACGAGTGCTATCGAGACAACTAACTAGTCGTCATCGGGGCCTAAGTCGACTATCGCCTTCACCTCCACCCCCGCCACCACGATCACCAACGCGACTGGAAACACCGGAACCGAAAATATCGACACCAGCACCGCGTCCCACAAGTCTGCCGCCGCCAAGGTCCCTCAAGAACAAGATCAAGCGCAAGAAGTCGGCCAAGCTGCTAGTCCTAGGCGCAGGCATCCTTCCCGCGCCGGGAGGGAATATGCCATTGGTATGAGCGGCTATGGCTTTGCCTTCTATGAAGGATTGGATCCTAGTAGGAAGGAAGGCATCAGATCTTGAAGGACTATGTGAAAGTTGCTGTGGGATGAACTTGATAGGAACGGATACCATTTAGAGGACGTAAACAAAGTAATGTACTATTTTTGGAAGGTTGCTTTTAACGAAGCAGGGCTAGGGAACTCTTGTTTCTTTGTGTGCATGAATATTTCAAAAGAGTCATTTTTGACGCATGATTACTTCAAAAGGAACCATGTGACCGGCCAACATATAAAAACTTACACTGGAAGTCTGATTTTTTTTACCCCCGCCTTTTTCACCTCGCAGCCACACACATAAACTTACTCCCTTGCGTACTCGCACGCTCAAGCTTCCAACATCATGGGCAACAGCACAAACACCAACACTCCCTCAACCGTCACCACCACAATCGCGACCACCGACACCGGAAACGGCCTCGCCATCATCGCCGCCATACTCCAAAGCGAGCTCGACCGAAAGCTGACGGACCTCAAGGACATCCGCGAGGCCTACGCGGGGATCATCGAAAACTGGACCGACGACCGGCCGGAAGCCCCCACCAAGTACTGCCATACCGTCCAAGTCTGTTGGGCGCATGCGATAAAGATGTGGCAGTACCAGCATCGATTGCAGGAAGCTACTGCAAAGATTGAGGGTGAGATCGCCCAGTTCCGCAAGGAGATGTTGGATGCATTGGTGAGAAGCCATCGTTCGGGATCTGGCTCCGCTGCATACTCGGAGTAAAGAGATCTGTTTTTTTTGAGGCGCTTCGGCCTTCGTTGGAGTATGCAGCAGGAAGAGTTTTTCGTTTTTGAGTCGATTCTGTTAGAGCGCCTTGATTGCTCTCCCAACACACAACGTACTTTTTTCATAGCAGACCTCCGACCCACGTATTGCACAGCATAGTTTTCTTTAGCAAAACATATTGAGCATGCTTTCATGATAGTACTATTATTCATGCTTGCAAAAAACCACAAGGAAATGAGAAAAAATAAACGAAAAAAAACAACAACAGAAACAAAACCAAAGAAAGTAGAAGCCTCCTACTCCTGCCGGTACCGATCCAACATCGAAACATGCCTCGCCCCACGCCTCTTCGGACACGTACACAGCGTCGTCATCAACTCAGGCTCCCTTTTCAGAATCGCCAACGTCACCAACGAGACCTCCTTCCTCAAATCCTCCATATGCTTCCCGACTGCCGTAGCCATAGTCCGCCCATGAATCCGGAAATGGCACTTCAACACAGGATCCCCATTATCTTGATTCCTCGACCCATTCGACGACCGCATCCCCAACCCCAACTTCTTCAACAACTTCTCAGAGTCGCTAACCTTCTCGGCAGCCTCGGTCTCAAATTTGAAGCTATGACAGCCCTGGTGCTGTAACGATTCAAGGAGGACCTTGTTCGGGTGGAGGATCATCCCCTCGAAATTGACATGTTTATCCAAGAACGGCTTGAGCAACCTCCGGAACAGATCCGTGATGAGATCAAAGTCAAACCCACTGTCGACAAACACCGCCCCCAGAGTCGACTCCACCAGATCCCCCAACACTTTTGGCATATAGATATCCACCCAGTATTCCTTCTCCAACTCCCCCGTCGGGGATTTACTCGCCCGTTCCTCCAGACTGACCATCGCTCGAGAGATGGCACCAATCAATGACGGCGAGTAGTGGTTAAGGAACTTTTGGAGCCCCCACTTGAGCGAGATGGCGCCCAGGATGCCATTGTTGACAGACGCGTCTTTGATGAGCGTGATCGCTCCCGGTGGGGCATCATAGTACTTTTCGTAGTAGTACCGAATGACCTGGAAGTCCAGCACCGCATCGCCCAGGAACTCCAGTCGCTGATAACATACCGCGTCCGTTCGGATGTGTGACGCATGCGTCATGGCCTCAAAGAATAACGACGGATCTTTGAACTCGTACCCCAAGACCTTCTGAACCTCCTGAATCGCCGCCATGTTGGCCACCGACAGCGTCGTCGATGAAGACGGCGACAATCCTTCCTCCCCTCTCCACGCCGCTTCTTTGGTCGCCTTGGCTTCCAAGAAAACCCTCTCAAAATCCGCCCACGTCGTAAACTCTTCAAATGGGATCCGAAGAGCCTTGGCCGCCTGGAACGCGACATTATACCCACCGCTCAAGAACGCCGCCCCCAAAGAAGCCTCAATCACATCGGCAAGGGTCTTGTTCGAAAGTTGATGTTTCTGCACACTCTCCCACTCCTTCTTGTCGACCGTGAAATGGGGTGGTCTCCAGGACTTGCGATGGAACGGCGTACTGCTGATGAACCGATACAACTCCAAACTCATAGCGTGACCGAGAAGGGCTTTGTTCGAGATGATGCGAATACGACTCGCGTGGAGCTGACCTTCATCCTTGGCAGGGTTGACAATGTACAACCGGATCGTACTGGAGAACTTCAGGAACGAATCTCCCAGCAACTCGAGACGCTCGTACTGATAGTCGCGGTTTGACGATGAAGTCGTGAAGGCTTCCTGCAGGTAATCTAAGCGGATCTGGCTGAGACCAACCAACTCGCGCGCTTCGTAAACGAGTAGCGCCTGGTCCAAACTGAAGAGGATCGAGGGGACCAGTTGCGCCATCCTCAGCACATCGGCCTTGATGGTGCCTCGGATACACGCCTTCAGCGGCACCATCATCGATCCGGTTTCCTCCTTGGCCTCCTCCTCGCGAACTGCGGGTTGCAGGTGGTTCCTCATCTTGCGCACCCGGTCAACCATCAGAATCTTGTCACTGTCCTCGCAGTCCACATGGAACTTCCACTTGAAATACGCCGCAAATGTCCTCGGTGCCGGAGTAGGAGCTGGCGTCGCCACTTCTTCAGCTGAAAGATCGGAAGCTGAATGGCTAGAAGGCGATGAGTTGCCAGTGGATGCGTCGGGTGACGGTGAGGTGGCCGCGGAAGCGTCGGCAGCTGATCGCTTGGTATGATTCCTGAGTTTGGTGAGAGATTCGTCCCAGGCTGCAAGCTCCTGTTGGAAAGTATCGGGCGGCATCAGGTCCTGCATCTTGTAGTCTGTGACAATCTTCTTGAGGAAGAATTCTCGAGTTGGGTCCTTGTGGAGTGCCAGAATGGTTTGCAACGCTTGCTCGTCCTCTGTCTCCGGGATAGGCACTGGATCAGGCTGCACCTTTTGGCCAGACTCGATGTCTTCCCAAGATATGTCCAACTCAGTCTCGGCCAAAGTCGAGTCCAGCTTAGAGGATGTGTTACGCTTGCAGAGTGGCACAACAAAGTACGGCATGGTCTCCAGTGAGCACTCAAAGCTCTTGCGGCACATCCGCTGGAACAACAGCAGGGTATACTTTTGGAAGAGGAGAAGCTGCTCCTTCTTCACTGTAACCGGCTCTGGATAGCTTTTGATGTTCACCAGCCTGCCAGCTCCTTCAAGATACAGACGGATCGGCGCAATCGCATTTGGTAGAGGCTGGCGCGTCAAAATACACATCAGGCGGAACCGGCGCTTGCCTCCCAGACACTCAACATCACGCTCATCCATCTCAATGACACATCTGTGAAGGGTGATGGGAGCTTCAGTGTCCATCGGGTCCTGCTTCCATATCTCTGGGCATGTATAAGGGTAAACTCGGTTCTTCTCGATCGTCTCCACAGGCCCAGATTCGACTGGAGAGTCGCCAATGGCCTCCCGGACCACCACCGGCAGTAGGTTGTCGTTGAGAGCCTTGAGAGAGTGGAGCATCTCACAGGCCTTGAAGGCTGCTGATTTTCGCGCCATCAGCTTGGTCGAGGTGCGATCTGACTGTACGATCCGGATAGACGCATTTGGAGGCAAGGTGAGGTCGCAAATAAATCCAGATGATCCGTTGGCCGTAACAGAAAACTCGGGTCTCAGCGAACAAAACTCGTCACCTGTTAGGGAGCTGCAATAGTAATGCAGCAGCGGGATGGCCGAGTCCAGAGTGAGAAGCGCCCCGGTGGAAGGGACCCTGTAAGATTGATCTGGGGTCAGCATGTCCATCAACTCTGTTCCTTCATCCTCGTCGATGCTCGCCGGCTTGCGCATGAGCCGCTCCGAATCCAAGCTGTGACACCAGTCGCGCATGCTCTTCTCTCCAATTTGGATTTTCTCCAACGCGGCCTCTTCGCCTCGGTTGTCGTACTCCATCATCATGATATAGCGCGAATTCTTTTGTCGCGCTCTTCCTCGAGATTGGATGTAACTGATTGTCGTGGTGACCGGGTCGAACCTAGCGGAGAAAATTCGCGAAAAATTAACGGTTAATGGCGGTAATGCATTGACGCCGCGCAGCGAAAAGTCCCTGGGCATCGCTAGGATCAAAGTTACCTGATGACGACGTTGCAAGGCTGAATATCCAAACCCTCCTCCGCGACACTAGTGGACACCAACAAGTTGTAGGCCTTGCCTCGAAAGTTGGAGATGATGTCGTTCTGTTCTTGAAAGTTCATCTTTAGAACACTATCAGAATCGTCGCTATGTCCGGCCAGCACTTGGACCCGGAAAATCTCGCGAAACTCCTCCAGTTCCTGAAGTAACAGACAGAGTGCAATCGCAGTGTCCCGTCGCTGTACAAAAATAATGCCACAGAAGTCCTCAGTCCAGCTCTTGCCCGCAACTCGAAGGATCTGGATGAGCTTCATGACTTTGGGCGACATCTGCTTGATATCAACCGCTGGAGCCGGATATGTCCAGGCCTTGACGACATCGAGGGCTGTCCTGATCTCCTCGGGAAGCTGTTTGATTCCGCCGTCCTTCCTGGCCATGTTCTCGACATAGACCCGCCACAGAGAATCGACGCACCAGGAACCGAGATGACTGAGGTTGAACTGAACGTTCTCAAAGATTGGGTTCAGCCTTGGGACCATGAAGCACTTAGACCTCAGGGCGCTGGTGAGCTTGGTGGTGCGATAACCAGGAGCTGGGTTGTACTGTACCACAAACTCCAAGGGTCTCTCGACGAACTGCTTGACCTCTTCCTTGTCCACTGTGAATACCTTTGCATCCATCAAGTTCTCCAGTTCGCTGCCGTCGACAAGGGCATCGTAGGAAACAAAAAGGAGGCGGGTCAATTAATTTCGTGCGTCTTATTTGCTTCGATTAATAGAACTATAACTATTGCAGCGCGACAGTTGTCATACCTTGCTGTGTGATAGAGCTTGGATCCAATGTCAGAAGAGGGTGATGCGGTCATGCCAAACACCTTGGGTCGCTGACTGCGATCCAGGTTGTGAACATGGTAGAACTCTTTCATGATGCAGCAAAACGGGTGTTCCTTGCGGGCGTGGTGACACTCATCGAAAATCAGCAGATTGACCTTTTGAATGTATTTGAGGACAGTCGAAGTATTAATAATCCATCAGTCTTTAGCCGAAACCATCCACGTCAGTCAACCATCAAGAACAAAAGCGAATTCTAGTCGTGCACATACCCTAGACATCTGGACAAAACCATGACGAAAGAGATCGAGGAGGATCTGAGCTGTTACGACTACGACGTCGACCTTCTTGTAAGTTTCGCCCCAGAGATCATCCGAGAATTTTTTAGTGTCCATGGCACCGCACAGCATGGCGACCTCGGCGTCGCAGTTGGCTCGGATGACAGCAGCCTGCTGGAAAACCAAAGGCACGTTATTGACAATAAAGAAGCTAATCTTGCTCTATTGTAAAGAAAAACAGGATGTAATAGAGTAATAAGTTCAGCCTCTTTGATTCTGGTTACGTATATCTCGATAGAGAACAGAGATTTATGATTATACTCTTGCGGAACAACTTATCAGTGAGCTTGTTGGAGTAGCATCATACTTTTGTTGGTCCACGCTGAGCCTCCCTCTCGCGTCGAAGCATCTCGCGGATGAGCATTACAGCCACCAGTGTTTTTCCTGAACCTGTATCCATCACCGCAATCACATTTCCTGCCTCAGCCTTGCGGAACAACTCGACCTGATACTGGCGCGGAACAAGGAAAGGATCCTGCTGGACAGGAGGTACCTTGACTTCTTGGGACGACTCGGTGACAGTCAAAGGTTGTGAGGCAGTTGAAGAAGCAGACGAAAAGGACGGGACGGGTCGGAAGCTTGTTCCCATTCGAGGAGACAACGACAATGTCTGCATAGGTATCAGGGGTAAAGGCAAATTGGATGCCACAGAGCGCAGAGGCTGGTCAAGGATAGGAAGGGGGCTCTCCTCCAAAAGCGAAAGGAGGTCCTGCTGAGCAGTAGCTGCCGTTTTGGTGAGTTGTGTGGGTGTGAAAGGCTTTGGTAGAGGGCTGGATGGCAAGACTTGCGAGGGGAGGTCGTCGACTCCTTCCCATTCCAACAGGTCAAAAGCTGATGCTGTTGTCGTTGTCATTATGGTAAATGATAGTTCAGGACAGAAGGGGAAGTGTGTCGTCTTGATGTTCAAATAGATTGTCGGTGGGAAGAGTGGTCAAGAAATGGGAAGTGAAGGAAAGAAGGAGAGGAAGAAGGATAACAAAAGGAGAAAGGAGATGTGGTTACGCACATCATCCCAGTGGATGTGGAGATGGCATTGAAGTTGGAACAAAGACTTGCCTGGTGAGAACGGCACCCAAGCAAAGGGGTCGTGACTGCGAATTGCGAATTGCAAAAAAAAGATGTCAACAACGAAGTCAAGAAAAATATAAACAAAACTCCGTTTCAATGTCCCCATGGCGGACATCCACGCTTATTCATTCCTGTTTTCAAAAACATAATCAAGAAGCGACCAAGCAAGCGAGTCACGGAGGTATAAAAGAAGAGCGGCTCCGTGGCCTCATTTTGGCTCCTTAGTCTTAGTATTTAACCTAAGACTGTAATGATAATAATCATACATATCAACGGTTGATGATCCCGACAACTTTGCCGGGTGTCTCTTTATCACTTGCAGTCTTTTCGGAGGTTGTGAGCTGGTAGGGAGCCATCGCATGGCATTACGTCTCAGATAACTGACGTTGGCACTCTCTCTTTATTCTTATTTTATTCATAATTCAATTCATAAATATTTTACTTTGCTCACTGTTTACAGTTTGCGATCTGATCGTCGACACTCACTCTGTTTACAGAAGGGACATACAAGTGCACTGCAGGAGTAGTCCATGGCGACATTGAGGAAACAGAGGACATGAGATGGGACTTGAAAGGTGATTGCCCAAAAAAAAGAAAGGAATAGTCAAGAGTATGCGAGAAAGAAGGGTGGGGGTAGAATTGGTGTTTATGCAGCTAGCCAATGGCACCAACGAGGGGCCTTGTGGTCCTCCCTCCTTTGTCCCCGTCCTTCCTCTGTCTCTCATTTATGCGCACGGGGACATCTTTGAGTTGTCACACATACGTAACGAGTCAATGCCCTCCTTCAATGCCCTCTGCGCTCAATGCTGCGTGGGAAGGTTGTTTGGTCAATTTCCTTTTTGATTTCCCATCCCTTTTTTCTTTCTTTCTCTCTTCTCTCTTCTACTTTGTCTCCTCTCTTCACTCCCCAACAAATCACACACCGCCAACAACAACAAGCACACTCAACAACAGCTAACCAAGATGTCCGCTTCGTCGCCCGCACACTTGCACAAGTGCACCGATGCCACCATCGTACCCGGAAAGACGACCATCCACTTCACCATCACCGACAAAGTCGGCGCTCTCGACGAGTGTCTCACTGCCATCAAAGCCATGAACATCTCCCTCACCCGCATCGAGTCGTAAGCCTTTCTCCTCTTTCTTTTTACTTTACTTACATACGATGACTTTCAAGATACATCGTTCCACCTTCTGTCTCGTTTACCATTGACCCTTGCTCCACTGACATATCATATCACTTCCTTCACAACGACAGTCGCCCGAGCAAGACGTCGGAATTTGACTACGAGTTCTTTGTCGATTTTGAGGCTGCGACCTCAAAGCAGGTCCTAGAAGTCTCAAAGTCCCTTGAGGCCATCTCCAAGCAAGTCCATGTTGTCGGCACCGGCGGTGTCGCTGGCGCTGCCTCAAGTAATACAATCATGACCTTCTTTTGGTCCGTCACTATTTGCTCAATTTATCACATCCAAAGGTCAAACTGTCCTAACCCCTCTACTTCCTCTTTTTCGTGTTGGATTGGGTAGCTGACATCCCAGATTCCACGCCTTGGTTCCCTCGCAAGATGGTCGACTTGGACACCTTTGCAGACAAGGTCCTTGAGATGGGAGAGGAACTTGATGCTGACCACCCTGGTGCCAAGGATGCAGTTTACCGTGCCCGTCGCTCAGAGATCACCAAGATTGCAAAGACATATAAAACGTAAGTCATGGTGTGAAGGAGAAAGCAGAGGGAGGACGAGAGAAGAGAATGCACAAAGATAAACAAGGAAGGAAGATAGGAGATGAAAAAAGCGTACACCCTGAGATTGAGTACAAAATGATCTCTAACACAATATTACATTTAGGGGCCAGCCCATCCCTCATGTCGAGTACACGGCGGTCGAGAAGGAGACCTGGACAACCGTCTTCAACAAACTCATCACCATGTTCCCCAACTATGCCTGCAGAGAGCACCAATACGTCTTCCCGCTCTTGATCCAAAACTGCGGCTATGGCCCCGACAACATCCCTCAACTCGATGGGGTTTCGAAATTCCTCAAAGACTGCACTGGATTCACTCTGCGTCCTGTCATGGGCCTCTTGACCAGTCGCGACTTTTTGAATGGTCTGGCGTTCCGAGTATTCCACTCGACCCAGTACATTCGTCACCACTCCAAGCCGCTTTATACACCTGAGCCGGATGTCTGCCATGAGCTTCTGGGACATGTGCCCCTCTTCGCCAACCCGGACTTTGCAGATTTTTCTCAAGAGATTGGGTTGGCCTCGTTGGGGGCCAGCGATGACGATATCGAGCGTCTGGCGACCATCTACTGGTTCACGGTCGAGTTTGGAATCTGTCGACAGGGGGACCAACTCCGTGCGTATGGTGCGGGCCTGTTGTCATCCTTCGGAGAGCTGGAGTACTGTCTCAGTGACAAGCCTGAGGTTCGCCCCTTTGAGCCGTCCAAGGTTGCCCAACAGAAGTATCCGATTACAGAGTACCAACCTGTGTACTTTGTTGCAGAGTCATTCAAGGATGCCCAAATGCGTGTACGCGAGTTTGCCAACTCGCTGTCGAGACCCTTCTCGGTTCGTTATAATGCATACACGGAGAGCATTGAGATTCTGGATTCGAAGGAGAAGGTGTTGAGGTATGCGCAGTCTATCAAGACCGATATGCTGACTCTTGTCGACGCCCTTGGCAGATTGGCGTAAATCATGAAAATAGTGCGCTCTTGTCGAGCAGTAGCGATTCCTTTCTTTTTGTACATAGTCATAGCTTTGTGTACGCATCACAAATGAACATAACATGCTTTTGTAAGTAATACCTTTTTATTCGCGTCCTCAATGGCGTTCAGACCGCTCACCCTCAATATCATCCACAAGCTTTAACAAACTCGTCATAAACGCCGCATTCGAGAACCGGTCGCCTTCAAACCCCATATCATACCACCAATTCACCGCAATACATTTGCCTTCGTGATCGGGTTCCTGTTCGACTTGATGGTACCACATCGCAGGGAGGTACAGCATCTCACCCGGGTTGACCACAACCCTGAAGGGTTGGCACATTTGATAACGAGGATATTTTTCAAAGAGCTCTTCCTCTGGTTCGTGGGATGGGTTGAGGGCGATCCATTTTGTAAGTACGACGGGGTCCAAGGGTTCGAGTTTGTAGCGTGGTGTTGTTTGTGTGGGTGTTGATGAGGATGAGGATGCAGTTGAGTTGTCGGTTGTGTCCACATATGTTGCGGCGATGTATTGTTTCTCTAATATAACGATGCGTGTCGAAGGCATTGGTTAGTTAGGAGCCGAGTACACTCCGGGAAGCAGTAACCTGTGAAGTTGACAGTTTTTGCTTACCATGGAGACAGAATTGCTCTGTGGGAGGTATCAGCGTAAAGATTTTCCTTCCCGTGATGACCGCGTACATGTTCTCGTAGTGATCTACACAGTATCCAGTAACACCAACACGACAGCCCTTTGTTAGTATCCTGAACAACCAATGTGCTTGCTTCCATTTTGTGTCGCACTCCTATAAATGATCATCCAACTGTACATACCTTTGTGCAACGAGGTAGTGCTACGCTCATCGCCATACCAAAAATTGACCGCATCCGGTTCCTTGCCCAACGCCTCACTAACAAACGGAATCTGCGGTGGCACATCCTCCAACAGCTCCTCATACTCTGTCATTAAGTTCCCGTTCTGAAGTTGAATATATCGCACTTCCTGATAAGGGTCCACCGCTACTGCTCCTTGTCCATCACCGTCCAGTCCTAGATCCTGCACCCCATTACTCAAACTCTCCTCGTCATCGCCTTGTCTATCATGACCAGGTGCCTGTGTTTTCCTCTGCCGGGCCCTGATCGGCATCCCATCCAGGAACTGTTCAAACGTCATCTTTTTCTCACACGGCATCGCAAAGTACTTGTCGCCAACCACCGCATCAGCCCACCCATTAGGCGTACATGCGACGGTGATCTCCTTGGAGCCCAGGGTCTTGACGAGGTAGTCGTTGGTCCATTTTGTGAACGCTGGCCAGGCCCATGCCTTTTCCCCTGCGGTGGGCTCCAATCGTTGTGGTGAGGTTGAGGAAGAGGAGGCGGTGGGTTCTGAGGGGTGGATGGTTGTGGAGGAGGGGGGGAGGGAGATGACGACGGGTCGGTTTGCGGCGACGTAGCGATGGAATTGAAGTGCTGTTGGGATCTCTATCCGCTCTATCGTTGAGATATTGAACTCTACGCGTCCATTGGAAGTCAATTAGGCGTAAGAAAGGAAAAAAGGGCAGGTCAGCGAGCAAGTTGTTCGAAAGTAAGAAAAATCGGCAGCATCTCAAAACCGTTGAAATCTTGGAAAGGACCACAAGGACATACCCTGGGTCTCGGTGATGAGGGAGACAATTTCTTCCTCGAGACGCATTTTGATGGATGCGGCGTCCCTGATCCGGGGAGAGTCCTGTTCTCCTGTCTCTGTTCTTGTCATGGCGTGTTTGTCCTTGTCGTTGAGGTGTGGAATACAAGAGCAAGGGCACAACAGACACTTTTCTTCAATTGTAACTCAATTGATCACGTGCGTCCATTCTTTACAGCAGTCACTTTGAAGGCCTTTGAACAAACAACCGAAAAAAAGAAAAAAGGAAAGACAAACAACGACCGCTCTCACACCACACCCTTCTCTTTGTTCAGGACAACCCTCCCCGCTGCAAGGAAACATCGTTCGCCATGTTCAGCAGCATCCAATCCGCAAAGCGCAAGGTCATCACTTTCGGCGACGATGGCGAGCAGGTCTCCCGTCCCACCAACACATCAACAGCAACAGAGTCGTCCTCTTCCTCGTCTTCCGTAAGCAAGCACAACGATACCCAGAACGCCACCACCAAACCCAACGGCAGCAACATTGTACAGGACAAGGCGTCATCCTCTTCATCTTCTACTACAGCCGTGTCTTCAATCTCTTCAACCTCAGAAGAAACAGGACAGCGTCTCTCGAAGAAGCAGAAGCGTCAACTCCAGCACCAGCAGGACTCTCGGCCCAAGAAGCTGATCAACAAAGAGCCTACCACTGAGGCCATGACTCAGAAGGCAAAAGATCTCAAGAAGCACCGCACCAGTCTGCCCATTTATACTGGTGAGTTCATGCCTTTTTGTAGCTCAGGAGAGTCTTCTGCGGATCAAATGTTCCTCAGCTGTCAACGAATCAGCACTAACGACATGATCGCCCATGTTAAAATTAGCTCGGGATATTATCATCAAGGAGGTCAAGGAGAACCCGTGCGTGGTCATTGTAGGAGAGACGGGATCAGGAAAGACCACCCAGATCCCACAATACCTCCTCGAGGCAGGACTTGCAGCACACGGAACCATCTCTGTCACCCAACCCCGTCGTGTTGCTGCCATTAACCTGGCTAGACGTGTCGCAGAAGAGGTCGGGACACCCTTGGGACAAAAAGTCGGTTACAGCATTCGATTCGACGATACCTCCTCCAAGGATTCGTTGATCAAGTACATGACCGATGGTATTATGTTGAGGGAGTTATTGTCGGACAGGCTGCTGTTGAGGTACTCGGTCATTATTCTTGATGAGGCTCACGAACGGACGTTGAGAACGGATATTTTGTTTGGAATGGTCAAGGGAATCCAGAAGCAGAGACAGGATTTGATTGGTCGTGGGCGCAAGGATATTCAGCCTCTCAAGATCGTCATCATGTCTGCCACCCTAGATGCTGAAAAGTTCTCCGAATATTTCTACGGGTAAGTCTGGAAGATCATTTTTCTTCCGGATCTGTTATCACCGGAATGTAGCATCGAGGGCAGTGTTGCTTTGCGCTAGTACTAATCGAGTTTGCTACAACGTCCAATAGAGCAAAGATTATGTACATTTCAGGACGTCAGTTCCCAGTCAAGATTCTCAACACTATCGAACCGCAATCGGATTACGTGGATTCAGCACTCGTCACAGCATTCCAGATCCACCAGGATGAGGCCCCCGGTGACATCTTGATCTTTTTGACTGGTCAGGAGGAGATTGAGAATATGGAAAAGCTGATTGAGGAATACGCGACCGACCTGCCACCCACCGTCGGCAAGCTAATCCCCTGCCCCATTTTCGCCGCCCAGGACACAAGCACCCAGCAAAAGATTTTCGAGCTCGCACCGCATGGAACTAGGAAGGTCATCTTGGCCACCAACATTGCCGAAACCTCGATTACTATCCCCAACATTCGCTATGTGGTCGATACAGGATGCCACAAGTCGCGTGGATATAATGCCAAAATCGGAATCGAGTCGCTGTTGGTCGAACCCATTTCGAAGTCGTCAGCGCGTCAGAGGATGGGTCGTGCTGGTCGTGAGGCGCCTGGACTTTGCTTCCGTTTGTATACCGAGGACTCGTTCGATCAATTGGAGGAGGATGCTATCCCCGAGATCAAGCGGTGCAATCTGGAATCGGCGATCTTGTCCCTCAAGGCGTCTGGAATTGATGATGTGACACGGTTCGATTTCATGGATCGGCCGTCGAAGTCGGGACTGTTGAGGTCGTTGGAGCACCTGTATGCGCTTGAGGCTTTGGATGATGAGGGCAAGCTGACTGATATTGGAACCAAGATGGCGGCCTTCCCCGTCGACCCACCCTACGCCAAAGTCCTCCTCCAGTCCGAGGTAACATTTTTTTTTGTTCGTCATATCTTTCGTAGGTGCCTTGTCATTGCGAAACAGAGCGCTGACCTTCTCATTTTTCATCCTTTACGACAAAATTAGAAAATGGAGTGCACAAAGGAGGCGATTGAGATCATCTCCCTCCTCTCAGTCGACACCATCTTTTCTGCTCCTTCCTCAAAACGCGAAGAAGCCAACGAAGCCCGCCAGAAATTCACCTCCCTCGACGGCGACCACCTCACGCTCCTCAACACCCTCCGTGCCTATGAATCCGTCAAGGGCGACCGAGACTGGTGCCGCGAAAACTTTATCAACTCCCGGCATATGCGGCACGTCCTCGATGTCCGGAAACAGCTCATCCAATTCGCCGAACGGTCTGGTATGGATCCCAAAAAGACCTGTGGACATGACCTCGAGATTGTGTTGAAGTGTTTTCTGGCCGGGTTCTTTCAGAATACTGCTTTGCTCCAGCCAGATGGGACATATAAGAGTATCTTGGGAGGTTTGACGGTTAGTGTGCACCCTTCGAGCTCGTTGTTTGGCAAGAAACGGGAGGCGATTATGTATGATGAGTTGGTTTTCACGACCAAGCATTTTGTGAGGGGTGTTAGTGCATTGGAGAGTAATTGGCTTTCGCAGGCGGCACCTAAATACTTTGGGCAGCGGCATGCGTAACGGTGTCAGCACACACTTTGCATTTTTGTACTTTTTACATTTAGAATAAATTAGCATTCGCATAAACCTTTTAACCAAAACGTAGGTATATTTTTCTCTGCTCTATCATTACTAGGCGGGTCTATCATCGATAATTGCTCGTCTCCTCCTCCTCCATCTCTTCCTCCTTCAGTTAGACACAGGTTACCTGTCCTGAGAATTACCGTCGCAGAATGTGCACTAACACGCCTATACCGCACTCATTACAGAGGACGGGCAGTGATGTCTGGTCTTCATGCAAGGATGAAAGCGTTCAACAGCCCACAACACAAATATGTATGAGCACGAGGCTGGTAAAGAGAAAGCGCGTATATGAGGGGAGAAAAAAAATGAGGGCTCACTCATGGCCAGGAAAATTAATTTTGTGCAATGCAGTCCATGAATTGACATACAAACATTCGGTCTTGCAGGCTTGTACCGACCCAGCATTACCAAAAAAAGGCTCGGCCCGGCCACGCGTCTCTCAAAGGTGTTCCCTGCGGAGCTGCCTGAAGAGACAGTCCACATCATTGTCCAGCGACCCCTCTCAGGTATTACAAACGCGCCTTTTGCGTTCAATTACGCCTTGCTCGTGACATTCCAGCATAACGCTATGGTATTTGTAATACCCTTTCGCAATATTACCTATGTTTTCTTTTTTACTTCCTATAGTTGCGAAAAGAGACCGTGAGGAAGATGCAGGTGAATAGCTTGTATTTGACTGTGTTTATGACCATTTTCAAACGGCCTCATTGCTCTTAATCATTCGTGGACATGGTAGAAGATGCTAATATTCTTGGGGTCTCTCTTTGCTCGTACGCCGCTTCATTTACTAGGGTCCTCGTCCAATAGGAAGCGTCCATACATGTATACGCTGAAGGATGCGATTGAAGCGGCTGGTCTTACGGAAAAGGCTGTGGTGGACGGCCGCGCTTATCGAGAGTGGTATCAAAACCATCATGTCTACCTTCAAGGTCAAGAACAAAGTCTTCGAAACGACATCCGTCGCTTCACCCCCCTCCCACCGTCTTCAATGAACCACCACCTGCAAGCCTATCAAGAGGCCCTAGCCGCCTATAGAGAGGCTCTTCGTCTGTACGGAGTACAACCATCTCGCGGTTGATCCCTTCTAAGAGAGGGAGTGTCAGAGTTTTACTCTGATAACTGGCACATGACCAACGCCACCAACTTCCAGATCTATCCATCGCCACTGACTACGGGAGCCATCAATCATAACGACGATATGTCGCTTTTGCCGGCGCATGTCGTCGTCGAGGCTGCGGAGCCAATTGTAGAAAACCAGCTTCTCCATGTAACCATTGCCAGAAGTATCTATGTCGATATCATTGAGGATAACAGAGGCAAGTGCCCTCGGTTTGCGCTTGCCTGTTTTTTGAATAAAAAGACACAGTATTAATGTTCATACATAATACACAAAACAAAAACAAAATACCCCTCTTTCTCTAATATAAACATACTCAGCACTAACGGCTTCCTCTTGTCCAATCCAGTGGAATTCGAGCAGAACAAAATAGACACTCTCGTCGAGCGGACAACCTTGCGACCATGAAAGCGTTTGGAGTCCAGACTTTTGTTAGAGATGGCTCGAAGATACAGTCCTGTCTCGTCGCAGTTGTAGATATCCTCCAAATTGAAGCGTAACAGCTGAGTTTTTATCTCGTCGGTGCGTGCTCTTACAGCTTCAAGGTCGACCGATCCACTCTCGCCATGTCCAATCCGCAGCTTGATCATTCGGCTGTTCTTGAATCCTGAACACCAGCCTGCACTGAAATGACATTCTTTTGGTGCGGTTTCTTTGCGGAAAAGAGGTTTCATAGCGGTCCAGATCGCCAAAGCCTCTGCTCTTAAATTCTTTTCGAGAACACAGATGCCTGTTTATCGCGTAGTGTAGTAGTAAATTAGTTAGACGAACAGAACACAATAGATGTATTTTTTTTCTTTCGCATACCAACAGAAAAATGTTTACCTTGATCTCGCTGCTTTCTAAACCACCCCATAAGTGCGTCCTCGACAGGCAGCATGTTGCGTTTATACAGTTTTGTCCTTTTATTCGCTTCCTCGGTTGCTTGCTCTTTAAAGGTAAGGATTCCATCCCTGAGCTTGAGGATTGTCGAGACCGTTGTGGGAGATACGCTGTACTTGTCAGCAAGGCTCTTGTTTGTGACCTTGACATTCTTGCTCTGGAGGTCGTCGTACTCTTTAATAAGGTAGGCCTTTCGAGCAAGTGGCAGGTTCTTCTTTGTTGGGTTGGTTTTGAGTGGTGGCATGGTGAATGTTGCTGTGGAGAGATGTGTTATGGAGAAGGAATGAAGAAAGCAAGTTAATCACATAGGAAGTCCATATCCCAGCAACATGTAAACAAACGTCATAGTTACTCCTTATTCAGTCTGATTGAAAAATATATTTGCAAAGAATATTCTCAGTATAATGGAAAATTTTCCATCATATCCAGAAAAGACTGATAAACCTAATATGTTGCACTGCCCTTGTCTCGCCCTTTGTCCTGCCCTTGTCCTGCCTTGAATTGTGTTCGACCGAAATGTCAAACCTCGTTCGCCCTGCCTGCCCAGTCTAGATTCACGACAGCCTCCTATCCAGATCGATGCTGCCACGGTCGTCGTGCACGATTTTCTTTGAATACACCAAACACCAGAAGGCCTTGTGATTGTATGCTCTCCAGTCTGTCCTGTAGCACATTCGATCCAATTTTTTCGGGGACAGTGCCGCTGGTGTTGGACGGAGTGATAGTATCGTAGACTGTTCTCTTACTTCGCCTCCACTCTTCACAACAACCGCGCCCCCACTCCCCCTAACAACCACGCCTCCTATATATTAGTATAGATACCTTTCTGTCCACAGCATCCGTTTCTAGCCTTTCCTCTTGTCCCTACTACTCTCTTATCCTTTCTCTCGTTCTTGTCTCTCTCTGTTCCCCTGTTTGCATCCCCTTTCTCTGTTAGTGTTACAGACGGAAGGACTAGTAAATCCAAGAAGTAGAGACTCAGCCTCGATTCAACATTTTCGATGACGATTATTGGTAAATGCACAGAAATATATGTAATATTTTTTTTACTTTTGCAAATATGTCATATTGTAATGCTCAATAAGCTGAGCCACGTATGCCAGGGGATTGGCCGGTGGACGCTGCGTTCAAATCAATCTTCAACACAAACTGCTTCACCCACCTTATCTGCTGAGGGACTCTCTTGTAAACTTTACCAGTCGAACTCAAGTACTTTTGCGCTCGGAAACCGTCATAGATCTCACCAGGAACAACGAAGATCAACAGAGCGTCATCAGAGGAGTCAATCCAGTTTTGTCGAATGAGACTGCCGAGAAGGGTTGAGAAGGGTGGCCCCTTGATATCGTGTTTCTTGGATACGGTAACTTGGAACAGGTGTCGTGGTGCCAATAACAGGTCAACACATGCATAGTTGCTCTGCTTTGGTATGTGCAATACCCCAGCCGATTGTGCGGGAATCTCCTTGAACAATTCCACCCTTGGATTAGCCGGGATTTCGAAAGTCGCAATCGTCCCATCTCTAAGATCCTTGACTTGAAACTCACAGCCGCCCTTTCGAAATATGTGTCGCACGTATGTTTTGAACATGACCCCCCTAGCAGCTCCATCGGTATCGTCAACGAGACTCTCCAGTATCGATTTCCAAGCGGAATCCTGGAGCAATTTGCTGACTTCCTCTGCGACATGTGCTGAAGCCCATTCCAAATGAAAGTCTTGGTGATTATCCGAGGGCCAACGGTGGAGAAGACGGCCGCTGAACTCTAACGAATCCCTCCCTTGCCGAAAGCATTGCATCACCTTCAGCGGCTCTTTGACGGAATCGATGGCCAGCCGAACACGTTCATACGCGCTCTTCTTGGCGCCGGCTTTATCATCGGGATCGAGGCTCAGTACGTCCTTTGGTTTTTCCAGGACATATCTCGGCACGCCGCCTACCAGGTCGTAGAGCTCCCCCATGAAATCCTTGGTTACCGCCTCAAAGCCCCTGATACCGCCCCGGCACTTCTCCAGCTCCTCCAGCACCCATGGGGCCATGTAGTAACGCCATGGTACTCGTTTGTCGATTTCCTGATATTGGTTCATCTCGGAATACAGGGTCTTCGGTGATGCCGCTATAACGGTCCTTGCTTCAACAAGCTGTGGGTCCGGGGAGCTGTCGACTAAATACCACGTTTCGCCTAGACCGAGGAAGGGCCAAAAATCCTCGATGTCTCCATAGCGTAGAGTAGACACACCGCCATACACGAAGCACTTGGAGACCCCTTTCTGATGGAAAACGACAATAGGCGGATCGTCGTCATGACTTGTAGCAAGAAGTCTGATGGTGAAGTATACAAGGAAGGCCGATTTCCCGATGCCTGATGTCCCAGTGACAACAACGCGCTTCAACGCCCTATTCTTAGGACTGTCTCGAAATTTAAGCTTAAGTTCGTTGTAAAGATCCTTGTAGGCTTGTCGAACGTAAAGGTCTTCTGTGTAGACCACAGGGAATCGAGTGCTGGAAGGTGTGGATAATAGATCCAACTCTTGGAAAGGTTGACGATTTCGGCAGGCGCGGGCAGTGCTAGACAACGAGTCGAAAATGTCATCTTCAACCTCCCGACCAATGAAAGCAAGCAGTGAGACCCTTTCTTTGTTGTCTAGACGAGAGAGGTAAGCGCGGCCGTCCACCACAGCCTTTTCCGTAAGACCAGCCGCTTCAATCGCATCCTTCAGCGTATACATGTATGGACGCTTCCTATTGGACGAGGACCCTAGTAAATGAAGCGGCGTACGAGCAAAGAGAGACCCCAAGAATATTAGCATCTTCTACCATGTCCACGAATGATTAAGAACAATGAGGCCGTTTGAAAATGGTCATAAACACAGTCAAATACAAGCTATTCACCTGCATCTTCCTCACGGTCTCTTTTCGCAACTATAGGAAGTAAAAAAGAAAACATAGGTAATATTGCGAAAGGGTATTACAAATACCATAGCGTTATGCTGGAATGTCACGAGCAAGGCGTAATTGAACGCAAAAGGCGCGTTTGTAATACCTGAGAGGGGTCGCTGGACAATGATGTGGACTGTCTCTTCAGGCAGCTCCGCAGGGAACACCTTTGAGAGACGCGTGGCCGGGCCGAGCCTTTTTTTGCTGCTACTGGGGACATGTTCGAGCAGGATGGGAGTGTCGTCGTCGTCTTCTGTGATTGGGATTGAGACTCTCCAGAGGGCGAGATCCTCTGCTTCCAGATCCTTGAACCAGATAGGCTTGCTGAGATGGATTCTGCTTCTCAGTTGACTAAAAGTCATTTCGGATGATGTGTCCACTGCGAAGACTTTCAACATGGGGTCACCGTCAACAATACACAACAGACTCTGGCTATTGTCAGCCATGGTGTTGCGAAGAATCAAATGAAAAGAAGAGTGGAGAAGTCGAGGTGCGAAAGAAAAAAAGGCGAAAGGATGAAAGAAAGTGTGTGGTCAAAGGAAAAGAAAGAAGACAGGCAAGGGATTAAAAGAGCGTGGGAACGGATGAAGGTGTGGAAATAGTGGCAATAAGGGAGCGGTGAGAAACAAACGGAAAGTGGGGAAGAGATGATACGATAAAAACGATGAGTGAAAGGAATCGAGTGATGGTAAAGGTGACGAAGTAAGTGCGGAAGATGATGGAAAGGTGTGGGCGTTGAAAGTGTGGCATGGAGGCGTAAGGACAATGGGCGGGAGAAAGGAGGACAATAGGGGGTTTCAATCTTTGACATTGGCCAAAAAAAAAATAAGCGCTGATTTCGATGGCTTATTTGAAATACATCTGCCCTCGAGGTGGTGTATTTCAAAGTAAGCAAAGGCGGTAATATGAATAGAAGGTCGTTTTACACATCACTTCTTGGACGAGAGCAGTATTGACAAGAGTTTCGCTGGCGCGCTGCAGTGTATCGTTTCGTGTGATTCTTTAGGACGCTATTATCACTATCCCCGACTATCAACCCCCCCTCAGCCTACAACCCCTCCCCCCGTACCAATTGAGGACTTAACAGCGGTCCTACAACTCTGGCCTTCGACCCTCTCCCCTGAGTAACACCGTCTTGATCTCTTAAAAAATCAGGCACAATCTCAACTGGTTTAATTTATTTCGCCATTTACGAAAGGAGAGTGGCACAGAAAAACATACAGCCATAGAACGAGAGGAAACAAAGTCCAGAATATGTGGTCACAGAAAGATGACACAACGAACAGTAGAAGCAAACGACTTGTCTATCAGTTTTATTCCTACTGTCGGGAGCCATCCTGGTTGTTTGTTCAGTCGTTGCTCATGAACCCCTTTGCATATCCCTAAACAGCCGCATTCCTCTTTCTCTCTCTCGCTCTCTCAAGCGCCATGTTTACTTTTTTTATTGACCATTCGCATGACTGACCAAACGTGGGCCAAAGCTTTGTTGTTGCTCAAAACTACCCATTGTTGAAGCCAATGCTTGTCCTGTCACAGCCCTTCCCATGGTAACACAGCGGGACGAATGCACGTCGAGAATATTCTTTGTTCACCTTCTCCCTTCTTGTAACATCTCTCTTTTTCGCACACCCATTCTTTTCTACTTTCCTTTCACTTCACACATACCCATCCCCCAGCACCACCCACAACACACCTTTCATTTTCTTCCAACCCTCTCACACATCCACACATTCATCAATCCATTTATCTATCACCTCCTTCGCCATAGAATGCTACAAGGAGACAGCCCTCAGGATCTGATCCAGGCACTCCGCTCCGTCAACAGGGGTATCCCACCAAACTCCATTCCCCCTGCCATCCCTGATGAGATCTATCATGTTGATACCCAACTCGACCCCGACACCCAAAAGGCGTTCATTTTCTGGGACGATATCATCCAAGCATTTGATAACGCAGTACAAGTCCGTCATAAGACAAGAGTCGTTCCGTTCCTCAGAGGAGAAGACCAGTCGTTGTAGGTGTCGAGGATATGAGGGCTACTACTGGTGATAATGCATGTTGTGGGCGAAGGTATAGCGAAGGAAGGTGACAATCATACTAATTTTTGTTTTTATTGGACAATGAAAAACATCGCCTCTAGTCTTGAGCCTCGCAGGATAGCCGCCTTGCCGAACATCGTCTTGGATGTGGTCGTAGATGCTCCAGTGACCAATAATGCGAGGGTCACTTTTCCCCAGGACCGACAGGTCGAGCTTCAGCCAGTGCCACCACAGGATGACAGCACGATAAAGGCAGAGACTATCTCCCAGAACTCCACACCAGCATCCAGTACTACGTCCAGGTCCAGTGTTGAGGTTGAGCCAAACATTACGTCGTCATCCAGTACCCCTTCCACTGTAACTTCCACTGTCCGACGGAACCCAGTCTACGGTCTTGTAGAGGAAGCGATAGAAAACTACACTCACATCGATAGACCCCTTGCGTTCCCGTCCGCTCGAGGTCCGCAAGAAGTGTTGGACGATCGAGCACCAGCCGTCAAGGATCTTCCAACCAATCCTCGTTCTGACGACGACAATAACTCCCAGCAGCGTGGACCTCAGAGCGCAACAGCCAATGTGTCCGTGGAACTGCAATTCGCGCGGATAATCATTAGTGCTAGTGAGGGGAACAAGGACGCCCAGGTCGCGCTTGGCGACATGTACAGGGACGGCAAGGGGGTTGCGCAAGACTATCAGGCGGCCATGGATTGGTACTTCAAGGCGGCCGAGCAAGGAGGCGCAGCTGGGCAGCAGAGTGTAGGCGCCCTCTACAATGACGGATTCGGTGTCCCACAGAATTACTTAATAGCTATGAAATGGTACCTCAAGGCGGCCAATCAAGGACATGCTTCCGCTCAACACAGCGTCGGAGCTCTCTACCTCCATGGTCGAGGTGTTCCCAAAGACTACGCAGAGGCGAAGAAATGGTACCTCAAGGCCGCCGAACAAGGAGATGCTGTTGCTCAATATAGCATCGGAGTTCTCTACGACCGTGGCCACGGTGTTCCCAAAGACTACGCAGAGGCGATGGAATGGTTCCTCAAGGCCGCCCAGCAAGGACATATGAGATCTCAATTCAACATCGGCGTCTACTACGAAATTGGCCAAGGAGTTTCCCAAGACTACGCACAGGCGATGGAGTGGTACCTCAAGGCCGCCAATCAAGGACACACGGCCTCACAATATAACATCGGCCTACTTTATAAAGACGGCCAAGGCGTTCTTCAGGATTATACAAAGGCCGTGGAGTGGTTCTCTAAGGCTGCTGACCGAGGACATAAAGGCGCCAAGGGAGAATTGGAGGCCTTGAAGAACAAGGGTGTTACTGTGAACTAAAAAATAAAAAAAATCTACAATGATTCATCGAAATTCGGATGCGACGGTGGAATGGGTAAACAGTTTTCATCACTCATGACTGATCACTCGGGCGTGCGACTTATCGCTCAGACCTTTTCTTTTCTTTTGATTCCAACAAACAGGCGATGATTGTTGCGCAATAATAGTACGTTTATTATTATCTTTCTCTACGTCTACTTCAAATGTTCGTCTTCCTCTGTTCCTTTCTCCTCCCTTCCTACATCCAGCATCTACCACACCTCACACTTCTTGTTAGGGTTCATAGGCGCACTCGCCTTACACTTGAACGCCTTTGCGAAATCGGGCGAGTTCTGGGCGGCGCCGTTGATTCTCCATTGGGGAGGCGAATGGTTGTTGTGGTTGACGAGGTCTACAAGTGACTCTGGTGTCATCTTGGTGCACCACAGACGGCCGTAGGAGATGAAGAAGAGTTGTTCCGGGGTATATTTATCCAGGCCTGGGAGTTTGAAGTTTGCGACCCTGTAGGATAGCGGAGAAGGAGGTGGTGGCGGCGGTGGTTGGAATGTGTGAAAAAAAAGTGGGGGGGGTTAAATTAGATTATACTTTTAGGTAGGAGTGCCTGTGGCGCAAAATAAAAAAGGAGGTAGAAAAAGGGGACTTACTTGTTCCCCTTTGGATCAGACTGGAAACGACTCTGCCAACTGCGGAAGGCCATCTTGATGCCGGCGTTATCAGCAAGGTTCTCGGGGAGAGTCATTTCTCCGTTCACGTTGACATTCTCGTTCTTGGGTCCCTTGATGGTGTATTTGTTGTACTGGTCCACAAAGCACTTGGTCTTGTCTTCGAATGCCTGCGATGTTGCGTTTGTCCACCACTAAAAAATGGACATAATGAGGAAGCGTGTGTGTATATATGTGTTAGCGAGGCAGAGGTTATTGTGAATGTGGGTGTATGTACTGGTGATTGAGAATGTGCGAAAAGAATGGAGGCGAGGTTTGACCTACATTCATGTAGCGACCGACGGAGTCGAAGTAGCGACCATTGTTGTCGAATGCGTGCTGTTTTTGTGGAGTACAAAAAAGTGAGGGAGAACAAATTGAGATCAGAGAAATGAATCAGCAAAGTGGCGGATTGTTCAGCGGAACTGAGAAATGGAAAAAAAAGGGGGGGGAGGGGGGGAGGGGGGGCTTACCCCGATCTCGTGGCCACCAATGGTGCCCATGCCTCCATAGTTAACATATTCTGGGTTCTCAAAGTGAAAGACGGGGGTCTGCAAGATACCAGCGGGGATATATATCGAGTTGGATGATGCGCTATAGAACCCATTGACCGTCGTGAGCGACATGCCGAACGCATCCCGGTCCACAGGCAAAGGAAGCGCCGCAAAGGCCTTGGCAGTCGTCCAGCGCATAAACCTGACCTGGTTTCCGAAATAGTCCTTGCCGGCGACATCATAGCCCCTGTAAAAGTCGTCCAGCGACTTTGCAGAGACTTCGTCGGGGTTCTCGGTTGAGTATCCTATAGCTTTGACAATCGCCTTCAGCTTCTTGACGGCGCCGTCGCGGGTGGTCTTGTCAAGCCAACCGAGGGTAGGGAAGTTCTTCTCGTAGCTGGAAATGATGTTGTCGACGATGGCCAGGGCTTCTTGGCGACTGTTGTCCTTGAACACGGCTTTCACAAAGTAATGTCCGGTAATATGGACTAGGTTTGTGTTGGTGACAGTCATACAGGTGGCCCAGCGGTCGTTCGGGGCGGCCGCAGAGATACCATTCGTAAATCTGTCAAAGTTGACCTTGGGCTGCTTGTAGGGCTGGGCCAAGTTTTCGGAGAGACTGCGGATGAGGACCCAGGTAAAGTAGCGCTGGAAATTCTTGGACGCGGTCTTCTTGAGGAGTCCTTCGAGCTTGTTGTGGAAGATCATGGAGGAGGCTATGATGGGGCCATTGTATTTGAGGCCAGAAGGGAAGGACTCTTGAAGAAAGATGGACCAATCGATCGAGGGGGTCATAGCATTCAGCTGCTCCATAGTGACCAGACGCCTATTGTTCTTTGGGTCCAACATATCGCTAAACGTAGTCCTGATGGCCGCGAGCTGGATCTCAAAGTCGACAGCATCCTTGGCAGCATCGGCCCACTCCTTTTTGATGTCCTTGGGAGTTAGTGGCTTTCCCCGTTTGGCAACATCCTCGTCACCCAAAACGGTCTGAAACATGGTTGCAACAGTCACCCTGTACTCCTCGACCGTTTTCTCATCCCTGTAGAGGTTCGGGGATGCCAGACCCAACCCACTCTCAGAGATCGTCAACATGTTGGCCTCCGGGTTGTTGAAATCTACGGAGACCTTGAGGCTGAGAAATCCCGGGTTCAAGAACCCATACTGAGCAATCTGGCCCAAAGTCCTGCTGAGGGTCTTTTTGTCGACGGGGGAATCCGAGACCGGGAAGGACTTGATGAACTTTTGGATTTCGTCGTAGAGGGGTTTGCGACCGACCTTGGAAATCGCCTTCTCGTCCATGCAGCTGCCAAAGAGGTCTTGGATCTTCTTGATATTGTTCTGGGCGGCGACGTCTCCGGCGGGTGCCTTGGGGGTCTTGCCCTGTGAGGGGTCGACGATCGTACGGAGAATGCGCTATGACGCCGAAAGGTAAGTGTAGATATCGTGTGTTACGGTGTATTCTACAGCAAATGAGTTGAGAATATTTATTTCTTGTGGGATTGAATGAGTACTTACATCGTTGTTTTCGTTCAGGAAATCGAATGGTCCGATCTGACCCCTGCCAGCAGGGATGTCGTTCTTCTTGTAGAATCCACCGCCTGAAATTGTGATGAGATCGACATAGAAAAATAAAAGAAGGGTAAAATGATGGTGAGCTCTTTTGCTATGCTGTGTTTTGTTTTGCTCAGGAGAATACAGGGGGGGAAGAGGATGAGGAGGGAGGGAGGGACTTACAAGTAAACTTGGCAAAGTCCTGGCAGGGATCGACAGATGGATCCATGTCGCTAATGATCCCGTTTGCTGTGAGTTTACATTGTGCACTCTTGCATGTGGCCTGGTGAAGTGTATGAAAAATACGGAGGGAGAACGAAAGTAGGAGAAACGGGAATCAATGATATGAAAACATTGAATTCGTGTCGGCAACTAAAAAAAAACAAATAATACCAAAAGAGTGAGAAGACACAAAAAGTACCTTGTTGTCGAAGGATGGCTTGTCCGCACGGATGCTGATAGGACCAGCCTGAACAACACCCAGAGCGACACCAATCGCCATAAGGATCTGAATCTTTGGAGCAACCATTATTTTATGTGAATGCGTTATAAGAAATAGGGTGAGAAAGGGAGGGGTCGTTACAAAGGAAGAGAGAGGGAGGGAAAGGGTGAGGGAAGAAAGGAGGAGTGAGGATCGATGGTAGCAAATAATCAACAAACAGAAACACCAGGGGGATTCCTCACTTCTTATACCAAACATGACGCCCTCCTCTTGGGCTGTATTCTTCTTTTTCAGGAGTAATGGCGCCCTCTTGTGTTCACGGTTCAGTTTTTCCCCCACTTTAGCATTCCCGGACATGAATCGGGCGGGGCTGTCTGTTTTCATAGAAATGTATTCCCGGGGTTGGTACCTGCATGAACTCTAGGAAAACCTTGCGTGTTCGTTCAGATGAACGATGCGGCCCATGACCCACCTCTTGTCTCCCGTTGGTAAAGCTCACAGAGAACTACACCCATAGAGTAATGCGGACACCAAGTGCTCACCATTTTTACATTTCTCAGCTAGAGGCCGTGTCCCAAAAAAATGAGAGCTCTATATGCATTTTTTTCTCGTTGTGCCAATTGATGCAATGGCAAACAACAAACAGAAAGTTCTCCCATTCGACTACCGTTCCCGTCTGGGGATGCATGCATACTTGCAGGCATATATGAGTGTCTATGTTTTTCAATCTTTTTATTTCTTTGCTCACATCGAGCTTACAATCAATCACCACGTCATCCAACTACACAATCCATCCTTTCACAAGAAATGTCTCATCGGTTGGCGCCAACATGTCTCTTGAATGCTCTCCTAAAAGCTTATGGGTTGAACCATTACCGGGAACCACAACCGACATGGCTTTTCATGGGAAGCTCATTATGCTACAACGACATTGAAAGAAGAGAAGTGAGAAAGTTGAATCTCTTGGCGAGCTGTATAAGAAAGGTACATGGAAAACATGACAAAGGAGGAGTGAAAGAGTGAGTGCACGCAAGGATGGGATAGACGAACAGCAAACGCCAAAAAATGTCAGAGAGCAATGGTCACAAATGAACAACGGTGTACACAAACACCATCCAATCCAAGGTCCGCAGGGGCAGGGAGTGTTCTCTTGTAGCACAAAGTACACTCTGTCAAGTAAGGTATGTTTTTCTTTTCGCTCTTGTGGCTCACTGTTCGTTCTCACACAATCTTATCATTCTCGCACCAACCTGCTCTTGTTGCTTAAGGAATGAAAACGTAAAAATGATCTCAATGTGTCTTCAAAAGTTATGTCTATAAAGAACCCACTCTTGGTTACTTACTAGGACCGACATCTACCAGACTTCACACTTCTTCCTCGGGTTCATAGGGCTACCAACAGGATAATTGAAAGTCTTTGCGAAATAAAGAGAGTTTATAGCGTCACCACTGATGCGCCACTGGACAGGAGAGAAGGTATCGAGTTCGGTGACTTGCGTTCGTCTGACCGTCGGTGGGGTTGAAATTGATTCCTGTGTTGTCGAAAGCAAACTACAAAAGTAAAAGAATGAGCGTGAACACTGTGTTCAGACAATGAAGAAAAAAACCTTGACGCTCAATTAGTCACACATACAAGCAAGTACGTTACCCGATCCCGTTGCCTATAAAGGCGCCGATCCTGCTATAATTGGCATACTCCGCGTTCTCGACATGGAAAAACAGCATCTGTAGGATCCCCGCCCCCAACTCGATCGAGTTCCCCGTGGCCAAATAGGACCCTAACACATCCGGAGGCGGAATGTTCATCGCCTCGCGGTCATGATGTAGAGTGAGCTGGGAAAAGGACGTGGCGGCTGACCAGAGAGAGTACTTGACCTGGTTGGCAAAGAAGTCATCAGCGACGATGGTGTAGGCTTGGTGGAAATCATTCAGAGACAGTGAAGAGGTGGCGATAGGGCTGTTGATCGAGTAGCCGAACGCCTTGGCCATGAACGTGAGTTTCTTAATGGCTACATTGCAAGTTTCTTGTTCGAGCCACTTGACAGTGAGAATATTACTTTCGTAGGTGGCCATGATGGTGTCTAGATCGCAATGGCATAATTGCGGCTCTGGTACTTGAAAGACTAGTGCACAAAGTAGTGGACGAGCAATGTGCATCAGGTTCGTGCTTACGATTCTGATGCAAGTCAACACGTGCTGCACACTCACAGCCAGAGCAACTGTTGTTGCGGCCTTTTTGTAGGCGACCAAGGGTTGCGCGTAGGGTATGCTCAGGTGTTTGGTCAGGTTACGGCTAAGGATCCAGGCGAGGTAATATTGGAGTCTTGGTCGAGGACTTCAAAAGGAGTGCATCCAACTTGGCGAGGTATGCTGGAGACGAGACAACTATGGGGCGCGTATCATGGAAGCCATCAGGAAAGGTCTCCTGAAGTAACAAAAACCACTCGATCGAGGGGTCCTTCAAATACTGCTCTAGAGTCATTATACCCCTCAGCTGCGTTTCGAAACCGAGGACTGCCTGGCCACATCGACTCAGTTCTGCTTGGTATCCTGAGAGTTCAATGGCTGATTCTTGGTGGCAACATCCTCGTCTCCCCAAGATAATCTGGAACATGACTGCCATGGCACCTGTGTACTGCGGCGCTACTTCCACATTCATATAGTCGTCAGCTGATTTCAGTCCTGAACCACCCTCATCGGCATACAGTACTTTGACCAAACGATTATACAGTACCTTGACCGATTGGTCACATGAACACTGACTTGGTGATTGATGAAAGTAAGGGATTCGAAGCCATACTTGACAACCAGGGCCAATGTCTTGGACAGGGCGTTCTTGTCAGCTGGAGAATCCGAGAAAGAAAGGGCTTGGGTGTTTTGTTTTATCTGATCGGCAAGAGGTTCGCGACCGGCCAGAAGGACTGCGTTAATATCTATGCAGCTCGAGAAGAGATCCTGCATTTTCCTGATGTTGATCTGGGCGGCCACGTCGTGGATGATGTTGGATGCTGTTTGGACACGCTGTAGAGTCGTGCAGTTGGCTTAGAAAACGAGAGGAGAGTGAAACAGAATCGGTCAAGAAATACAAACTAAATCAAGGTAAACAAACGAAATCGAAAAATTGAGCATCGTGGGAGAGTCAAAGGTGTAGGAAGGAGGAAGGAAGCTCCTTCTTGATGAGGGATGAACATTTGTTGCCGTGGCTGTTGTCGACAGAACTGGTCTGAACGACGCTGAAGGCGACATTGATCACCTTCAGCAATTAGATCTTTGCTGTGACCATTGTTTTTTTATACGAAGAGTGTGAAAAAGGAGGGAAGGGTCGTTAGGATGAGAGAGGGAGAGAGAGTAGTGAATGGGATGGAGGGTCGATGATGAAAAAATTGACCAGATGAGGGACGCTCTCCACTTTATGTACCCCAACAATGTAACGATGACCAAGGTGAGGACTGGTGTTCATTTGGATCCAAGGAATGGTTAGTGGTCCAGTCATACAGTCATACTCCAAGGGTAAAGAAATGTCGCCATGGGTCTCCCGTCGTCCCTCCCTTCACTCTCCCCCAGCATAGACAACCAAGGCCAAAGTATGCGCTAAAATGCTATGGATCCTTGCACCCAACGCCTTGTCCAAGAACGATGCGATGAGAATGTCCTGTGGCAGTCCAATCAACGCTCATCGTTTGTTTTCTTTGCACCAATGTTTTCTCTAACTGAATGTTCAAATACAAGGACCTTTCCCCCTGACAAATCTAAAAATGAATCCCTTGCCTTCTTTCGTTCTCCTTTCTTCCTCATAAGCTTTTTTTGGCCGCCCAATTCTTCACTTTCACTCTACCCTTCCTCACTTTCACCACCCAACTCTCTATCGCCAACACACAACGCCGCTTCATGACAATATCAACAAGGCTCGTAACGCTAATGGTCGTCGGGATAGCCTTGGGTATTGTCGTACGAACTGAAGTGGTCTGTGCCGCATTGGACAAACGTGCACCTGCCATTGAATCACCGTTGCTTGACAACCAAGTAAATTTTTCTCACTCCCTTTGCAATAACACACCCTGGCGCTATATTAGTTCGTGTAACGTTCACACATTACCTTTTTTCTCTCTTCAACAATTGTACATCTTACTTCACTGAAGGCTACTTGCACGACCCCACAATGTCACATTACGGCCGAGGAGATCCTAAACGACATGAACCCGGAGGTGGATCCTTGCCAGGAATTCAGTCAGTTCAGCTGTACGTAACACCCTCTCCCCCTTCATGGTGTTCACTTCAATACGCCCGCTATTGTATCTCCTTAGAAATTTTACACAGCCTACGCTTTACTCTTTTGTTGACTCCCTTTGCACCTGCCTCATCTAACCCCTTGTTTTTTTTCTCCCGTTTGCTATACCGGGTTGTTGATGTGGTGGGATAGGTGGCGGGTTCATGAGCAAGCAGGAGATCCCTGGCGACCAAGCAACAACGGACTACTTTAACATCCTCTACAACAAAAACAACGTAACTTTCTCCAGTTCATGATTTGCGCATATGCGTTTGTGAAATGGGGATGAGAATAAGTTATTTTTCAAGGCATGAACACCCACTCTTTTTTCTCATTTTCGTCATAGGAGGCGATCCGAGCAATTGTTGAGCCGTCTCTCAGCAAATCACCCCCACCGCCTTCTGATACTATAACAAAGGATGAATCAAATGCATCTCAAGCCAACCTCCAAAAACTACAGGACCTCTACTCTGCCTGCATGGATGAGGATGCACTCGTCAAAGTAGGGCGACAACCGATATCCGACCAACTTCAGGCCATCCTCGCCTCCTTTCCTCCCAGCAGTACTACAACGGCTACCAAAGGATTCGACACCCCTGACCACAAGGAGATCTTGACAAAGGTGCTGGCGCAGCTATTGAAGCAAGGGCTGGCAGGGTTTGTGGATATCGCAGTGATTACGGATCTGGTGGAGCCATTGATTCACACGCTGAATTTGAAGGAGAGTGGACTGGGATTGCCCTCGAAGGGGTACTACAAGGATATCAAGATTGCGCAGATCTACGAGGACACTATCGCGCAGATGTTCCAGATCGTCTTGGGAGATGAGGATGTCGCAGCCAGCGGTCAGCCTTCAGTGGGTTCGGATGTGGAGCAGGAGTGGAAGGGTGCTGCCAAGGATGTGGTTGGGTTTGAGGCACAACTGGCAGCAATCGGGACAGAGCTTGTCGACCAGTATGATCCCATAAAGGCCAACAACCCTCGCACCATCGCCCAGCTATCTGACCTCGTCCCTTCTATCGACTGGACTCTGTTGCTCGCGGAGATCCTTCCTCAAGGTGTCACCAATACACGTCCTATTGTCGTCCAATCTCCACAGTACCTTACTCAACTACAGATCATTCTCCAGGCCACAACCCTTAGTACACTACGCCACTACGTTAGATGGGTCGCTATCAAGGGTCTCGGACCAAATCTGGGACTTCCTTACCGTCGACCACTCCAGTTCCTGAAAGCTGCCATCGCAGGTACATCACCGGACCTTCAGACGGTCCGTTGGGGGGAGTGTGTAACTGTAGTCAACACCAACTTGGGTGACATGTCGGGACACTTTTTCGTTCAGGAGTTCTTCAAGGGCAACAGTCGCCAGTCAGTGATCTCCATTATCGATTCTCTCCTTCAGACCTACGCTCAGGCATTCCCTACATTGCCATGGCTCGACGAGCCAACTCGCGCTGGTGCCGTCCAAAAGATCGATGCGATGCAAAAGCTCATCGGTTACACGACCAACGGACCCAACGTCGCCTCCTCGATCTCCCTCCAGTCCTACTACTCTAACTTGACTATCTCCAAGTCTGATCACTTTGGAAACCAGATTCGATATGCCGTCTGGGACAAGACACGGGAGAAGAGTCTGCTAGACCAGCCAGTGAATCAGAAAAAGATGCGAGATCCCCCACAGACCGTGGATGCATTCTATGATGGTCAGAGCAACCATATTATATTCCCGGCCGGGATTTTACAACCTCCGTTCTTTCGTGTTGATAACCCAGAGTATTTGAACTATGGAACCATGGGCGTTGCTGCCGGACATGAGATCACCGTACGTATCATTTTTTGTTTGCGTACCTGCAGTTGACTTTTTCTGTTTTCGTGTCCTTCTCTTGACACTGACTTCTTTTTTATCTTTCATTTATTTACATAGCATGGCTTTGACAACTTAGGAAAGAACTATGACTACACCGGCCGAGTAAAGAACGTAAGCAAAAAAAAACACGCATCTCCACGCTCCCTCTATTATCGTGTATTGTTACCTCCTAACTCACATTTTTTTCACCCCACCTCCCTCCCTCCCTCCCTTTTTTTCTTTTGTAGTGGTGGACAAATGCGACAGAAAAAGCATTCAGCGAAAAATCCCAATGCTTCGTGAACCAATACGGAAGCTTTTCCATCAAGGGACCAGACGGCAAGGACCACAACGTCAATGGACAATTGACACTGGCGGAGGACATTGCCGACAATGGAGGACTGAAACAGTCGTACAGGACATGGCAGTCTCGCTTCCAGTCTGATCCCTCTGGTGCCATGTAAGTTCCCCTTCATATTTGGTTAGAGTTTGTACAGGACAGCAAAATCGCATTGACACACCCTTTACTCTTCATTTTTTTTTTACACCCCTGAACGCACAGATACAAGAATTTCAAGTTACCAGGCCTGGAGAAGTACACACCAGACCAACTCTTCTTCATCTCGTTCGGTCGTCTGTGGTGCAGCAAGGAGAGACCCGAATGGTTGTTACAATTGATTCGAAGCAATGGACATCCTCCCTGGAGATTTCGTGCCAATGGAGCAGTCCAAAACTCTGTCGAATTCTCGCGGGCTTTCAAGTGTCCCGAGAATAGTCCTATGAACCCTGCCAACAAGTGCACACTGTGGTGAAGACACATTGTTTTGCGTTTTTTTTTTAGTTTTTTGCCTTCGTATGTAGATACTCTATCGTCTTCTTTGAATCTTTCCTTGGACATTACTTTTTCTTTCTCTGCAAAAAGAAAAATATAAATCCATCTTACGTTTCCACCAGAAACTTCCCTATCATCTCTCAGCCTCGCGCCTAAAAGTTGTACGTCTTTATTCTCGTACTCTGTTCTGAAAGTTATAATGCTTCCATAGTCACTGATGCAATCACCTCTCATTAGGAGAATTTTTTTGTTTATTTTTTCTTATTCTCATGAATTGAGGTGTCATTTCCTTTTGGTAGTACACAACCATTTCTTTTAAAACGTTCAATTCTTTCTTGGCGCCATTATTTCCTCGGTCGGCAGCCAAAGAGAACCACTCAACGGCCTTTGTATAATCCTGGGGTACACCTTGGCCATTATTATAAAGTAGGCCGATGTTGAATAGAGCAACGTCGTACTCTTGCTCGGTGGCCTTGAGGAACCAATCCATCGCTTGTGCGTAGTCTTGGGGAACACCTCGGCCGTGGCGGTAGAGAACTCCGATGCTGTTTTGAGCAAAGGTATCACCTCGATTGGCGGCCTTGAGGTACCAATTCATCGCCTGATGTGTGGTCTTTGGGAACACCTTGGCCATTGTCGTAGAGAAGGCCGATGCTGTATTGAGAGGCGGTATGCCCTTGATCGGCGGCCTTGAGAAACCAGCCCATCGCTTGTTTGTAGTCCTGAGGAACGCCTTGACCTTGCTTGTGGAGAAGGCCGATGCTGTACTGGGACTCGACATGCCCTTGGTTGGCGGCCTTGAGGTACCATTCCATCGCCTGTGCGTAGTCCTGCCGAACACCTTGGCCAATGTCGTAGTAGACGCCGATGTTGTATTGTGAGGCGGCGTGTCCTTGATTGGCGGCCTTGAGGAACCACTCCATCGCCTGAGCGTAGTCTTGAGAAACTCCTTGGCCAATGTCGTAGTAGACGCCGATGTTGAATTGAGATCTGGTATGTCCTTGCTGGGCGGCCTTGAGGAACCAGTCCATCGCTTGTTTGTAGTCCTGAGGCACACCTCGACCATTATCGTAGTAGACGCCGATGTTGTATTGTGAGGCGGTGTGTCCTTGATTGGCGGCCTTGAGGAACCACTCCATCGCTTGTGTACGGTCTTTGGGAACACCTTCGCCGTTGTTGTGGAGAATTCCGATGCTGAATTGCGAGGAAGCATGTCCTTGTTCGGCGGCCTTGAGGTACCATTCCATTGCTCGTGTATAGTTCTGGGGAACACCGTAACCAAAGTTGTAGAGAACCCCGATGCTGTGTTGAGCGATAGCATATCCTTGATAGGCGGCCTTGAGGTACCAATCCATGGCTGTTGAGTGGTCCTGGGAGACACCGAGTCCTTCGTCGTAGAGGGCGCCTACTCTGTGCTGTCCTGCTGCGTCTCCTTGCTCGGCGGCCTTGAAGTACCAATCCATGGCGGTCTGGTAGACTTGCGCAACCCCCTTGCCGTCCCTGTACATGTCGCCAAGCGCGACCTGGGCGTCCTTGTCCCCCTCACTAGCACTAATGATCGTCCGCGCGAATTGCAGTTCCACGGACACATTGGCTGTTGCGCTCTGGGGTCCACGCTGCTGAGAGTTACTGTCATCGTCAGAATGAAGACTGGTTGGAGTATCCTTGACGGCTGATGTTTGATCGGCCAACACTGCTTGCGGACCTCGCGCTGACGGGAAAGCAAGGGGTCTATCGATGTGAGTGTAGTTTTCCATCGCCTCCTCTACAAGACCGTAGACTGGGTTCCGTCTAACGGTGGATGATGCAGTGGAAGTCGAAGTTGCAGTGGAAGGAATACTGGAAGAGGACATTGCTTTGGGCGTGGAGGTAGCAGTCGTAGTAATGGACGTCGACGTAGCATTGGGTGTTGAGATTGTATCCCGGGATGCAACCTCGACCTTTATCATGTTGCCGTCCTGCGGTGGCACTGACTGAAGCTCCATCTGTCGGACCTGGGGAGAAGTGACCCCCACATTGTCGGTCGCTGGAGTATCTACGACCACATCCAAGACGATGTTCGGCACGGCGGCGATCCTACGAGGCTCAAGTCTACAGTTTTGTTTTATTGTCAAAATAAAAGAAATATTGGCATGCGTGTTTTTCTTGTTCTCACTCCCATCGCTCACGACGTAGTATGAGCCCTAATTGAAGCATGCTCTCTACTTACATTCTAAGGTCCCTGCCCTTTAGAAACGGGACCACCTTGGTCTTATGACGAACATGCACCGCGTTCTCAAACGCCTGGAGGATATCATCCCAGAGTACAACGTCTTTTTGTGTGTCTGGATCTACTTGAGTCTCGACGTGGTATATCTCATTAGGTGTGGCGAGAGGGACAGAGTTGGGATGGATACTCTTGTCAACTGAGCGGAGTGCCTGGATTTGTTCCTGAGGGCTGTCTCCTTGCATTCTACGGCGAAGGAGGCGATGGATGGATGAATGGATGGATGGATGGATGGATGTGATGGATGGGTAGGAAGAAAATGAAAAGAGTGCTGTGGATGGTGCTGGGGGATGGGTGTGGAATGGAAAGAAGAAAAGAATGGGTGCGCGAAAAAAAAAAAAAAAAAAAAAAAAGAGTGAGCGAAAGGGAGAGGATGAGTGAAGACAGGTGACATGCATTCGTCCCGGAGAACTCTTCGTCCCGCCGTGTTACCATGGGATGATGGGAAGGGCTGTGACAAAGACAAGCATGCATTCGTTCGAGCTGTAAACAAACAAAATATATTTGGAGGCACATCCTTTTTGTACGAACCATGATGTGGCGACCCCTCCTTGACCCGTTTCGACTGACTTTGTCCGCCTTTTTTTTTTGCTGTCTCTTTGACGATCCACAGAAGAATATACTAGACCTGAGGAACCAGAAATCGTTCTTATCCGTAGGATTTCTTTCTATCTTTCCATATTCGTTGTTTCTCCGTGGTAATTGCTAATGTTCGTTGCCCTAACCTTCTTTTCTCCTTTGCTTCGGTCGTCCCATCTTGTTTTTGCCACCAACACTATGCACAGACACATTAACTACAAAAAGCTTAGTGTTAATTTAATCAATCATCCCATCCACCACTATCTCCTCTCCTTCCCCACAGCGTACTTCCAGGGCTGTACAAATACACCTTGGAACAACTCTTCTTCATCTCCTACGGCCATCTGTGGTGCACCAAGATGACACCAGAGTCACTTGTAGACCTCGTCAACCACAACAACCGTTCGCCTCCCCAATGGCGAATCAACGGCGCCGCCCAGAACTCCCCCGATTTCGCAAAGGCATTCCAGTACAAGGCGGGTACGCCTATGAACCCTAACAAGAAGTATGAGGTGTGGTAGGTGCTGGCTGTAGGAAGGGAGGAGAAAGAAACAGAGGAGGAAGAGCGTTCGAAGAAGATATAGAGAAAGATAACGTACCACCCCTCGCACCCGAATTCGATGAATTATTATTTATTTTTTAGTTTACAGCAACACCCTTTTTCACCTTTTCCACCAAGGCCGCCAATTCCCTCTTGGCGCTAATTTGTCCTTGGTTGGCAGCCTTTGAGTACCACTCCAGGGCTTTTGTATAATCCCGGGGTACACCTTGACCTTTGCTATAAAGTAGGCCGATGTTGAACAGAGCAACGTCGTGCTCTTGCTCGGCGGCCTTCAGGAACCAATCCATCGCTTGTGCGTAGTCTTGGGAAACTCCTTGGCCAATTTCGTAGTAGATGCAGATGTTGAATTGAGATCTCATATGTCCTTGCTGGGCGGCCTGGAGGAACCAGTCCATCGCTTGTTTGTAGTCCCCAGGAACACCTTGACCATGGTTGTAGAGAAATCCGACGTTGAGTTGAGCGGCAGCATATCCTCGCTTGGCGGCCTTGAAGTACCAATCCATGGCCGCCTGGTAGTCTTGCGCAACCCCCTTGCCGTCCCTGTACATGTCGCCAAGCGCGACCTGGGCGTCCTTGTTCCCCTCACTAGCACTAATGATTATCCGCACGATTTGTAGTTCCACGGACACATTGGCTGTTACGCTCTGGGGCCCACGCTGCTGAGAGTTACTGTCATCGTCAGAATGAAGACTGGTTGGAATATCCTTGACGGCTGATGTTTGATCGTCCAACACTTCTTGCGGACCTCGAGCGGACGGGAAAGCAAGGGGTCTATCGATGTGAGTGTAGTTTTCCATCGCTGTCTCTACAAGACCGTAGACTGGGTTCCGTCTCACAGAGGTGGTGCTTATGATGTTGTCTTGGGAGACAACGGTCTTCCTGTCCGACATAAAAAATCTCGTCTGGGTGTGATGGTGGGATAGAAGAAGGTGGGATGCGCTTTTCGACCGAACGGATTGCCTGTACGAGTTCCTGAAGCTGGACGTTTCCATGGAGCATGCTTGGAAGGTCCCTGTCTGCGTGTTTAGGGATGAGTGGGTGCGTTCAGAGGAGATGATGCTGTGCTTGTTGTGATGAGAGTGGAGGGTGATGATGATGATGTTGATGTTGATGTTGATGGTGATGAGAGGGAAGTGAATGCAGGAATGAAAGGAGGATGAAGAGAAAAGGAAGAGAAAGCGAGGGAGGAAGGGAGGAATTAGGAAGAGAACAACCCCTTGGGAGGACAAAAAAAATATACTCGCAAAAAAACAACAACGCTTTGACCCCTCTTTTTGCAAGCATGCAAGCAAATAAAAAAAAAGACCAAGGGCAAGAAAACAGAGTGAGAGGAGGGGCGTTGTTGCTTCCTTGTGGGTTGTGAGGGTACGGGTTCATGGCCATGCAGTCAATCATGGAGATCATCCCCCCTTCATTTCTTCGCCAATGATACCTAAATGGCGAGTCAATGGGTACCTGAATGTTGACAACAGATCGATCTAGCATGAAAAAATTGTATACCTCTGTCGCTAAGATAACCTAATTTTGATTCACCTCACATCGCACGGACAGACAGAAGCATTTGTTCTCGATAGGGTATAGCTGAGGGGAAGTGGGACGTGTGCGGATGGTTAAAAATAAGGGAGTTGGAGCCAGAGATGGTTCCTAATATATGTTGAACCGACCTGTCTGACACTTCGTTTATTATTAGAAGGGGAAGAAGGAAGGAAGACGATCGACTAACGATAAAAAAAAGGGGTGATATATTAACAAAGACAGGACAGCACATGAAGCCAGCCGCGTGTGCGTACCTCAATCGTAAATGGTAGAATCAATAACGCTAGTTGTATACCAGTTACTCTTGGGATCCCCCAAACACTCGCCCACAGTAACAACCTTGTACCCTCTCACCAACGCCAAATCAATCGCCATCGGGGCAACCTGCAAAGCTGTGACCTGGTTCACCTCGTGCTGCAAGACAATATGTCCCGGTTGTCCGAGATTATCGGTGTTGTTGAGCAATTGCTCGTATAACTGGTAACTCGCGTTGAAGTCGTCAGGGTCTAGATGTTTGTTTTCAAAATAAAATATTGCAGAGGTGGTGAGTGTACAGTGGCACAATTGCACGTACATTTTTTTTGGACCTGTGCTTAGTCATGGACAGATAAACTTACGAGCCCAGTCCTGGGTGTCCTGGGACCACACGACGGCAGTATAGTTCCGTTGACCTAAAATATCAAGAACCGGCTGGTTCAAGGACCCAAATGGTGGGCGTATGTACGTCGGGCGCACGCCAATTATCCCTCTAAACGCGTCCTCCACTATTCCACGAAAATAAAGAAAATAAAAATAATCTCCGTATCAGTTCAGAACCCATTGCATTTGTGCAGGCCCAATACCAAACCACCAACTCACAAATACTTACACTTCGTCAGCTCCTCGACCGCCTCACCAGGACTAAGTGTCGTCAAATCCTTGTGGTCCCAAGTATGCGAAGCGACTTGATGTCCATCCTCGTACGCCCTCTTGACCGACGCGGCAAAGTCTTCAATTCTGCCATAGGTGTTGCCGTTAAAGAAGAAGGTTGCCTTGACATTTCTCGATCTCAAGATATCCAACAGGCCGTTGGTGTAGATGAATGGGCCATCGTCAAAGGTGATTGCGATGGTGCCTGGGATTGTGCAGCGGTAAACCACAGTTGCCCCGCCAGCGCGCTTTTGGAGGACGGAAGGGTTCGAGTTGGGGTCACTGATGGGCACTGCTGACACTAGTGCGGCGGCGAAAAGGGCGGCAATGGTAGCCAAACGGAAGAAAGAGGGCATTTTTTGGAGGACGGGGAGGAGAGAGCGAGGAGGGTTGAGAGCTACTGTGATATGGAGAGAAAATTGAAGATACAGCGGACGTATTTATACACCCCCATGTCTTTGTCAAACCAAAAACCCGCCGGCAGCGAAGGAGGAAAATCTAATATATCAATCAGGAATGCAGATGTCCTTTATCCTTTACTCTCGCTTATGAATGTGAGGTGCGCCGTGCACACCAAGCAGAATTAAGATTTCGACTTAAAAATAAGCATTATCGATGCATGTTGCCGGGTAAAAAAAAAGTGGGGGCATAGGGGACATTCACTGCATTGCCTTTGACGTGTCGATAAGCATCTTAGATCCTCAGGTATCACAATCGCGTAAAAAATACATTCCATCGCTATTTGATCTCTGTTGCCCATAAAAAAAACGAAAAACACGGCGCTCTAATGGAGCGCGATAACAACAGTGCGAAATCACAAATCTCAGGGCCCAGACGTTGCACAACTGCGCTCTCCGTATGGGTGGACCCTGCAGGCAGTGACTGCGGGCGTTTCAATCTCCCACAAATAAAAACTGTTCCTTCTTGCATTCGCAACGTCCGTTTCCCTGGTGACTCTAACACAAACAATTGGCCCCTTCCTTGGTTCTAGACAAAAAATAAACAAATATGGTGCGTGAACATGAACCACTTCCATCACTCTGAAAAAAAGAAGGGGATACAGTTTATGCATTGTTGTTGTCTGCAACCCTAGGGTACTCCCCCTACTCAAGATATGCGATGTGTGTTAGTGGCGCGACCAAGACAAAAGAACATAAAAAAAGGAACAGAAACGAAAGAGGTTGAGGGAAAGGAAAGGCTGAAGAAGTATGTATGGGGCGTGTACATATCCCTTGGTAAAGATTGAAAGCAGCCAAGCAAGACACTGATGAAGAGACTCTGTCCCGTCATTTTACCCCGTGAGAAAGAATAGAGCCTCAAAAGCCCTTTTTCAGGGATCTAGAAACTGGGCTGTTCGATATCATCATCGCAATCGCATATTCAGTCGTTTCACCTATTGTTTCCCACGCACCCAATGGGCTAATGGACGCGGACGCAAGGCACTCCAAATCTATGGGACCATGTATCGCCCATCCGTTCATTTTTGATATTTATCTCTTCATCTCTGTTCATACTGACGGTGTGATACCTGATGAGATGTTTCAGTTCTTCATGTCTTCCTACATACCATTGTCATCATCGCCCTGTTCGGTGTTGTTGTGTTTTGCTGGGGAAACCCCGTCTTTTTTCTTTGCCTTGGTGAATGAAAAAAAAAAAAAAACATTCCTTTTTTTCCTTCAACGGCCTCCCTCCTCTTCCTTATTATCCTCAGAGTCCGCCTCGATTATTTTTTTTCTTGATCGATCTTCAAATCCTCCTTCACAAACCCCTTCGAACCTAAACATACCCATCCTCTCCCTTCTGAAAATAATATGGTATTGGCCACAAAGATCTCCCTCTTGGTGGCAGTCAGCCTGGCCCTATCCTTAGTCCAAGCTGAGCCCATCCCCATCCGTAAAGAACGCGCCTCAAAGGATCCCTCTCTAAGCAACAAGGTTAGCTTTCTCCTTTATTTTCTACCCCCCTCGTTACATCACTGGCAAATGAATTTTTAAAGCCCCATGCATCCGTGGTACTCAACTCTGTGTTTCTTTTTTTATTCAACAGGCGACATGCAAGACTCCACATTGCGTGACTGCGGCAAAGGAGATCCTGGATGACATGAACCCGAAGGCAGACCCCTGCCAAGATTTCAGTCAGTTTGCCTGTATGTCTTTCTTCCTTTCCTCTCCTGTGCTCAAACGTAGCAACGTTTTGTCAGTTATGGATACCAAACCTTACCACTCACTCCTTTTTTGTTGCTTTCTCTGCTGATTTCTTAGGTGGTGGGTTCTATGAGAAGAGAACCATTGCCGCGGACCAGTCTGCGTTCAACTACTTCCAAATCCTCTACGACAAGAACAACGTACGTCCATCCCCTCCCCCTTTATTTTACTTTATTCTCTTCTCATCCATCACCACGTTAACCCCTCCTAGAAAACAACAAACAATTAGTAACATCCATTCTCTCTCTCTTCTCCACCTACCAGGACGCGATCCGTGAAATCGTAGACCCCTCTCTCGGAAAACAACCCACTCCCTCCAAAACCGACCCCGACTCCGCCGCCGCCCAGGCAAACCTCCAAAAACTCCAAGACCTCTATGCCAGCTGCATGGACGAGTCTACAATCCTCTCTAACGGTCGAAAACCCCTTCTCGACCAGATCTCTTCCATTTTCTCCACCTTCCCTTCTAATGCCACCGGTAAAGTTGGGGGCGGGGACAAGACGGTGCTCGCAAAGATGCTGGCGCAGCTATCGAACCAGGGGATTTCGGGGTTTGTGAGCCTGGATGTTGGCTCTGATTCGATGGATCCGTTGATCAACTCCCTGTCGTTGAGTGAAGGCGGGTTGGGCCTGCCGGCGAGGGAGTATTATCAGGACGCGGAGACTATCAAGTTATACGAGTCGACGATTGGCCAGATGTTTCAGGTGGTTTTTGGTGAGGAGGATGTGGCTACCAGGAACCAGACACTTACCGATGCGGATGTGAAGCAGAAGTGGAAAGATGTTGCAAAGGCGATGGTGGGGTTTGAAACCCAGTTGGCCAAGATTGGGACGGAGCTTGTCGATCTTTATGACCCTATCAAGTCTAATAACCCGCGTACTGTAGACCAGATCTCTGCTGTGACACCTAGTATCGACTGGGTCGCGTTCATCTCGGGTGTCCTTCCCACAGGAGTAACCAACACCCGTCCCATCATCGTCTCATCCCCAGAATACCTCACCCGCCTAGAGAACCTCCTTAGCACCACCACCCCACAAACCCTCCGAAACTATATCACATGGCTCATAATCTCCAAAAGCTCTCCTAACCTAGGAACCCCCTACCGCCAACCCCTCCATACCCTCTCCGCAACCCTCTCCGGCGTCTCCCTAGACACCGTCACCCCACGCTGGAAGCACTGTGTGAGCGTAATCAACAACAACTTAGGCGATATGGCAGGCCACTACTACATCCAAACCGCCTTCCCTGGAACCAGTCTAGCCTCCACCGTCTCGATCATCGACTCAATCCTCGACTCTTACAAAAAAACCTTCCCCACCCTCACATGGCTTGACAAACTCACGCTCTCGGGAGCCATGGAAAAACTCGAAGCCATCGTTAAACTGATGGGCTACTCCACCGACTCTCCTGATGTCTCTTCTTCCGCATCCCTACAAAAGTACTTTTCCACCCTTCCTGTATCCAAAACTGACTATTACGCCAACCAACTCCAATACTCCATCTGGTCCGCTCGGCAATCCACAGGGATGATAGACAAACCCCTGAACAGGAAGAAACTACCAGATCCACCCCAGACGGTAAACGCGTTCTATAACCCATCCACGAACCAGATTGTCTTTCCAGCGGGGATATTGCAGAGACCGTTTTTTGATGTAGAGAGTCCAGAGTATGTCAATTATGGCGGGTTTGGTGTCGTTGCTGGACATGAGGTTACTGTAAGTTTTTTTTTGTTTTATTCGTTTGTTGTTGATATTGATGTTTTGGTGAAAGGGGAATTCTTCAGAGCTTGTAGTTCTAAGCACTTATTTTTTGTTGTTGTTGATATATAGCATGGGTTTGATAATATGGGTCATCATTTCGACTCCATCGGCCGCCTCCACAACGTAAGCAACACCCCCACACGCATATCACCGTTTTTCCCCTACGGCTCTTCTCTCCGTCAAACTTTCTTCCCTACTCATAAACCCCACACATATTCCTCCTCCCCTCACCCTCTTTCCTTTTCTCCTCCCTTCAATAGTGGTGGACAAATGCAACAGAAAATGCATTTACAGAAAAGGCCCAATGCTTTGTAAACCAATACGGGAACTTCACTGTTAAGGGTCCGGACGGGAAGGACCACAACGTCAACGGCCAACTAACACTCGGCGAGAACATTGCCGATAATGGCGGTCTCAAGCAATCCTTTCGCGCGTGGCAGAGTAGACTTCAATCTGACCCCTCTGGCAAAAAGTACGTCTCCTTATTTTCTAATTATTGAAAAAAAAAAAGAAAATGTAAACAGCCACTGATATTAACCCCCTCCCCCCTCTCTCTCTCTTCTCTATTCAAAAGACACAAGAACTTCAACCTCCCCGGCCTGGAGAGATACACCCACTCCCAACTATTCTTCATCTCCTACGCGCGGGTATGGTGTAGCAAGGAGCGGCCCGAGTACCTTGTCAACCTGATCCGAAGCGACCCACATTCGCCATCCAAGTGGCGAATCAACGGTGTTGTCCAAAACTCTCCCGAGTTTGCGAGTGCTTTCCAGTGTAAGGTGGGCAGTGCTATGAATCCTGTCAAGAAGTGTGAGGCCTGGTAAGGGGTAGATAGATAGTTATTTATAACTGAGGTGTTGAGTAAAAATGTATTGTCTGTTATAAAGAAGGATGTCGTGTTTGATGCATATTCGTCTTGATGAGGAGAACACCTGTTGTGGGCTGGAGATATGAAAAGAAAAAAGAAGACGTAGATGGAATGGCAAAAGAGAAAAGAAACAAAAGAAGTGTTCTATCCAAAAAGAGGCACTTTTTCATTTGGACGACCCCTGATATATCTCCCTCAATTCTAGACAATGGTCCTAGGGCAACAGTCATAGCTTTTTTTTTGTTTTTAAGAAATTTATTGCGTCGTGGGTGTGCGGCAGTCATAGTCTCTCAAAAAACAATATGTCAGATCACCTGCCCAAACTATAGACTGGAACAGATGCAGGGTCCAGGCATTTGCTTTTGCGTTTGCTGGACGGCTAGATTGAGCTGGGCTTCTAAGATGAAATAGAAGGCCGAGAAGAAATAACCACACCAACGCCGCTCTTTCAACCTGGCCAGAGCGATTCCATCTCAGACGACCAGACCTCTCCGAGCAAGTGTAGAAAAGACAAGAAAAGGACCATGACTCTAGGCACACGAGTAAGGAGACAATCGAAAAGGAGATGGAAAAGGTAAACAGAACATTGCAGTCATGGAAGTGATGTTTGTGTTTGTGTTTTGAGTTGGAGTGGTAGTCAAAGTACTGTACATTGCGTAGCAAATCAAATTGGTCGATTCGTGGTGCTCGGACGCGTCAACAGCGTATCATTGTGGCGCATGGTCCATCTACTGGTCCATCTGGAAGAAATGTAGGTCCCCTTGTCCGGTGGAAATGCGTTTTTTTTTCTCTCATTCTATTTAGTCATTTGGGCTGGAAAAAATGAGCATTAGACTCTGAACGAGAGAAAAGGAAGGGGTCATATCGAAAACAGACAAAGAAGAGCACGAGATGGATCGAGTGCACAGAAAAAAGGTCGAAAAAGAAATCGTGGAAGACCAATGATGAGCAATGGACAGGAGGACAGGGGAGAAGAGAGAGGAACACGTCCAAGAAAAAAAATATCTCATCCCCTCTCACTCTCTTTACTATCACTGTTGCCAACGACTTTGCTATCTTTCTTATCATCTACACTCCTGTCAGATGTAAAACAGGCACTCAAAACGACACGAAGCAAAAAATAAAAAGGTACGTAGCAACTATCCTTGATAAATCCCCTCCGGCCCAAAAAGTTACCCCAGCCCCTCCTTGCCCCCTGGCCTGCAATTGCTTTTCTCTACCTTCCATCGTTTTTCTGATTTCCAACCCTTCTTTCTTTTCTTTTCTCTACTTTCTGAGGAAAAAGGAAGAGGGGTCTGAAAAAAGTACCTGTTTGATAGGCTACGAGAAGAGAATGAGCGCGCACGGCTGAATCTTGAACCCAAATGACAAAAAAGACTCGGATCCCTCTTGATGTCCAGGGTAAATAAGGAAGGAATGAAGGAAGGGAAGATAAGGTGGGGTCATTGGAAGGGTAGGGTGGTGCGACGTAGGGAAGGGAAGGTTTAGAAGGGAGTTGGATCGCATTGGGTGCATGTGTACTTTTGTGAGCTGTACTCTGGCTGACTATAGTTTGGCGTGGTGAGAAAAAAGGGGGAAGGGGAAGAAAAGCCGAAAAGAAGGATTCGATGGAAAGTCGGACTATGTGGGCCACATAAAGTAGCTTTGTTGTAAGAACAAGCAAAATAAATGAGAGCACACACCAGAAGAAAGAACAAGAAAAGGATCACTTCCATGGGATCCATTTGGACATCAGGGAATGATCGACTGACCGACCACCAGCAGCACTAATCAGTTTTTTATTCGCTCATTCGTTCTCTCATTCACTAGAGTGAAGAAAAGAGGAAGGGATAATGGAGAAAGAGGGAATTAAGAGAGTGGGTGAGTGTGAGAAGCAGGAGGACTAATGTCTATCAAAGCCTAGCCAAGTGGTGTCTACGGACCATGGGATGATGACGATGGCTTATGCGAGGAGCAGAGAGGGAAAGGGGGCTATTCGTCTAATTTAGGATGGTGGCACTGTCATTTGGATAGAGGAGTCAACATCATCCCAAAGGCAAAGCCATGAATGACCTTCCCTGTTGGCTGCCAAGGCTTGGGGGTCAAAAAGCCAAGGCAACAAGAATAGACAATGATCGCCATGACGGCTACCACAGTGCACTCGCTTCTTTTATTGCGTCACAGCCCTCCATTTTTCTCTTTTCATAGTATCGTCCTCTCTCTCACAGTAATATTATTTTCATCTAGGCACAAATGGTCATAGGCATTGGCACCGTCATTTGAGCATAGTTGTATGTACCCCGTCTCCACTTGGCTAGATGCCTCCTATTCTTCCCCTGATTATGAATCGAAGGCCAAGATACCTTCGATTCTTGGAAGCTACAGAAGGATAATTGCTTGTTTATGCAAAAAGGACGAAAGAAAACAAATCAAACAAGAATGTCAAAAAAGTGGAGAGAGAGATAGAAAGAAATGACAGAAAGGTGAGAACTCTGTACTGTAGAGGGGATCAGGCATATGTCTCATCATTCACAAATGCAATGCATACAACCATAGATACTATCAACAAGAGGAAGAACAACGAGAAGAGGCGAGAAACAAAAGGGTATCAGTAGAAAGCATCCATGAATGCCCATTGTTTACGATCGATGTGTTGTTGTTGCTGTAGAATGTCTTTCCATGACTTTGCTAGTGTTTTCGAAGGTGATGATGATCCTGTTTGCCATCATCCGAAATGTATCTCACATATTTCGTTTGCTATCCGTCTCATGAAGAACAACAAGAACCTATCCTGTCCTGTCTTGCATTTCGAACCGAACAACAAGGACCACGAGCATATCCTTGCCCTTGTTCTCAGTGTTCTCATGTTCACGAGCAAATAAACCCCTCTTCTTTTGCTCCCTTCCATCTTTGACATCTTCAATTTTAGTTTCCCTAGACACGAATTATTCCATAGAATCCCTTCCATCGGACTCCTTCCATCGAACGTCCATTCCCTGCTGCACAGTCAGCCAAGGAACTCCTTTTTATTTTATTTTATTATTTTAATTTATTTATTTTTACCCTTCCATCCAGCCAATGACATCCAGTCGTCCACTGGACCATACAACCAAAGAATTCTTTCTTACCCTTCTCTTCATCTTCACCGCATTCAACTTTGGGTAAACTGCCTCCGACCCTCATGTGCCATCCACCAAAGGCACTTACTACTTCAGGAACATCGCCCATTCCTGATCTACCTATAAAAAGGGACGACCGCATCCCTTTCTTTTTTTTTTAATTATTCCTCACTCCACAACGTTCTCTTCTCTCACGTCTTCACACTCACACTCACACTCACACAACAACCATACCTACTCCCCTACTCTCCACCACCACCACAACAACAACTACATCCAAAATGGTCAACACAACCACCACCACCGCCCAAGCAGCAACCCCCACAAACACTCTCATCCTCACAAACCTCGAATCCCACCACTTCTCCCCTTCAACCCTTGCCACCCTCCGCACCCAAGCCGAATCCTTTGGAAAAGTCTGCTTCTACTCCCCCATCAAATCCTTCCACCGCATCTTTGTCGTCTACCACTCCATCGATCACTCCCAGTCCGCCCGCCTTGCCCTTCATAGCAACTCGACGATCCTGGAGGATGGAACGGTATTGAGGGTTTACTTTGGTCAGCATACCGAGTTGACCATCGATCCCAAGAAGTACTACCTCCAGATGCCTTCCGACGAGGACACTACCGACGCATCTACCGGCATGGTCTCCCCCCCTGGTTCCCCCCCATTGGGCCACTCGGACGAGTCTGAAGATGAGATGGCCGAGATTGAGGATCTGAACCTGGCCCTCGACGGTCCCATCATCGAATCCACACCCACAGAGCCCACTTCCCCCGCCACTCCTACCACAACAGCAAAGGACTTGCAGCAGCAGATTAAGAAACTCCGTATTGATACCTTTGTCCGCTCCACCTCTGCATCGTCTCTGTTGTCAGGACACCCTCGTTCGCCCGTCTCCCCCGGTCACTTGTACCCCTCGACTCCTACCCGTTTGGCCTTCTCGCCCTCCAAGGAGTCCCTGGAAGAGCAGCCCTTTATCACTATCCAGGACTGGGGTGTTCAGTCTACCGTCTGCTAGATTTTCTGGTGGAAGACAAAAAAGGAAGTGCCCTTTACCCTATCCATTTCAGACACGAGCTCATTCGCTTCTCTCTCTCTCTTCTCCCCTTTCTTACCCTTACTCCTCCCTCTTTTACACGCATTATTATATCCCTCTATCAAATCGTCATTGTACAATAGCATATTGAATAAAACAAATATACCGAAGAAACATTCCGTTGCATGTCAGCTGCCTTCTTTGCGTCCTGTCATGATGTTCTTCAGCTTCTACGGCTCTTTCTACGAGAAAAAAAAAAGTGACGGGCCTAGAAGTCGATGGTCATTCAGAGGTCACGTGCTCTGCTGCTGGGGCTTAGCATTCTTTTGATTCGGCCAAGACTCCCTAGAAGGTTCTCTCTGTATGCCTGTCGTTCTTCGAGTGTCGAGTCGAGAGAAAACAAAAACAAACTCGATAAGCTCTTTCTTTTCTGTCCTGTATCTTCGCTAGGGATGTGAGTCGAGACAGTAAAAAAAAACTCCCCCTTAAAGCGAGCGACATATCTGGCTCCTCCCTTTCTTTTTCCCCTTCTTTCGCTCCCTTCACAGATTTGTATGTCTTGTTTTGTTTTGCTTGCACCCGACGCACACGTTGATGTTCTATGTTAATGTGTGTGGTTATCTGATGTGCATCCGAACGTTACACGACGATAAAATATGCACACGCCCGTAAGAAAAAAATATTTGGGGGATCCATGGCCGCTTCCCCATCCTCTGTTATTATTTTATTATCGTTTTTTTTTTATTTCTTCCTAATTGGTGTCTACCCGAAGTGGGCTAATGCACGTCTTTTTTCAATTGCTCTCTACCCTATTCTCCCTTTTCTTTTTCTATTCTCGTGTAAATGCTCAGAACGCGTAGACATCACCGCGCATTTGTATGAGAAACAGGAATTTCTCTTGGGCCTACTGGAGGAGGAAGGTGGGGAGAATAGATGAGGAAGAAAATTCGGGTTTGCCCCAGTTTTTATTTTTACACTTTCAGGCCATGTCTGTCTGGTTGAAAGGGCTGGTTGGATGGACCCGGATGAAAGATGGACCTGAGAGACATTTTGGACGTCTGAACACACGGACACACGGCCGGGGGGTTCACATGGATGCACGGATACAGCTCATTGATGTTGCGATTAGGAAAATAGTAGCGAAGCAAGAAACATCCCTCCCTCTCCCCAAGAGAATAAAAAATTGAGAGGGCGACAACGACTATTGACTCCCTGATAGCATAGCGCGCGTCCACGTAGTTTTCATGTCCAACGGTGATTCTAGCATTGCCCGTAGGTCAAGTGATGAAGGTAACGAAAAGTCCGGCTGACTTTGGACGAGTGTCCAAGAGAAGAGACCACAGGGTCGAATCGTGTCGTGTCGTATGGAGGTAGACTAAGGTATGTCATTGCGGGATTGACGTAGGGTGCGGAGCTTGCGGCATCCAGCTACTATCCCCGCCCGGTCTGGGCTCTTCCTAGTCTCGTGGTCACACCCCCTTTTATTTGTTGTTTGCGGTGAGCCCCGTCTTGACGCTCTTTCAAAAACAACTGTCGGAGGGTTAGCAAAGTGAGAAGAGATAGTGGGGAGGGATACAAGAGAGTGAGTGGGAGAGAGAAGGAAGGAGAGGCCTTGTAGTGCTACGGTTTTTTTTTTTTTTTTTTTTTCTTCAATCTCTCGCTCTTGCCCTACACTCGCTTAAGATATGCAAAATGATGCGAGGGGATGCGGGCCATTATCAGGCAAAGTGGATCAGGGTCTCCCCCCCTTTTTTTTAACATGGTGAACAATGCACTGTCAGCGTTTGTCGTTGGCGCGTTTTGGACGCGCGCGCGCATCAACCGCCTTTTGGTTTTTTTTTTGTACGTGCATAATGCAAGAATGCCACGTTCAATTGGCTATTTTTCCCATACTTTTTATCTTTTTTTTCATGGTGCGTCGTCCCAACAATTGAAAAAGCGCGAAGAAGAGAGGTCAAAAAGTCTTGAAAGTGAGAGTAGATCGTTTTTTTTTGGCCGTTTTTGTTGATGCAAAACCATCGGTTGCAATTGATGTTATTGTTTTGATGTATGTTTTGGTCATGGGGAGTAGAAGGGGGTATGGAAAATGAGCGGGGTTTGCGAGAGACTCTTTTTCGATGTTTTGTGTATGTACCGAGGCCGAGGGGTGCAAGAAAGGGGCCACTGGAAAATCACAACAACAACAAAAGGAGAAGAGGAAGAAAGATAAGGTCGCACGCCGTGTAAAGGAGAATGGGGGGGAAGCCAGCGAGTACGTCTCGGTCGGGCTGATAGTAGCTTTCACGCCAAAGAAGAAAACAATGCGACGAGAGAAGCAGAAAGAGAGTTCGATTGCGAGAGAAGAGAGTTTACATCCCCACAACAATCGAAAAAAGGAAAAAAAAGAAAAAAATCGCCCCAAAAGAAATCTTACAGCCCGCCCCAGCGATCCGCATGGATTTTGTGTGTATGTGTGCTTTGCGATGGCGGAGCATGGGAAAGTGATGGGGGGAACAGAAGACCAAAAAAACCCTTTTTTGTTTGTGCGATATAGAAGGGATAGAAACAAGGACAGACATTTAATCTGTGCCCGGCCACAACGGACATTTTGTACCGTTCCTCCTCTCTTTGTCTCACTCCTCCACTCTTTTCTTTCCTCTCTTTTCTTTGTCTTTGATCTCCTCTCCCCCGCAACATTCAACATCTCCGCACCCATCCCTCGCTCACTTCTCTCATCCACACATCTCCACAACTTTTACATTCACTCACTACCTCGCATCCACTCGCTCATTCATACCCTCCCTTCGCCTCTCTCGGACATTACCACCAACACCGAGACTTTATCTTTTCCTCCACAACAAGCAAGCAATCATCATCACAGATATAATCCGATGGCATCGTTATCATTGGCACTGCAGCCACCTTCTTTCCGTCCCCACTCCAAATCACGCCTTGCCGCCTCTCCTGCAACTCGATCACGGTCCTCCTCTTCTGCAACAATAACGCCGACAACGACAGCGACGATAACATCGTCATCATCCTCCTCTTTATCGGCGTTGCGACAAACAGCCGTCTCGTCTTCTCTTCTCAAGAACCCCTCCCAGTCCGGAACAACTGGAGCATTTCCGACCCCTGTCTCATCCTCATCCTCATCTTCCTGGTCTGTGGACAGCAACAATAACAATAATAATAATAACCTATCAAGGACAGTGGAAACGGGCTTATCAGCAAGCGTTCGATTGAGCAAGACATCGTTGTCTTCAGCCACCACCGACCATGACATTATCAACAGCACTTTATCTTCTTCATCTTCTTCACCCCTGTCCAACCCTTCTTCAACCCCTTCTTCTTCTTCTCCTTCTCCTAAACTCGTCCGCACAACATCCCTCACCACCAACCTCTCGTCTCTCTCCACTCCTTCATCAACAACAACAACAACAACAACAACAACAACAACGACAACTCACCTCCACTCCCAATCAACATCCAGATTGCACACCCTGCAGAACAACAACTCCAGCAGCCATTGCTCCTACTACCATTCTACAGGTAATAATTTCATTTTACACATCTCCCCGAGAGCACTTTTTCTTTCATATCCATCCCCCCCTCCATCTACTTTTTGGATACTTTGACAGACACAAACAAACAAGCAATCTAGCAGAGCAACATAGCTCTCCCTCCCCAGTGAGAGTGCACACGCCATCACTCTTTGTTTGCTCAGTTGTGTCTCTTTAATAACACGATATACCCGTACAAACATACAAGCACAAACACGCGCAAGCACATCATTCCCTATCCATCCTCACCATATCCATGGCAACCATGGTCCAAAAGGCTATATCCATACCATATCCCCTCCGTCCTCATCCTCCTCATTCCGATAATCAATTCCTGTCCTGTCTGCCTTACCTTAAACAATCAGTCCGTTCCCCGACTCCGCCCTTCGTTTGTCCCTATCGCACCAATTCTCGTCGCGAAATGGCAACAACCACCATCCCTGTGTTATTGGCCCTGTTGTCAATTGTTCAGTCCCCAAACACCATGCTTATTGCTCCACTATAATACATTTGCACACTTTGAACAAACACAAGAGTACATGAATGCATTGCCCAATGTCCTCCAATTTCACTATTTGTTTATAAACACATGGTCACACACTCTCAGTCGCTTTGGCACGCACCAACAAGCCTACATGTACACTCACAAGGGAAAAAAAAGGATCAACTCCAACACGCAGGCCAAATAGAGAAATAGCAAACACAAGGCAACATTCACTTGATTAGGCCTTTGTCATCTCCCCCTCTCCACTCTTGTTTCTCGTCTTTCTGTCTCCAATCCCTCCCCTGCATACACAGGACTGTCTAGCTTGACATCCGAGAGGGGGTGATACTTATCGTGATGGCCCGACCGTCTCTTTCCGCTCTTTGCACCTTCTCTCTGTCTCTCCTTCAATCATTCCTTTGGTCCTCGGTCAATGCTCTCTCTAGACAATTCGACCCTCCCTCGGGCTTGAATAGGCGTGAATGTGTCGGCCCTGTTCGTTTTCCAATACCCGATGAACAAACGAACGAAAGGAGCGGCGACGGAGGGAGCGGGGGTGAGGGCATGCAGTTGCAAAGAAGAGATAACTCCGCAAAAACTACTAAAAAGGGGTGTGTGTTGGGTGTGTGAACATGAAAAAAAAAGAAAAAGGCGCAATGACCAGCCAACAGCGATCAAGCACGATACCAACGTTTCCCCTCATATATGCTCATGCTCATGCAGTTGTTACTGATGCTCATTTTGCTTGACAATTGCCATCCATTGACCATTGGGACAATTATCTATCCATGTCTATGAATACCGTTTGCAGTGCACTAAGTCTGACATTTGGATAAACTATCACTAACCCATTGTCCTTCTTTCCTTTACGTCCTTTCTTTTTTTTCGCGCACTGCTCTCTCATCATTCATTTCCAACAACCCATCCCCTCCTTCTTCCACATCCCTCCTCTGTTGTCCAATATTATTATCAACTCATCTTCCTCCTATTCTGATCCACACCTCTCTCTTCGACCTCAATTTTTTCTATCTTTCTTTCTTTCTTTCTTTCTTTCTTTCTTTCTTCTCATCTTCAAATTCTACCTCCGACCTCCGACCTCCGTTTCTTCGCGCGCTTATTTTTTCTTTCTTTTCCTTCAATCTTATCCTTCCCTTGCCGGCACCTCTCTCTCTCTCTCTCTCTTTTCATGATATCCCAGACCCGAGTAGCGTTCTTTGGAAAGGTAAGAAGCAAAACCAAAAATACCAATACCCAAAAGCCCAGACCCCCTCCTTCTCCATCCTTAGGGATGGGGTGTGGATTGATTGGCTGCATTGGCCGTGTTTGCGCTCCTCCTCTTCCTCCTGCTTCTTGCACTTGCTCTACTTTTCTGCTCGCCTTCAATTCCGGCCCCCTCTTCCCCAAATTTCATTTTGCAATGGTGCACAATGCAATCGGAAACGACCAGAACAGCAACCAGCAAAAGGAGGAGGAGGACGAAGAGAAAGATAAAGAACCAAGCCCGTATGGTATTTCGCTCTTTGAACCAAATATATTAATCGTTATCTTCTTTCTTTTTTTCTCACCTTCCTTCATCCTTCTTCGTCTTCTTCCTTTCCCTTCAACCCCCCCTCTCCACTCCTCACCTTTTCTGCACATCCCTCTCCTCCCAACAACTAACGAACCAAAACAATGCCCTCACCATCAACCCCTACCAACACCTTCACCACTATCGCAATCAACGACAATATCGACAACCACAATCAACCGCCTTTGCCCATATCTACTATCTCAAACCCACCCACACCATCATCATCACACCAATAGCCTATTCCCGTGTCAAACAGACCATCGCAGAGACCACCACTCCCTCTCCCTCCTCTTTCGCCACCACTCCCTCTCAGCAACAGCAACAACAGAAGAAGACGCCTCTCGAAACCATGACAGACTACTGGCATTCACTCAGCATGCCTCGTCTCCAAGACCTCCACCACCACAGCCATAGCCATAAGACAACGGTTGCGGCAGGCTGTTTGTCTGATGACGCCTCCGACTCTTCCACCCAGTCTATGCGTCTCTTCCCCGACACTGCCACTACCATTTTTCACCCAGCAACAGCCACGACGATGGGGATGAAGGATATTATGGGCACGACGCCTCCCTCGTCATCGTCCGCATCCGCTTCTGATACGGAACCCTTCCGCATGCACAGCAGCGGCGATAAGAAGACAGCGATTTTGACATCCAAGACAAGTGTCTCGTTATCTCTCGCCAATTGCAGCAAAGCCCCCTTCACTTCCAAGGTACCTTCGCCTTCCACCTCTACAATATCACTCGCCAGTGGTAGTAGTCGCACGGGTCGTTCACACGCAAACGAACATGCTCGACGCCTTCTTGTGGCACGGTCCTGGTCCCGGTCTCGGTCTCCCTTGACTGCCTCCGTCCCAGAGGGTGATGCTATTGTCACCAACGTAGAGTCATCGTCGCCTGCACCACCTCAGCAGCAGCAGGCACCCCTTGTTGTCAAGCGGGCAAAGTTCTTTTTCTGTGAGGACAGCGATGATGACGAGAGCGATTACGAGCAACAGCAGGAGCAGGAGCAGGAAAAGGAGGCCTCTGCATACCGCCATCCTTCATTGATCAAGTCAGCAGATGCACCTCTGGTCCGCACAAGTACTGCCTCCCGCCTGCCCGTCTTTTTGCCTACCGTCAATGACGACCAGGAGGAATACGAGGAGTATGACGAGTATGATGAGTACGATCATGAGGAAGAGGAGGAGGATGATGACGAGGACGAAGAGGATGGACCGTTGTTCTTTGGAAAGAAGAAGCCTTCCATCGCCGTCATCTCCAGTTCCCAGCCTCGGCAGAAGCCAACCATTCTCACCCCTACTCCCAAATATGGAAACTCAACAGGAAGACACAGTCATTTGCCGCCACTTCCCCAAAACGCAGGCATGGAACGCCGTCAATCTCTCCTTTCTGACCTCCTCCTCGCCGAGAAGCAACAAAGGCAACTTCTCCTTCTCCAGCAACAGAGCCAACGCTCTCTCGCATCATCGACATGCTCGACACCCAACTGTCTCTCCGCCGCAAACTCGGACGGCGAAGGGTGTACCTCCTCCTCCTCCTCTTCCTCCTCTGGTAACGGTAACGGTCGACCGCGCTTCTCTACCACGGCATTGACGCCATTATACCCAGCGCCCTCCACCACCACCGCCACGACACCAATGCCCCAGCACCTGTCTCAGCACCAGCACCAAACCCTCGAGCCCAATCGGCGCCGCACATTTGTTGATCCCCTCTCCGAGACAGAACCCGACAACCTCATCAAGGACGACAAGATCTTCCTCGACAAGATCCAGGAGGAAGAAGAATCCTTTGTCGTCCCGAAATTGGTCCGTACCAAGAAGATTTATCACCGTCTCGACACCCTGGCCGCCACCGCTTCTGCCATCGCCGCCGCACCTATCACCACGTCAGTCATTTCTCCAACAGCAGCATCATCATCATCATCATCATCAGCAGTAGCATCTGCACACTCCCCACTCTCCCCAACGACCTGTACCATAACCACCCTCTCCCCTACCACCACGCCAACAACAACCACAAAAACAACCGTCGCACCCATCGCCGCTTGTGCCACCGCCCCCCGTGGCGGCGCCGGCGGATCGTCCACCACCACCACCACCTCTGCCGCCTCTGCCGCCGCAACCGCAGCAGCGGCAGCCTCGGCATCGGCCGCAACAATGGCAGGCTGGGCACGCTCACAAGTCCAGTTCCAGCTGCACTCCTTCGTGGCCCAATCACAGACGACCGCTCAACGTGCCTTCTTGACCGCACAGTCCACCCTCAGCGACGTTCTCTACCGCACCGGCGCCAAGTGAGCATTTGTGGCCCACCCTTGTAGTTTTGTTAGATACTTGAACAAAAAGATAAAAAAAAAAAAAAAGCATATTAAAAACAACACCCACATCCATGTTACTGTAACAACATCAACGCCAAGCAAAAATACCAAAGCGCACAGGCTATATGTGGATTTTATAATTTTTAGAGGTTTATTAACAAACTGAAAAAAGACAAAAAAAAAAAGACCCAGAAAAGCATACAAGAACAAACAAACGAAAAATAAACCCACGCCTCTCCCCCCCAAAAGCGCCCCTGACTCCCCAGCAAAGATTTTTTTTCCATGTATGGTACAAGTTCGTAACATTTTTGCTTTTCTTCCCCAATCCGCAAGGGAAGAAAAAAAGTGAAAAAAGTTGACAAAATAATAATGAGCAAAAAAGAAAAGAGTTAGAAAAAAAAAAGTGTATGTACGTGAGTGCTGCATCTTCACGCCGGTGTGCGTGCTTGTGCGTGCAGCGTGTAGTAATGAAAAATGGTGAAGCAGAAAAGAAAACAAAGAGAAAAAAACATTAGGTGTTTGTAGAAAAAGAAAAGGAAAAAAGAAGGGCCCTTAGGCGGATCGTTTGACAGAGCGAGAAACAGAGTCAAACAACTTCTCGATATCTGGATCGATGCGAGTGAAGGCGTGGTCCCAGAACGCATACCGAGGGTTCTTGATCAGCTCAATAAAAGTGATCAAAAGTCCCCAAGGATGAGGCCTGTTCACAATCAGACGCTCCAGCAGCACACTAATGAATAGGAACAAGTAGAAAGACGTTGTTAGTTACTGAAAGGAAACACAATAATGCCGTAATAAGTGCGAAAACATAGAAGAAGACATACCGAGTGATTTGCTCCTTGATGGTCTCCTGGCTGGCCTCGAAGAAGAGGTAAAGGAGAACACGACTGAAGTAGTGCGTGTGCGAGTTGGGGTATCTCAACTGGTTGGCGATCGCGCTCAGGAAGAGGTAGCGACCCTCGGAATCCAGCTCCATCAGCAATCTCTGGAAGATATCCATGGGTGCGGTCTGGGCAATAGGCGACGACGAGGTACCCTGGGGCGAGGACACGGCACTCGAATCCTCCTGAGCGGTTCCGTTCTCAGTGCTGTTCTCGATTGCGCCGCTGGCAGGTGCCGATGCGTCGCTGTTGGTTCTCGAAGTGGCATGGAGCTGAGCGATGCCATTTACTCCCACATAAAGCACCAAAGAGTTGATCATGGGCACATTGTACTTGGATCCGCCAGAGTACAAGTCCTGGCTGGAGGGGTCCATGGCAAGAATGTCACGCAAGCCCTCCAGGAAGGGAGCCTGCTCACGGGTTCTGAGGTAGGTGTCGACGTCTCTCTTCAGGGTGACAGTCAAGCTGGAGGTATAATCCGAGAGGACTCTGGGTGGCTGGTGAATCTCTGTCAACAGGTCAACCTTCAAGTTGGGGGTGAAGGGATCAGGCAAACGCATGTTTCTGGGGAAGGCGCTCAGGATCAAGTTGCGGAGTTGGATGCAAGAGTGAGGGATAACATCACAGAAGCTGAAGTGGTAGTCGCAGAGGAACTCGGGGAAGTCGTGCAACAAAACCAAAAGAACACGCAAAGTGCCCTTGTAGAGCTCCCGGGTGGTATCGCGCATTTCGCCTCCGACCAGGAAGGGGATCAAGAATCGAAGAAGGCACACAAGGAGCTTCTGGAACGAAGCCCATCCCTTGCCGTTCTCTGCCAACAAGAGCTTGGGCATGAATGCCCTGTGCGAAATCAGCGACAACCATCCATATGTGAATCCGGGGAACACCAATGGCTGCAACGTATGGAACGTGTTGCTATTAGGATTGAAAGCATATCGAAAAAAGCGTTAATATATGTAGACATTAATTTCAGCAGAAGTACGGATGTCAACAAATAAAATAGACAAAGGCAGCGTACCTGAAGGCGGTGAGGATCTGGAAGTACATGGCAGGGCTGGACTCGTAAGAGGTCATCATCTCGGTTAAGAGACCGGAGAAGAGACGGAGGAATGGCTTCTGGTTGAACTGGCCACGACGCTGCTCGTGGGCCTGGGCGAGAACGAGGACAATGATCGACAAGAGGGTGGTCAAGTAGGTGACCTTGGCGCCGCTGTGGTTGACGCCTTGAGGATCGGAGTAGTGCTTGACAAGGGTCACAATCAGCTTGACAAAGGCATCGACGCCCTGGTAGGCTGCTGCTGTGTTGGTGACCTTGTACTTGATGTAGCTCTCGACACTCATCTCAGTACAGACACGGAAGAACAACGACGAGATCTCCTCGCCCTTCAACACTCCCTGCTGCTGGATAGAGTTGATGAAGGCACCATAGTCCTTGTCGTTTGAAGTAGGAAGCTGGTATACGCGAATCCACTCGGCAAAGATAAATGCGAGCTGTTCCCGCAAGACCGAGTTATCGACGTCCTTGGCTGCCTCGCGAGGGGCCTGACCACGACGACGGATATCCTCAATCAAGAGGACAATCGGTTCAACAGCCTTGCCACCACGCTGGGTCAGGCGGTTAAGGACGTTGAGCGAGTTGATAAACTCGTTGCGGCTGGCGCAGGGCTGCTCGCTCAAGACACACTCACGGATCAACTTGATCGTGTACTCGACGACACCGGGGCGTCCAATCTCGATCAAGCGTGCTAACTGGATGTCCTGGTCGACCAGCGACACCAATCCAGCCCTGATCAAGGTGACGGTGACAGGGACGTTAAACTTACGCTCATCATCGGCATAGATGAGCCACTCAGTGACCTCCTTGGCTACCTTGCTGGAAAGGGCGCAAAGCTGTTCCAATAAGACAGCGTAGACATCGCGCGAGAGGACCTGCTCCGTCTTGTACAGGAGCTGGACAATCTTTTGCGAGAAAGTAAGGGCCATCTCGTCGGGGTTGAAGGACTGCGCGGGAATCAAAGGAACGAGGCGAGCCAACATCTTGACCTCGTGGTTGGGGGGCAATGCTGCCAAGGGCATCGAGGGCGAGAGACTGATCAGTTTGTCCAGCTCGCTGACAATCTGCACAAACTTCTCCAAGGCCTGGTGGGCCGAAAGAGGGATGGGCGCGCTGCCGTAGCCGTGCTCGTTGGTGTTGAAAGGGTATCCTTGGCCAGCATCGGCCTTGACGTTGAGGGGAGTGCGCACGTTGCGATCAGCCTCAAAGGTAGAGGGCATGATAGCCTGGCGAGGCATACGGGCAAAGTCCTCGTAGACACGCAACTGCTGAGGAGAGAGACCAGTAGGCTTGAGACGCAAGGGCTCGGGAAGGCTGGCAGGGTAACGAGACGACTGGTAAGTCGCCATGTCATAGTAGGGCTGTCCAGTGCGCTCGCGGTGCTTCTTGCGAGTGTTGAAGGCGTTGGCGAGGCTCTCCTCGATCTCGGGGATGGCCTTCTCCATGGCGGCCTTCTCGATCACTGAGCAGGCGAGATCCAAGTTGTCGTTGACAGTCATCAAAATCGACTGCTCGGGCATGTTCTGGTCCGTGAAGCCGTTCTGGAGGAAGAGCGTGCGGATAATGTTGGCCATGCTGACACGGAGGGGTTCCTTGCAGGTGACAAGAGCGAGGCTTCCGGCCAAGTTCTGGACCATCAAATGGGCGGCCTTGCGCATCTTCTCCTCGTTGGGCTCCATAGCGAAATCCTTGATGATCATCTCACGAGTTGAAATTCCGGCAATGGTTACCGAGCGATCGACAACGGGGGTGACAATCTCGCGGACGGCACGCTCGATAGCAATGTGGACAAGACGCTTAAGAGCAGGCCTCTCGTTGAAGAAGGCGGGAGGGTTGAAAGTGACAAAGGCGTTGAGGTTGGGAACCATCTCCATCGTAGCCTCCTGCTGGGCAGTGGCTGCAGCTGTGGGGGTTGTGGCCTGGACAGGCATGCGAGCCGAAGGGGCATAGCCGCCCATTGAGAGGCGCTCAAAGTCCTGCGTCAATGTCGCAGGGTGGGCGACAAGTTCCTGTGGAGGTCGGTCTTTGAGAATGCTGGTCGGCTCAATCTCCTTGAGGTCCAAGGTTAAGCTGTTGCAAAGAACCTCAATCTCAAATTTGAGATGGAGCTTCAGGTCGGCAAACTGGTAAAGCTCGACAAGGAGGCGCATAATGGCGACCAGCCACGGGTTTGGAGGCTTGAATACCTTGCTCTTGTTGCACTGCTCCAAGACCTTACACACAAATGGAATGGCGACAATCAGCCTGTTGCTGTCGTAGCCCTCGATCAGCAGTTCCTTGAAGGCGAGGTTCTTGTGCTTGATGGGACGGTTGCGGGCAAGGGTCATGCCTCCAAGCCAGGATCCAAGGTTCTTCAAGAGAGTGCGGTCAGAGGACGACTGGACGGTCTTTTCAGAGTTGATCAGGATCTTGATGTTGGCGTATGTCTCGTGGAGGATGTGACGGTAGAGCAAAGGGCTCTGGAGCCCGTCCAAGAACTGCAGGTACAGGACGTGGTAGTTGGGCTCGATACTGGCACGCTTGACAACGATGTAGTTACTGAACCAACGGTAAGCACTCTCGCGGAGGAGCTCCTTCATCTCGGTCAGCTTTGTGTCGATGTTGGTCTGAGACACGTTGTTGACAATGAAGAGAATCTTGTCCTGCGTCTGCTCGTTGGGGACTTCATACTCAATGTCATCGCGTCCAACAATCAACGTATCCACATTCAGCGAAGTGAAAACTGGAGGCGCTGTTGGCTGAGGTGACGTTGCTGAGGTGGGCGCCGGCTGTTGGGCGATCTGACGCTGAGCCTCCTGGGGAGCGGATTGCTGAGGAGGGGCAGCCGAGGTCAGGTCAGCCGAGGGGTTAGAACCATCCTGAGCAGCTGCAGAGGCCGAGGGGATCATCTGGTGGATATAACGCACGATCTCTGGGTGGACCTGCGCTAGGTGTGGGATCTGCAAAAGATGCGAACAGTAGGTCGGCCATTCTTGTAGACGCGACTGGAATCGGCTCAGGGCCTGGGCACCAAAGTTGAACATCTTGGAACCTGGCGGGCTGCGGATGGCATCGAGGACGTAACGAAGGGCAATGCCGAGAGGAATGTACGAGACTAGCTGGTGCTGAATCAATGCTCCAAACAGGTCACTCGTGATCGAGAGCTCCTTCTCGCGGTAGGTGGAAAAGAAGCGATATTCGTCAAACAAGTTGTGGATCATGCAGGCATAGATATCCTGCTCCCGTGGGTTGATCGAGTTCTTGAACTGTTGCAAAAGGTCGACAATCTCTGGAATCGAAATATCACCGCGGTAAATGCGCTTGTAGTAGTCGTTGGTAGTCTCTTCGACTTCAGCAGAGAATGATGTCTCCGCTCCTGTGGCTCCTCCATCGACAGTTGGTGTGATGTTGGCGAGCTGAGGGTGAAGCTGAAGGTATGTGTTATGAACGCTCTTCAACACACCCGAGTTCTCAGGCGAAATCGAGCTATAAAATACAACGAGAATTCAACGTCATTGTTAGTTAACCATTCTGAATCATAATTCTGCACATTACGCCGAAAAGTAACAATTGCCAGAGTAATGATGGTTACCTTCCAAGAAGAACTTGCAAGAAGACGGCGACAGTTTCAACAGGGAGAGGCTTTCCTTGGTGGGTGTTGCCAACAGCCCTCTCGCTGAGGTAATCTAAGCATGTTCTGACAAAGATATCCTGTCCCGTAGCAATCCGGTTCTGGAGCCACTTGTCTAATGCAAGAAGGTTGCGGCTCGACGCCAACACTGCCAGATCGATTGCAAAAACATACGACTTGACCTCGAGAACCTTGCTCAAAATCTAATGCACAAGAGAAGAGTTGAAGGTTAGGCATAGTCGCGCGAATTAGAGTAAACGCACCTTGCAAAGATATGCAGGTCAACAAAAATGCCCTGGAACTTACTGAAAGGTCCTCACAGATGCGTAGAATTTTGACGAGCGAGGAGCGGTCGTGGTCGTAGAGATCGAGAAGGCCAGAGACGAACAAACCCTGGTTCATCTGCCAAAGGCCGGTCTGAACAAATTGAGGGACGGCGCCTGTTCCTGTCAGGTACACGTGCAAAAGCTTGGAGACGACATCCTGGTGCAAAGAACTCCATGGAGACTTGAGCTGTACAAGACCCAAAAACAAAAGCTCGGTGTTTGACTTCAGACCAGCATCAAGAATAGGCTTGACATCCTCGTGAACCTCGTTGTCGGCCAATGCCATCACAGTCTCGACAAGTGGGATACAGTTCCAGACGCTGGACTCCAGCTCGACCGAGGCATGTGCGCGAACAATGGGATTGGATTGAGCAAATTGGTCTCTGGTGAAGGTGCGGGTGGATGACGCCCATTCCTGCTCAAGGAGCTTGGCAGGTGTGGCAATAAGCTCCTTCAACACAGAAATCTGTCCTTCAACGTTGTTCCATTGTCCCCAGAAAGCCTCCAGGGGGAAAACGCGTCCGCTCTAAGAATATGGGACAAAAGGGCCAATGTTAGCAATTGCCTTTCTTTTAAGTCTTAAAGGACGCTCATAAAGAGATTGCAGTGAAATGGGCTCCAGCTGGTGTACCTTGTCGGCATTTCTGAATGCGGTGATGATAAACTCCAGTCCCGAAACATCAGAGACCTTGAAGCCGGGGTAGTCCAGAGCATGGATGACCTTGACCCAGTCAACGGGGTTCTTATTGAGCACTGTTGCAAACGTCTTGAAGTCCCACGCGTTGTCAGGGTTAGCCTTTGACTGTCTTGAGACCATCATGCCGAGAATGCGCGCAATGTCCTGCTCGCTAGGTGTCCTGGAGTTGTCGTATCCTGCTTGGCTGAGCACCTCATTCACAGTTGAGGCGTTCTTGCAGCACGAGGGACCTGCCTCGCGCATAGCCTTGGCCAGAGCTGCTGATTCGGAGCTGTCGTTCATATCGCTAAATTGTATTATTATCCGCATTATTGGGGAAAATTTTACGTTAGCGCTTTGTGGAAGATGCATTGCGTCAACCGGATAATGATCAAAGGAAGAAAAACGAAGGCATCGAAGTAAAAAGGGAGGTGATACATACCAAATCTCTTTGATAGTGGCGGTGATGTTGATGGGGATGTTGTTGTTGTAGAGGGTATGGATGAGTTGTGTGACAGTGTCCTTGGGTTCGTTCCAGAACTTGTAAACGGAGGCGTCGAGGGATTGCACAAACTCGAGCAAAAGATCGGGGGAGGAGAGTTGTTCCTTGAGAGAAGGCGTAGTCGCTTGGATGACACGTTCCGCTAAAATATCACGCGAACAAGATGCAATAATACATAGTCAGGGCCACTTTTTGTTAGTACGAGCGCTCTCATAACGTTGAAGCAAGCATCCGTGGAGAACAAGCGTATTGCTAAAACCCATCACTTCTCTCTCGCATACCTTGAGAGACGAGATCTGGCTTGGGGGATTGCAGGAGAGCAAGGGCAAGACGGGTCTTTTCGATGGGCTTGAGGGTCGAGTCGCGGACGAAGAGTTCAAAGTCAAAGGATTTGAGGGCCTCGCTCTTTTCGGTCGAACTGACGGCTTCGGAGAAGAGTGCGGCGGAGGTTTGGGTCCTTGTGAGGACCTGGAGTTGGTCAATAAGAAGCCTGTGGATGGGCGAGCCGATGTAGTCGCTGTTGGGTGATCCCTGTCCTGTCTGCCAGGCCTGGACAATACGTCTGATAAAGTGGAGATAAACGCCTTTGCCGTTGTACTCGATTAGCTGTATGGAGTAACGGTGAGGTTTACGGCGTAAAGAAGCGAATTGTGGTTAGTTGGAGGTCGTTACGGTGTTTTGTGTTTGGAAGATCGTCTATTTCTTCGTAATCGTTAATCCCGTCTCATCAAGCCCTTTTCTACACCCTCCCAGCAAAGAGATAGTTCCAACAGACACCAACAGCCCCATCACTTTTTCTATTTCTCCTTTACTTTGTTGTCCTTCTCGCATACGTCCAACTCTCTGTTTTCTTTCTTTGGACCTCTCCCCTGACTATTTTTTCCATTCTTAATTACTTCATACTCTTTCTCATAAAATATTTCATTCCGTCGCTCCCACCAGTATTGATTTCCATCTCTCTCTCTTTCCCTTCCCAAAAAGTGTGTAAACTTACCGAGTGGATTTCAGTGACGCTTCGGGTGTAAGTGTTCTCGGAAAGAGTCGAGAGGAGGACGGCGACCTGGGCCTTGACGATGGTCAGGAAACTGGATTTCCTGGAGGGGAGACTCAACCTGGATGAAGGTGGTGTGGGCTGACTCGAGATGGATGGTTTTTCTTCAGTGCTCATGCTGAGAGACTAAAGTACATGATGCGCACTCTGGCGTGTTTCGAAGAGTAAAGAGAAAGGGTAGTGGTTGTTGTGTTTGTGAGGCTGCTGATTCGTTGGTTCGTTGGCTAGTTGTTGAGTGTGTTGTGGGAGGTTGTGGTTGTCTGTAAGGTGTGTAAGGAGAAAGTCAGAAAAAAGAGAGATCATATTGAGGTGCAAGCAGAAAAAAAAAGGAAAAGGTTGACAAGAGTTAAAAAGTGTGAACGTGATTCGTTTCGCTCGAATGAAGGTAATTCACACTGCGAGAAGGCAGAGTGATGTTATCAAAGGCAAGTGTGTTTGCACAGGGTACGAAGACAAAGAGAAAAGAGAACACGCGCGGCGACAGATACAACGATGGACTCGTTATCGTTCGTCCTGTGCTCTGTATTTTATGCTTCAACGCCTCCAAGCTGTGTCCTTGTCAAGTCGTATATGTCCTGCTCAAAACAGCTTCGATAATGCAGACGTAATTCTTGCCTCGCTGCTGCTCCTACTGTACGTCCCTGCTCTCACTTGTGTTGTCGTTGAATTCCTGCGTTTTGTGTGCGTCCAAAAGGGTGTATTATATGTGCGTCGTCGCAAAATAATAAATACAAGGTGGCGATGGGTGGGTCATCTAACCCCCATCAGAGACGAAGATTAAACATACACAAGCTCTCTCGGGGCACAGACGGAGGAAGCGGAAGGAGAGTGAGAGTGGGAGAGATTGAAGGGGCGTGTACAAACAACAAATAGAAGGGACAATAAAAAAAAGGGATGTGAAGAAGAAGATGGAAGAAAGGGGGAAGATCCCAGCATGGAATCACCGCTAAAAAAAGCCAGCAAACGCGGTGCCTTCCCTCTCTTGGTGGGGAGGGGAAAGGCGCTGGAAAATCAGTGCGCAGTATACGTCATTGTATTAATTTTAATCGTACCTTTTAACGCGCGAATCTATCTCTCGTCACGCCTCTGGCCTGGCTTTTGCCACTAATTTAACGGCGAGACTTATCCCTTTCGCGGTCTCGAGACCGATCGCGCCGGCGCTCACCACCACGGTCATCCCGGCCGCTTCTATCACGGTCATCTCTCCTGTCATCCTTCCTGTCATCCCTCCGGTAGTCCCTGTCACGATCTCTAGTACGGTCATCCCTCCGTGAGTCTCGGCTATCCTTGGTATCTCTGGTTTCCCGATCGCGATCGCGTTCTCTGTCACGGTAGTCCCTACTGCTTCCACCTCGCTTGTCCCGGTCATCGCGGCTGTCGCGACTATCACGACCACCTCGGTCTCCCCTGCCTTGGTCATCACGGTCATCCTTCCTGCTGCGACTCTCCCTTTCATCTCTGTCCTTTGTATCCCTAAAGTCTCTCGAGTCCCGGCTGTCTCTGTCCCTGCTGTCTCTGGTGTCTCTGGTGTCACGCTGACTCGGCGGGCCGCTTGGTCTGGCGGTAGAACTCCTTGAAGGAACTGGAATGCTCTGTGGCATACGAGACTCTCCTGGCTTAATATACTTTTTCTTGCTTGGCTCCGGCTCTCTTGGCTTCGCACCCAATCCCAACAACGCTGGACGGCGATTGTACTCGATACTATGGCAAGAAAATGATAACGCAAGTTAGTTTAGCTGAACAAGAACACAAACATAGCACGCTCAATTGATCAGTACGGAGTCACTGAGGTGGCGAATAAGGGAAAAATAATAACTTACGCGTCAGATCCGTTGTCGTCACCCTTCCACCCCATGCCACGCAGAAGTGCCGCGCCAAACTCTTCAACAGGAACCTTTTCATAATCCTCAAGCGAGGCCTCGTCAGGAAGTTGCTCCAGATTCTTTTGGAAAGATTCAACTTCATCCTGGTGGACATTGTCCTCCCCGAGGAGAACGAGTCGTCTTGATCCCTCCCCTGATACGCCCGTTACAGCTATTTTCGATAGGTGACAAGAAAACGCGTCAGTAATCCCACTTTTCTGACACGGCACCCATCCAGGTTAACTTCAATTGACTTCATCATGATCGATTTGATTTTACCTTCAAGAACTTTCCTGGCAGCCATTTCCTCAAGCGTCTCCTCCTTCACGTCCTCAATAACCTCCTCTCTCACCACAGTAGTCGTTTCTGTAACATCGATATCCATAGCCGAAGACCTCTGATCCGTAGTATTCGCCTCTACCTTGACGCGTTTCCGAATCTGCAACCCAATCTTCGTCTCCTCCGGCTCTTCCGTCTCTACAGTTACAACATGCGCCTGAGTCGCACTACTACCCTCGGGGAGGTACGCCCGTTTCCTTTTCGCCAACGCCTCCTGTCTCCAGTTTGAGTTCTCTTCCTTGGGGATCACCAATGCCTTTGCCTCCACCTGTGGCGCAACACTAATTGTTTGTTGTTTGGAAAAGAGGCAACAATAATCGTTAGCAGATCGAAAATAGGAGTAAAGGTATCATGATAATGAAGGGGATATATAGCAATTCGACAATGAGAGGGGTATGACGATTACCTCTCTATCTTGTTTCCTTCAACTCCTCTAATAAGTTCATCAACATGCCCCTCAGTAGGAGCCTCAGTCGACGCAGCACCGAATGCACCAGTCGGTCGGACAAGAGGAGCTGCAGGACGAGCGATTCCTTTTCCTTTGCCCTTGATGGCGCCGCCGCCGAATGACATCTTGAAAGGCGCTGGTCCATTGTTGTCCTCTGGCGGTGGTGGTGCTTCTGCCGACATGCTTGTGTTCGCTAGGAGGTGTTGGTGAATGGGAATAAAGAGAAGGGGAAGAGAAGAGTGAATGGCCAGGTGTGCCGTTGCTTGAAAAGTAGAGAGAGAGAGAGAGAGAGAGGCCAAGCACTTTTCTTTTTGATCGCCACCAAGCCACACCCAATTTTATTTGCCCACTCCCGTTCCTTCTGTCTGTATGTCGCACTCCCCTTTTTCTCCCCAAAACCCTCGCACACACCAACCAACCAAAACCCAACGAAGCAAACCACGCAGGACAGGAAACAAGGACAACAAGCAATGAGCTCAAACGACCACCTACGATCCAACTTGCACAGAGAACTCGTCGCATCAGGAAAGCGGGACCAGTAAGCAATTCACTCTTCTCCTTGTTTCATGGACGAACCCTTCATCACTCTTTGTTACGACAGGAACGACCATGACGAACTTGTTTTAATGACCCCATCGTTTTTCTCCTTCTTCTTTACTCCACTCCAATCACTGTTTACGTGGCGACTATGAACACAGGCTGGTGGAACTGTTGAAGTCACGGCTAATTGAATCTGGATGGCGGGACGACTTGAAGACCTACACCAAAGGTACCCCTTTACTTTTCTTTGCACCCCCGTTTGAGACCAGAAACTACAAACAATTGGCACAGGACATCCAGGACTAAACAATGCGTATTGATACCAATGAACGCCCCCAATCATCATTAGAGAGAATCAACTCCAAGGACTCGGCCCAGTCAGTCGACGAGATCATCAAAGACGTCAGTCCGCACGCCCGAGGTAACCCCTCTTCACCTTTCTTTTTATCGATGTGTGAAATGTTTGCGCCGTCACAGTCACTTTGCTAACTCTTCCTTCCTCCACCTTCCCCTACCTCGCTCAAATCACTAACCTTTCCAGCCACGGTCCCAGACAAGGTCAAGACAGAGCTCCTGGCCCAGATCAGCGCCTTTGTCGAAGATAGCATGTAAACGTCTGTCACCACCATGGAGCTTTGGACGTTAGTCCTCCTTGCTTCCTTGCTTCCATACGTCCACCCCCCCCCCCCTGCGCCTCTTGCCATCTTCCCCTCCTGTACATTAATATACACAAAACAAACAATGCAACCCGATCCACCACTTCTTTTTCTCTTGGAGAATTAATGACAATGATAACGGGGCCAAGGTGTCTATTTCTTTGAACCCGCCCTCGCCCCATCGTTTTATGAGAGACTAGGGAAACTGGTACCAAACGTCAACTTGTCCCCCTTCTTTAGCAGAATGTGGGGTTGATCCTTAACATCCCCCTCCCAGGAATACCAACGACCATTTCATTGCATGTGAAAGGATGCATGAGTAGATAGTTAATGAATTTGTTTATTTTGTTACATGAAAAAAGCAAGTGCTGGAAAGAAAGTGGGTGGGGGGATGAGGGGAAGATGGTATGAATGCAGGGAAACAAAGGGATGGGAAAAACGAAGGCGAAAATACAAGAATCCCAAGAGCCAGAAAAAAGCGGGCCTCCGTTTTACTCGGTCTTCTTGGTGGAGGCACCAGCGCGCTTGGAGTATGTGCGCTTGGCGAAATCCACAAAGAGGTAGGTGAGGGGGAACAAGTATCCAACGTTGATCCAGACAGCCATCTGAGCTCCAGGGGTGCGGATGCAGCCGGGAATGAAGAGGTAGGAGACAGCGATGGTCATTCCAACGAGGAACTGGGTGATCTGCATGGAAGTCAAGTACTTCTTGCCAGGGGGGTGGAGTCCAATAGAGGTAGCGGCGTAGTAGGCGTACATGACGGTGTGGATGAAAGAGTTGAAGACGACAAAGATCCAGATGGGGGTGGCCTGGTAGTTGATACCGGACCACATGGTGATCATGGCGCCGGCGTGATGGTAGGTCTGGAGGAGGGAGGAGCGGCGGCCCTTGAGGATAATGATGATGGTGTCAATGACCTCGTAGAACTTTGAGAGGTAGAAGATGTAGCCCCAGTAGCCGAGCGAGCCGTTCCAGAGCGACTGGTCGGTATCACAGTACTATTTTAGTTATAGGAGAGATGGAGGTAGGTTAGCATAAGTGTGTGTGTGTGTGTAGATGTTTATGCAAGTGAACTAGAGGAAACGCGTTGAAGTGAACATGTTCGATAGAGATGTTTGCCACCAATCTCCAACCCAACCCAACCCAACCCAACCCAACACCCAACCAACCGAGACTTTTTCTCCTTATTTTTGTACCACAGTCAGTCAATCAATCAATCAATCAATGGAGACACACAGCCCCAAAGATTTTTTTTCTCTCCTTTGTCGCTTTGTTGAGTTGACTAGAGTTGGAGTCTGCTGTTGTGCTTTTGTGTTCATTGCTCCAAGAGGGCGATAGGTTGACTTTTTTTGGATCAATTGTCAGGGGGATTGGGAGAGGGCAAGGAGGGACAGGATCGTCCGTTGTTCATAACCTCTTCCTGTTCAAGTCGCATGTACGCTCAATTGCGCTCAGGTCACTCATAATTTTCGTTGGGGAGGATAAGGGCTGTACAACCACAACAAACAAATCCCATTAACTCTTAATCAAAAGAGAAATGTAGGTCGTGGTGGTAGTCGATCCGTGGTTTATCCATCCCGGCATGTTCGATAGCCGACATATCCGAACAAGACTGACTCCAAGGGTTCCTGGGTTTGAATGGTGGGGCGGTGGCTAATTGAGAACAATAATCATCGATCGCTCTTCACTACCATTCGTCGTCATCCTTCTCTCTCTCTCTCTCTTGTTGCTCTCTTCATTTTTCTTGTTGTCCCTCTTCATGCCATCCCACTTCTTTTCGACTCCAACTGCTAATAGCACAAACAAGAAAATAACAACTAGCCCAATTCTTCTCCAAGAAAAAAACAAACAAACAAACAATACAAGAAAAAAAAATCCAAGAAACTTACGGCATCAAAGACAGTGTGGGTAGCAAAGTTCTTGATCATGGCAGGGAACATGTTGTAGAACGTAATTCCAGAATAGATACACAGAATCAAGTTGTGGATAAAGACAAAGGCGGTCATGGCAGCACCAGACTGGGTCTTCTCGGCAGGCTTGGCGTTAGCAGATTTGGCGACGACGCGGGAAACTTTGCCAACCTTGGGGTTGAAGAGGGTGACGGCAATGGTATAGGTTGCGGCGATGGCGAGGGGCGTCTTCCAGTTCATGAAGAAGTCGTAGTATTCAGGGAAGGGGATCCCGGCGGGCATGGGTGCTGACTCCATTGTGTGTATGTGTGTGTGTTGGTGAGATTAAGGTACAGAAAGAGGGGAGAGTGGGGAGAAAGAGGAAGAGCAAAGAGTCGAGATGGGAAGGCGATCAATGGATAAGAAGAAAACAGAAAAGAAAAAGAGGAACGAATCCAGCTGTCTTTAAACGTTGGTGCCAGAAAGTAAAAAAAAAAAAAAAAAAAAAGACAGTCCTCCTCCTCCTCCTGAAGGGTTACAAGGTATAGCCTTTCTCCTCTGTATTGATCTGGGGGTGTCTGATAGTCCAATTCAACGGCAGACAGAATCGCTTGCAAAAAAAATTAATAATGCTTCCATGTTGTTGGGTGCTGCAGAGAAAAGAAAAACTATGGGTAGGTGGGAGGTGGTCCGAGGGCACAGCTCTCTTGTCTCTTGCTTTCCTCCGAAAAGGCCATTCCTGCAGATACAACCCCTCTGTCCCCTCTTCTCCCCGCGCCTGATTTCTGTTTGGGCGAATGGCCACACAGTCCACGCCCCCTTTTCCTTTAATGCTTATTACTCGTTTTCTCCTGCACCTCACACTCCGGCCTTAGTTCAACAAAGCGTACAGTGCTCATTCATCCTTGCCTCTCCGACTTTAATCCAGCTGGATCACTCCCTTTCCCTTCACTCACACACACACCTCTTCCACAGCTCCAACAGAAAAAAAATGGGGTAGAAAGGCATCGGAAACAAAACAAAGCCTTTTCTTTTCAGATGTATCACCATGCACATTCCCTCATCTCCACCAATGCCATCGGATATCGCCATGGAGATAGTTCCCCCATTGACGTTTCATCTTCATTCATCTCCACCATCGCCTCTTACGTTGCCATGTGCAATTAAGTACCTTTCAACCTTCCCCATCAATGGACGTTGATGGATCGTGCGTTTCCTTGTGCGGTGCCTACGGATCAGTGGCTTCGCGGGGTATCGATATCCTTTTACCCTATCTCCGATGTATCATAACGTTTCTCGCCATTGACTCGACTGGAGCTGGTTGCTGCAACAAACGTAACGCTGTGATGAATACATTGAACAACCGTCATTACTCCGAGCGGCAATGGGTGATACAGGCCAACCTTACATTTCGACCAGGTTGGTGCCTGAACAATGGTATGAGCACAGCAGACCCATCACCTGTTTAAGAACAACAGGAATGATTTTTATCCTTCTCTGTACTCCTCTCTCATCACAGAACCCCGGATTAAGAGACCATTGGACGTGTTTCCTCAAATCCCAGCTCTGAACCCGTCACCTCTACCCATCAAGGAACACTCTTTTCTCCACACAAGAAACACGCCTATCAGATAACACCCTCCAACAACCATAGTAGACAAAAAGTCCGTCGTTTTGGGGATCAAAAGGAATTAATTCGTCTTTGTCATGGTCTCTTCCCTATGACGGACCCTGAACGAAAGACCCTCCAAAAGAACTCATAAATCAAAAATCAACGTAATCAAGAAAGAGGTGTCTCCCCAGGCTACGACCCCAACAAAAATACAAATATTTCGCCCTCGTTGCTGATTTGGTTTTGGGTTTTGGGTTTGGGTTTTGGGGGGGAAGGGGCAAGGGCCATTTTTTATGTGTAAAGAGAAAGAGAGCGAACAAGGGAGATGATGCGGATTCGATACTCGTTCACGTCTATCGTTGGCTGCTACTTCTCTGGGCGGTCTTGGTCCGGTATGCAATCTCAAATGACGAAATTGCCCGGAGCATCAGTACCACCTCCGGACTAATCATCATGCCGTTATCATTCACAATGAAAAAAAAAAGTACGAGAGGAGAATTGTGGTTAGTGAGAAGTTCAACAGATGATTACTCGCTTCAAAATTCACGGACCACCAATATTATCATATCATTTGTTATCTCTCACTCTCACGCTCTCTGTCAATTGTTTTTTTTACCTTTGCACGTCTTCAGAGGGGGTATTGGCGCTATGGACTGACACGCGAGAAAAGAACTCGTGCAGCAGGTTCAATAGTCTTGGGAAACCATCGATAAACGCCTGTTGCAAGAATTGGGACGCTATCAGGGGTTGCAAAGAAGTACGAACACCAGATGGGTTAGTATGTGTTTTGATAGTGCCTAGACAATTAAAGCATTGAAGAAGACCTTCCTAGGAAAACGTACATCTTACAGAGGCCTTGAGTTCTTGTTCAAACTGGACAGACAGCGACTGCCAGAACCTGTGGACCATGTTTCCGTCCATGCTGCTCGAAATCACATCCAAGAACGAGATCTGTGACAAAGGATCTCTCTTTCGTGCAAGCACCCGTTCCAGCAAGTAGATCTACATATACACAAGAGTGACCGGTCGCTGTTAGTCGATCTGTAACGCCTTTCAGCATGTTCACAAGAGGTCGAGTCCGCAACGACAAATGTCAAAGAAGTCTAGTCCCAGATGTTACCTTGACGCATCCGTTGTACATATCATCCATGAGTTTCTCCATCCTCTTCCAAAGAATCGAAGTCCATAATGCTGCCGCTCCAACGCTTGGCTCACCATTGTTTCTTCGAACACCGCCGCCCACAAATCCTGAGCTATTCATTCCCGATTCTAAGTTAAAGGTAATGAGCATCGAAATCAGCGTCAGTCATGCATACCCCGAGTCGCCATGTTCCATGGTCTTCTTTTCGCAGCAGCTGAAGGGACGTACCTTTAGCCTCCCGTTGCAAGGACTGGATATCGACAGCCTGCTTGATCTGTGCATGCAGTCTGTTGGAGAGAAGTGAGGTGATCGCCACGACTTTGAGATCCAGTCGCTTTAAAGAGTAAAAGACCTGCAGAGCTGATCCGACCTGCGCCTGGTTCTGAGCGTTCATGCCCTCCTGAAGCATCCTGTCGGCAGAATCCACAATCCTGCTCCTAACCGACTCCAAGTTCCGCACCTCCTCATCCACAACGTGAATGCCTTCTAGATCTGACTCCTGAAGCAGCGCATCTAATGTGATCCATATTCATAAGGAGATACAATTAATTATCACCCTGAGTTGTTTGTTCGCCAGCGCGTGAAATAAGAACAAAATGAAGCCATCCTTGTATCAACATACCAACTTCACTAAGAGTGAGGGCAGCTTTAGTCAATTCCAGATCGCCACCAGGCATTTGCATCTCCAATCGTTTGCCCAAGTAAAGAAACCTCAGTACCCGACGCAACATCTCTGATGTGACCTGCAAACGCTCCAATTGAACAGTGTAGGTCTGAATCTGCTCAAAGGGCGTTTTGATCTTGAACGAGAGTCGCTCCATGGATGTGCTGAGAGCCTTGAGTCCAATCTTGACAGTTTTTAGAACCGTTTCCAGTTCCCGGATCCCTGCTGCTTGACTCAGCAAGTCATTGTAGTTGTTCGTCACCTATTTTCTCCCATTTAATTGTGGATTATGTTAATATGTGCTATGAAGGTGTATTGTTTTGTTCCTGGAAGTAATTAAAAAAAAAAGTTATTCCTGGGGTATGTGTTGTTACCTGCTCGTGAAGTTGCTTGTTGAGACTGTCGATACTGAAGGAGAGACTGGCGAGAGAGGTCGAGATGTCGACACCCTTTGAAGACTGGTGGATGATGGAGTTGGCATGGGTATTTGGGTCGAACTGGTCGACGAGGAAAGAGTCGTAGTCTAGTAGTGAGGTTGATGTGTGAAAGGATGAAAGTTGATGTTGCATTTGGTCAGTTGTATTCCATATTGCAAGTAATGGCTATTGTTCTCCTGGTCTCCTGGATGAACAAGTGAAACAGTAGAGTACCGGTGTAAGAGTCGAGGTCTGGGATGGTTGTGGCCATGGTCATGGTCTGTCCTATGTCTATGTCACTATGTTCCTGGTATTTCCTCGAGAATGCGCGCCTTGAGGAAGGTGTCCGTGTGAGAGATGAAAAGTCCGTTTGGGCGCGTTCCTGAGCAACCTTGAAGGAAGTGCGATGGGGTGCTACTTGTCTATGTGGCAGTCAAGCTACTACTTCCGCCCAAGTCATGGAAGGGTGACTGCTGGTGCCTTTCATATGAGAAGAGAAGGAGGGTGTGAAGAAATGAATAAAAGCCACAGACAATCGTCCAATTGCGGTCTGAGATCAGTTCGTGCGTCGTTTTAAATACTTTTTTTTTATTTTTTTTATTGCCTTTTCCGTTCTGTCGTGTGCACCGACGTCGTCTTCCTCTCTTCTGATTCCTACTTCCTCCTTTCTTCCCTTCTTCCATATCTCCTATTCTTCACTCCTCCTCGACCACCAAGACAGCTGTCGGACCCTCGCACACACCAACAAAGCACACAACAGAAACAACCATCGGGAACGACCATCAGGAGAGGACACCCACAGAGACACGCATAAAGTTGATCCAGTCTCCAACCTAGTGTCTCAATCAACTTCCCTCTTACCTCGGCACCGTTCAACCTCGTCGCGTGTGCGCTTCTACCCAGGAGTGTGAAAACAACCACCAACGGCCAACGACCCTCCTTGGAGTCACCCACGAGCTTCAACAGCGACGTATACACATTACTCCTCTTCAACATGCAGGCCAGTTGTTTATTGCAACGAGGTCCGATCCGTCCCACGATCTTGACCAGGACCTTCGCATGCAATCACCCTACAGCTATTCAACGCACCCGCTCCATTCTTCTCAAGAAGCAGGATGTCCAGACCCGCAGGTAAATATATATGCCGGACAAGTGAATCACAGAATCACAGCGTCTGTTGGAATCTCACACCCTCCTTTATCAAAACAGACGAAACACCTTTTTTTTTTCCGTAGCTAACGTATCTCTCTCTCAACATCAATTGATCCCGTTTCTTTAGCAATAGTATGCGGTTCTTATCAAGCATAACTGGAAACGGCCGATCTTCCAAGAGACAATTGCTTTGCAGACTTGCTCCCGGACTGTGGGTCTACAATAATGGCGGTATCTATGGAGGCGAGGCAGCGGTGGCCGTGAATCAGACAACACAGCAAGTGATAATGCAGCGATCCGGCGTCGCTACCCTCAACTCGGCGTCGTTTGCAGGAAGTGTACCAGCGCGGGCGCGGGGTGTTCACCAGATCATGAACCATTTGAGCGAGCGCATGGTCAAGGGCACAGCACAGATATTATCCAAGCCTCAGCCCAGGACAAGTGCCCTGCAAGAAGCAGGTCGTCATGGATTCAGTCATTCTTCCTCTCAACCACATACAGCACACCACCACCACTTTCCTTCTTCCTATGTGAACACCCCCTCATCCCAAACACGCCAATACATCACTACGACAAATCACCTCAACAAGACCACACCGGCAACTGCGACCAGAACAGCACACCTCGCCAATCCTCTACGCACTAAATTGGCGCCTTCAACAGTCCGCTCCCAGGCTGCCAATGGATCTAGTCGTACCTATGCGACCCAATCCTCGAATTCGAGTGCGCTTGTCAAGTACACGCCACCCCCTACAGGACCATTAGACCGCGTTGGACGAGCCAAGTTGTTGTCAGCTGCTCCAACGTTTCTGGCCCGACTCAAGATCCGGTTCAAGTTGCTGTTAATGCGCCAAATCCGGCCGTGGCGGGTGGACGACTTTATTGCGATGTTTTCGTGGGCATTCCTGGCGAATGTTGCGTTTGTGCTATTGGGCACAACGACGTTTTTTAGTCTTGTGCTTGCGGCGGCGAACAGTCTGCAGTTCCAAGGTAATAATGCCATGAAAATATGTTGTCATTTGTTTTTTTTTACTTTCTTTCGGGAGAGACCGATTTGGGAAGCGGAGAATTGAACAATAAGGAGGTGGATGTGACGTGGTATTTATTTTCTCTTGTTGTCAGGGGTGGTCCGTGTGTTTGACGTTTTCTTTGGTATCAAAGAGGTGATATATAACGTGACAGTTGATTGACACATCGACATACCATGCATGCAACCAACCATACCATATCAATAGGATTTGTTGCGTCCAAGATTAGCGACTACATGACTGCATCGACAGGAGTCAAGGTCAAGTTTGAGGCTGCCATCGTGCCCAACTGGAAGGACGGCCGCATCACCCTCAGGAATGTCGTCATGTCCAAGCGTGTAGTGGCGCCTCTGACCGAGGACGAATCATCCTCACTTACACACAAGGGCGAGGACCACTCTGGACACGGACATGAACACGACGACTTACCTCCTCACATTGCGACAGAAGAAGAGATCGACACCAACTTCACAATGTTTGATGTCACCATTGACCAAATCGATGTCACCCTGTCGGCCAAGCGGTGGCTGGACGGCAAGGGACTCATCGAAGACGCTTCCATCAAAGGCGTCCGCGGTGTCATCGGTACGTTTTCTTCATCCTATTGGGCCTTACTTTCATGAACCAGGACATTGGTGGATCGAATTCTAACAACAATACACCCATTTTCTCCTTTTTGCAGATCGAACACATGTATGGTGGGATCCAAATGTGGAATATATCCCAGAGGAGGCAAGACGGAAACATGTACCGGGAGATTTCGAGCTCGAGTCTTTGCAATTGGAAGACATGCTGGTGACCGTGCTGCAGCCTGACGGATTCCGGCCGTACACTGTGTCGGTGTTCTCAGCACAGTTCCCTTGCTTCCGGAAACAATGGATTTGCTACGACATGCTGTGTGCAGACTCGATGGTCGGTATGTTTGACGGCTGTCTCTTCAGTTGTTACACTGCTCAGAGGGAGAACACCGATACCCAGACCGACACCAAGTGGAAGCGGACGACGCGGTTCAAGATTGATGATGTCAAGATTGATCATTTGAACGCTGGTGTGGAAGGTCCTTTTGGCTGGATCTATGCCGGCACAGTCGATGTCACCTGTGATGTCAAGATTCCCAACGAGCCTGAAGAGGATGTGTTGAGGAAGCTTGTGAACGATATCGTGGACAAGATTGATGAGGTCGTTGATTTTGCCCCTCTGCCATTAGTCTTTGGAACCGGCGTGATCGGCGGCAAGGATATTGTTGTCTACCCCAACCGTGCAGCTGCTGCCTTGCACCAGAGGATGATGGAGAAGGAGGAGGAGGAGCGGAAAATGTTGGCCTTGCAGCACCAGCAGCACGGACATACCCACCAGCCTCAGACACCTCAGGATGAACACCACCGCCTTCACCATATGAACACACAACACCAAAAGGTCGAACAGCAGTACAGACAATACCAGCTTCAGCAACAACAGAACCAACAACATCTTACAGAACAACAGCGCCAACAACACCAGCAACACATGTCGAGACTAAACCCTGCCACCATTACAGGAAAGACCAAGTCCAAGAAACCTGCTCTGGTGATGGACTTTGAGTTCCGCTTCAACGACACCAAGGCTTCGATTCCCCTCCAAACCGAGAGCATGTCTTACCTCTCCAACGCCATGGTCCGCCCCCTCGTCGCCTTTATGAACAGCAACCGCACTGTCACACCCATCCGCTGCCGCGTCGAAATGGACCTCGTAAGTTCTTCTTTTTTCACTACATGTGTTGATATATTTCCGCCACCTGCGTAGCACACGCTAACCCCTTTCACTTTCGACCGTTATCCACCAATAGTCTGAATTCGATGGATCATGGACGATCTATGACTCGAACCTAATGAACAACCTGTCGACAGAGGTCGGAAAGGCATGGGCCAATCTTGTGGCAGATGAGCGAGAGAGGAACCGCAAGCTGAAGCGAGTGGGACTCTGGGGTCTTCAATCGATGACCCGCAACATTGTCAGTGTCTACGACTATGCCCGTGGTAACCGTGGCTTCTGGCACTACATTGGCACCCAGTCCGTCTAAGGACTGTTCAGTCTTTTTTTCTTCACCAAAAACCACCATTTCATCCTTTTTTTTTCGCATCGTATTCCTTTTTTTTTTTTTTCTTTCTACTTTCAAACCGAACACACATTCACCGCCCAACTGCATTAGAAATTCATACTGCTTTTTTGTTTCCTTTTATCATTCCTCGCCGTCATCCTAGCATTCATTCTTTTTTTCTATTGTTGTTTGTTCATCCACCTTGTACCATACTCCTTCCATCATCGTTCTATTCATTGTCATTAGAAATTAAAAAAATCAGCTATCAAAAATAGTAGACCTGAGGGTGCGTCGCGTTGTGTCAATGTCAAAGGGAAACCATCACTTTTTGGAACCTAATCAAATGCTTGTCCGTGACAAGGAATGTTTTCCTAGGGCGGGGTGGGGGAGGTGGCGGTGAACGACGCTCTGAGATTTGCGGATCTTGTGCGGTGTTTAGGGGCAGGCCGGCTTTTTTCAATGATCGTTCATGTCAACAATGGACGAGTTGCGGTTTTGGTGTTTTGGATGATATAATTAATAACGACGGTGGTAAACGAATACAGAAAGGTAGAATGAGACCCTTCGGATAGAAATGTCTTTGTCTTCTGCTTCCTAAGGTCTAGACTATTGTCTTCTTCCATGAGGCTCGTAAAAAGAAGGATGTTCCTCCAAATATTTTGTTTGTTTTGTGTACAGTTTGAATGAAGCATACAAAACAGACCAAGAGAACCACCCATTGTTGCAGCCAATGCTTGTCCTTGTCACAGCCTTTCCCATGGTAACACAGCGGGACGAATGCATGTCGGGAATTTTCTCACTGTTTGTGCACTCATTCCCTGCTTTGTTCACCATCTCTCTTCTTGTAACCTACCTTCTGTCATCCTCGCCATTTCTCCCGCTTTCAATCTCTCTCTCTCTCTCTTTTTCGCACACCTGTTCTTTTCTACTTTTCTTTCACTTCTTCACTTATACCCATCCCCCAGCACCATCCACAACACACTTTTCATTTTCTTTCCACTCGTCCACACATCCACACATCCAAACATTCGTCAATCCATCCCTCTATCGCCTCCTTCGCCACGGAATGCTACAAGGAAACAGCCCTCAGGATCTGATCCAGGCACTCCGCTCCGTCAACAGGGGTATCCCTCCCAACTCCATTCCTCCTGCCATCCCTGACGAGATCTATCATGTTGACACCCAACTCGACCCCGACACCCAAAAGGCGTTCATTTTCTGGGACGATATCATCCAAGCATTTCATAACGCAGTACATGTCCGTCATAAGACAAGAGTCGTTCCGTTCCTCAGAGGAAAAGACCATTCGTTGTAAGTGTAGAGTTTGCGAGGGCTACTACTGGTGACAATGCATGTTGTGGGCGAAGGTATAGCGAAGGAAGGCAACAATCATACTAATTTTTGTTTTCAATGGACAATGGAAAACATCGCCTCTAGTCTTGAGCCTCGCAGGATCGCCGCCTTGCCGAACATCGTCTTGGATGTGGTGGTAGATACTCCAGTAACCAATAATGCGAGGGTCGTTTCTCCCCAGTACCGACAGGTCGAGCTTCAGCCAGTGCCACCGCAGAATGGCAGCGCGATAAAGGTGGAGAATATCTCCCAGAACTCCACAGCAGCATCCAGTACTACGTCCAGCTCCAGCGTTGAGGTTGAGTCAAATATTACGTTCTCATCCAGCACCCATTCCACTGCAACCTCCACTGTCCGACGGAACTCAGTCTACGGCCTTGTAGAGGAAGCGATGGAAAACTACACTCACATCAATAGACCCCTTGCTTTCCCCTCAGCTCGAGGGCCACATGAAGTACTGGACGATCAACCGCCCTTCAAGGATCCTTTCATCCCTCCTCACCCAGTCAACACCAGCGACTCTCAGCTGCAAGGACCGCAGAGCGTATTCGCCAATGTTCCTACGGAGAGGGATATGGTTCAGATGAGCATTAGCGCCAGTCACGGCGACAAGAACGCACAGGTGGCGCTTGGCGATATGTACAAGGATGGCAAGGGGGTTGCGCAAGACTATCAGGCGGCTATAGATTGGTACATCAAGGCGACCGAGCAAGGAGACGCAGCTGGACAGCAGAGAGTAGGCGCCCTCTACGACGAAGGACTCGGTGTCTCCCAGGACCACTCAACAGCCATGGATTGGTACCTCATGGCGGCCAATCAAGGACATGCTTCCGCTCAACACAGCATTGGAGTTCTCTACAACCATGGTCAAGGTGTTCCTCGGGACTACAAACAAGCGATGGAATGGTTCCTCAAGGCCGCCCAGCAAGGACATATGAGATCTCAATTCAACATCGGCGTCTACTACAACATTGGCCAAGGAGTTTCCCAAGACTACGCACAGGCGATGGAATGGTACCTCAAGGCCGCCAATCAAGGACATGCCGACGCTCAACACAACGTCGGCTTTCTCCATAAGCAAGGTGAAGGCGTTCCCCAAGATTACGCACAGGCGATGGAATGGTACCTCAAGGCCGCCAAACAAGGACATGCTTCCGCACAATACAATATCGGGGTTCTCTGCTACCATGGCCGCGGTGTTCCCAAAAACTACGCACAGGCGATGGAATGGTACCTCAAGGCCGCCAAACAAGGACATGCTTCCGCACAATACAATATCGGGGTTCTCTGCTACCATGGCCGCGGTGTTCCCAAAAACTACGCACAGGCGATGAAATGGTACCTCAAGGCCGCCAATCAAGGACACACCGCCTCACAATACAACGTCGGCAACTTCTATTTGCATGGTCGAGGTGTTCCGCAGGATTATACAAAAGCCGCGGAGTGGTTCTCTAAGGCTGCCGACCGAGGACATAAGGACGCTAAGCGAGAATTGGAAGCCTTGAAGAATAAGGGTGTTGAGGTGAACTAAAAAATAAAATGGAGAAGTGAAAATCCATGACGATTTATCGAATTTAGATGCGAATGTGGAATGAGTCCACAGCTTGACCATTCATTGCACTGTTCATTCGGACGCAGACTTATCTCCCGTACCTTTTTATCTTTTTGTTTTCAACAACAGGTGACGATCGTTGCACCACAAAGGTACGTGTATTATTATCTTTATCGACGTCAACTTTTAAATGCTCATCCTCTTCTATTTCTTTCTCCCCTCTTCCTACCAATCAACATCTACAACACCTCATACTTCTTGTTAGGGTTCATAGGCGCACCTGCCTTACACTTGAACACCTTTGAGAAATCAGGTGAGTCTGGGCAGCGCCGTTGATTCGGCATTGGGGAGGCGAGTGGTTGTTGTGGTTGACGAAGTCTACTAATGAGCCTGGTGTCATCTTGGTGCACCACAGACGGCCGTGGGAGATGAAGGAGAGTTGTTCCTAGTTTATTTGCCCAGACCTGGGAGGTTGAAGTTTGCGATCCTGTAAGGCATCAGAAGAGGACCTAGTGGTGGTGGTGGTTGAGATGAGAGGGGTGGTAAGATCATGGTATGCTTTTTGGTAGGAGTGCTTGTGGCGCAAAATAAAAAAAGAGGTAGAAAAAAAAGGGGACGTGCTTGTTCCCTTTGGGATCAGACTGGAAACTTTTTTCCCAGCTGTAGAAGGCCATCTTGATACCGTCGTTGTCAGCAAGGTTGTCCGGAGAGTGTCATTTCTCCGCCCACTTTGACATCCTCGTTCTTGGGTCCCTTGCTTTAATGAATTCCTTGCAAGATAAAAAGAATAGCTCAATTGTACGCATCGTGTTTAATTTGCGACAAAGAGGCAATGAAAAAATGCAATACCCATAGATAAATAGCCACTGAGTAAAGCAGTGAGAGAGTATCATGACGAACTTTACCGCTCTTCATATTCCTTCCCCCCTGTCGACGCGAGTATTTCTCTCTCGAAGTTGGTAACAAAAAAGGGGATTAACCATTAACGTTGATTGCCGATGTGTAGGAATAGCGCTGATCACGTCCTCTACCATTGACCTGCCAGGCACAATCAGGGACCATCTCTGCAATGGAGCAAACGCGTAAAAAAGGAGGGGGCGAAAGCGGGTGAGGGGAGGTGGGTGGATACGGCAAGCATGTTGGCGCTGCGGTCATGAGGAGTACCTGTCAAGACAGAGGTTTTGGACGACACCAACATTGGGCCAGGCTATGAGTTATGGTCGTATCTGCCTCCAAATTTTGGTGAGAGCATAATTGGGTACGTGGGTGGGACAGAAAAGGTCGTTGGAGGTGCAATCAGCAGTCATATATCCAGTCACTGGTTGCTGTGCACAAACTGAGTATGATTGTTGGTTTCCGTTCGCTCAGTATGGTTCCGAGGCGGCGTTCTCGAACGTGTGTCTCATGTGAAGTAAGGTTGTGCTGCGGGCATAAAACACAAGATGACGAACCTCCCTCTTGTCTTTGATTTGACTCTTCCCAACCTCACACAGTTTCTATTTTTTCTTTTCCTCTGCTTTTCATATCTTCCTCACTCTTCCCTCTCTCCCCGTTATTCACTTCTCTCCTTCTCGACCTATATTCCCAAAGAGAGGAGACGACACACATACCTGCAAGAGGCAATCAAGCCAGCGTGTTCTCTCAGTTTCATAAAACACTAATCTACTCGGACATCAACAACAACAACAACAACAACAACACGCGCGTCATGGTAGACAGCGGAATCCAGGACAACAGTGGCACTGTGGACGGGCAGGTCCTAGAGACAAACGACATGAAGACCAACGTGGAGATCAACATCCGCGGAAAGTACAAGTTTGAGGGGCGATCCATCATGAACCCAGAGACAATTCGCATGATTGGTTCCTTCATTCCCATCTGGACTCGGGAGTATAACAAGAAGGACAAGAGATACGAGGACAAGTTCCAGCCCGCTGGACTCATCGACTTGTTCTTGGTCTGCAAACTCTGGCACTATGCCCTCGTCCCCATCTTGTGGGAGTGCTACGACTACCACCTAATGGCCGGCGTCCCCATGAGCCAGCTCAAAGCCAACGTCCACCACATCCGTTACATATCGCTACTTGGTAGGGAGCATCGCAAGAACGAGAAAATGTGGGAGGCTCTTGAGGGGATTCGGGGCAAGAACATCGATCGGCTGGAACTCCACGACCCAACCTACCCTGTCATGCGACTCCTACCTCCTATTCGTGAAGCCCATGATCCGGAGGCCATCGGGGCCTTCACCCCACGCCCTCCACCCCCACCTCGGATTGAGCCTGTTATCCCATCCTCACGTGCAGCTCGCCGAATTGCTGCAGCTAACCCTGCTCCGACTACACAGACCGCTCGCCCAGCGGATATCGAGGGCGCTCTCTTGCAAGCCCGCGCAAGGGCCATGGCTCATGGGAGAGCGGACAACCAGGATCTGACCCTCAAGGTGCTGCTGTCACTCCTACCTCCTATGCAGGAGTCGGAATTCTCGCAGCCTTCTAGCTCTACAGCACCTACTACAACAACACCTGTCGTTCAGCATCAACCAGCAGGCGCAGTACGATTGCCCGCACGTCCAGCACAAGTATCCAGGAACCGCAGTGGCAACGTTGTCATCACTTCATCCCACCCGTATCCTGCCCCAGAGCCAGCCCCACCTCTGTTCCGTGTCTGTGTTAATTTGACCGAGTTTTGGGTCTGTGGTGTCATGGACAAGGTCCACCTCACTCTCCGGAGTTTCATTGAGCGGCAGGAGCAACTTCGAACATTGGAGATTGAGCGGTATATGGTGACGACACTGCATTGGGTACAGATTCTCAAGGACAAGCCTGACTTGAGACGACTCGTTCTTCGACACCAGACGATGCTCCCAGGATTCGACGGAGAGCATCTGTTGACTTTGCCGATTACCCGCTTGGAAGTCAGGACAGACCGAATCGACTTGAACGCCTATAAAACTATGCTGCGGGATTGCCCTGAGCTGATCCATCTGTCGGTGCTTCGTCCCCAAGTCTTTAACATTGTGGCCATCGAGAATAGGACCAACAAGGGCAAAAAAGGAAAGGGCAAGAAATGTACCAACAACCCTCACAACGAAGGCATATTCCGTGTTGCAGCCAAGGGCACGGAGAAGTGCAAGGACGTGGACAAGGATGATGGTAGAGAAGACGAGGAGGACGAAGACGAGAAAGAAAAGGATATCAACATTATCAATGCAGAGGGGTTTGCAGTCCTCCTGAAGCAGCACGGGAAGAACCTCAAGTCGTTCGAAGTCTCCAGCAACATGCCGCGGTGGACTTCCATCTTGATCGCCAGTCTTCCAAAGTCCCTCGAGACGCTTGTTGTTCACTCGAACCAGCTGGAGAACAGGATGGTCAAGGCTATTATTTCACGTCGATCCAATTTGACGACCTTGGTTCTCGATCTCGGTTCAGGACTCAGTAGGAAAGGTCGCCTCAATGGTGTCCGCAGAGTTGTTCGAGACTGTCATGCTCTGCAGCACCTGGAAGTTCACGATCACAACGACGACAACCTGCTTCGACGCCTCCTCTTTCGCAGGTCATGGGAAACGTTCAACATTGAGACGGTCGCTTTTCATGGAGTACGTGGTCGGGAGAGGCCGATTATGATGCAGGTTATGCCTCCTGCGGTCAGCGATGCTGGTTGGAACAAGGTCTTTATCGGTAAGAAGTACCAGTGCTGTGACACTAGGGATCAGGATGCACCACGTCCTACGCGTCGTCGTCGTAATGGTGAGGATGTTGAGCCAGAGCCGGTGGAGGAAGCGGTCGTTGCGCCACCTGTTCAGGCACCTGGTCAGTCACCTCACCGACCCACTAAACCTCGTTACCCATTGGTTGACCTCAGGACGCTGGAGCGCCTTCAGCAATTCCCGCGACTGCATGAGGTTATCATCACCGACACGCGCTACCGTCGCGTCGTTGAATCGTCTTGAAGGACGTTTCACTTTTCTCTGATTATTCCAGCTTGCACATGTTCATCCACCACCTTATTCTTGACCAAAACATAAGAAAAAGCAAAAGCAATTGTATTTTTTTAAAACCGAAAAAAAGTACCATATGATTGTATGGGCCGGTTCTTTAAAATGTATCAGTTTCAGTAACAGACAGGCTACGATTATTTTTCTCAAGCCTCTCCTTTCAGGGGAGTGATTTTGTGGGGACAACGTAGTCGGTCGAGGTTTGGTGGTAACGAAAGTGGAGTCGTCGGTGTGAGTGTTGTTGCTGTACTTGTTCTGGTCAATAGCTTCGGAAGTTGATCAATTCGTGCCATGAAAAGGGCAAGTTGTTCTTGAAGAGATTCATGCGACATAGAGACATATCCATCGATGGAATTGAAGGCGGAATACTGGAGACGGAAAGCAATGAGTTGCTCTTTCCAAACCGCATCATTTTACCAATAACCATGGCAAAGTGGAGTTGTGATTGAGGAGAAAGAGAGACTGATTGCCCTAATAAGAGAAACAGCGCAAAAGCAAAGGGAGCGTCCAAGAATATTAGCAACTTTTACATGTCCACGAATGATGGAAAGCAGTGAGGTCGTTTGAAAATGGTCATAAACACAACCATAGACAAATTATTCACCTGCATCTTCTTCATGGTCTCTTTTCGCGACTATAGGAAGTAAAAAGAAAATATGGGTAAATAATTCGAAAGGGTAATACTATACCATAGTGTTATGCTGACAAGTTCATGCGCATTGTGTAATCGACGTAAAGCGCGTTGGCGTTACCTGGCGGAAGTCGCTGGACGATGATATGAACTGTCTCTTCTAGGCAGCTCCTCAGGGAATAGTTCCGAGAGACGCGTGGCCGGGCCAAGCCTTATTTATTTTTTTACTGATAATGAAATGGTCGAGCAAGATGGGAGTGTCGTCGTTGTCTTCTGTGATAGGGATCGAGACTCTCCAGAGGGCGAGTTTGTTTGCATCAATATTGCTGAAATCGTTAGTCTTCTTTGTCTTGATGAGGTTCTTGAGGTCATCGACAGTGTCGCTTCAAGGAATCTTGACAGAGAACGCGTTAGAGATAGTGTCAGAGTTCCACTCTGAAAACGTCACACGACCATATGGAAAAGCCACCAACATTCCTGATAGTTATCCAGACACCCTCTTTAGAAGATCGAGCATTAACCAAATAACCATCAACAAGGCAATGATCTGGGTCCAACCTGGTTCCTGAACAAGTATAAATAGTTGTAGTCGATAGCAGTTTAATTCCTCAGTTGATAACTCCAGTCTTTATTAAACAAAACATGACCATATAATCGTTCTCCTTGTTCCCTCGTTCTCCTTGTTTCCCCTCGCTTCCCGTCTTGTTACAGGTTGCCTCTCCATCAACAAGATATAACATTGTCAGAGAGTTGTTGGTCACACTGATGTTGAGAAACAAACGGAGTAAAGAGTGATAAAACTGCTGGCCCATCCCCACCATCGCACAATTCGATGGATCGTCATAGATTTTTAACCTCAAAGTTTTTATTTTTTAGCTCACAACAACACCGCTTTCCTTCAAGGCGTCTAATGCTCCCTTGGTGCCCTTATGTCCTCGGTCGGCAGCCTTAGAGAACCACTCCGCGGCCTTTGAATAATCTTGAGGAACACCATGGCCGTTTTTATAAAGCACGCCGATGTTATATTGAGCAACGTGGCTCTCTTTCTCGGCGGACTTGGTGTACCAGTCCATCGCTTGTGCAAAGTCCTGGGGAACACCTCGACCGTTATAGTAAAGGAGACCGATGCTGTTTAGAGCCAAAGCATTCCCTTGATTGGCGGCCTTGAGGAACCATTTCATCGCCTCTGCGTAGTCTTGGGGAACGCCTTCACCTCGGTTGTGGAGAAAGCCGATGTTGTGTTGTGCGTTGGCATGTCCTTGATTGGCGGCCTTGAGGTACCATTTCATCGCCTGCGCATAGTCTTGGGGAACACCTTGGCCGTGTTGGTAGAGGACCCCGATGCTGAATTGTGCGGAGGCATGTCCTTGATTGGCGGCCTTGAGGTACCATTTCATCGCTTGTTTGTAGTCCTGAGAAACGCCTTGACCTTGCTTGTGGAGAAAGCCGACGCCGTACTGGGAGTCGACATGCCCTTGGTTGGCGGCCTTGAGGTACCATTTCATCGCCTGCGCATAGTCTTGGAGAACACCTTGGCCGTGTTGGTAGAGAGTTCCGATGCTGAATTGTGCGTTGGCATGTCCTTGATTGGCGGCCTTGAGGTACCATTTCATCGCCTGCGCATAGTCTTGGGGAACACCTTGGCCGTGTTGGTAGAGAGTTCCGATGCTGAATTGTGCGTTGGCATGTCCTTGATTGGCGGCCTTGAGGTACCATTTCATCGCCTGCGCATAGTCTTGGGGAACACCTTGGCCGTGTTGGTAGAGGACCCCGATGCTGAATTGTGCGGAGACATGTCCTTGCTGGGTGGCCTTGAGGTACCATTTCATCGCTTGTTTGTAGTCCTGAGAAACGCCTTGACCTTGCTTGTGGAGAAAGCCGACGCCGTACTGGGAGTCGACATGCCCTTGGTTGGCGGCCTTGAGGTACCATTCCATCGCTTGTGTATCGTCTTGGGGAACACCGCGACCACGGTTGTAGAGAACTCCGATGCTACATTGAGCGATAGCATATCCTTGTTCGGCGGCCTTGAGGTACCAATCCATGGCTGTTGAGTAATTCTGCGGTACACCAAATCCTTCATCGTAGAGGGCGCCTACTCTCTGATGTCCAATGGCATCTCCCTGCTCGGCCGCCTTGAGGTACCAATCCATGGCCGCCTGATAGTCTTGCGCAATCCCCTTGCCAGCCTTGTACATGTCGCCAAGCGCGACCTGGGCGTTCTTGTCTCCCTCGCTAGCATTAATGATCGCCCGTGCCAATTGCAACTCCATGGACGCATTGGCTGCTGCGTTCTGGGGTCCACGCTGCTGAGATCTGTTGTCGTTGTCAGGGCGAAGAGTGGTTGGAAGATCCTTGACGACTGGGGTTTGATCGTCCAACACTGTTTGCGGACCTCGAGCTGATGGGAACGCAAGGGGTCTGTCGATGTGAGTATAGTTTTCCATCGCCTCCTCTACAAGGCCGTAGACTGGGTTCCGTCGGACAGCGGCTGTTGCAGTGGGAGCGGCTGTTGCGTTGGGCGTGGATGTAACAGTCACAGCAATTGGCGTCGATGTAGCACTGGGTGTTGAGATGGCATCCTGGGATACGGTCTCAACAACCTCAACTTTTATCGTGCTGTCGTCCTGCGGTGGCACTGGCTGAAGCTCCAGCTCTTGGACCTGGGGATAAGCGACCCCCACATTGTCGGTCACTGGAGTATCTACCACCACATCCAAGACAATGTTCGGCACAGCGGCGATCCTGCGAGGCTCAAGACTAGAGGCGATGTTTTTCATTGTCCATTGAAAACAAAAATTAGTATGATTGTCACCTTCCTTCGCTATACTATCGCCCACAACATGCATTATCATCAGTAGTAGCCCTCACAACCTCTGCACTTACAACGAATGGTCTTTTCCTCTGAGGAACGGAACGACTCTTGTCTTGTGACGGACATGTACTGCGTTATAAAATGCTTGGATGATATCGTCCCAGAAAATGAACGCTTTTTGGGTGTCGGGGTCGAGTTGGGTGTCAACATGATAGATCTCATCAGGGATGGCAGGAGGAATGGAGTTGGGTGGGATACCCCTGTTGACGGAGCGGAGTGCCTGGATCAGATCCTGAGGGCTGTCTCCTTGTAGCATTCCGTGACGAAGGAGGCGATAGATAGATGGGTTGATGAATGTGTGGATGTGTGGACGGGTGGGAAGAAAATGAAAAGTGTGTTGTGGATGGTGCTTGGGGATGGGTATAAGTGAAGGAGTGAAAGAAAAGAGAGAGAGAGAGAGCGAAAGCGGGAGAAAATGGCGAGGATGGCAGAAGGTAGGTTACAAGAGGAATGAGTGCACAAACAGTGAAAGAGAAAACAGAAAATTCCCGACATGCATTCGTCCCGCTGTGTTACCATGGGAAGGGCTGTGACAACAATGGGTGGTTCTGAGCAACAGCGGCACATTCATTCAAAACAAAATATATTTGGAAGAACATCCTTTTTGTACGAGCCATGATATGGCGACCCCTACTTGCCCCATTTCGGCTCACTTATCCGTCTTTTTTTGTTATATCTTTGACGCTCCATGAAAGATATTTCTTAGTTCACGGCAACACCCTTGTTCTTCAAGACCATCAATTGTCTCTTTGCGTCCTTATGTCTTCGGTTGGCAGCCTTAGTGTACCACTCCGCAGCCTTTGTATAATCCTGGCGAACACCTTCGCCGTTGTTGTAGAGAACGCCGATTCTGTACTGAGAGGCGGCATGTCCTTGCTTGGCGGCCTTGAGGAACCATTCCATTGCTTGTTTGTGGTCCCGAGGAACGCCCCGACCACGGTTGTGGAGAACTCCAACATTGTGTTGTGCGGAGGCGTTTCCTTGATTGGTGGCCTTGAGGTACCATTCCATCGCCTGGGCGTAGTCTTGGGGAACTCCTTCGCCGTTGTCGCAGAGATGGCCGATGCTGTATTGAGAGGCTGCATGTCCTTGCCCGGCGGCCTTGCGGAACCAGAATATCGCTTGTTTGTAGTCCTGAGGAACGCCCCGACCATAGTTGTGGAGAACTCCGATATTGTATTGTGCGGAAGCATGTCCTTGTTTGGCGGCCTTGAGGTACCATTCCATAGCCTGTGCGTAGTCTTTGGGAACTCCTTCACCATTGTCGTAGAGAAGGCCGACGCTGCGCTGAGAGGCGGCGTGTCCTTGATTGGCGGCCTTGAGGTACCATTCCATAGCCTGTGCGTAATCCTGCTGAACACCTCTACCGAAGTAGTAGAGAACTCCGATGCTGTTTTGAGCGATAGCATATCCTTGTTCGGCGGCCTTGAGATACCACTTCATAGCTTGTGTACGGTCTTGCGGAACACCTTTGCCGCTGTCGTAGAGAAGGCCGATGTTGTACTGAGACCGGGAAAGTCCTTGGTTGGCGGCCTTGAGGTACCACTCCATCGCTTGTTTATAGTCCTGGCGCGCTCCACGACCAAAGTAGTAGAGATCGCCGATGTTGCACTGAGCGGCTGCATATCCTTGCTCGGCTGCCTTGAGAAACCAGCCTTTTGCTTGTCGATTGTCCTGAGGGACGCCTTGACCATGCCTGTAAAGAAAGCCGATGCTGTGCTGAGAGGCGACATGCCCTTGCCCGGCTGCCTTGAGGTACCACTTCATTGCTCGTCCATAGTCCTGAGGTACGCCATGACCAAAGTAGTAGAGATCGCCGATGTTGTACTGAGCAACTGCACTCCCTTGCTCGGCGGACTTGAGGTACCAATCCATGGCTGACTGGTAGTCTTGCGGAACTTCCTTGCCATCCTTGTACATGTTTGCAAGAGTGACCTGGGAGTCCTTATCCCCCTGACTGGCACGGATGGTCGTATGGGCCAAGTCTCTCTCCAAGGGCTTCACAGTCGTTGCCATCTGTGGTCCACGCTGCTGGGGTTCGTTACCGTTTTTTGAATGGAAAGGAACTGATAAATCCTCGGCAGTTGGTGGTTGATCGTCTAACACCGCTTGCTGACGTCGAGCCGGCGGGGACGTAAGCGGTCTGTCGAGGAGAGAGAGATGGGCCATTGGTGTCTCGTCAAGGTCGTTAACTGGAGTGCTTCGGCCAGTGAAGCTTGCCACAGGGGGTGCATTGAAAGCAGACGAAGAGCTGGATGTAGTGGGAACGTTCCAGGAGGAGGCAACAGGAGGTGTATTGAAAGTGGACGAAGAGCTGGATGTAGTGAGAACGTTCCAGGAGGAGGCAACAGAAGGTGTATTGAAAGTAGACGAAAAGCTGGATGTAGTGGGAACGTTGCAGGAGGAGGCAACAGCAACCCTTGTCGTGCTCTCGTAAGTTGGTGGTGGTAGGAGTACCGGGTCCTGCTGTTGGACCTGGGGAGAAGCAACCCGCACGTTGTCAGTCACTGGAGTATCCACGACCACATCCAGAATACTATCCGGCACGGCGGCTATCCTGCGAGGCTGAAGACTAGTGAGTTGTGTTTATTTTCCAAGCAAACGATATTAGTTTCTTACCACTCCGCACTGCAACACCCACGCCATATATATATCGACAGGTTGCAATGGTCACAATGTGAACATACATTGTGAAATCTCTGCCTTTCAGGAACGGAACAACCCTCGTCTTCTGCCGGACCTGTTCTGCTTTATCAAACGCCTGGAGGATATCGTCCCATAGTACAATTTCCTTCTGCGTCTCGGGATCGGGGTGAGTGTCGACATATAAGATATCATCTGGGGTTGGTGGTGGAATGGAGGAAGGAGGAAGGTGTTTGCTGACAGAGCGAAATGCTTGTGTGAGTTCCTGATACTGAACTTTTCCTTGGAGCATTTTTAGTAGTGTTGAGTGGTGTGAACGTAAGTGAGGAGAGTAATAGGAGAAACGATGTGCAGTGTGCTTGTGATGGAGGTAGATGATGGTGATGACTTTGAGAAGGGAGCGGAAGCTGATGACGATGGTAGAGGGGTGAATGAGTAAGAAAGATTAATGAAGAAAGAGGCGGAACATTTTATACGTAACAACGCTTTGGCCATCGTTGGCGAATGGTCAACAAATAAGATAGGGATTCATGAGCAAAAACTGCACAGGTAAAGTCTTTGCACGACGACTTAGACCCAAGTAGACCAGGAGAGAGAAGAGCCAAACGGGATGCGTGGCGTTGATAGCTATAATTTTCAGGTACGAAGTATGCCTGATCAGTTGACGGGGTTGTATGTATCTTAGTTTTGATGTGAGTCCTTTGCTAAAGAGGATCACCATCCGATGCTCAAAGAAAAGTCAACTCTTTGACATGAACCAAAAGATTCGCCCAAGAAGAGGGAGTAGCAAGTAGAGGAAAGAGTAGGTGCCCTTGCCTTATGATCCAACACCGTTCTCACACCACCCCTTTCTTTTGATCTTTTCTTGCTTGCAATGCTTGGCCATTGGCATGACTGCATGAGTTTGGGACAAAGCTGCTGTTTACTTCTTCCCATAAGTACCCTGCCCATTCCCTCTTGTCCCTTTGACGCTACGCAAGTCCGTTTTTTCCCTTTTCCCTTCCCCTGATTTTTCTTTCTCCCCTATGCAATTTCCATCTCGATCCCTTCTCTCTCTTTTTCTCCGTTCCTCTCTATACATCCACCCATTTGTACACTCGCATCCTTGTCATCACTACCTCCAATACTAACACATTACACATCGCTTCTCCTATACTCTTCCCACTTAGGCTCACACCACACAATACTACAAAAAAATGGTCCAAGAAGTCCAGTCTCAGGAACTCACACAAGCATTTCGCTCTGTCAGCAAACACCTCCCTCCTTCCTCTATCCCACCCCCCAACCCCAGACGATATCTTTTATATCGAATGCCATGTCGACCCCGAGACCCAAATGCCAGTTGTATTGTGGAATGATATCCTCCAGGTGTTCGAGGATGCAGTGCTAGTTCGTCATAAGGCCAAGATAGTCCCTTATTTGAAAAGGAAGGACCTCAAAATGTCAGTGGTGCATTTCAGGGGGACGGGAAAAGATTGGACAAGGATGGGCAACAAGCGCAAGGATAAAGCAAAAATGGTCTATGTGACCCATGTCATTTTATATTTCGTTATGCATGAACCATATAGACTCGAACCTCGCAGGATTGCCGCCGTGCCTAACACTGTTCTGGATGTGGTCGTTGTCGGTCCATTGGTCAACAGGGAGAGCTCACTACCGAGGAGTGTGCCAGGAGAGCCGGTGCTGGTGCTGCCGCAGGAAGATGAGAATACGGGCCAGGAGAATGTTACCGTTCAAGACACCACCATTGCCTCCACTGTCGGACGCAACCCTGTGTATGGCCTTGAAGTGACAGCAATTGATAACTATTCTCACACCGACAGACCCATTTCATTCCCGATGAGTCGAGGTCCACAAGCATTTATAGATGATCAACATCCAACCACCAAGAATCTTTTAGTCCCTCCCTACCCAGAGAACAGCTACAACCCTCAGATGCAAAAAAACACAAAGCGCATCAACCCATACACCGATGATGAGGGACTTGGTCCAGGTGACTATCAGCGCCATACATGGAGACAAGAAAGCCCTGGTCGATTTGGGTGATATTTATGGGGATGGTAAGGGGGAGGGAGGGGGGGGGGGGTCTGCTGAATTACCATGCCGCCATCTATTGGTATCTCAAGGCCATGCAGCAAGGGGATCCAGTCGCTCAACACAGGATAGGCGTTCTTTACTACTATGGTAGAGGTGTGCCTCAGGACTACACGCAAGCAATGGATTGGTATCTCAAGACCGCGGACCAAGGATGTTTTGAAGCACAATACAACATTAGAGTTCTCTACGGCCATGGTCGAGGTGTTTTTCAGGATTACGCATGAGCCTTGGAGTGGCGCCTCAAGGCTGTCCAAGGAGAACATGACTTGGCTATGTTCAGCGTCGGAGTTATGTGTGAGCACGGGCGATATGTTGCCCAGAGCTATGAAGATGCCGTGGCGTGGTATCGAAAAGCAGCTTACAAGGGATACGCAGGCTCCAAGAACCAGCTGAAGAGTTGAAAGACGCTGTTGTTTAGTAGACCAAAAGTACTACAAATGAATATAAAAAGGATGGTTCATATATACAATGCTCTCGTTAAAATAGCGTTCTGCGAGGGACATGTGAACTCAAAATCGCACGGTGCAGATCGTCACTTGCCACGTTATTTTGCTTATCAGCAAACGAAATCCAGACTCTATCGCTTTGATCCTCCAATCATCTTGCAGTCCCAGCCGTTGGGCTTTCCTCCATGAATGAAGGATGTGGATAACTGAAAAACAAGGGGCGAGAAAAGAAAGAAGAAAAAAGGAGGCGTGAGAGTGAAAGAGAGAAAGAGAGGGAGAGGGGGGGAAAAGACTAAAAATAATATGACGAATGACTGTTACTTTTCTTTTTTTGTTGACAATTTGCATGAGGACCACAACATCGTGGTTGCTTAGAATCTGCCATTGCTGCATTCAATGCTTACCTTGGTCACTGCCCTTCCCATGGTGACACAGCTGGAGGAATACATATCTTCTTTTTTCTCCTCAGACCCGTATTATCTCCCATCTTCACCCCTTTTCCCGCATTTGTCTCAATCTCGCTCACCCTTATTTTTCACGCACTTTCTCTTTTCCTCTTTCTTTTTTCAGGTTCTACTTTTCACCCAAACCCACCCCCCAGCACTATCCACAACGCACTTTTCTGTTACTCCACACCCTTCCATACATCATCCATTCATCCATCTATCCACCACATCATGTTACACAAAGACTACCCTCAGGAGAACATCCGGGCACTCCGCTCAGTCGACAAAAGTATCCATCCCAACTCCATTCCTCTCGCCTCCCCTGAGGAGATATACCACGTCGAGACTCAAGTAGACCCTGACACACAAAAAGACGTCGTACTCTGGGATGATATCCTCCAGGCGTTTGAAAACGCGGTGCAGGTTCGTCATAAGATCAAGGTGGTCCCGTTCCTGAAGGGCAAGGACCTTAGAATGTAAGTACAGAGAGTGCTTGAGTTAAGGGGGCTCATGCTACGTCGTGGGTGATGGAAATGGGAACAAGAAAGTCATGCATGGTAACTTTTCTTTTATTGGACAATGCAAAATATCGCCTCTAGTCTAGAGCCTCGCAGGATCGCCGCCGTGCCGAACATCGTCTTGGATGTCGTCGTAAACACTCCAATGACCGAAAGTGTGGGGGTTGCTTCTTCCCAGGCCCGACAGCTGGAGCTTCAGCCAGTACCACTGCAGGACGGCAGCGCGATAAAGGTCGAGGTTGCTACCTCAACACCTAGTGCTACGTCTACGTCCATTGCTGTGACTGCTGCATCCACGCCTATCGCAACGTCCTCATCCAATGCCGCTTCCACTGCAACATCCTTTGTCCGACGGAACCCAGTCTACAGTCTTGTAAAGGCGGCGATGGGAAACTACACTCACATCGATAGACCCCTTGCATTCCCGTCAGCTCGAGGGCCACATGCAGTACAGGACGATAAACCGCCAACCATCAAGGATCCCGTCGTCCCTCCTCACTCAGTCAACAGCAGCAACTCTCAGCTGCAAGGACCACAGAGCGTAATCACCAACGCTCCTATGGAGAGGGATGTGGTTCAGATGAGCATTAGCGCCAGTCATGGAGACAAGGACGCCCAGGTCGCGCTTGGCGACATGTACAAGGATGGCAAGGGGGTTGCGCAAGACTATCAGTCGGCCATGGATTGGTACCTCAAGGCCGTTGAGCAAGGAGACGCAGCTGGTCAACAGAGAGTAGGCGTTCTCTACGATGAAGGATTCGGTGTCCGCAGAACTATTCGACAGCCATGGATTGGTACCTCAAGGCGGCCAATCAAGGACACACCGCCTCACAATACAACGTCGGCATCGCTTACAAGCGTGGTCGAGGCGTTCTTCAAGACTACAAACAAGCGATGGACTGGCTCCTCAAGGCCAGCCAGCAAGGACATGCCTCCGCACAATTCAGTATCGGGGTTTTCTACGAAGACGGCGAAGGAGTTCCCCAGACTACGTTCAGTCGATGGAATGGTACCTTCAGGCCGCCAACCAAGGGTCTGCTTTTGCTCAAAACAGAATCGGCTTTCTTTACAACCATGGTCGAGGTGTTCCTCAAGACTATATACAGGCGATGGAGTGGTACGTCAAGGCCGCCAAGCAAGAGCACGACGTTGCTCAATGCAACATCGGCGCACTTTATCTCCACGGTCAAGGTGTTCTCCAGGACTATACAAAGGCTGCGGAGTGGTTCTCTAAGGCCGCCGACCAAGGGCATACTGGCGCCAAGAGACTGGTGGAAGCCTTGCAGAGACTGGCGTCTGTTATGAACAAAAAAATAATAATTATGAAATAAATAATCAATGATAATTCATCGAATTCAGGTGCGAGGGGTGGAATGATTCTAGCAGTTTTATCACTCATTACTCTAATCATTCGGACTGACAGTTGTCGCTCATACTTTTTTTTCTTCTTTTACTGTCATCAACAGGCGACGATGGTTGCGCAATCAGAATACGTGTATTATTATAATTTTCTCTACGTGTACTTCAAATGCTACTCCCCTTTTTGTTTCTTTCTCCTCTCTTCCAAGGACCCAACATCTACCATACCTCACACTTCTTGTTAGGGTTCATAGGCGCACCCGCCTTACACTTGAACGCCTTTGCGAACTCAGGCGAGTTCTGGGCAACACCATTGATACGCCACTTGGCGGGGGAATGGGGGTTGGTCTTTATGAGGTTGAGGAGTGCTTCGGGACGCATCTTGTTGCACCAGAGGCGGCCGTATGCGATGAAGAAGAGTTGTTCGGGCGTGTAGGCGTCCAGGCCAGGGAGCTTGAAGTTCTTGATCCTGGTGGTTGAAGGAACAAGAAAGAAAAATGGAAAAAAAGAGGAAATGAGAGAGAGAGAGAGAGAGAGAGAGAGAGAGAGAATGAAAAGTTGATTAGATCGATGACTTTGCACCCAGATCTGCCACGCAAAAATAAAAGAGAGTAGAAAGAGCTGACACTTACTTCTTGCCGTTGGGATCAGACTTGGCACGCGACTGCCAGACACTGAAGGCCATCTTGATACCACCGTTATCAGCCAAGTTCTCTCCCAAGGTCAATTTACCGTTGAGGTTGTGATCCTTGCCGTCAGGGCCTTTGATGGTGAAGTTACCATATTGGTTCACATAGCATTGGGCCTTCTCATCGAATGCGTTCGAGGTTGCGTTTGTCCACCACTAGAAATGATTTCAGAGAGAGCGCAAGATGGGGTAAAAATAAGGTTAGAGGGGATCGAGTGGGCGAGTAAGCATGTTTAAAAAAAGAAAGGGGTCAAGTTGACTTACATTGGCGACTCGACCAATAGAGTCGTAGTGGCGACCAGAGTTGTCGAAAGCGTGCTACAAGAAAAGGTCATGGTCAAGAAAAGTAGATTATTTTAGTACTCAGGACAAAACAACCAAGAACGAAGAGGAAACAGATCTCGAACCACAAAGAAAAAAGAAAACCTACCCCGATCTCGTGGCCGCCAACGACACCCATGCTTCCATAGTTGATATACTCGGGGTTCTCAACATTGAAGAACGGCAACTGCAAGATACCGGCAGGGAAGTTGATCGAGTTCGACGAAGGGCTGTAATAAGCATTCACAGTCGAGGGAACCATACCCATCGAGTTCTTGTTCACGGGTAGAGGAAGCTGTCTAAAGGTGTCCATTGCCGACCAGACGGAGTGCTTGAACTGGTTGCCAAAGTAATCGTTGGTTGCGATGGTGTAGTCCTTGTAGTACTCATCCAAGGCCTTAGAGGATGCGACATCGGGGGCATCGGTCGAGTAGCCGACAAGCTGGACGATAGCCTTGAGCTTCTTTATGGCGCCGTCGCGGGTGGTCTTGTCGAGCCACTTGAGGGTAGGGAAAGCTTTTCCGTAGCTGGCGAGGACGTTCTCGATGATCGACATGACTTCCTTGCGACTGTTGCCCTTGAAGGTCTGTTCAACAAAGTAGTGGCCGGCCACTTGGCCCAGATTGCGGCTGACAACCGAGACACAGGTCTTCCAGCGCTCTACCTTGATATTGGCAGAGACGCCCGAGACGACGCTCTCGTAAGCATCCAGGGGCTGTGTGTAGGGCTTGCTGAGGTTGTTGGCCAGGTTTTGAATGACCACCCAGGAGAAATAGTGCTGGAGGGTCCTCGAAGAGGTGTTTTTGAGAACGGCATCGAGTTTTGTGAGGTAGACAACGGAGGAGACGGCGAGAGGGCGGGTGTTCTTGACGCCTATCTCTTGGATGATGATGGACCAATCGATCGAAGGAGTCAGAGCAGCCAGCTGCTCGACCGTGCGGGGGTTGTTGGACTTGATAGGGTCCCACAGGTCATCATCTGGGGTCGCAATCCCAGCAAGCTGAATCTCGAAATCAACTACCTCCTTTGCAGCATCGACCCACTCCTTGTTGATATCCTTCTCAGTCAAAGGTTGAGCCCTCTTGGCCACATCCTCTTCCCCAAAGACAACCTGGAACATCGCCGCCGCAGTATCTCTATACAACTTGACCAACTCCGCATCCCCATAATCCGCTGATGTCCCCAACCCCAACCCGTCTTCATAAACTGTCAAAACATTCGACAAAGGGTTATCCGAACCGGGTGAAACGCCCAGGTTAATAAACGACGAAAGCCGGAACCCCAATTTTGAGATCTGAGCAAGGGTCTTGGAGAGGGTAGCCTTGTCGGCGGGGGAGGCAGAGGCAGGGAAGGCCTGGATGATCTTTTGGACCTCGTCGACGAGGGGCTTACGACCGGCCTTGAGGATGGAAGGTTCGTCCATGCAGCTGGAGAAGAGGTCTTGCAGCTTCTTGATGTTGTTTTGGGCGGCGACGTCCCCGGGTGCGGCTTTGGGTGATTTCCCGAGTGAGGCATCGACAATGTAGCGGAGCACACGCTGTCATGACATAAAAATGGTAAGAAAAAACAGGGACAAAGATGAGGGTGGTGTTGGCCAAGGACACAGAAAAAAGTTGTGGGTGTGATTTTTTGGCCATGATCAAGAAAAAATCAATGCATGCGTGCATTACCATGTTACTGGCGCTCAGGATGTCAAAGGCTCCGATAGACGATCCTTCCGACGGGATCTCGTGCTGCTCATCGAATCCACCGCCTGAGAGTTCACGCGTGGTGACAAAAATAAAGGAGAGAGAAAAATTAAACGTTTGGTCAGACAGTGCACCCTTGTTTGTTGTCATCTTCATCCCGATACGAAACGAGGGGAAGGAGGCAAGCGTGATAGTGCAAGAAAGTTGATCTTGTGCAATAGGATGGCAAGGGAGACGGACGGAGAGGTTGAGAGGTTTACGTACAGGTGAACTTAGAAAAGTCCTGGCAAGGGTCAGCAGTGGGGTCCATGTCGTTGATAATACCGGATGCTGTGAGGACGCACTGGGGGGTTGTGCAAATGGCCTGTTAGAAAGAGAGAGAGAGAGGGTGAGACGGAGTAGAAAAAAAGAAAACAAACAGAACAGGGTTAATGTCACGAATCGAGAAATTGAGCATTGACGACAAGCGCAAAAAAATCAAACGCACGGCCATGAAGACCGAAGAAGCGTAGTAGGAGAGGAAAAGGAAGGAAATGGACCTTGTTGTTGAAGGATGGGCCTTTGCTGCCATGGTTGTTGTCAACAGGACCAGCCTGGACGGCGCTAAGGGCGACACCGATCGCCATCAGCAACTGTAACTTTGCTGCGACCATTGTTTTTTGTATACGAAGAGAGTGAAGAGGGAGAGAAGGATGAATAGGCTAATGGAGAAAGGGAAGGAGGAAGGAGGATCGATGATGAAAAAACTGATCAGGGGAGGGGGCGTCCTCCACTTTATGTACCTCGACGATGCCCGCTTATGACGATGACCAAGATGAGGGCTGTTGCTAGAAATGGTTAATGGTCCAGTCATACAGTCATACTCCAAGGCTAAACACATGACACCATGGGTCCCGTTGCCTCCTTCACTCTCCTCCTCGCATAGATAACTAACGCCAATGTATGCGCTAAAATGTACATACCGCTTGCAAATTGTATTTTGATGTCGTGATGGATCCCTGAACCTACACCTTGTCAGTGGACGATGCGATGTGATTGAATGAAAGTGCTCACAGTTTTTCTCACGTCTGTCCTGTGGCTGTTCTCAATCAACGCTACTAAACCTTAGCTCCCTTACTCTATTTCCTTCTCCGACCCGGCTGGCACAACAAACACAACAGGCGTCGAGCACAAAAAGGGTGCTTAGTTAAAACATAAAAGGCGACAACAACGACAACACGAGCGACTCCAATTTAGAGTAACCCAGGGAAAGAGAATGACGAGAGGGTGGCCAATTGGAGCCGCTCTCGATGTTCTCATTTCGGAAGCAGTTACCGGGGTGCATTGCATTACATGCATCGACGGACTGCTCACACTTCGTGATCAGGGCTGTATCTGCCCGGCTTTCTATCCGTTAGGATGCATCTTTCATTTCTCTCTTCTTCTTCCTCACGATCCCACACTAAGAATGTCTCATCGCACCCTGCATACATCTCTTGTAAGATCCTTTTTAGCTCTTGACAAAAGGGCAGAAAACCTTTTCTCGGATATAGTACCCGAACCGGATGTCGACTTGTCCAAAAATCCAATCAACCTTTTTCTTGGGAAGGGCAATGAGGCGAAAGAAGAAAAACGTGGGAAAAAGAAGTATCAGTTAGTTACAAGTTACCTGTCCTAGGAAACGCCATCGTAGAATGTGCAACCAACACGCCTATACGCACTATTTACAGAGGACGGATAGTGGTGTCTAGTTTTCATGCAAGGATGGACGCGTTCAACAGCCCACAAAACAAAATATGTATGGACACGGGGCTGATGAAAAGAAAGCTGTAAAAGCGTGTGTAAATGAGGGGAGAAAGAGTATGAGAGATCACCCATGGCACAACAGCCATGCCGTTCATAATTTGACTTACAAGCAATCAGTTTCGCAGGCCTGTACTGACCCATTGTATCTGATCTGTCGAAAATACAGACACGATCACGTTAAAATCTTAAAATCCAGGCATAGACATCAATTGAGTCTATTTGAATGTCACAGAAAAACATAGAAGCATAGAGAGGGAGCAAAGTTCTCTAGATGAGTTCACAGAGAGATGACACAAAAAACACTAGAGGCAGGCGATTTGTCTACCTTTTTGATTTTCTTTCTTTGTGCGTGTGTTGACTAGGGACTTAGTTCTTACTCTGCTCCTTAGTCGAAGCAAAAAAAAATGTCAAAAATGTGAACCACCGCACGAGGCAAAGTTAAAATCTGTCTGCACAGAAGGGATGAATGACTGTCCGGTTCGCACCATGTCATTACCCTTAATGCCTTGGTGTATTCTTTTCTGCTGGTCGAAAGCCATCCAGGTTGTTTGTTCAGTCTCTGCTCATGAATCCCTTTGCGCATCCCTAAGCAGCCGCACGCCTCTCTCTCTCTCTCTCTCTCTCTCTCTCTCTCTCTCTCTCTCTCTCTCTCTCTCTCTCTTTCTAGCGCCTTGTTGATCTTTATTTGTTGACCATTTGCATGACTGCCAAACGTGGGCCAAAGCGTCAGTCCATCATCTCAATGGCATCCACGTGTGACGAGTTATTGACCTTCTCTGTCCCAACGTCCTTCCTTTCTTAATCTTACTCATTCATCCCTCTACCATCGTCATCAGCTTCCGCTCCCTTCTCAAAGTCATCATCATCATCTACCTCCATCACAAACACACTGCACATCGTTTTTTCTATTACTCTCCCCACTTACGCTCACACCACACAACTCTACTAAAAATGCTCCAAGGAAAAGTTCAGTATCAGGAACTTACACAAGCTTTTCGCTCTGTCAGCAAACACCTTCCTCCTTCCTCCATTCCACCACCAACCCCAGATGATATCTTATATGTCGACACTCACCCCGATCCCGAGACGCAGAAGGAAATTGTACTATGGGACGATATCCTCCAGGCGTTTGATAAAGCAGAACAGGTCCGGCAGAAGACGAGGGTTGTTCCGTTCCTGAAAGGCAGAGATTTCACAATGTATGTTCACATTGAGACCATTCCAACCTGTCGATATATATATGGCGTGGGTGTTACAGTGCGGAGTGGTAAGAAACTAATATCGTTTGCTTGGAAAATAAACACAACTCACTAGTCTTCAGCCTCGCAGGATAGCCGCCGTGCCGGATAGTATTCTGGATGTGGTCGTGGATACTCCAGTGACTGACAACGTGCGGGTTGCTTCTCCCCAGGTCCAACAGCAGGATCCGGTACTCCTACCACCACCAACTTACGAGAGCACGACAAGGGTTGCTGTTGCCTCCTCCTGCAACGTTCCCACTACATCCAGCTCTTCGTCCACTTTTAATGCACCCCCTGTGGCAAGCTTCACTGGCCGAAGCACTCCAGTTAACGACCTTGACGAGACACCAATGGCCCATCTCTCTCTCCTTGACAGATCGCTTACGTCCCCGCCGGCTCGACGTCAGCTAGCGGTGTTGGACGATTAACCACCAACCGCCGAGGATATATCAGTTCCTCTCCATCCAAAAACGGCAACGAACCCCAGCAGCGTGGACCACAGATGTCGATGACTGAGACGTCCATAGAGAGATACTTGGCCCAGATGACCATCGGTGCCAGGCAGGGGAATAAGGACGCCCAGGTCGCTCTTGGAAACATGTACAAGGATGGAGGGACGGGAATTCTGCGATACTACATCAGCAATGGGTTGGTACCTCAAGTCCACCGATTAAGGGAGTGCAGTTGCACAGTACCTCCATAAGCCCTTGGTAATAATGAGGCGGTGCCAGAGGTTGGTGTGATTAGACAAGGCTATGCTCTGCTTGATCGACAAGAAAACATCGGGCGGATTTTCGTACAAAAAAATTAATGTTGCCTGTCCCACATCAATGCCCCTTCCCTCCTTTTTTCTTCAAATGCACACCCAGCCCGTGATCTTGTCATTCTATACTATCCCGCCTCCTCTTCGACATAAGAGTGGATGAAGTGTATGCCCAGGGTTTAGCACATTACTAGGCTTGCGTGTGGGAGGAAGCTTTGATGAGAATGGCAAAAATAGAACGTAGCCTTTTTGTTTTGTATGTTCGCTCCTCGGGTTCCACCGATGATACTTTACTAACACCTCGTGGAGACAGTTATTACCACAAACGATACGGGTGTTGAGCAATCGTCCTTGTTCACGCTAGTGAAAAAGGGACGTCCGTTGGGCGCATTCCTGTCTCTGCTTTATATAAAAGGGTGCCTCCCACACAGGTACCCAGCATCATAAACTATTTTCTACTCCTCTGCTACAAGCACTCAAACTATCAACACAGTATCCGCCACTACAGCTCATAAAAGATCGACCTCGCCTCTTCATTTCACAAACAAGCACACACACACAACAAGCACATACACAAATAACAAGCACACACCCTCAACAAGCACACATTCACAACACGCACACACGCAAACAACAAGCACACATACATAAAAAACGTCTACCATGGTTTCCACAAAACTTGCGGTCTTCATGGCTATCGGTTCTGCGATCAGCATGGTCGCAGCAGCACCCATCTGGAACGTAGGCGAAAATGGATCTCGTCTGCTCAACCAAGTAAGAAACACCACACAGCTCTCCACCGGTCCATCAGCTTTGTTTTTACGAATGACATTGAAATCCCTCTAAATCTTGAGCCCATTTTTCTTTACTCACTTTAGGACGTCTGTAATACCCCCGAATGTATCGCCACTGCAGAAAGCTTCCTCGGTTACATGAACCCCAATGCTGACCCATGCGATGACTTTACCGAGTTCACTTGTAAGTCATACCGCCCAATTCGTTTTTGTTTATAAATTTTTAGTTTTCTATCATCCCTAACATTTCTTTTTACTACTCATTAACGTAGGCGGAGCATTCTACGAGAAGACAGTGGTTGATGCCAACACGACATCGGTCAACTTTCAAACGATCATGTCTAGTCGAAACAAGGTATTTCGAACGCGCTTCTCCATTGCCATCCCATTCCGCTTGTGTTCTTCAAACATACTTTGAGCTACAGTACTGACGAAAAATGATTCCTTCCTTGATTGTCGCTTCTAGATTATCATCCGTGAGATTGCTGATGCGGCGCTGGGAAAGGCGCCCAAACCTGCACCGGGCGACAAGGCAGCAGAGAGCAACCTCAGGAAGCTGCACAATATGTACGCCAGCTGCATGAATGTCGATGCGATTCAAACTGCAGGTCAGCAGCCCTTGACCAAACAAGTCCAGTCGATTCTCAGTCTCATCCCGGATACACCCGCCATCGACAAAGCTGCTCTTGCCAAGACCATGGCGCAGTTGATCAAACTGGGAGCGCCCATCTTTTACAATATCAGCGTCAGACAACAGCTTTACAGTCCCCACTACAGCAGCATTCAAGGCATTCAGGGAGGATTGACACTCCCTATCACTAGTTATAACCAGAGCCTTACAGACGCGGCAGATCTTGTACCCGACATTGCACAGCAGTTCCAGAAGGTCCTTGGAGTAACAGTTCCATCTGCCACCAATGGTGCTACGCCCGAGGCTAAGCCCACGGTCGGTCAGGAGTGGATTACAGCTGCCCAGGATGTCATTGCCTTCGAGACTTTGCTTGCCGATGTGATAGATAGGAAAACGCGCCCAAGCCTGGATCCAGAGTTGCCCATGTTTAACAACCCTATAACAGTCGAAGAACTCTCCAACGCTACCCCATCGATTGACTGGCCGCTACTTCTGTCTGAGCTCCTTCCAGTTGACGTCAAGTATGATCGCCCGCTCAGTGTCCAATCGCCCGAATTCTTGCCGGCCCTCGAGACCCTCCTTAGCTCGACCCCGGTCAAGACCCTCCGCAATTACTTTGCCTGGCGCATCATTTCCGCCCAGAAAGAACGTCTAAACACGGCCGCAATTCCTGGACACGAACGCTGGGAGGTGTGTAACGAAGTCGTCGCCAAAAATCTTCCCGACATTGTCGGTCACTACTTTGTTGAGCGTACCCTCCCAGAGTCCGACCAGACCATCTTCAGGACCACGCTTCAGAGTATCATCTCCTCCTACGGAGAAGGGTTCCCAACCCTTAATTGGATCGACCAGACCACTTTAGAAGGCGCCCTCAAGAAACTCCACGCCATGGGCCTCGTTGTTGGACAGTCTGCAGAATCCCCCAACGGCGCCTCGTCCGAGTCTGTCGAGGAGTACTACAGCGGATACGATGTCGACGTCTCAGACTACTTTGGCAACTTGAACAAAAAATCGGTCTGGGCGGTCGAGAAGTCATTTGCGACCGTGAACGAGCCTTATGTGCAGAAGAATATCCTTCAGCTCTCTCCAACTGTGGTGAATGCCATGTATAAGGCTACCACGAACCATATCTATGCTTTTGCTGGCATTATGCAGTCGCCAATGTTCCATGCTTCTAACCCAGAGTATGTCAACTTTGCCGGGTTGGGAGGTGTTGCTGGACACGAGATCGGAGTAAGTACCTTTATTGCAGCTGTCTTTCTTTGTTCTTGGATGTTTGTTTCTCAGCTGTTTGTGTATTTATTTTTTCTGACACGCTTCTTTTTTTGCTCTGTTCGCTTGCTTACAAAAAAACATAGCATGGCTTCGACAGCGATGGAAAGAAATTTGATTCCACCGGCAACTTCACCAACGTAAGCTCCTGTCCTCTCCCACTTTCTCCTTACTTTTCTCCTTGCCACCAGTTTTCTTACTCACACTGTGGCCTTCTTCCTTTTTTTTCCTCTCTTCTTATTAGTGGTGGACTCCAGAGACTGACAAGAAATTCATCGAAAAAGCACAGTGCTTCAGCGAGCAGTACTCCAATTACACGGTCAAAGGCCCCGATGGCATGGATTTACATCTCGATGGACCCAATACGCTTGCTGAGAACATTGCCGATAACGTAGGCGTCAAGTACGCTTTCCGCGCCTGGCAGAGCCGTCTCAAGGCTGATCCCACTGGCAAGAAGTAAGTTTCTCTTATTTCTTTTTTCTCCCCGCCTCAAAGATCGGTCACACAGGGCGAGAAAATTTTCATCTTGCTCATCGAAATCCTTTTTCCTATCTTACCTACCCCTCGCCCCTAATCAACACAGGTACAAGAACTTCAAACTCCCTGGACTCGAAAAGTACACCCCCGAACAACTGTTCTTCATCTCCCACGGAAAGGTCTGGTGCAGCAAGGAGACGCCCGAATACTCCGCGACACTCATTAACGTCGATAACCATTCCCTCAACAAGTTCCGTGTCCTGGGTTCTCTCCAGAACTCGGTCGAGTTTGCAGAGGCTTTCAAGTGTGCGCCCAGGACGCGGATGAACCCCGAGAAGAAGTGCTCTCTGTGGTAGAAAAATGATATCCACTCTTGTAAAAAGCGAAAAATAAAGTATGAAACAAACAAAATTGGGAGAAGGCTGGAAGAGGATGGCCGTGCTCTAGTTGAGCCTCTTGCGATATTTCACTTCGATGGCAATGACCTCGGAGAGGTTGGAGAGGCCCTTGACGTGATCCAGTAAGGCTTTGTCGAAGAGGAGGGAGGGTGCCATGTTACCTGGATGGTCGATATCCCCAGCAGTCCGGGTGCTGCAGCAGCGGTGATTTCGAACTCGGTTCTCTTTTTTCCAGCTGTTAGGGACGGGTACTCGGGAGAGGTCATTGTACTGGGCTCGAAAGGCGATACCATGGAAATGCAGCCTGCGGAGGTTAGGCAAGTTCCAGGCCTTCTTGAACATGACTTCCTGGAATAGCATCCCCTCTGCGTGATTATGGTATGTGAACTCTCTGAGCTCCGAACACGCCTGCAATAACAGCAGAATTCACTCCAAGAGGCGCCAAGAGGCGTTTGCCCTTGCTGCCTTTTCCGAAATCAAGCTACAATCTAGTCAGCATGTCCTTCCGGTCCTTGATTGCCGCCATCATATCCAAGTCCAGTTGCCCAGTGTGAAGGATTAGCTCCTCCACTGACTGTGGCATACCCTCCAGCATTGCCAATGTCCATGACTGACGTCTGCTCTGCAGCGTACCCCCATGGGATATCAGTCTCGGCTTCTAACTCGGTACCAGTTCCCGTGTTCATTGCCGCTATAAACGCACGCGTAATACGTGAATACACTTGGTTTTACCATATCTGGAGTGCAAGGGTACCAGGTATTGAGCTCCATGACCTGGCTAATGCAGAACGTGGTCGACTTTTCGCCCTATTTTAAACAAAATAAACATACAGCAAACAATAACGTCGTCAGAGATAAACCCACAGCTCTCTGACTTTTGGTGTGAAAACTCTTCTTTCTTTCCTGTTCCCCCTCAAACCTATTCCCATGGGTATCACTCTGGTATATGGCTGGAAGGTGGATGACTTACTGGGCGCTTCACTTCATCCTGAATGAATATGAACTCGTCCTGAACGTCTACCAAATCATAGAAAGAAAAAAAACGATTGGAATCAAATGTCAGCAGCTCTCCTCGATCGTGTTTCGACTGTGTCTTGCACACTTCATTAGCTTCATGGAGTGTTAGCAACTGCTTCAAGGTTATTACCGATGTGCATGTGTACACGACGGATAAAGTCCTATGTCATCCAGACGTTGCACACGTTAGAGTCCCGTCCGACAGAGTTGACGCCTTGTACAGGTAGAAATTCCTTTCTGGCTGGTTATAGAAGGGGTAAATCTTCAACCAGGCAACCATCTTCTCACCGTCGTCCGTGTTCGTCCCCTATACTTTTCTCTGTCCGTTTGTCATGTGTGGGTGCTGGTAAGCGAGTGTGTGAGTGTGTGCAAGCGAGTAGGGAATGATGGCAAGATGAAAGGACAAGAAAGGAGAAGGAACAAAGGGTGTTTGCAAAAAGGGTTTATTTAAATGTCCCCGACATAATCATTTTGGCTCTCACATACAATACGCAGTGACGGTTATGCATTCAGCACGAGACTTACTTGATGTTTAACTGGTTCACCAGCGTTTTCTTTTATCACCAGCGATGACAAGCAACAACAACAGCGACATCAACAACAGCGACATCAACAACAGTGACATCAACAACAACGACATCAACAGCAGAGACAGAACTATCAACAGCGAGCGATACACAATATCTTATCCTTCTTTGAATCATCACTCCTACCAACCATAACTACGGCTACAACACAGAAACAAAAAATACGTTTATGGGACACCCACAACCACCAACAACGCAACAGCACTCCGTGCGTCAGAGACAGCCGGCTGGCCGTACTGGTGTCGCTCGACTCGAGGGTATGAAACGGTAGCTGCGCAACAAGATCCATTTCAATCTACAACGTTCAAATCGATTTTCTTGGGTTTTACTACACCATTTTTCAAGGGCAGACACCAAGATAACATGCTCTGATCAACGCTATGAACGACACGGAGGTGACCGACCGACGTCACGAAGGATATCGCAGTGTTCATCAACATCGTCCATTACTGCAGTAAAACAAGACTCGTACCCTCATGCGAGCATACTTGTCATTCAACCTTGAAGACCGACTCACCTTTTCCTAATCCTTGGATTCGCCAACGGCGCAGGCATTTAGACCACCGCCTGAAAAAATGACACCTGTGGCTGGATCATCTGAGAAGACATTGGCATAGTCATAGACAGAGTTGGACCTGCAGACTGGTACAGGCCTGATGAGATGTCACTGCCACCACTGCTGAGCATACAGACTCCGGCGAGACTGTTGGTGGTGCCAAGACCAAGGCCGAAGGCAGGATCCGTATTGTTCCCTTGACCTTGTGACAAGAAAGTATGTCCAGCCATGTCGGTTGAAGGAGAGTCCTCATGGTCCGATTCACCCAGTCTAAGGACCCTTGCATCCACAAGCATAGAGGTACAAATAGGCTCATGAAAATGCGATCTTTCTTATCGACGTGTACGTAGACATGTGGTAAAGAGGATTATATGTTGCGATGTATTACCATCTGGGAACCCAGGGCCCCATCGATCATCGATAGATTGCTGCTGCGACATCTTTAAGGAGTTGGCGCCGGTCGTTCGAGCTACCCTACCTGCCTCACGATTGTGCTGGAGCTCCTAGACTCGAATAATGGCAAGCACATGCAGAGAGGGGTATAAAAGTTAATTTTCGAGTTGTTCCCGCATGAGCCTGCAAAGGATCATAAAACGCACAAACGAAGAAACAGACGTGCCTTACTTTGCAAAAGGGATGTAATCTAGTTTGTATCGTCGCCGCTGCGGTCGTATATTCCTGGATTGGAAGGGATGGTTCTTGGGTTTGGATCCGGGAAGAAGTCCATTGCCGGACAAGGGAATGGGGAGAAAGGAAATGGCGGCGTGTGGATGACAATTTTGTTGGAGGAAAAAAAAAGAATTACCTAGAAGAGCTTGGATGCGAAAGAGCCGTGCTGGAGGGGGTGATTGAGCGTAGCCAAGAACTCGCGCCAGACAGGACTGGCTCCACCTTTTCGGCAATGGATGTACACCAACCGCGGCTAGTGTATACTCATCCACTCTGCCTCCTTCGCACTCATTACATCCTCCCATCCTCCCATCCTCCCATCCAGAGATATACACCCTCCTCAACTTGCTCAGACCTCGTAACTTGTCCAGACCAGCATTAAGCACCAACTGAATCCCCTTGCGACAGTCATCTGCCAGGTGGTAGTCCAAGTCGCCTCTCAGGTTAAGAACCTCAAGGCCCTGCTGTTGCTCAATCTGGTTAAGAATAACATTAGTCGACCACCGAGTCGACTCCTGCGCCAACACTGCCTTGACACTTGTAGTGTCTGCCATCTCTGCAAAAATCCGTCCCATCCTTGTCCAGCCATTCCAATTCCAATCAAGACCACAAACTCCTTCAGGTGCCGTGACGACCAGGGTTGTTCAGAGAGCACCATATCCATTGTCCACAGAGACGACTCTGGTCCTCGAAACACCTTAAAGTCCTCACACCGAACCAAAATCTGGTGAAGATTGAGTCTCGACAGACCACCACAGCCGACCAGATCCAACACCTCCAGCCTCTCCAAATGTACTGACAATTGACGAGACGAGTGACCTGCGGATGGAGTAGTTACTGATGGTGACCTCCTTGAGATGTCGTGACTTGAGGAGCGCCTCGTCTGCTGCCGTGAGTCGACGTTGCTTCTGTTGTTATAACTACTGTTGCTGTTTCTGTTGCTGTGGCAGTCATGGTGGACGCGGTGGTGCAGGCCGGGAGAGCAAGAGGTCAGGATGTACTGGATCGCATTGCCAACCTCGGTGTCGTGGATGTAGCGGCCTTTGCTAATATAGGTCAGACTCTTGGTGTTGGGAAAGCTCCAGGTGAAGGGCCGCAAGCTGTTGAAGATGGTGTAGTGTGTGAAGAAGATGTAGGGCTCAAACTCAGTCGACTCCAGACCCTGGCCACGAAACGAGAGCCTGTTGATGCGGAGGCCAATCTGATCAATATGGATCCCCTTGATTTCACGAAAGTCCAGTACTGCTGTCGAATCTGATGTCGTAACAGCCTAACTCTCCTCATCCGCCTGTCTCCTCCTCAACCTGTCCCTCCTCAACCTGCCCCACCTCAACCTGTTCCTCATCCAACTCCTCCTCCCTCTCCTCACCTTGAAGGTCAGGAAATGCAGCAGTGTTAAAGCTTGAATTGACGGGTACAATCTCAACGGACCGCAGGAATAACTGCTCCAGACGAGGGCAGTTCCTGATCAACATGTTCATCTTTGGGACAGAGATCATCCACTTGGTGATATACAGTGAAACAAGGCTCTGATGCTGACGCCGGATGAAGTCCCTTGCAAACCGTAGCGTATGCTCCTTGGATTGGGTTTCCAATCCTTGTTCAGGCGCGAGAGGGACGTCTGCTGTCGAACAAGTTGAGGGAACCCTCGAATAGAAACCGATGTGCCGCCCATCTTTCTCGGACTGCCTGATGGGTCGTTGGTGTTGCTGGTGCTGCTGTTGGTGTCGTTCTTAAGATCATCGTCAAAGGTACTGTCCAAGTCGTCGTCGTCGTAGTTTCCTTGGTGAGATCCGTCAGAGGAGGTTCGTTCTCCTGAAGAAGCATAGTTGGGAGGGATCCATTGCTGTTGGGCAATATAAGGACGGTATTCTAGGCGATTGATATGTCGACAAGAAGGCCCGGGCCACCGTTCTAGGGAGAAGGCTGGGTCGTGTATGACCAACTCTCGCACTAGGTGCTCGTCCTGGTGAAAGTTGTGTTGGCTGAGGTAGTATAGAGCGAGCTGTCAACGTGAATGGTGTGCCAGAGCTGAGGCATAAAGTCGGTCCGCCATGTCCTTGAGACGAGGATGCATGGGCATATAGGTTGTGCGTGCTGCTGTCTAAGTATCGCGTAATGTGTGCGCGGAACTCTGGCAGGTCAAGAGGAGACAATGAAGTAGTGTGTGAGGTGGAGGATGCCATGCTGTTGTGCTTGTTGCTAGTGATGTTACTGAATGGTGGATAGTAGGCGTTGGTTCGGAGAGGGAGGAGGAGGAGGAGGAGGAGGAGGAAGAGGAGGAGGAGAGGTAGAATGAGCGAAGAGTGAAGAGTGAAAAAGAAGCAGCAAAGTCGAAGGCTCCTCTTTCATTCATTCAGTTCCATCAGCCTAACCACTTGTAGACCATTTTAGACGCGTCCTTCCTTCCTTTTTTGGTTCATTTCACTCCTTTCTTTCACCTTCTGCTTTCTCGTCAAGCCGGGCTGGATAAGACAAACGGTATATGGTCATGCAAAGTACTGTAAGCGAATCCACGTTGTCCCTGTCATGGCTTTTGATCCTTGGGGGAACCTGGAGAACCACAAGGATCTCCTCCACCTGGGTACAGGTGAGCTCGTCGGAATATTGACGTATGTCAAATGAGGCATCAAGCAGAAACGGAGGGTGAAGAACAGGGTTCTCGTCTTCGTCGTCCTGCTCGTCGTCCTAATCGAACTCACAGTCGTCAAGGCCGTAGAGCATAGCGAGTTGCGCCGCGATTACCGGCATGAGAAGGAAGCATCTTGAATGAATGAAGAGCGATGACGGCCTGCATTCAAGGAAGCCAGAAGGCCATGGCATGAAGCAAATGCGAGCTACCCTTCTTCCAACGCAAAACTCTGTAAATTAAAAGATTTTTTTTGTCTGTCGAAGTGTGTGAGCCTTCCTTTCACATCAATGATCTATCTCGTATCTCGAAATACGCGACCAATCTTTGTTAACAACTTAACAATTTGACATACCTGTATTTGCACATTCAGTTAAGTGGGGTTCAATTGTATATATAGAGGTCAAAAGGTCCGTTTGGCTTCTCTTCCTTTCTCTTTCCTCACTCTTCTCATTCCCCTCTCTCTGCTTTTCAGCTCAGCGCAATCAACACACCACAGGACCACTTATTTGACTTACGCCACCAACTTATTCTCTTCGACTTGGCTCAACAACCTAATCAACAATCACATCACAAACACACAACAACACATTCACATACAAACGCACTGAGTCTAGCAACAATGGCCCCACTCGCGTCGACTCCTGATTCCCCTTCAATGACGTAAATACCTTTACTACTTACTTGTTGTGCATGATTGCATTCATTCATTCCCACGGCCAGACACGAAAGGTAAAATCAAAAATTAACCTTTTGTTTGACTTTCTTCTCCCTCAATAGCACTGACGCAGTCGTCGTGAGCAGAGACAGGGCCTTGATGATCCCCGAGATCGTCATGGTTATCAGGTCTTTCCTTCCCCTCTTCGAGCGCGCAGAGTCCGGTCTACATGGCCTGGTCACCAAATGGAACCCGGATCATCTCCTCAGCGCCACCGCCGTCTGCAAGGTCTGGCGCCAGACCCTTACCCCAGTTCTCTGGCAGATATACGACTTTGCAAACATGGACTGGGTCCCATCGAGTGTCCTCACCCAAAACATCCGTCACGTCCGCCACCTCTCCTTGCTCGACACGAAGCACAAAAAAAATGCTGATCTCTGGGAGGCCCTCACCCACCACAAGCACATCAACAAGTTGGAGGTGCACGATGCCGTTTTCTCTGTCAAGCGTCTCCTCGGTCCCAACGCACAGAACATGAAAGAGCTCAAGGTGTCCGGAAACTGCACACGAATGCACCCCTTCCTGCTCCTGTTTGTCGAGCGTCAAGTGGCCCTCCAGTCTTTGGAGCTGACCCGTGTCAAGATTACAAAGTCGGACTGGACGCGCATTGTCTACAACAAGCCTCACCTCAAGAAACTGATCATTTCCCAACAGTGCGAGTTCGTGGGCTTCGAGGATGACGACGACGAGGACAACAACGAAACCAGTACAGTACATTTGAAGGGCGACCAGTCCGTTGGATCGATGGCAATGGATGCGGTTGCCAATACGGACAACACCAACGCCCCGACGAGTAGTGGAGGGGGATCGAACAAGCGGAAGAGCGTTGACGAAGGAGCCGATGAAGGTAGCAACAAGCGCAGACGCTCCCAGGATAGCGGTCTGAATTTGTTGTCTGCAAGGAGACCCGAGATTCTCCCAGTCACCCACCTTGTCCTGAGCAGCAATCGTCTGCACTTCCCTTTCCAAAAGGCGATCTTCAAGGCCAGCCCACACGTTGAGAAGCTTGAGATATGCTACACGCATAAAGCCGACGGGACCACGATTGCCAGTCTCGTTGCCGAGAGCTGCCCCAGGATCCGCCACCTGACGCTGAAGAGCAGACGTCAGCCATGGACATTGGCGATGCTGGAGGGTATGCCACAGTCAGTGGAGGAGCTAATCCTTCACACTGGGCAACTGGACTTGGATATGGTGGCGGCAATCAAGGACCGAAAGGATGTGCTGACCAGATTGGAGCTTGATTTCGGAAAAGGCAGCAAGGGCAAGCGCCGCTTGGAGTGCATTCTGCTGTTATTGCAGGCGTGTTCGGAGCTCAGAGAGTTCACATACCACAATCACGCAGAGGGGATGCTATTCCAGGAAGTCATGTTCAAGAAGGCCTGGAACTTACCTAACCTCCGCAGGCTGCATTTCCATGGTATCGCCTTTCGAGCCCAGTACAATGACCTCTCCCGAGTCCCCGTCCCTAACAGCTGGAAAAAAGAGAACCGAGTTCGAAATCACCGTTGCTGCAGCACCCGGACTGCTGGGGATATCGACCATCCAGGCAACATGGCACCCTCCCTCCTCTTCGACAAAGCCTTACTGGATCACGTCAAGGGCCTCCCCAACCTCTCCGAGGTCATTGTCACCGAGGTGAAATATCGCAAGAGGCTCAACTAGAGCACGGCCAGCCTCTTTCAGCCCTCTCCCATACTTTTTATTTTGTACTTTTTACTTACTTTTTCATTCCACCCTTGTACATTCTATCGTTGTTTCATTTGTATCACCACAGCACATCCATAATTCACATATCATTCTTCCATTGTACACTACTACTAGTCTTTGCTTGCTCATAAAATTATTTTCTTCGCTAATTTACTATCTTGCCACCTTCTCTTGACAGAATAAAAATATAAATTAAGTGTTTGCCCATTGAACCGTGGGATACGAAGCACACTTTGAATGGTGATTGTGCGCAATTCTTGATTTCGGACCGCCTATGGTCTTAATTTCTCATGCATCCAACCAAACCTACTTTTCTGCCCCCCTCCCTTTTGTTTTCGATATACTCTATTTTCTATCTTCTAACGTTATTGCAACCAATGGAGCTTCTTATGCAAGGTCATTCGGTTCCAGTTCCCGGTGAATGCTCACCTCAGTTAGTGCTTGTTGGGTAAGTATGAGGTACGTGTTGATGGATAAAGTGGGCTGTATGGATGGTCGATGTGAGCAAAAAGACGCAAACACAGAAGAACTCATCGATGCGTGCATGCATCCCTCTGTCGGTGATGGTTGCCGAAAAAGAGAGGCTTGCAGTTAGCAGTTGGGCCAATTAGCGCCAAGAAGGAGGGAACGAAAAGTAGAAAAATGGCTCTCAATTTTGACTGCAAGGGACACTACAGGAAAAGAAAACGGTGAGCATTTTCTCACCATCGTTGATGGCAGAAGAAACACGAGGGACAGCACATAGATCGTTTAGTTGGAAATGCAAGGTCTTTTTTGTAAACTTCGTGCAGGTACAACCCTCGGTATACATGGGCGAGAAAATAGCTGCCGGGTTCTTGTCCTGGACTGTTCAAGAGGGGGTGAAAGAGCTGAGATACAAAATTGATGTTTGTTACGAGGGCATGAGGGATTGAGGCTACAGCCCACAGGTAAGGATATGTAAACACACCATGCTTGGTATATAAAGTGAGCGAGGATTCTCTCTTAAATTTCTACACCCATCGTTCCTCAGTCCTCCCTTACCCTTCTTCCTTTTCCTCGCCCTCTCCTTTCATCCTTCCCTCCGTTTCTCTCCGATCTTTACGACCCCTTCCACCTTTTTATCACTTTTTTTTTCGCACATACACAGCATGGTTGCACCCAAGATTCAAATCCTAATGGCAATTGGTGTTGCCCTTGGTGTCGTTCAGGCTGGTCCTATCGACTACAGCAACTACATCAATAGGTCACCCGTCAATAACCAGGTACTTTTTTTGTCTTTGTGCCAATGTGTGTTTTGCATGTTGTTAAACTGCATGGAAATTTCAAAGCCATTGACCCAACCTGTTGTTTTATCGCTTGCTCTCCTCTGGCATCCTTTTTTTTTCGTACTATGGACAGGCCACTTGTACGACTCCTCAATGTCGCTTGACTGCAGCTGGAATTGTTAACGACATGGACCCTACTGCTGACCCCTGCCAGGACTTTAGCAAGTTCACTTGTACGATCACTCCCTGCTACCTTTTTTTTTCTAATGTCGCGAATATAGAGTTGCAAATTGGCAAGGTTGACTGACACGACGTTCCATTTCTTTTTCCTGTTTTTTTTTCACGTCGACTAGGCGGCGGATTCCACGCAAAGCACAAGATTCCAGAGGGCAAGCCTTCTATCGGTCCTTTTGATATCCTGAGGGACGACAACGCTGTAAGTATGCATGAATGAAATCCTCTTTTTTTCCCCGCCAGAAACAAAAAATCTGCCCAGTTGCTATAGGAAAACAATCTAACCACAACCTCGCATCTTAATTTACTTTTTTCTCTCTGGTCGATAGCGCATTCTTCGCTTAATTGTCGATCCCTCCCTCGGTCAGACCCCCAAAGCTCCCGTCGGGGACAAAGCTGCTCAAAGAAACATCAAGAAGCTTCAGGATCTGTTCAACAGCTGCATGGACGATAAGGCGATCCTCAAGGCTGGGCGCAAACCCCTTGTCGACGAAATCCAAAAGATCGTCAATTCCCTCCCTGCCTCCAGATCTCATCCTGACAAGAAGACCCTCGCTAAGACGTTGGGTCAGATTGCAAAGTATGGGCTCGAGACCCCGGGTTTCATTAACCTTGACGTTGGCTCGGATGATAATAATCCGTTGGCTAATGTGTTGACAGTCAATGAGGATGGATTGGGTCTGAGGGACGAGAGTCAGTACAAGGATGAGAAACGGATCAAGGAGTATAAGGAGACTATTGCGGCTATGTTCCAGATCATCTTGGGCGATGAGGATGTCACCAACCGATCCCAGCCGCTTACTTCGAATGATACCAAAAAGGAGTGGTCCAATGCCGCTAAGGAGGTTGTCGACTTCGAGATTCAGCTTGCAGAAATCAAAACACCTCAAAGCGAACTTTGGGACTCGACCAAGAACAGAAACCCGCGCACTATCGCACAACTGAATGCCTTGACCCCCTCGATCGATTGGTCCCTGTTCCTAAAGGAGTCCTTCCCTCCCGGCCTCAAATACACCGGCCCCATCATCGTCTCCTCCTTGCCCTACCTCACCAAGCTGGAAGGCCTCCTTCAAAAGACTTCGGCCAAGACTCTCCAACGCTACTTTTCCTGGGTCCTCATCCGCAGCCTTTCCAGAAATCTGGCGCAGCCTTACAAACAGCCCAAGACCAACTTTGACAGCGTCGCATCCGGCATCTCTGCAAACGCCACAACCGAACGCTGGACCACCTGTCTCTCAACTGCCGACACGAACCTAGTCCACATCACCGGCCACTACTTTGTCAAAGCCACTTTCAAGGGCAACAGCCGCCAAGAGGTCCTGAACATCGTCGACAACATCATCGCTAGCTACGAAAACACTTTCCCGACCCTCGCCTGGCTCGACAAAAAGACCCGCGACGGTGCCATCAAGAAACTCAAAGCCATCGTCAAATCTATCGGCTACACGACCGACAACCCGGACGACGTCTCTGCAAAGTCCCTGGATGCCTTCTACAAGGGGTATGCTGTTGGTGAGAAAGACTTTTTTGGGAACCAGTTGAGGTATAAGCGTTGGGCGGCTGCGAAAGCGTTTGGAGAGTTGTTGGTGCCTGTGGACCGGGAGGGGATGGAGTTTTCGCTTACGACGGTGAATGCGTTTTATAACCCTGGGGCTAATTCGATTTATATCCCGGCGGGTATCTTGCAGTTGCCGTTTTTTAACATTGAGAACCCAGAATATGTTAATTATGGAAGCATGGGTGTCGTTGGCGGCCATGAGATCGGGGTAAGTTTGCCTTCTTTTTTTCCCTTTCCGTCACTGATAGTTAGCCTTGTTGTTGTTTTCCTTTCTCTGATCATAACGTTTTTTCGTTTCGCCATTTTGTGTTCGAAAAAAATAGCATGCGTTCGACAATAACGGACGCCACTACGACTCCATCGGACGTCTCGCAAACGTAGGTCCAAACGCAACCCCTCCTTATTTTATTGTTCTCTCGTCTCCACAACGATACTCACTCACCTCAAACACACACACACATAATTCCTTCTTATTATCGCAACATAGTGGTGGACGAACGCCACGTCGCAGGCATTCGAAGAAAAGGCCCAGTGCTTCGTCAACCAGTACGGAAACTTCACCATCAAAGGACCTCAGGGCGAGGATCATAACCTGGATGGGGAGTTGACACTCGGCGAGAACCTTGCCGACAATGGAGGTATCAAGATGGCCTTTAGGATCTGGCAAAGTCGCCACAAGTCCGACCCCAAGGGCAACAAGTACGTTTTGTCTCTTCCTTTTTTTTTTGGGCCTCCAGAATTGAATGCACAGGGCACAGGAAGAAAAAGTAAAGGTTTGGACTGATTACCTTAACATCCAATTTTTTTTTCTCCTTTGCGTTAGGTTCAAGAACTTCAAGTTGCCAGGACTGGACAAGTACACCCCCGAGCAACTGTTCTTTATCTCCTACGGACGCCTGTGGTGCACTATGATGACACCCGACGCCCTCGTTGACTATGTCGGTTCCAACCCCCATTCCCCTGGAAAGTGGCGTATCAATGGTGCTGCTCAGAACTCGCCTGATTTCGCGAGGGCGTTCAAGTGTAAGGCGGATACACCGATGAACCCTGTCAACAAGTGTGAGGTGTGGTAGATGTGGGTTTGTAGGAAGGGAGGAGAAATAAACAGAAGATGAGAGTATTTAAAGTTGACAGAGAAAGATAATAATACACGTACCCTTGTAGCGCAACGATCGTCACCTGTTGTTGAAAGCAAAAAGATAAAAAGGTACGGACGATAAATCTACGTCCGAATGGTAAGTGTAAATAATGATAAAGCTGTGGACTCATTCCACCTTCGCATCTGAATTCGATGAATCGTCATGGATTTTTCAATTCATAATTTATTTTTTAGTGACAGCAACACTTTTTTTCTTCAAGGCCTCCAATGATATCTTAGCGTTCTTATGTCCTCGGTCGGCAGCCTTAGAGAACCACTCCATGGCCTTTGTATCATCCTGGGGAACACCTTGGCCGTCGCAGTAGAGACACCCAATACTATATAGCGAGAGAACCTGTCCTTGGCTGGCGGCCTTGAGGAACCATTCCATTGCCAGAGCGTAGTCTTGGGGAACACCTTGGCCGCTGTTGTAGAGGAGACCGATGCTGCATTGAGATCTGGCAAGTCCTTGTTGGGCGGCTTTGAGGAGCCAGTCCATCGCTTGTTTGTAGTCCTGAGGAACGCCATGACCGTACTTGTAGAGAAAGCCGATACTGTGTTGAGAGGCGGCATGTCCTTGCTCGGCTGCTTTGAGGTACCACTGCATTGCTTGTGCATAGTCCCGCTGGACACCTTGCCCAAAGTAGTAGAATTCGCCAATGTCGTACTGCGATTCTGCGTGTCCTTGATCGGCGGCTTTGAGGAACCAACCCATCGCCTGAGCGTCGTCTTTGAGAACACCGCGGCCATGATTGTAGAGAACTCCGATGCTGTATTGAGCAACAGCATATCCTTGTTCGGCAGCCTTGAGGTACCAATCCATGGCTATTAAGTGGTTCTGCGGTACACCCAGTCCTTGATCGTAGAGGTCGCCTACTCTCAGCTGTCCAGCTGCGTCTCCTTGCTCGACGGCCTTGAAGTACCAATCCGTGGCGGTCTGATAGTCTTGCGCAACCCCCTTGCCGTCCCTATACATGTCGCCAAGCGCCACCTGGGCGTCCTTGTCTCCATGACTAGCGCTAATGCTCATTTGAACCACATCCTTCTCCATAGAAACATTGGTGGTTACGCTCTGCGGTCCTTGCAGCTGAGAGTTGCAGCTGTTGACTGAGTGAGGAGGGACGACAGGATCCTTGATGGTTGGCGGCTGATCGTCCAGTACTTCATGTGGCCCTCGAGCCGACGTGAATGCAAGGGGTCTATCGATGTGAGTATAGTTTTCCATCGCCACCTCTACAAGGCCGTAGACTGGGTTCCGCCGGACAGTGGAAGTTGTGTTAGAAAGGACAGCGGGCGTGGACGCGCTACTGGATGAGGACGTAGCAGTGGATGTTGGGATGATGTTCTGGGAGGCAGTCTTGACCTTCATTGTGCTATCATCGTCCTGCGGTGGCGTTGGCTGCAATGGTAGCTGTTGGACTTGTAGAGAGGTGACCCCTTTTTCAACCAATAGATTATCCACCACCACATCCAAGACAGCGTTCGGCACTGCGGCAATCCTGCGCGGCTTAAGACTAAGGGTTTGTTCCATAGTCAAAATAAGAAAGATGCGTAAGCTTCCTTGTCTTTGTTCTCCTTCTCTCTGCCATCGCCCATGACATATCACCAGCAGTAACCTTGACACGCACTGAACATACATTCGTAGGTTCTTCCCCTTTAGGAACGGAACAACCCTCGTCTTGTTGCGAACTTGAACCACATTCCTGAATGCCTGCAGGATATCGTCCCAGAGCACGACTTCCTTCAGCGTCTTTGGGTCGAGTTGAGTGTCGACGTGGTATATCTCGTCAGGAGTGGCTAGGGGAACAGCATTGGGTGCGAGGTTTATGTCGACGGAGCGCATTGCCTGCATTTGTTCCTGAGGGTCGTTTCCTTGGGTCATTTTCATAGTAAGGGCGAGGATGGGTGGGTTTGCATGGAAAAAGAGAGAGAAAAGTCGCTGTGAGCGGTTGTGAAGGAGGTTGAGTGTTGGTGGGGTGAGTGGGGTGGAAGAAGAAGAGTGTGTGAAAAAAATGAGAGAGTGGTGTGTTGGAAAGAGAATGAAAAGGAGCGAGCGAGAAAAAAAGTAAAAAAGAAGAAAGACAAGGGGAAGGAAAAGATGAGCAGAGCGGGAAGAAAGGGAGGATGGCGAGAGAAAGATAAACTATTCCCGACATGCCGTGTCACCATGGGAGGGGCAGTGACGCATGGATGCAGCAATGTAAGATTCTGTGCCAATTCAACGCTATGACCCTTTTTCTTGCATTCCTGCAAAAACACACAGAAAAGTAACCAGACAGTGTTGTTGTGCATGCAATGGATCAATGGTTCAAATACTCCACATCCAAGCTGGCCCTCTCTGGCGGATAAGAGAGTGTCGCCATGCTCCCCCCATTAACAAACCGTTGCAATCTGGCGCCCTTTCCTGAAAAACGAAAAATAAAATAAAAATAATAATAATCAGAAAATAGCCTGATGTCCTCACAAACAACAAAACCTCGCCATGCATCTCGTGAACAATGTATTCTGTCGTGTGCATTAAGAAGTCGTGTTGCTTATTTGCCTAAGTAAAGATATGGTATCCATTAACCATAATCATGACGTTCTGCCCACAAGCCTTCCCCCTTATAATCTCCTCATACGCCAGAATCGTCTCCCCATCCAACGTTCCATCATCATGGATCGCTATACTGCAGCGACTCTTCATCTGGCCAGCGGGGAGGGCCTCAACAAACCACTGGTAGGTTTTGTGGATAATGGCGTTCTTTTGTCGGACGTCCAAGCGGGTGATCTTGCTAAAGTCTAGGTACTTGAGCATCTTTTCCCATTCGTCCGGCATCACAGTTAGGTCCATGATATGGAGTTGTTTGATCGGTTGGGTGAGGACGGGGGCGGCTCCTGGTGCTGAAAGTCCGGCGGCAGCAGCTGCGGCGGAGGCTTCTATAGCTTGTTTGGATTTCGATCGGAGGATGCCTTCCATCCAGCGGCACTCAAAAAGACTCTGCTCCCAGTCGCCCGAGATTGACAGTTCGTCCAGCAATGGCATCTCCATCGACTCGCTCATCCGGGAATCCAGGATCTTCAACAGCAGATGTGTTCCCTTGCCCCAGACCGAGAGGTGCGTCAGCTTGGACCGGATCGCCATCAAAAAGTCGCCCCACACCATCGCGCACGCCATGTCGTCCATTGCTGTATCTTTGCTACCCTTGCCGTTCTTGTTGTTGCCGCTGCTGCTGTTACTGTTCCCATTGGCGCTGCCATTGCTGTTGATGCTGGATTTGCTGCCACTGTTCCTGCTACTCTTGTTACTGGTGCCACCTTGTCTCCCAGCGCGCTTACTCGTCTCCAACAACGCCTCCGCATCAGCCTCATGATCCGGAACAGACCGCTTCCCAAGCACAGACCCAGCAACCGTCAAATCCTCAAAATTACTCCTCAAAATAATCTTCTTCAAATCCTCAATCACAGCCGGATCCAACAGATGAACATCCATGACCGAGAACCTCCTCAGCACCATGGGCCTCTTCTTAGGCCGCATCGACTTCTCCAACACCGTTGCATCACTCGGCTGGATCTGCTCCAACGATAATGTCTCGAGGACGGAGGCATACCTTTGGAACATCGCCTGGACTTTGTCACCTTCGAAACAGGTAATCGCCACCCTCATCTTGGCCGAATCGTTCGGGTACTTCCACTCAAACGACGAAGGGGTCTTGTTCTTATGGCGCTGACGGACCTCAAAAGACTTGATGGTGGGGTGGATCGCCAATAAAGCTTTGCACGATTCGTAGATTTGACTCGGGTCGTCCTTGGTCATGTTCTCCAAGTCCACCTCCCGTAAGTTCCTGTTGAGACTGATAATGTCCCGCAGTTTGGTTAGATCCGTCGCAAGAGAGAACCCGATCCGGACCTTAGTAAGACACTTGAATCCGATGAACCGGTTATCGGGCATTCCATAGCAGTCGTACTTGATCTCGTCACATCCCTGGCGCTTCTCAAAGAACGTCCTCATGTCGCCGTTGATATAGTCCGTATCCTCGACATCGCACCCAGGCTTTCCAGAATCGGGCGCCGCAAACTTGATAGTCACCTCCTTCCAAACAGACTCGATCGACAGACACAACTCCGAGAACCGGTGCAACCCCTTGGCCAGACCCCGGACCGTCTTGGCCGCCCGATCAATATCCGTGACCTTGATTGATGCCTTAACTCGCCCATCCTTGGCCGCCCTCGAAAAGTATGTCAGCCCATCCATCGAAAGACTCGCCTCCTTCAAAAAGTCGCGCTCGTGGTATATCGGGTACTCGGTCTCATCATCCCGCAAACGCTGGATCATCCTGAAAATGTCAATCTTGGGATTCCGCAGCGCAGCCATAGCCAACTGGATGTATGGTGTCCCAAAGCCTAGAACGGAGCCGCTGCTGTGGTGGTTGCCGTGGGTACCGATACTGCCAATGGTGTTCTTGACCCGCACCAGGACTCCCGCCGCCGTGAGTCGACCAAGCGAAGCCGAAATCTCATCCATCTCCTCTGGCGCCAGATCCCAGTTTAGCATCAACCGGAACATTGGTGTTGTTGTCAGCCGCTCTGCCAGTTGGAAATACTCCCGCGTCCGCTGGATGTTGGTGAGTTCGGCACTGAAGACTCCTTGAACGGTATCGTACTTGCTCTTGGTCGATGAGGGGTTGTTGGAGAACTTGTTGGCGAGGACCCACTCCTTCTGCGGCGACATGTCGTACCAATGCGCCAGACACACCCATCGAGTATCGCCCGCCGTTGTCCTGTAAGGGTTCATCTCGTCATACTTCTCCCAGCGGTGTTGGACCAGCATGCCCTCAAACTTTTTTGACGCCTCCTTATCCAGTGGCGCAATTGGCTTTAAACCATCCAGCGAGAACGCAGAGACAACACTCTCTGGATCCGAAAAAGCCTCTGCCTTATACTTCTCGCAGGACATAATCCCCTTGGACTCGAGGTACTTGATCGCCAATGACAACCGTTTCTGCGAATCCGGGCTAGCCTGCGCAGGGACCTTGAGGACATTCTCGATGTAGAGGCCGTACTTGAGGATCTCCAGAACTCCCATGACATACTCGCCTACAATCGGGATCATGAGGTCGATTTGCTGCTGGGAAAGACTCTCAGCGGCGGCTCGACTATGGTGGTGCTCAATGTAGTGCTCGTCGTCCTTGATGTTCCAGTGCGGGAACCAGCGGTTCTCAAATCCGGGAATATCGCCACAATCGCAGATGTAGAAAAAGTCGAACTTGGTGTCGCTGTAAATCTTGGCGTCGTAGTTGGGCACCGTCTGCGTTGTCGTAGTAATTCCCGTCTTGGTCGCCTTTGTCACAGTAACTGTCGGTCCTCGGATGATGGGGAGGAAACAAAAGAATCGCGAGTGGCCCAGGTCGGACCAGGTGAACCGACTCTTGATCATATCCTTGACGCGGTGCTCGACCAGATCCGCGACTAGGAGGGGTCCTATCCGTGGGGCGCGCTTGTGGGGGATATCTCTTTGGGTCGACTCGGACATTAACGCTGATGCGATCTCTTGAACTGCGACCAGGAGCGCCTTGGTGGTTCCTGTGGCTCCTGCTGCTGCGATCGCTGCCTCTGCCGCTGCTATTGCTGCCGCCGAAGGTCCTTGTACTGCTGTGGCGACTGCGTTCGATATTTCCTCACGGGTTGGTAAAACAATATCGCCCCCTTGTTTCTTGACCCCTTCTATCACCTCTGTCTCGACTAGTTGCGTTGTGGTGGTAGTTGTGGTTGGCTGAACCACGACGCTCTGCTGCGGTGACTGCTCCTTGTCGACAGGTGCTGGTACCACCTCGTTGATCTCGACCTCCTGGTGTTCGGTATCATCCTCGCCCTCACCAAGGACATCGTGATCATCGTAATCGTCCTCCAGGTCCTCTTCACGGGCATTCAGGTCGCCGTCGTCGCTCTCCTCCAGCAAGGACCCCTCGTTAGGCGTAGCTGCATCCTGACTCACAGCCTGGCCCAGAGCGGCCTTCCCGTTCACCAATCCCAATGCAGAATCGCGACCTTTGGGTGTTGGTACTGCTGGCGCAAGTATAACAGTCGTTGGTGTTCCAGTGCCGTTGATCGTGTAACCTGTAGGAGCTGAAGTGCTGTAGTTGTTGATCAAGGGGGTAGTGTGGTCACTGTTTTTGATGGTCCTCCTGTATGAATTGTCTCCATAGACAACATCCAGTACAATCCCGGGGTGATACCGAATTCCGTGCGGCTTCACGCTATCAACATAAAAAATTACGAACAGGGGTCAGTTCTAACTGCACACTTCAAGTACATCGCACCTTCAGTCTCTGCCATGACGATGAACCCATACATCAACCCCTGTGATCCATTCCACAGACGATTCGCCCAAAAAGACAACTCACCGGTAGCACCGCTTATCCCTCAACATAGGAACAAACACATTGTCAAACTGGACCCTCGTCGCCCCTGGGAAACAGTCAGTAATGTCAGTCCAGATCACGTAGAGGTCTCTCAGGGTCGGGTGTTGGACCACTGGGATCCGAATGTTGCCTTTCTTCTCACGTTCTGAACGGAAGGTCTGGAAGTATGTTTCTACTGCTGATGTTGAGGTTGTTGATGTTAATGGGAGGGATGCACCGGTAGCGAGGGGCGGTGGTGTTATGGTATTGGTGGGTAGTTGTTCATTGGCCATGAATGTCGTGCTTGTTGATCCGTTCTGGTCTGTTCGAGTTCGAGGAAAAGGGTACAAACTAAAAATCACTCCCAGGCATGCCGCGGGAAAAATAGCAAGGAGCAAGTGGTCACGTGTTCCAGTTATTTTCTTCAGCACTGGCAGGGTTCATGGGACTACCAGCACAGGGCACTTGAAGGCCTCGAAATTGCATGAGTACAGAAAAACGCCATTTGATGCACCGCTTTTCGGCAAATTTGAGGCTGTTGATGAGTCTTGATCCATCAGCCAGGGGACTGATCTTGCCGTTTCAATTCTCCGTCTCAAAGGGGTCAAGAAGCAAACATGATGAGAATGGGGGAAGGGGGATCGATAGAGACGCACTTTATTTCTGATTTCATGACAAGACGAAAGACAACTTCGCGAAATAAAATGAAGAGAAAAAAGAAATGACCTTGTCGAAGCATACGTGTCTTGGTTCGCCTTCCTTCATCTTTGTGAACAGTTCTGTAGCGAGATTTTTTTTAATCCCCATACTGCGAATATTCGCATTCTATCTAAGTAACAGCCTGCTCTTGGCTACATCTACTGTCCATTACAGGAAAAAAACGCTACCACAGCTCGCATTTCTTGGCAGGGTTCATAGGACTGCCAGCCTTACATTTGAACACCTCCGAGAACTCGGGCAAGTTCATGACGGGGGCATTAATGCGCCACTTTGCGGGAGAATGGGTATCGGTCTGGAGTAACTGGACCTCAGCCTCTGGCCGCACTTTTGCGCACCACAAACGACCATATGAAATGAAGAACAGTTGCTCGGGCGTGTATTTTTCCAGTCCTGGCAGTCTGAAGTTCTTGTATCTGAGGGAGGAATGACAAGAGGGGGAGGGAAGGAAGGAGAGAGAGGGAATAGGGTCAGCATGGTCGAGGATCATTTTTTCAACTTTGGATGGGTGTCACAAAAATGAAAATGCAAAGAGCACAGATCAAAAATTGCAAACTTACTTTTTGCCAGAGGGATCAGATTTGTGGCGGTTCTGCCAGGTACGGAAGGTCTGCTTGAGCCCTCCATTGTCGGCAATGTTCTCGTTCAGTGTCAGAGCGCCATCGACATTATTCTCGCTGCCGTCGGGTCCATTGATCGTGAAGTTGTTGTACTGGCCCACGAAGCACTTTGCCTTGTTGTTGAACGCCGTCATTGTCCCGTTTGTCCACCACTATATAAGGATGCGCCAAGAGAAAAAAAAAGCGATGTGAGCAAAAAATGGAAGGAAAGGAAGGGTGTGAGATGGGGGGAACAGAAGTATCAATTGGCGAGGGACTTGGTGTAACTTACGTTTCGGAGAGCGCCCTGAGGATCAAAGTGAGATCCCATGCTATCAAATCCATGCTGCAGAAGGAAGCAAAAGGAGGATGAAAGATTTAGTCCATTATAAGAGCAAAATCGTAACACAAACAAACAAACGAACAGTGCCTGAACAAACAAGAGAAAGTGGAAAAAAAAACTTACAGTGATCTCATGGCCAGCAATGACACCCATGGCGCCATAGTTGACATATTCTGGGTTCTCGACATGGTAGTAAGGGAACTGCAAAATACCAGCGGGGACCAAGACTTGGTTGGCGTAGGGGCTGTAGAAGGCATTGACCGTCTGGGGGGTCGTGAGCATCTTCTTGCGGTCAATAGTTTTGCCGGCCTGGGCCATCGTCATTTCGCTCTGCCAAGTCGCAAACTTCAACATGTTGCCAAAATAGTCGTCCGCGGCTACGTCGTAGCCCTCATAGTATTCCTGCAGTGATTTTGTTGAAGGGACATTTGGAGAGCCCGTCGAGTATCCGACCAAAGGTTCAATCGCCGCCAGCTTCTTTAGAGCACCGTCGAGAGTCGATTTGTCGAGCCAGTCGTATGCGGGCATGGCTTTGGTGTAGGTCTCCCGGAGGGACTCGATGATGTCCGTAAAGTCCTGACGACTGTTGCCTTTGAACCGCTCCTTGATAAAGTAGTGACCAACAATCTCGCCCACGTTCGTGTTGACATTGGCGATACAGGCCTTCCAACGATCGACCTTGATATTTGGCGACATTCCGTTCAGAGTGGCGAAAAGGGCAGTCAAGGGTTGCTTGTACGGCTCAGCGAGGTTCGTGGCATAGGTGCTGATGGTAAGCCAAGAGAAGTAGTGCTGGAGAGTTGTGGTTGTGGTGTTCTTGAGGATGGTGTCCAGCTTGGTGACATACGGTACTGAGAGGGCGAGAATGGTTCGATTGTATTGGGCGCCGGCAGGGAGAAGTTCCTGGACCAATAGTGGCCAGTCGATCGATGGGGTCATGACCGACAACTCTTCGGCAGTACGCGGGTTGTTGAACTTGAGCGGGTCCCTTTGATCCACGATTTCGGTTCCAATTGACGCAAGCTGGGTCTCAAAGGCCACGACATCCTTAGCGACATCCAACCACTCCTGCGTGATATCCTTGGGCAAAAGAGGCTCTGTTCGGTTGGCGACATCCTCATCTCCCACAATGATCTGGAACATTTGTGCAACGATCCCTTGATAGATCTCGACAATGGCAGGCACCTCATATAACGACTTTGCAGGCAATCCCAGTCCACCTTCAGAGACCACCAAAGAGTTGATCATAGGTTCCTTCCCATCCGGCATGACCAAGAATGAAAGGAAGCCGTTCAATCCCAGCTTGGAGACCTGACCCAACGCCTTGGTAAGAACTGACTTGTCGACACCGGTCGATTTGCTGTCAGGGAGGGACTCAAGGAGCTTGTGGAGAAGGTCAACAATAGGTTTGCGGCCCACCTTGAGAATCGTGGCCTCGTCCATGCAGCTGTCATATAGGTCGTGAAGCTTCTTGAGATTACTTTCTTCAGCCGCGTCTCCGGCAGCAGGCTTGGGCGCCTTACCGAGGGACACTTCTGAGATCGAGCGGATAACACGCTAATTACGTCAGAAGGCAAAATTACAGTTGTCGGGGTTAGTCTTGGAGAATGCGACGGAACAAACATTAATCGCAAAGAGAAAGAGAGGGAAAATAGGAATGGGAGTGCACATACACTGTTGTCGTTGTAAATAACGCTAAAGTAATCGGCAGATATTGTCTCGGCAGGGATCTCATTCCTTTCATCGAACCCTCCACCTACGGCAACAAACAAGGCGAGGAGTTAAGAAAAAAGAAATATGATTTTTTGTTCATTCACCCTACTTTTTTTCCCTGGTGACACAAGAAAAAAATGCTTACAAGCGAACTGCCGAAAGTCTTGACATGGGTCGATCTCGGGGTCCATGTCGTTGATGACGCCTGCTGCTGTGAGGACACATTGTGGGGTTGTGCAAATGGCCTATGTGTTTGTGAGAAATCAGTTACCAGGATGTTGTAAGAAGGGTATGGTCAGTGCGTGAAATGGGTAAAAGTGCCAATGATGGTAGAATATCAGATAATGAGGTAAATGCGGTGATGGTACCTTGTTATTGATTGACGATTGTGTGGGCGCAGCCCGGACGACGTTCAGAGCAACTCCGATCGCCAACAGGACATAAAGCTTGGTTGTATAGACCATTTGTTGTTGTTGCTGAGGTATATGAAGAGAGTGGATTAAACTGGAGGGTATACGATGAAGAAATGATAGGGGTGTGAGTGCGTGCAGTTATATATGTCTCCTTGCCAAGAGGGAGTAGTAGTGGGGAGAAAAGAGGCGGTTGTTGATGATGGACAAGGTGGGTGGATGAATGTCTTTTTATACAGAAACTTCAAAGGGTACTAATACAAAAGAACAGTCCCAGTCGATCGAAACTATGACAACAGCCCATGAAATAAAAACCATTAGACAACCATTATCACCGTTGGCCATAGTCGACTAATGTATCGCGGGGACGGTACCTGAAAGTCGACCGGACTTGTGACGGTTCTGTTGAGGAAAAAGGCAGTGCTAACCATTGCATCCTTTTACCTATCTTTCACGCACAAGGCCTATGTCACTCCCCCTCTCTCGTTCTCTCGTTCTCTGTTTTTATTTTTGTCGGTCTATTCCGCAACATTTTTTGTCCTATTCTTATATTGTGTTCCATCTTGTCCTTGATTCTTTAAACAAGACGCCTGGTAATTGTCTTCCCCGGTAGATGTCCTGTTGTGCGGATGAATACAAATAACACGTTAATCCCTATTGTCCCATCATCTAGTACCCAGGCTCTCATACCTCACCAAACAAACAGCAACAAAAAGTCGACACAAAATGGAACACCGACCATGAAAGACCCTTCTGGAGGCAAGATAAACCCTTCTCATTGATCTTTCCCTCCCGAGTTACCTTACCCCGCCCAAACCTTTTTTCGTTTATGTGATTACAGCCTGCATACTGTGCAAACGCCCAAACTGTATATCCTCTCTCTGTGTGTTTTCTAACAAAAAAATAATTTTTGCTTGCGCAATTTCCGTCATCCCTTTTATGTTCACCTGAATCTTCCATTTCTTCCTCTCCACGTAGATACGTTCTCATCAGCCCACTCGCAGTAACTGTGCCGTTCTACTCGCTTCTTCTCTCCACCCGATCCCACGGTCAGGAGGCGGTCTGATCAGGGGATCATTGAGCGCGAGAGGCAGACTAGTACTTGCTAGCCTTGCCTTAGTGCTGGCGTCCCCACGAGAGGAAAAAAGTAGACATTTTTGAACTCAGCCTAGTGGTGGCTGTACGTTTATTTTTGGATCACCCCTCTTTTCAGCTCCCCCTAGTCCATTCACCTGGGAATGAGAACTCCAATGGCTGTGATAATGACCTCAACAGAAAAAAAATCAAGGACGTGTGAGCATAAGAGGCCAGGAAATGACACTTGGCCCTTACTTTTCACATACTCACAACGCACATACCAGCTAATTGCGCCTCCTCCTTCCGTCAATTGAACCTAACAACAAATATACGTAGACAGTCACTCTGCTAAACTCCAATGACTTCATGAAGAATAGGATAAACGATGACCCCATCTACCCCTACCTTCTACGCCCATGAACAAAGAGACGGTGCTTGTAACGTCTTAAGAGCGAAGTGCGATTTATTAGATCTTTAGATCTATCCCGCCCCATGGGAAGTAGCGCATTACTTGCATGGGCTGTTTGCCCTTTTTGTGAACGAAATGTTTTTTTTTTATCGTGTCATTTTTTGGGCTCATCTTTTGTTTCGGGGCATTGCTCTGTTCGAGAAATGCTATCTTCGCTTACCGGGACCAAGACATGCAAAGGACACATTTTCATAGATGTGGTGGATCGCCCTTTTCGCCGATATTTTTGGCTCTTCCCTTGTTATGTAAGTTATGCACTTTACCGCCCTTAGTCTCACAGCCAAGTTCGCAATGAGAGAGCATTGCCACTCTAATCCCACAGCTTAGTTTCATAATGAGAGATCATCGCCACTCAATTGACTCACAGCCGTTCTCATGAGAGGTCTTGAACAGTAATTATCTCTCCCTTCGCATTCCTCCCTCACAGCCATTACGAACAACGCAATCAGATTATAGAAACCACCAACACACGCGTACAAAAAAAATATAAAAATTCAAGTAAGTTGGGTACCGTTGTTGAGATATTCTATGGGTTGGGTATGTGATTAGACATTACGGTTGTACTATGAGGATGGGGTACGGGATCACGACTTTTCGCGCTCGTTTCTTAGCCCTCTTGCCATTGCCTTTCTCACCGTTGGCCTTGTCTTCCCTCTGTGTATCCTTCTTGAATGTCCTAGGCTTCCGGACCTTCTTCAACTCGGCATTCCCCTCCTCCTTCACTTCATCCGTGCCCTTGCGCTTGCGGTCCATCGGCTTTGCCTCCTCAACCTCCATTTTCTTTTCCTCCTCAACCTCCATTTTCTTTTCCTCCGTGGCCGTCTTGGGTATCCGGACCTTTTTCACCACGGAGGCGTCCTCCTTTGTCTCTTTATCCTTGACTGCCTTAGGCCTGCGACCCTTCTTCGCCTCGGTAGCTTCCTCCTTCGTTTCCCCCTCCTTAGCTGCTTTGGGCTTCCGACCCTTCTTCACCACGATATCCTCCCTACTCGCTTCTTCAGTGGCCTTATGCTTTCTACCTTTCGGCTTCACCTCCTCAGCTTCCTCCTTTGCTTCCTCCTCGGTTGGCCTTGGCTTGTGACCCTTCTTCGTAGCCCCCTTCCCCTCCTCTTCCTCCTCCTCCTCCTCCTCCTCCTCCTTATTTTCCTCTTTGACCGTCCTGGGCTTGCGACCTTTCTTCTTCACTTCCTTGGCCTTTCGCTCCTCCTCTTCCTTCCTCGCCTTTTCCTTGGCCAAGTGTTTTGACACGCTCTCATTCATGTATTGTTCCTGGATCCGTTGACTGCGACGAGAGGTACGAGGGGGTGCTTTTTCTGATGGAGACCCTGTTCCGTTCTCTGTGGGGGTCGCTAGGACTGTAGTAGCGGTAGAGGATCCAGGTTCTGCGTGGGGTGAAAGTTGGTTACTGGAATATGTTGGAGTGGTGTTGGTGGCGATTGTGGTTGTGGTTGAGGACTCGCCAGCGAGGGCACCGGTTGTGCTGTAGTGCTGATGGATCTGCTCAGTTGCTGGTGTTGATACTAAAGTCGATAAAGAGGACGAGGTTAAGGATGCGGCTCTCTCACAAGCATCTGCCAACAAGTTAAGTCCTTCTTTTGACTGTTCGGGCTGAGGTGACCTTCCTGACGACTGGAATTGATGTTCAGTTCCTGCCTGTGGTGGAGACAACCGCGGAGAGTGCTGGCCGCGTGGCGACGAGGGCCGTGTGGACCGGGTGGGAGGCGATTGAGTACGCGATGGTTGTGGCGAGCCTGACCTTTTGTAGGGGGTATAAAGGTTTGTACGCACTCGCGGAGGAGACCGGGGAGACGAACGACCGGTGGAGGGGAAATCCCATCCAGTAGGTGACGGAGTTGACGAAGTTGTTAATAGAGACGATATCGTGACCTTTCGTAGGTGAGTTGTTGAGGATAGCATGGGTGACGGCAAAGAGAATGGAGGAAGAGACGTTTCTACCGCTGACTGGATGGATGGTGATGATGCCTGAACAGGAGTAGTCGATGATGCTGACGACGATGCAGCGAGTTGACGAGTAAGTTTACTGGTTGGCTTGTGCTGCTTTTGTGGCTTCTGTTGCTTCTGCTTGGCCGCCGAGGGATTCGAGCGAGTTCTGGTGGCTGTCTTTTTTGGTCGTGATGGTAAAGCTGCAGGTGTTGTGCTCTCAGAGGTGGACGACAAGAGCCTCTCCTTCTGAGCAATAATTCGCAGAGAAAGCTTCCTACGAACGACAGAACCTGACTTGCTGTCGCTCTGTGGTTCGTCATCATTCTCTTCCTGCTGCATCCGCTTTGCCATAGTCATGTCGCTCTCAAGTCGCTGTTCTTCAAGCGTCATGGTATTTCCTGTTCCTACTCCTGCTCCTGTCACTCCTGCTGTCGCTCGTTGACCTTTCGATCGCTGAAGCTTCTGCTCTGTGTCCTCGTCGGTCTCACCCTGAGTAGATAACCTTTGAGAGTCCTCTCCGTCTTGTAGCTCACGTGCGAAAGCTTCATCTCGCTCCAACTGCAGCGCCTGCGGAGTTTTGCGGCGTCGACCAGAGGATGATCCTTCACCGGCGCTGTTGTCGTCCTGTTGCTGTTGCTTGTGCTTGCCATCCTGCCGTTGCTGCTGTTGTTCGTACTCATTATCCTCGCTGTCGCCATTTTTATCAATGATTTGTCTTCTCTTGGCCATGGATTGTGACTCCTCTCCTGAGTCGGTGTCAGATTCGTCGCTTCTAAAAGGAGATCCCTCTCGTGCAGCAGCACGAGCACGCCGCGCTAGATCTTCAACATTCCGATCTGCCAAATAATTCATATCTTCCCGTTTTTGCTCTGCCTCGGGCAGCCTTGCAGGTAAAGCTGAAGGAGATTCCTGTCCGGGCGCCAGTGCCGAGCGTGGGGAATCGGGGACAGGACTGGAGTTAGTCGTTGAAGAAACAGCAGTAGGGGAGCCAAAGACAGATAGAACCATAGAGTTGGTGGTGGAGGTTGAGTCTCGTCCTGCGGCATAGCTGGTAGTACGCATCAAGGTTGGGGTTCTGGTTGTGATAGAAGCTGAGGCCGAGGTTGATCCTGACGCTGCCGAGGTTTTCCTGCGTGAAGAAGGGCGAGTATTAGCGAGGTCCTCATCATACTTCATCTGCAACCTCCTAGTCTCCCTACGCTTCTCTTGCTCATCCTCCATACGGCTTTGTTCCATCAACATCGTCCGCTCAAGCTCATCTCTCTGCCGCTCCAGCTCCATCAACTTCTGAAGCTCGTCGTCCAAACACTCATCTCTAATCCGCTGCTTCTTCAGCTGGTCCAGAATCCACTGTCGCTTCGCCTCCTCCACGACAGGGTCCAACGGCTGAACCGCATTGCCCTCTCTCCTCTTCCTATCCCGATCCTCCTGCTCCCGAATCTCTTCCGCCAGCAGTTCATCCTCCTCCTCCCGCCGAACCTGGGCGCGCATAAATTTTCTTCGCGCCTTCTTCAAGGCTGCCTCTTGTGCTTCTTCTTCTCTCAAAACTGCTTCTTCCTGCCTGCGGGCGTCAGCAACCCCCCTGAAAGCCTTGTTCCGGTTGGTTCTCTCGTTATCGATCAGGGTTTCGTTGACGGATGGACCGACGGCGGTGTGGCTACCTCCGGGACTGATGGCGGCGACGCGATTCGATTCTTTGTCTTGGGAGAAGTACCGGGATTGGGGGTTATTTTTGAACTCGAGACGACGTGTTTGGGATTGGGTCCTGCGTTCTTGTTGAGGGGGCGTGGGGAATTTTATGGGAGTTTGGATTGAGGAGGTGGTAGCACCAATGTTGGTGTTGGTGGAGGGCGACTGGCGAAGAGGCGTTATTGATGGGGATGCGGTAGTGGAGGCGGTTGTGGTAGAGGTGGTTGTCTCAGCAGGTGCTATTGCGGTGGTGGTGGCGGCACTGCGAGAGGCGATGGTGGAGGGAGGGGCAACAGACTCGAATAATCTCCAGAGCGAACTAGTTCTGGTACTAGTCGACGTGGTATTGGTGGTGGGAGCTGCTGGCTGAGATGAGGGCTCGGTCGATCGCGATGTGGCAGTGTTGTTACCGGAGGCGGCAGAAGGCTCACTGCTAGTGTCAGCAACAGCACCGCTCTCTTCATTGTCACCAGCGGGTCGGTCGGGAGCATGCATAGTAAACACCATGAGCGGATCAACCGTGGGCGATCTCATCCAACCCTGAGCCTCCACCCACTCTTCCGCCGTTAGACCAGAATCAAAAACAGTAGTCCTCTCACTCTCTGCAGAAGTCAAGCCGCCCATCGCCATTTCTTCCAAAAGAGCAAGATCAGAGCCGCTTTCCCCCTGAAGAAAGCTCCTTCCCACTTGCTCGAGTCCCTGATACTTTCTCATCCCCTCGGGGTCGTGATCGATTTTGTTGTAATCGACACTGGCGTGGAGAGCACGGTACTCTTGGTAGGCCCTGATGTCACTCGCAAATGGCAGCGATGGGGGTGGTGCTGCCATCAGAGCCGAAGTGCGTAGGAGTGACTGATGCTCGCGCTCATTCAGATCCAGTTCACTCAACATCTTGTGACACTTGGCTTTGAGGTGCCTGAAGTACTGGAGCTCCTTCACCTCACGTCTCGACATTATCCGATCCTTTTTGGACTGGCCACCATGGATCGGCAAAGACGATCGTTGTTGCCTCTCTAAAGGTCGAGGCAGACTCTGACAGCAGCGGTACTTCTCAGAATAATCAGTCTCCTCTCGCCCAGAGTCGGTGTCAATCATGCAACGACGACGATGCTTCTGAACAGAGCGAAGACGATGACGATCCTTGCGGTTGGCTTCTTTTCGGATACGGTCTAGTCTTTTCCTAACAGTCCGCTGCAGAGCGTCACTGAGTTCTGGATAGCGAAGAGCATCTGAAAGAGCGGCGGTGACGGCGACGTCGTTGGACTGGTTGACGAACGAAGATGGCGAAGGGGTATTAGCGTTCATTGCCTGGGAATACTCCTGCTGCTGAAACTGCTGCTGCTGGTAGTGAAAGTCCGCAGCAGAACGCGGCAGAAAGGGAGATTTGAGAGTGAATCTGAACGGCATAGGAACCAAAGGTCTTGAAGGAGTGGGAGCCGTGATCTGAGTCACACTGGATGGGAACGAGGGCTGTCCGAATGCAGGGGTGGTGATAGCAGCTGGTGCAAGGAGGGGGATAGCAGACGACGAGCTAGATGACAGAGAGGAACAGTTGCCAAAGCCAGTGTTGCTGTTGCACGTAAGGTGAGATAATGAAGGTCGGACGGGTTTGTGACCATGTTGCCCATTCGAGCCGGCGGAAGGAGAGGAAAACCCTTTGGCGGGTTCGGCCGTGCCAAAGCCAAGACCAGTCTGGCCAAAGAGATGTAACAAGGGCCAGTTGGATGCAGTGGAGGAAAAGGACATGGACGACTCAGCCTGGGGATGGAATGGAGTAGGACCACCCTGCTGCTGCCACTGCTGCTGTTGGCCTATGTCTGCAAAGAAAATGTAATAAAGGATGTGTCAAACAAAAAGAAGAAAAAAACATGGTGCTCAAGGCCTTAGCAAATAACAAAGCAAAGACGTAACTGCTCTGACTGCTCAAATAACCATCCACGAAAAACATGGCTTACCGAGACACGGGGGGGTCATTTCCTGAGACGCAGGGCGAAGGCAAGAACCAGCTTGACTACCGCCCTGTTGGGCAGCAGTCCCACATTGCACCTCTGCCGCTTGATAGACTGACAAAGAGCTACCAGCAGCAGTACTGACTGAGGGTCGGTTCAGAGTCCTGTCAAAAGGACGATTAAAGGCAGTTGGGTACTTTTGGTGCGCCAGCGACGTAGCGGTTGAGGGCGACAGAATCACACGGGAAGGGATCGTGAAGATGGCTTCCTCCGCAGAGGGTCGCCCAAACTTGCCGTCAAAACGTGAAGAAGGGGTTACAAGTGGGACCTGGTCGTCTTCAATGTCCATGCGCTGGATCATGTCCACATCAACATCGCCCTCCAAGTTTATTATGGGTGTGGGATCCTCGTAGACAGTGGGATGGGGCATCGACTGCTGCGGCTGCTGGAGGCCCGCCTGATGGAAAAGAGGAATTAAGACGGTTACGGTGGGGACGGCAGTAGTGGTAGTAGTGCACGCGGTGGGAGGCACGGCTGACTGATTGGCACGACAGCGCTGGGAATTCTCCTGGTTGGGCTTGTCGCTGTTGTTGGTCATTTCGGACGGCGTTTGGGTTGATGAGGGGGAGGGGTGGTAGAGTGCTAGAAGGATGTGGGAAGTGATTGAAATGTGGTAATGGTCAAATTTGATTTCTAAGCTAAGCAGGCGTGCGTTGATGGGCGTTAGACTTTTTTTTTTTGTGGTGACACAAAAAAATCGCGGTGGAAGATAGGTGGAGGGTGATGAGGAGATGGAAGGAGACGACGAGAAGATGGCGATGAGGAAAAAAAAGGCTGAGGAGAAGAGGTGTTTTTATACTAGCTGGAAAGCAAGAGAGAGAGAGAGAGAGAGAGAGAGAGAGAGAGAGAGAGAGAGAGAGAGAGAGAGAGAGAGAGAGAGCAAACGACCAGCAAATAAAAACAACAGTTTGTCAGTCAAAGCACCAGAGACAAAGATTTTTCATAATTGCGCCTCTGGAAGTGTGGTGCCTGAAAGTGTGAGAAGGAAAAGAGTGGACACAAAAAGTTTGATGACGAGCAGTGGTGAAAGACAATCACACAGCAGGAGACAAGAACAAAAGGGGAAATGACGATGGTCACTCCACAACAGATAACGAGCTCGCCTCCCTTTTCATTTCCACAGTTTTCAACCATGAACTTTGTACCTCATATTTCGTCGATCCCGCCACTCTTTCAGTACCACTTCTTTATGGCTTCGAAAAAATTCTTGACTGCTGTGATGGGGCCGGTGGTGCTGGTGGAACTGGTGGCACAGAGGGACACCACAGTTCATGCATAGGAGTCCATGTCATGACGACAACCTTCTTTAAAGAAAAGGGTATCAACAGCATGATCAATGTCATCGTGATTCCAATGACGCATATGGAAACAAAGAGGTCGATCTCAGGAAAAGAAAGAACGAAAAGATGAAAGTAAGATGAGAAGGTAGTTCGTTGAACTAGAGAGAGCGAGGGAGGGAGAAAGGGACATTGTAGGTCGCGTAGAATATCTAGTCGTTGAGTGTTTTCAACTCTAGAAAAACGCGATGGCTCTTCGAACAGTAGGGAGGTACTTCGTGCGAGTAACGAAAAAGATAGTACCTTGGCCAACATAAGAAAACTGGTTCTGGAGCATGTACATAAAGCAGCGGCCGGTAGAGCTGGCAGCAAGGTTGTTCTGCCAGACATCGTGCAGAGTCCTGATTCTCTCAAGAGGGACCTTGAGACTTTCGCCAATGAGGGTCCAGCAGGCACAGATTTGGGACGGTGAATGGCCGACTCGCCCTCACCCCTCGAGGGGAGTAACTGAGGTATGTTGGTCGAAGAAGAGGAGGAGAGGGTGGATGTCGACTTCGGACTTGGTGAGTTTGACAACGGCAAGAACGGCTGCGATTGCGATCGTCACGAGGATGATGAGTGCGTCTACCTCCATTTTCTTTCTTGATGTATCGTTCAACATCACAGAACCCCTAGGAAGGTCGGCAAATCCAGTACGCCTGTTGACCATCATACTCTTTCTTTGTTCTTATCATCGATCGTGCTCTCGGTCTTTCACCTCTTCGCCCACATCCCACTCGACCTCAAACTCCCTTGACTATTAAAGAAAAAAGGCAACAGGGAATAAACTTGGCTTTGTCGGGTTGCTTCTGGGGTGTGAATGGTGCGTTTGCAAAGGACATCTGCGAATGGTCGTGAGGGTGAGAGGCGAGAGTGGAGGCTATTGGAGTAGGGGGTGCGGCGTGTGGTCGAAAAGAGATAGAAGGGTAAGAATAAAAATGAGGTATGCTCGTTTGACACGCGATCATAAATAACTACCGCTGACGCGTACCACGAACAAAACGAAAACGCGTTCATGAAAAAGTCTCGTAATTAAAACACATGTCTTGTTCAGAACCAAAAATGTCTGTTTGCTTGTTGGTCAGCCAGTTCATTTTTTAATATCGGATAATATTCTATCTACGTCTGTGGCTATTACTACGATCACAACCACTCCCTGTCGACTTTTGTTCCCCTCGTTTCCAGTCTTGTCCGTCTCGAACACACCATTCTTGTCGAATCTGGTCCGCATCCTGATTAACATCCTAGGGACATATGAGAGAGAAAGAGTGGGCAAAAAAGTTAACATGAGAGCCAGAAATACTAACGATATTAAGGTGCCATTGGAAAGAAAAGTGAAAAAAAAGTGACCATATGACAAGATAATAAGAAAGAAAAAAAAGGCGAGCAATAACAACATCTGTCTCCGGTTGGCCTCCGTAAACTCGCAAAATAGAGGCCCCAACCCGGAACCTACCGCCCATCCTTCAGAGAGCAGTGAGATTGCATCCCTTTATACTATCTTCTTATTTGCTACTCCGACGAATACTCAGCAACAACATTAGGGCCAAATTTGTCCAGAAGACTGGCACTCGGTCGGCCCGATGCCTTAGACATGTTGAAATGTCTTTCGCTCGCGACAATTCGCAGGCGCGTAAATACGCCCCTTTTCTGCCGGCATTAAAGAGCATACAGTGCCTCAATGTAAACAAGGCATGTGCACTTGTTTATCTCTGAAGGCCTCAGGCCTTGCAAGTTCCGAGAAGGGACCATACCTTGCAAGCGCAAATGTGTCAGTTGAGCATCTTCCTCTCCCTCCGTCTTATATCCTCGTCTATGACCTCTTCTGCCTTTTCCACTCCTCTTTTCTCCCTTAAAAAAATCAATAAACTAGCACTTATCTTTTTGTCAGCTCTTTGGTTGTTCGACCAGGGTGTTGTTGTTTTGAATGTTAGACTTGTGGAAAGGGGTAGAGATGAGGAAAAGTCGTGGGAGGCGTGTGTTCCTGCTTTTTGTTCCGTGGCTGTGGAGTAGAGGGTTATGATGGGTGAAGAAGAAGAAGAGAAGGTCAGCAAACAAAGCATTAGCCAACATGCTTCGAATCGATTACGTTGCAGAAAGGAGACAGGGGCGTTCGAAAGCGCTGACAATGAGGGAAGGGAAGAAGGGAAGAAAGGTAAAGAAGTGAAAAAGGGAATGGGGAGAGTGAAGGGTTGAGAAAAGAGAGATAGGGGAAGGGGTGTAAGGGGTCGTTGTTTGGTTACCGTTCGTCGTCGTTTTGGAAGTGAAGGTGAGGGTGAAGGTGAGGGCGAAGGTGGGGGTAAAGGTGGGGGTGAAGGGGAGTATGAAGGTGAAGGGAACGAGAGAAGAAGGGAAGGAAGAAAGAAAGGAAAGAAGGAAGGAAAGGAAAGGACGGAAATAAATAAAGAGAAAGAAATAATAGCTGATGGTCTGCCGAAAAAATGACAGCCAGTCCCTTTTTTCATATGCTCTCGCCCTTTTGCGTGCATGCTGGTCGTGTGCACTCCCTTATCCGGATGAAAGGATGTCAAGGAAAACGAAAGGAAAGAAATGACGCCATTGGCCAAGACGCGCAGCGAAAAGACAAAGTACACATGGTATGACGACCGTGGGAACGATAGATACAAGAAAAAGAAAAAAGGGCGGCAACGAGCGTCCCACTCAAACAAATAAACAAAAACAACAAGACAACAGCAAGCGCATGGCACGAACAAAGTCCATGAAGTAAACGCACATTACTGCCTTGTTGTGGTTGTACTTGTCTTGTCCTGTTGTGCAAGGTGAGGGGAGCTAGAAAAAGAGAAATAGAGGGAATCAGCATGCTACAGTGATTTCAGCCTTTTTTTTTATTTCTTTTGGAAATGCTCATTCATCATAGTTCCGACCGGGTCCTAGAATCCTGTCGTTCATTCTCTTGATTCGTAACCTCGTTGATCACTACTTGAGTTTTTTTTTTGCATTCTGCATGGACCAACATTGGTTCATTACCGGAATTGAAATACCCGGATCATCTCACCTTGATCATTTATGTCCAAAGCATAGAGTGGCGAATGATCTATATGTAAAGTTTTACATGGGTTTAGCACAGAGCGACCTGGTTATTTTAAGTACCACAAGCTCAATACACTTTCTACGGGTAACCTCATAGCAGTTCCATACTAAGAACATCAAGTGAGATCTGACGGTCTTTGATGCGCGAAGGAAGCCATTCTCAATAGAGCGTATTAGTGCTAGACCCATGTAACAAAACATGCTTTAACGATATCTTCTATGTAGGACCTAATAGTTCCATACGTTTCCTATTTTCTAGATCCTATCTGCTGTTCTTAGTATGGAACTGCTATGAGGTTACCCGTAGAAAGTGTATTGAGCTTGTGGTACTTAAAATAACGAGGTCGCTCTGTGCTAAACCCATGTAAAACTTTACATATAGATCATTCGCCACTCTATGCTTTGGACATAAATGATCAAGGTGAGATGATCCGGGTATTTCAATTCCGGTAATGAACCAATGTTGGTCCATGCAGAATGCAAAAAAAACTCAAGTAGTGATCAACGAGGTTACGAATCAAGAGAATGAACGACAGGATTCTAGGACCCGGTCGGTGCATTGATGAATGAGCATTTCCAAAAGAAATAAAAAAAAAGTCGAAATCACTAGCTCCCCTCACCCTGCACAACAGGACAAGGCAAGTACAACTGCAGCAAATCATTAATGTGTGTATGGGAAGATTCCTTTTTGAGTTCATTTCATGGATTTGTCTGTGCTATGCGCTTTGTTTCATGTTGCTGTTGTCTTGTTTTTGTTTGTTTGCTTGTTTGACTGGGACGCTCGTCGCCTTCCTTTTGTCTTTTGCTTGTATCTATCGTTCCCACGACCGTCATACCCTGCGCCCCCACTTTGTCTTTTACCTCCGCGTCTTGGCGTCCTTTCTTTTTCTCTTTTTCCTTGAACAAACCAATAGAGTTCTTTCATCAACTCATCAAAGGGATAAGGGAGTGCACACGACCAGCGTGCAGGCAAAAAAGCGGTAGCATGAAAAGGGGACTGCCTATTTTTCGGCAGACCATCAGTCTATCGGTCAGTCCATCAATCGTGCTAGGAGTACCCAACAAGCATTAACTGAGGTGAGCATTCACCGGGAACTGGAACCGAATGACCTTGCATAAGAAGCTCCATTGGTTGCAATAACGTTAGAAGATAGAAAATAGAGTATATCGAAAACGAAAGGGAGGGAGGCAGAAAAGTACGTTTGGTTGGATGCATGCGAAATTAAGAGCATAGGCGGTCGGAAATCAAGAATTGCGCACAATCACCATTCAAAGTGTGCTTCGTATCCCACGGTTCAATGGGCAAACACTTAATTTATATTTTTATTCTGTCAAGAGAAGGTGGCAAGATAGTAAATTAGCGAAGAAAATAATATTATGAGCAAGCAAAGACTAGTAGTAGTGTACAATGGAAGAATGATATGTGAATTATGGATGTGCTGTGGTGATACAAATGAAACAACGATAGAATGTACAAGGGTGGAATGAAAAAGTAAGTAAAAAGTACAAAATAAAAAGTATGAGAGAGGGCTGGAAGAGGATGGCCGTGCTCTAGTTGAGCCTCTTGCGATATTTCACCTCGGTGACAATGACCTCGGAGAGGTTGGGGAGGCCCTTGACGTGATCCAGTAAGGCTTTGTCGAAGAGGAGGGAGGGTGCCATGTTACCTGGATGGTCGATATCCCCAGCAGTCCGGGTGCTGCAGCAGCGGTGATTTCGAACTCGGTTCTCTTTTTTCCAGCTGTTAGGGACGGGGACTCGGGAGAGGTCATTGTACTGGGCTCGAAAGGCGATACCATGGAAATGCAGCCTGCGGAGGTTAGGCAAGTTCCAGGCCTTCTTGAACATGACTTCCTGGAATAGCATCCCCTCTGCGTGATTGTGGTATGTGAACTCTCTGAGCTCCGAACACGCCTGCAATAACAGCAGAATGCACTCCAAGCGGCGCTTGCCCTTGCTGCCTTTTCCGAAATCAAGCTCCAATCTGGTCAGCACATCCTTTCGGTCCTTGATTGCCGCCACCATATCCAAGTCCAGTTGCCCAGTGTGAAGGATTAGCTCCTCCACTGACTGTGGCATACCCTCCAGCATCGCCAATGTCCATGGCTGACGTCTGCTCTTCAGCGTCAGGTGGCGGATCCTGGGGCAGCTCTCGGCAACGAGACTGGCAATCGTGGTCCCGTCGGCTTTATGCGTGTAGCATATCTCAAGCTTCTCAACGTGTGGGCTGGCCTTGAAGATCGCCTTCTGGAAAGGGAGGTGCAGACGATTGCTGCTCAGGACAAGGTGGGTGACTGGGAGAATCTCGGGTCTCCTTGCAGACAACAAATTCAGACCGCTATCCTGGGAGCGTCTGCGCTTGTTGCTACCTTCATCGGCTCCTTCGTCAACGCTCTTCCGCTTGTTCGATCCCCCTCCACTACTCGTCGGGGCGTTGGTGTTGTCCGTATTGGCAACCGCATCCATTGCCATCGATCCAACGGACTGGTCGCCCTTCAAATGTACTGTACTGGTTTCGTTGTTGTCCTCGTCGTCGTCATCCTCGAAGCCCACGAACTCGCACTGTTGGGAAATGATCAGTTTCTTGAGGTGAGGCTTGTTGTAGACAATGCGCGTCCAGTCCGACTTTGTAATCTTGACACGGGTCAGCTCCAAAGACTGGAGGGCCACTTGACGCTCGACAAACAGGAGCAGGAAGGGGTGCATTCGTGTGCAGTTTCCGGACACCTTGAGCTCTTTCATGTTCTGTGCGTTGGGACCGAGGAGACGCTTGACAGAGAAAACGGCATCGTGCACCTCCAACTTGTTGATGTGCTTGTGGTGGGTGAGGGCCTCCCAGAGATCAGCATTTTTTTTGTGCTTCGTGTCGAGCAAGGAGAGGTGGCGGACGTGACGGATGTTTTGGGTGAGGACACTCGATGGGACCCAGTCCATGATTGCAAAGTCGTATATCTGCCAGAGAACTGGGGTAAGGGTCTGGCGCCAGACCTTGCAGACGGCGGCGGCGCTGAGGAGATGTTTCGGGTTCCATTTGGTGACCAGGCCATGTAGACCGGACTCTGCGCGCTCGAAGAGGGGAAGGAAAGACCCGATAACCATGACGATCTCGGGGATCATCAAGGCCCTGTCTCTGCTCACGATGACCGCGTCAGTGCTATTGAGGGAGAAGAAAGTCAAACAAAAGGTTAATTTTTGATTTTACCTTTCGTGTCTGGCCGTGGGAATGAATGAATGCAATCATGCACAACAAGTAAGTAGTAAAGGTATTTACGTCATTGAAGGGGAATCAGGAGTCGACGCGAGTGGGGCCATTGTTGCTAGACTCAGTGCGTTTGTATGTGAATGTGTTGTTGTGTGTTTGTGATGTGATTGTTGATTAGGTTGTTGAGCCAAGTCGAAGAGAATAAGTTGGTGGCGTAAGTCAAATAAGTGGTCCTGTGGTGTGTTGATTGCGCTGAGCTGAAAAGCAGAGAGAGGGGAATGAGAAGAGTGAGGAAAGAGAAAGGAAGAGAAGCCAAACGGACCTTTTGACCTCTATATATACAATTGAACCCCACTTAACTGAATGTGCAAATACAGGTATGTCAAATTGTTAAGTTGTTAACAAAGATTGGTCGCGTATTTCGAGATACGAGATAGATCATTGATGTGAAAGGAAGGCTCACACACTTCGACAGACAAAAAAAATCTTTTAATTTACAGAGTTTTGCGTTGGAAGAAGGGTAGCTCGCATTTGCTTCATGCCATGGCCTTCTGGCTTCCTTGAATGCAGGCCGTCATCGCTCTTCATTCATTCAAGATGCTTCCTTCTCATGCCGGTAATCGCGGCGCAACTCGCTATGCTCTACGGCCTTGACGACTGTGAGTTCGATTAGGACGACGAGCAGGACGACGAAGACGAGAACCCTGTTCTTCACCCTCCGTTTCTGCTTGATGCCTCATTTGACATACGTCAATATTCCGACGAGCTCACCTGTACCCAGGTGGAGGAGATCCTTGTGGTTCTCCAGGTTCCCCCAAGGATCAAAAGCCATGACAGGGACAACGTGGATTCGCTTACAGTACTTTGCATGACCATATACCGTTTGTCTTATCCAGCCCGGCTTGACGAGAAAGCAGAAGGTGAAAGAAAGGAGTGAAATGAACCAAAAAAGGAAGGAAGGACGCGTCTAAAATGGTCTACAAGTGGTTAGGCTGATGGAACTGAATGAATGAAAGAGGAGCCTTCGACTTTGCTGCTTCTTTTTCACTCTTCACTCTTCGCTCATTCTACCTCTCCTCCTCCTCTTCCTCCTCCTCCTCCTCCTCCTCCTCCTCCCTCTCCGAACCAACGCCTACTATCCACCATTCAGTAACATCACTAGCAACAAGCACAACAGCATGGCATCCTCCACCTCACACACTACTTCATTGTCTCCTCTTGACCTGCCAGAGATCCGCGCACACGTTACCCGATACCTAGACAGCAGCAGACACGACCTAAATGCTTCTTTCTTGTTATTTCCCCACTTACCCCTTCTTGCATTCACCTCTTGCTTTTCATTTTTGCACCCACTCCTTGTGTTCATTTTTTGCATACTTCAACTGACATCGTCATAAACATTGCAGTATTGTATCTACAACATTCGTATTCTCTAATAAACTCTCACCGCATTCGCATTTCAACATGATCATTACATTCTTTGTGACTTTGTTTGTTTGTTTGTTTGTTTGTTAGTTTTGTTATTTGAAAGATAAAAAGAGAAAGAGAGAGTAAACCGCTCAGAATGTGCGACCGCCCTCATCATAGCCGCCTTGAAGGGCGACTAGACAAGATCATCAATAAGCAGGCACCCGACTCTTCAAAAGAAGAGTAAACAGGTGTGCTTCGCTTCCCTTTACGGGCAGCGCACTTCAACTCATCGTCGAGGGTAAACCGTGTGTCTATGTTGGGAAACAAAGACTGGAAATGTACTAGACAGAAATCCTGTAAGTACAGTCGATAGAGAACAAATTCCTTCGCGGTTGCCGGTCTCTTTTATAGTCTGAGGCGGAGAGGGCGTGACTTTGGAATTGAATGAAAGGGAGGAGCTATGAGGATGGAAAGGGCTGGGTTTCATGGGGATGGGAGGAAAGGAATTGAAGCGCCGCTTTTGTGGATTTGTGTGGTCGCTTTTTGAAAGGTTTATTATCTCTTTTTTGTGCATTTGATGTCCTCTCCTCTGATACAGACTGCTTTTAGGATTCCAGGCACTTTCTCCTGGGAGTTGTAAGCTTTGGCACTGCTTGTTCAGCGAGAGGGCTGTCAACGGCACCAAGGGAGTTCTTTGATCAAAGGAGGACGAATAAATCTGTTACACTAATTGGCGGCGCTCTCCACCCTCAGGTCCATTCTTTCGCTCAGGCACAAACAAAGGCTGGAATGATGAAAAGAAAACACAAATACGCAGTCACTTTTTTTTTTTTTTTTTTTTTTTCCTGTGCTGACAGACCCCTCTGCAAGCCGAGTCTGTCTTTTTTTTTCTATTGACTGACAAAGCAACCGTCCGCAGGCAATTTGACCAGTTCCTTCTTTTCCGTCCTACCTCGTCTTCCCCTCCTCCTTCGTTGTACATCCCATCCCTCATACTACATCTCACCAATGGGACGCACAAACAACAACCCTAGAGCTGGAAAGTCCGGCAAGCAGGCCAGGGCCGCCGCTGCTGCCAACACCAACAACAGTAACGTCTACTTTTTTCATTACTCTCGACATTCATTCGCCCTCCTCGCATTCGCACACGGACAAAACTTGTATGACCATCAGTACCACTATACTCCCACTCACCCTTTCGCCTCTCCTTCACGCATACCACCTTCACGATAGAGATGAAGAAGGACCCAGGTGTGCCAAACCTAGCCCCCCTCCGTGAACAAATGCTCCAAAAGAAAATGCGTGCCGCCGAAGCCAAACAACAACAGCGCGATGCCCGCGAACTGGCCATGAACAAGAACCGCAAGATCATCTCCTCCTCCGCGACCTCCATTCACGATATGGCCCGTATTGCCAACGCCCGCGGGAAGGAATACGATGCGACCGCTGTGGAAGTCAAGGCAGATGATGGTGTTCGAGACGTCGTGGACTCTGCGGCTGTGGGTGGGAAGGATAACTCGAGAAAGGCGTATTACAAAGAGTTTAGAAAGGTGTTGGAGAATGCGGATGTGATTCTGGAGGTTTTAGATGCTAGAGATCCTTTGGGGTGCAGGACGAAGCAGATTGAGAGGTTGATTATGGATGCCGGAACTGATAAGCGTATCATCCTCGTTCTTAACAAGATTGGTAAGTTTCTCATTTTTCCTTTTATTACTTGAAGAAGGTTTCAAAGACGAGCGAAAGGTTAGGAAAGACGAAAAAACGACAAGGAAACGATAGACGACAAGAACGAGATGGAACGACGTGGGTCATCAGGATGAAGAACATGGACAAGATGAATGACGAGGATAGGGCAAAGGATATGCATCCCCCTTTTATCAACCAGTTGAGAAACGAGAAATGTTTATTATTTCTCCCCATTTTTTGCTTATTGAATCTAATCACTTTGACATCCGTTGCAATAGATCTGGCGCCAAGAGAAAATGTGGAGAGCTGGTTGAAGTACCTGCGTCACGAATATCCCACCATCGCATTCAAGGCCTCGACTCAATCACAACGCACCAACCTCGGACAGAGCAACGTTGGAACAGACATGGCAACAGACGACATGTTGACGAGTAGTGAATGTTTGGGAGCCGATCAGCTGGTCAAGTTGCTCAAGAACTACTGTCGAAACGCCAACATCAAGACCGCCATCACAGTCGGTGTCATTGGATACCCCAACGTCGGAAAGTCGTCCGTCATCAACTCTTTGAAGCGCTCCAAGGTCTGCGGTGTTGGTTCTACCCCTGGATTCACCAAGGTCGCACAGGAGATCAACTTGGACAAGAACATCAAATTGCTGGATTGCCCCGGTATCGTCTTTAGTAAGGGTGAAAATGGAGAGTCGGCCGCAGAGTTGTTGCTCCGTAACTGTGTCAAGGTCGAGTTGCTCGAGGACCCCATTTCGCCCGTCGAGTTGATTGTCGGACGTTGCAAGAAGGAGCAGTTAATGGAGATGTACGGTGTCCCTCTCTTCGAAGACGTCAATGACTTTTTGGTCCACTTGGCCCGTATCCGTGGAAAGCTGAAGCGTGGAGGTATCCCCGATATCTTTTCGGCCGCGCGCTCGATTCTCAACGACTGGAACTCTGGAAAGATTCCCTTCTACACCATCCCCCCAGCCACTCAACACACTCCTGCCGCCGCTGCCTCGATGGTCGAGGGATGGAGCAAAGAGTTTGATATCGATACTCAGGAGGATGTCCAGGTCTTGGCCAACATGAAGTCGACCATTGACATGAAGCACGCCATGGCCATGACTGCCCACGAGCTCGAGGAGGGAGAGATGGATATGATGGGCAACGACGAGGATGAGATGTACGACAGCAATAACGACATGGCGATGGACGAGGACGGCTTTATGGATCAGGACGAGATGGGCGGTGATCAGGAGGCCCCCGTGGACGGACATTCTTCCAAGCCTGTGATCAACTTCAAGCCCAAGGGCAAGAAGATTGAGCCCAAGGTGAAGCCTCAGATGGCGTTCACACCCGAGGAAGCCGAGTTGAACCCTCGTTTGAACCAGGACCGTAAGAAGTTGCTCAAGCAGCAGCAGAAGAAGGCCCGCAAGGCAGCCAACGCGGTCGAGGCTGGCGAGGATCTGGATATGGATGATGATGACGAGGAGGATGTCGGTTTCGCACAGCCTTCTCGCTTCGACTTTGGACAGTTCAATGGCCAATTCGGCGGCGACGACGAACGTAGGTGTCTCTTTACTTTATTGTTGATATATGCGATATATGCGATGCTTGTGTTGAAGTGCGAACATGGATACTAACGGTTGCCTGTTTTTTATTATCTTTCTTAACCACATAGTACCCGACGAAGACGAGGATCTGTAGAGCACCATTCACTCAACATCATCATCATCATATCCGTATTACTACACCTTTTGTCATATCCCCTTGCATCCATTAAAGCATCATTCATACACGCATCCTAGACCTCCTTCGACTGAAACTCACCTTTTTTTTTTTTTTGCGCGCGTGACCATTTTCCACGTCAGTCAGAGACGCGCGTTCGCCCCAAACGTATTTCAAGCAATTTTTCAACCCTCGTGTACTACTTTCCTTTCCCTCCTTTTCTCATCCAACGTCTTCATCACACCACCGTCCACTCTCCAGAAACAACATAACCCCACAGGAAAAACAAATGAATTCATTCGTACCATCACCAGGCTTCGACGCCCGCCGGTTCAAGGGCACAACCCTCATCCTCCCCTCAGTCTCGATCGGCAATGTGCCCCAGCTGACCACAGATCTCTTACTCTCGACCCTCAAACTCGACCGCGTTGGTTGTATCGAGGACGAGAACGTCGTCCCCGTCCTTGGACCTGCTGACCGACCCCATTCCGAATCTACCTCCGCCACCGCATCAGGAACAGGAGCAGGAACAGGAGTGGTGCCGGGAGGATTGTTGTCGTTGGCGGTTGAAGTGTTCCAATCCAAGGACGGCAAATGGACACTTATCCAACAGCGCTCGCCCACCGTCTCCCACCGGTCTCACCACTACGCCGATAACTTGGTCCGCTTTATCCAGGACTCGGAGTTTGATCAGGTTGTCCTCTTGGCTTCGGCTGATGGGGCCCGCAGGATCGATATCCAGTTGCGGTCGGGGAACCCAGTGAGGTATATCCCTTCTCCACAGTTGCCGGGGACGGTTTTGGAGACCCTGAGAGGCTTGGGCTTGGAGGAGCTTGAGAACATCCCGGCGACGGATCGAGAAGTGGAGCGGGCGCGTGAGCTGCATGTTCAGTTGGCTGATCAGGTTCAGGAGATCCAACTCGACGAACCTTCTACCACCTTGTCCACTACAACATCAACACAGAAGACTCTGGAAAAGGTGCCAAGGATACCGAACGGAGGGTTCGCACGTCGATTGCACTCGTTGTGCCAAGAGTCCGGAATTGCGATCTTGACGGTGGTGGCGTTTGCGATGGAGGGGGATAATGCGCCGGATGCGATCTTTTTGGCGAATGTGTTGAATGCGATTTTGAGGGTTCATAGCCCGACGGAGCAGCAGGTGAGGGATGGGGAGGGCGAGTGGAAGGTTCCGAAGAGTTGGGATTCGTTGTATGGCAACTCGCATCATCAGGATATGTACCAGTGAGATTTAGTTTTTGCAAACAAAAGTATATATTGCAGTAAAAAAAACACATATTTACATATAAGAATGACAACGAAAGATGAGTGTCGTACATGGTGTGATGCAGATGTTGTAGGTGATGAATGTTAGTTTTATTGTACAAAGTGGTTTGAGGGACAAACAAAATGAAGGGGTAAACACTTGTCTTCCTGAACGCTTCTTAATCCCTGGCCGAGCCATCCCTACAAAATGGTAAGAAACGAGGGTGTTTTCATAATTAGAATTGGTACACGTAAGCGCATATGAATGCCTTGTCCTTGCAAGCACTCTGACCTCCAATGCCATAGCTTCTTCTTTTGAAGGATGATAGGTTACCTTGGCCTGTACTTGATACCTTTGCCCTCGAGCTCGTCTTCAATCTCCTCGGGGAGTCGTCCCTGTACCTGAACAGCGTAGATTCCCTTTTCGAATTTATCTATTGTATTTGTTAGTTGGTTACATCCAAAATAGTTAGCACAGTCGTCATTTCGTACAGACGTCATTTCGCACAGAAGGGTTGAGTTCCTTGTGTGTGTGTCTATGCGTGGGGAAAAGGGTCGATCCGTGCGAGTTGATACGATTCACATCCTGTATGTCCATCTTCGTGATTTGTCTTTTGATTGTGATATTCCACGCCTCTGATCCCGGCAAAGTGGAGTTGCTTCCCAGTTGTGTGTGTGATGTTGTTGTTTTCCTTGTTGTTGTGTGCGGATTTGCGCAGGGTGCTTCGTCTTACCGATACGCTGCCATTTGGCGACCCAGCTCTCTGAAGGCTGCATAACAGCAATTGCACTACAAGTATCAGAACCCAAAAAAAACAATGCCGCAGCCGCGGGTAGGTGAAGTTAGTTGATTGGTATGCAGATCATGTTGTTTCCCCTCCAATTGGTCAGCCCTCCTTTCATCAGATAGTGCACGAATCAACCAGGTTGTTGTTGTTTGTAAGTGCGGGTGGTGGTTATTTTTACCCGTCGTAGTGCTGGCTGGTACAATCCATGACACGGTCCATATGTCCTCTCATTTCCAGAAGGGATTCGCAGTTGTCACATCCGCTCTTGAAGAACTGCTCCTGCTTCTATTAGTTGTGAATGGCAAAACACAAAATGGCCATCGTTAGTTGTAAGGAATGGAACAAAGGGACTGTTTCGAGAGGGTGGTTGAACATGTTGCTTGTTCGAGGGAGTGAATCCTAGGTTCCTTGCCTTGATGAGGGAGCAGAGTAGACAGGCTCTGAGCTGCTTCTTGTCGGTAGGGATGATTCCTGACATGGCGAAGTGGTAGGAGTTGAGGTTTAAGGGAGAGAGAAGGTGTGATTCGCTTCAACAGGGCAGTTGGCATGTTGAAATAGTTGTACGATTGACAGTCACCAAAGGGACAAGCCACAGGTCTAGCTTTTTGAACTGCAGTCGAGTTTCGATTTCCCTCTTTTTCTCTTCTTTTCCACACCCCGCTCATACACACCCCGTCTCACACCAAACGCCAGCCTCACTCTCGTTCCTGCCATTACACGAACAAAGCAAAGGACAACACTCACACACACAGGACACGCCACCAAAACCCAACTTCAACCTCAAGGCACCTTTCATCAACACACCCAGGAAACAAAACTCAACCAGTTGTCTCACTCTGCACCTGCCTGCCATCTACAACAACTCAACACATTCTCTTCTCCTCTCACACATCCTCACATCAACACCATCACAGCCATGTCGGCAGCATCAAGTCCGTTCCCGAGCACAGTCATCACAGGAGGCACCATCGGCTCAATAATCATCGGATGCAAGCTGCAAGTCCTCCACGGCAACCCACCCGAATACCGGAAAGCTGAGATCCTCTCTATCCGACCCACCCCAACCCCCGAGGACGCTACCAGGTCCGAATACTATGTCCACTACTCAGATTACAACAAACGTCTGGATGAGTGGGTCGTCCCTGAACGGTTGAACCTTTTGGGCGAGATCGAATTCCCGAAAGTCAAGAAGCCCAAGACTGTCCTTGCGGGTATCGGCAAGGAGACCGGGAAGGGGTCGGAACCGGGAACTCCTGGCGCCTCGAATGGTGGGAGGGTGGCCAAGAATAACAGGAAGAGTAATCTGAGCAAAGCGTCTAAGGCAGGGAAGGCGGGCGATACTGCGTCGCCGGCTCCAGGAACCCCAGGAACTCCCGGTGGTGCTTCTACTGTAGCGGGCAATAAGCGCAAAGCGTCGGCGATGGATGAGGCAGGTGGAGCGAGTCAGGATAAGGACGGTCAGGTGCCGTCGATCAAAGTGAACGGAGAGGACGAGGATGAGGATGAAGACGGTCAAGGAGGCGACGACACACCTGGACTGGACGACGACGGCGCAAGCGAATACTCCAAGGAACGGGAGATCGAAAAGCTTCGGACGTCAGGATCGATGACTCAGGATCCACACGAAGTTGCGCGTGTCAAGAACCTGAACATGATCCAGTTCGGCAAGCACGAAGTCGAGACCTGGTACTTTTCGCCCTACCCCGTCGAGTACGCCCACCTGCCCATCCTCTACATCTGCGAGTTCTGTCTATCGTATTTCCCGGCAGTCAAGCAGCTCTCCCGCCATCGGACGAAATGTTCGCTTCAACACCCTCCCGGGAACGAGATCTACCGTAAGGACAATATCTCGTTTTTTGAGATCGACGGACGGAAACAGAAGGTTTATTGCAGGAACCTGTGTCTGTTGTCGAAGCTGTTTCTGGACCACAAGGCACTGTACTACGATGTCGACCCGTTCTTGTTCTATGTGATGACGGTCCGGGACGAGGATGGCGCACATCTGATTGGATATTTCTCAAAGGAGAAGGAGTCGTCAGAGCAGTACAATGTCGCGTGTATTCTGACTCTCCCGCAGTACCAACGGATGGGATACGGTCGACTGCTGATTGCGTTCTCGTACGAGTTGTCCAAGGTTGAGAAGAGATTGGGATCGCCCGAGAAGCCGTTGTCAGATCTGGGCCTGTTGTCGTATCGAGCGTTCTGGTCGGAGGCGATCGTGATTCTGTTGTTGGAGCAGCACAAGACGGGCGTTGAGTTGTCGATTGATGATATTGCCAGCAGGACGGCGTTCCAACCGACGGATGTGCTGCATACGCTGCAGACGCTGAATGCGTTGAAGTACTATCATGGACAGTATGTGATTGTGTTGAGCGAGACAGTAATCAAGAACGCGGAGCGGGCCTTGAAGAAGTCGAGGCGGGAGATTGACCCCCGTGCGCTTGTCTGGAAGCCTATCCACTTTACGGCCACCCAATTACGCTTCCTCTAGTCCGTTGCCCACACAACAATAAAAAGTGACTGCTGAAGACCCAAAAAAAGAAAAAAGATAAAAAGGACTGCATGGTGCAGGAGTTGAACTGTTCTTTCTCTTTTTCGGCCCTTATTTTTCTCTCCCTACCCTTCGACGACTTGAACGAACCCACAAGGCCGTCTTTGTTGACTCACTTTACGGCACACACATTCAACAACGATAGTTTTCTGGTGCAACTTCCTTCTGCAACCTTCCTTCAGTCGTCACCTTTTGCCCACATTCGTTCACCCAGCTCACAAGAACGAATCACCCAAACCATCAGGAGAGAATAAAAAAGCCAACAACCCAACCTTCACCATGCAGCCTCAGCCTCTCAACTACACCAATGCCGCCATCCTTGCGCCTATGGTAACTACACAAACCGCCCTTACCGCTCATTTCAAGTCTGCAGTCAGACGCATAAGGACAAACAGTTGAAACCAAAACAACAGCACCTGACCCAACCTCCCCCTCCCCCCCACTTCGATTTTTTATCTTATTGGACATATAGGTCCGGATTGGCACCCTGCCAGTCCGATTAATGGCTCTGGAGTACGGCGCCGATCTGGTCTACACCCCCGAGGTTGTCGATAGGGGCATCGTCGGCTGCGAGCGAGTCGTCAACGGTATCGTCGTCACTTTTCCTCTCCTACTCTCGCCAACCTGTTGACTAAAAAAAACCCCTAGGAGAGATAGTTGTGTGATCTCTGCTTAAAGTGGTCTTTTTTACTAATTGTTGTTATCTTTTATCGATGTAGAGGACAATGGAACAATCGATTACTTGTCAAAGGGCGTGTCGATCTTCAGGACCCATCCTAGCGAGAAGTCGAAACTGGTCTTCCAGATCGGATCTGCGAACGCTGATTTGGCCCTTCAGGCTGCTTTGACTGTGTAAAGTGGACCCAAATTCTCAAGGGACATGGACGCCGTTTACCATTGGGAGGGGTGTGGGATTTTATGCATGACACTGCAAATACTGACTTTTTTTTTTTTTTGGCCTTGTGTGTGTCAAAATGTAGTGCTCAGGATGTGTCAACGATTGATTTGAACTGCGGCTGTCCTAAGCGGTTCTCGATTCATGGAGGAATGGGCGCAGCACTCATGGAAGAACCCGAGAAACTCTGTGGCGTACGTCTTTTTTTCTTCTCTTTTCAACTCGGTTGCACTATGGACCTAGCATCACATTATAAGGAACCAACCACGAGTAACACAACTAACCATATAGCTACATTACTTTGACATCCAAAATAGATCTTGAAGAACTTGGTAGACAACTGTGGATTACCCGTGACATGCAAGATCAGGATCTTCCCCGACCGGGAAAGAACATTGAAGCTCGTCAAGATGATCGAGGCCACCGGAATTAGGGCCCTGGCAGTTCATTGCCGGTACAGGGATGAGCGGCCTCGTGAGCCCGGTCATTGGGACCGGTTCAAGGAGATTGTTGATGCAGTTTCGATCCCTGTTATTGCAAACGGTGATATCAAGGAGTATGCTGATATGGCCCGTATCCGCGAGTTGTCAGGTAAAAAACAGGAAGGCGGTTTTTTTTTTTGCCCGCACACTTTTTGTTTTTGGTTCTGGTTTTCTAATTATTATTTTTTGTTGTCATGATTTTTTTCACGAATGAATTAATGAATGATAGGTTGTGCGGGAGTTATGATTGCAAGAGGAGCAGAGGCGAATGTCTCGATCTTCAGGAAGGAGGGTCGTTTGCCTCACATGGACATTGTCCGCCAATACATCCGCCGCGTAAGTCTCTCCAAGGAACCACACACGTCCCTAGGCGCTTTGCCCCCCATTTTGATCCAGTCCGAGTCCCATCTGTCCATTCCCTTTTACTAACCTCTTTATTTCTTTTCCTCCTTCTCCCCAAATGGTGAATAATTTTAGTGCTTGGAGACAAGAAACCATCACGCAAACACAAAATACTGTGTGATGCAGATGTTTGTCGAAGACACCAAATCGCCCTACTACAGACCTCTCTGCGACGCCAAGAGCTTCAGAGCAGTCTGTAAAGTGTTTGAGATGGAGGACGAGTTCGATTCGTGGACCAAGAAGCAGGAGGAACATGGGTGGCCTACTGATCTGGATAACCCCCCTCGTAAAGCTGCTGAAGCCAAGGAGAAGGAGGCCAAGGCGGCTAATGTTAAGGCCAAGACCAAGAATGATAAGGTTGCGGATGTGAAGATGGCAGAGGTGGTTGCAGAATCGACTTTGGGAAAGCGGAAGCAGGATGATTTGAAGGAGGAGGAGGAGGAGAAGGTGGTGGTAGCAACGGCTTCTGTTTCTGTTTCTGCGGGGGAGGTTGATGGTACTCCTGCAGCAAAGAAGCATGCTGCTGGGGATGGGGCTTCTTCTCAACCCACACCTGCCGATACTCCTCAACCCGACGTCGAGACTGAGGTCGAGACCATCTCTACTACTTCTACACCTCTTGCATAAACCACATAATACACCCATCTCTGCATAACTTCTGATCACTATTCGCGCTTGTTCAACATGTCATTATATGTACTTTTGTTGCGTGTGACTAATTCCTATACAAAGTTACAGCTGTCGTCTCTGTCCTGCAGACATATCTTTTCCCCTTTGCGTGTTTCTTCCTGTTCCAATGTCCTCGCGCATCCCAATAATACCATTGCTTAAATAGCAAAGTTGTATTGGTATTCCGACTCTGTGTTCTGGGCCACCCACAAAATCGCGGCGCTATTTTCATTCACAACAAAAGGGTGTGGGGAGATAAGTAAGGGAATGGCCCATGTGTTCATATCACCCTCCATATTACTTCAGACGATCGCGTAGGTATCATTTTTACCTGGCCATGAGGGAGCCGTTCTGGATGACGTTACTGATTCCCCAAGAGTTGAAGATCTGGCCATAGCTGGGTAAGAGGTACTTGATGCACATCACCGACTAATAGATAACAAAACAAAAAAAAACAGACGAAAAAAAAGGTGGATCAGTGCCAAGTCCAGTTTTCCCACAGCTGTGTCCCTTCTCCTTGTTCTTCCCAACACACTCCTTCGAACAAACGAGATGTCAACAAAAGAGATAAAGAATCACGACACAAAAAGTCTTACGACAGATCCAGCAAGTCCTCCAGCCATGAACGCGAAGCCAACAAACAAAAAGACGCGAGCTTTCCAGGCGACACTGGTGCCACCGCCGCTGCTCGAGAACGAGAACGAGTCTCCGCGCAATGCTCCCTTGTCAATCAAATTGATGCTGTTTTTTTAGTTATTCGTTTGTTTTGTGGGTTGTATCCAGGTCCCGGTATGTTTCCATATGTGGAAAAGAAAGAAGAAGTGGAAGAAGCTGTTAGAAACAAGGGAATAAAATCGTCATATGCACCAAGTCAAGCAAACGGTCACTGTCGAAATACACTCTCAACAAAAAGAGAAACAAACGTGGCCAAAGTAAAAGGGGCACCCAAACCCAAGAGGGAAAAAAAAAAACAGCAAAGGAAACGTACACAATCATGCCGATGGTGCTGCAGATACCCGGCACCCAGTCGACAAAGGAGACTGAGACATGTTTGGGTCCGTCGTCATAGTCCCAGTTCTTGGACCTGATTACTGCATCGATAAAGAACCACCATCCTAGCGCGAACTAATCGGTCCCGGTTAAGCGTAAACGAAGGAAAGAAGGCCGTCAGTTGCTTGTACAGGTAAAGGGAGGTATGAGAGCATCGTCCCTGGTTGTTTGGTCTATGCTGTGTCGACGACAAAGGAGAAACAGTGCACTCCAGTCATAGAGTGAAAAGAAGACAAGAAAAGTGGAAAAAGAAGAGACGTACGAGAGCGCCAGAGATGTAGATAGCGGCGTCACGGGCCTTGGGACCCAGGCGGGGTATCCTTGGCATGGGGAAAAGGCAAATGCGCTTCTGCCTGTCACTGAGATTCCATTGGTTCGACATTCCTGTTAGTTGAGTCGGTGTTTGGTGTCCTGAGGGTTACTTTGTTATCGAGGTCGTGAGCGAGAGGGTAGTTGTGTATTCGTTAGAGTGGCGTGAAGGTGGTGACTAGAAAGAAGAGAAGAGAAGAAAAGAAGGAGGTGTGAAAGTGGGTAAGAACGAAGGACGGAAGGAAGGAAGGCTGAGAAAAGGTGCAGAGTCAAAGCATGACGAGCGAAAAGTAAACTCCGCCAACACTGACAGAGAGAACGGCAAACTCAACGGTGACCCCGTGAGCATCACTCCCTATTCTCTCCTGCAGCAAAAGCATAAAGGTCAGCCAGGACAATCTGGTCAAGGCTTTGCTCTGCTTCGACTTTGACCATGGTGTACAATCGAGCGTCACGACATGGGCCAATTCTGACTTTAAGGGGTTGACATCTCGACATCCGCCCTTCGTCTTGGCCCATTAAAACGTGGACATGTGGCAAACTGGGTTGGGGCAGAGGGAATGAATATTACAAAAAGGCACAGACGCCAAGAGGACCCCTCAGCTTTCTCATTAACCCTTACTATCCTTAATTGGACGGGGTTTTGTCCTTGACTAATGGACATGCTGTTGTTCGTTCCGTGTATCCATATGGGACTGGAGACACAATGGTCATTCCATTTGGCGGAGCAAATGCCAAGGAAACAAAATGAAAAAAAGATAAAAGATAGCAACTTTGCGATCGTTTGTCCTTCCATGGAATCGATTGACCCCGAAGTACAAGGTGAAAGGATGTGGAGAACGGACCAACAACAAAACAAAACCAAAAAAAAAGAGATCGACGGGCCGACGAATTGGAGGCATAGGCCTACTAGGCCGGGGTGGGATGTCAATTGATGTAGAGATAGGTGTCCATCCTTCAGTTGGAAAATAGGAGGGGTTTGCCCCATACAAAACAAATAGGAGAGAATGTTGGAGGAAGAAAGAGGACGAATGGTAGTGTCCCGAAAGGAAGGACGCGTTTCTACAATCCATACATAAACGTCCTCCTAGAATGAGGAAATGAGAAAGGTTGGACAGCGGTTCAAGAGTAATACTATTCCGAATATAAATATATATGAAACGCCATGCCAAGCGCTGCACCCATGCTGGATGTATCCTGTTACATGTGTTGGATGTTGCAGATTTCATATTTCCAATTGAACGTTTGTAAGTGCCAAGGATGTGTGGGACATATGTGTTTGATTTGACTAAGATTTGTTCTCCTTTTTAGTACCGTACCTCCATTGGCTCTCGTTCTTCCCTCCATTTTGTTGTAAGCCAAGTTCATCCTAGTTTTGCAGTGAAGTAAAAAGAAAGTGTGCATTGTCCCCCCTTTTCGCATTATTATTTTGTTGGGTGCCCCATGCACGGAAGCGCAACAAACAAGCACCTTTAAGACAGGGACAGAAGACACACATTGATCGGTTCGCCTTTTGAGAACAGAAGAAAGACGATCGGACGTGCAGGGACATGGATGGATGTACCCACCAAAAAAGCCAAATTGAAGCGGCGAATTATGCCAGGACTAGGTGGTGAAGCTGTTCCTGAAACCATGCCTTTTCGAATATAAAACGAGCTTTTCGTCTCACTAGGTTTCGCTTTTTTTTTTTTTTTCCCTCCATCAACAAAAAGACAACAAGACAACAAGCAAGCATCCATTACCTTCTCCTGACCTTTTTTTCTTTTTCTCTCCTCCTTCTTTCTTCTTTTCTCTTCTGGCTTCACTTTTCTCTCTTTCCCTCCTTTTCCTCTCATACACTTCCACTCGACTATATCACATCCTCTCTCTCGCCGCCCCTTTCCACATCACATCCACAATGGCAAAGATATTCAGCGTTACACCAGCAGAGCTCAACACCCTCAAAGGCAGGGATGCCAACACTCACAACGACCTTGAATCTTTCTCAGATACATCATACCCATCCACTCCTACAGATACCCACCCCTCCGACCCATTCTCGGCACACTTCCGTCCCCTCAAGTCCACTTCAACCTCTACTTCAGCATCTACTTCAACAGCAAGAGGGGGATACCTCTCCAAGATCGTACTCTCGTTCTTCCTCTCGCCTACAGGATACCGTCTCTTGAGATTCGACTCAAAGAGCAAATCCAAGAAGGGGAAAACTACCCCTTCTGCCTCGACTAAGTCTGCCCCTGCTTCCAAAAAGAGCAAGCCTTCGGTGACTTTCTCGCACGAGAGCCTCCAGAGGCTGGGTACCTCCCTCGTTGACCCTGAGGAATACGAGCGATGGTTCAAGTAAGTTATCTTGATAAAAGTCAATTGCCTTCACTGGCCTTGTGTAGTTCATTGGGGCGCAAGAAGAAAAAACTGTAATATGCTAGTGAAGCCTTTTTACCCTTTTTGTTTTTTTGTGCGCCCCCAAATCCTTCTTTCTCGCCCCACAACAAATGAAAGTGCCAATCAAACCCAGAAACCTAACCTTTTCCCCTCCCTCTATTCTTGTTTCTTCGTCCACCTTCACTATGTTATCTGTTTACCCAACAAAGATCCCAAGCCAACAACAACAACAGACCCTCAATTGACGACGACCACTATGGCGACAACAACAACAAACCACAAGTAAACAGGAATGTAGCAGCACTGTCTTCAGCAACACGCGCAGGAATCCGAGGATTCACACTTGCCTTCCTGGCAGGCACAGCCATGGACGTCCTCCTCCCCGCTCTCCTCAAACAAAAATTCAAGGGACTTGTCCACAAGATCTTTACCAACCCTTCCTCCCTACGACTAGGAGCTTCCTGTGGTCTCTTTGCATTCGTCTACAAACTGTCCTTCCATATTATTGCCCTCGCTCTCGAGCACGCCTCTTCGTCTTCGCAGGATCAACGTCCAGCAGGTTCCAGGAGGTCGGACTCTGGAATTAGCCTTGGAGGCACGCAACGGCGAGGTCAACACGGAGATGGCAAGATTGTATTTGGGGGGTTGACACAGCTCGACAGCGGAGACGAGAACCAACAACAGAATGGATCTGATGATGATGACGATACACTCCCAGTGAACCCCAAGGAGCAGGCTGCAAGGAACAGGAAAAAGTGGGTCCCCGCTCTATTGGCCTCCCTTATCGCTGCACCGGCCTACAGTCTGATCCCCGAAAAGGCCCGTCGGTTGACGATGGCGTTGTACTTTTTGACGTACGCTGGTGAATCTGCTTATGCGGCGCTGGAACATGAGGGGCTCTTGAAGTGGTTGCCTAGTTGGGTCGGGATCTGGATCTTGGCGCCTATTAGTACCTCGCAGATTGTGCACACCTTCATCCAGCATAATGACTGCAATCCTGTAAGTATCTTTTTTTGTTTGCGCCCCTTTCAAAAAAAACGGAGGTCAATGCAATGCATCCGTTCTTTCGCCAAATCCATCAATCAGCTAACCAACGCGTCCCCTTATTTTCTCCCCAACCTTTTCTTCGCACAAACGCGTATTTTTTTCCTTATTTAGGTGGGATGGACAAAGCTGATTATGTCACAATGCGACCCATACCTCCACCGCCCCAAGGGCTTCAACACAAAGTCTCTAGGCGCCTTCCCAACCTCCGGACAGCTCTTTGAAGGCGCAAAAGCCTACATGAACGCCGGGTACCTGTCCCAACCCATCCTCGCCTCCGCCGCCACTGCTGCTGCTGCTGCCCTTACAGGAGATGTCAGCGGTAGTGCAAAGGGATTCTTGTTGCCAAAGGCTTGTGAGAGTACTTTCAAGTTCACAGAGTCCATGGGTCACCACTCGGTCGGGTGTCGAATGTTTCACCCGGGGGTGGCGAGCTGTGGGACAGCGACGAGGCAGCTTCTGGGCCGGAATGCGGTTTTCTCGTTCAAGATGTATGCGGTTCTGGCGGCTTTGACGTTTATCGCCCGTGGAGGGAATGTCTTCCAGAAGGGGTATGTTTTTATATATATACGTGCTTCTGTTTTTATGTGTGTGTGGTTGTTTTTCTTTTTGTTTGGATGTTAGGATGTTGCTTGCAAAGACCTGATATACTCACTTTTTTTTTTTTCCTCCACATCTTTCTAACTAGGGTGATGAACTATGTATCAAAGACAACAATCGCAACCCTCCGTAGCACAATCGCAACCTGGGGTATCGTCGTCACCGCATTCCCCCTCTTCTGCTCCATGGACAAAACACTCCCGACCTGGTTCCTCCCCACAAAACGACACTACCTCAACGGTTTCCTGGGTGGACTCTGGGTCCTCCTCGAGACACCCGCCAGGCAATCGGCCTTGACGTTGTATTTTACAAGGTTTATGATTGAGGCGCTTTGGAGGAGAGCCGTTAAGGCGGGGTTGGTCCGGAAAGTGAAGGGTGGGGAGACGGTGTTGTTTGGATGTGCGATGGCGGTTGTTATGGGTGTTTTTGAGACGTCTCCGGGGATGGGGAGGAAGACGATTATTCAGAATATGTTGAACAAGATTTTTGTTGACTGATGTATTGGAGTTTTTTTTGGGGGGGGAGGTGGGGGCGAAGGTGTTTACCTTAACTTTTTTTTCACTCTCTCTCACTTTCACTCTCTCTCACTTTCACTCTCTCTCTCTTCCCACCCATACCCTAATGTGCTTACAAATAAAATAAGAAAACATATCACGAAACAAAGCAATTCACCAACAGCAAGTGTATGCGTATGGACGCGTGATGAGTGATGTGTTTGTGAGGAAGATTCACGTTTTTATTCTATGTGTTTAGTACATGTGGTAAAAGAAAAGGGTAAAGAAAACGTCTATGGGTTAAAGAAAAGAAAGGTGGAAGTAGAAAGAAAAGGAGGGATGTGGGAATCTATGTGTTGAAATGCGGGTCTATGCAGTCTAGAAAATGTGTCTGCGCTGGTCTGGTTCAACATCTAAAAACGAAAAGAAAAATAAAAAGTCTAAAGAGAGGCGGCGGTGGTGCTTATGACGGTTCGAGAGAAAAGTGTGTGGATGTCTGGGGTGTGTGGATGTTTGAAGAGGTCGTGTATGTTTGAAGAGGTCGTGGATGAAGAGTTGTGGTTGTTGAGTGGGTGGTTATGGGTCTAGGAGTAGCGTGGTGGTGGTGGTGCGTGGCTGTGGATGATAGTGGTGTGGAAGAGGGTGTGTTGACGATGGATGGGTAAGTTGAAAGGGAGAAGAGAAGAGCAAAGAAGAGAGAGTGGGATATGTGCAACGGAAACAACAATAAGAGAAGAGAGCGAAGGAGAGAAAAAGGGCGAGTGGCGTTGGCATGAGCCTTTGTGCCTTACCGCTCAGCCCATACTCTTCTTCCACTTAGCGGATAACAGTACGAGTCGACTTTCTTCCATCCTTCTTTTCCGCCATGATCTTCTTGAAGTCAACCCCAATCCGGCCCCCCGCAACCTCGCTCGTCACAAACCTCTGCAACTCTGTTGAATCCAACAACTCGTTCACTCGCTCAGTCCACTGCGAACTGCTCTGCATATGAGGCCCACCTCCGATACAAGGCTTGGGTGGAAGGTCTGCGAGGAGCTGAGGCTTGAGGAAGGCGACGACCCAGATCTCGAACTGGACTTTACCGTCTTTTATGAGCGGACGGAAGAAAGGGGGGAGAGCTTGGTGCGGGTTGATGGTGTTTGTGGAGTGGCGGGCGCGTTTTCCTTCACGGGTATCGTCATTGGTGGGATCTTCATCCTCGTCGTCATAAATGTCGCCGGCGGCACCGTCGGATTGGTAGTCGACTTGTTCGGGGACCAATTGGGCTGGTGTGTTGGTGGACGAGGGTGGAGGCGGCGCGGAGTCTGATCCATCCGAAATGCCCATCGACATACCTAATTGCAAACACGAGTCGAAATAATAATAAAAAAAAAAGAGGGTGAGTGTTTTTGCTGTGTGTAACACGACCAACCATGCAATGAAAAACATGAACGAAAAGAAGAGAACATACACATATCAATATAGGCAGAGGCGCTGTTGGACATCCAAGACGCGACATGATCCGCATCTAAGAACATCTTTGAAAGCTCCATTCCTCCACCACTGCAACCATTGCCACCGGCCATATCATCATCGGCCAGAGAAGAGCTGGTATCATCACCAGCATTGCTGGATCCATCCCCTCTCATACTATCACTCCCACTCCCGGCAGTGGACCCATCAGACCCGGGCAAACACGCCAACGTCTCCGCCGTCAAGACCGGAGCCTCAAGGATGCGTCTCATCACCAGTACCGAGTCCTTCAAATCCGACATGGCGGCGCCCTCCTCACCTCCTGGGGCAGCAGCACCTGCGGCATCAGAGACAGAAACCGCAAGATCGGTCGCAGGATCACGACCACAGAGTGCGCGAAGGTCCTTGATCTCGACGTAGGAGCGACGGTGCTTGGCGGGCGCGGGTTGTTGGACAATGTAGAGTCGCAGGGGGTACTCATTGGAGTTGGCAGTGGAGATGGCAGGGTGAAGACTATGGAAGATTTGGAGGAACTGACTGTCTTGAGGATGCTTTGAGGAGAGGTAGGCTAGGAGGAGGGCCGGGTCGATGGCTTTTGGAAGGGTTGGCATTGCTTGCTTGTTTGCTTTTTGGTGAGGTGGAGACTTGTTGTCCTAAGGGTGTGTTGAGGTTGATGAAGAAAAAAGATTGTGAAGAGGATGATCCAAAAAAAGTGGTGGATGAGAACCATGTTCTTATAAGAATTGGTGAAAACAATCAAAAAGAGGTAGATAGTGAGGGTTGTGGATATCCTCAAGAACAAGAGAGAAAGACGCGTCCATCGACAAGAATAGATAAAAATGTGCAGCCTAGCCACTTCAATTACTCGAATGGCCGATGGAAGAAAGAGGGTCCTCAGGGCCAAGCTGTCTGCATTGGGTGACACAGGGCACATAAGTGCGGCAGAAAGAGGAAGGAGGAAAAGTAGAAAAAAATGGAGGGGGATGGAAAGAAAAAGGAAACAAGGGGAGGAGCCAACGGCTCCTTTGGGATAGCAAAGAAGGACGAAGGTGAACGGCAAACAAAAGGGGTACTGAAAAGGGAGCGAGCGGAAGAGGGGATCAAAGAGTAGGGTCTATTATTGGCCATGGTTGGCATCCTGGTTGGTAGGGTGGTGGTACACAGACTTGATGGCTTGGATTGCATTTGTTTATTTCTGGAGAAACGCATGTTGTGCGTGTATTCTGTGAAGTTGGCGCGGACGACAGGCACAGGGGTAATATTCTTGTTATTATTGGGATGTGCTGCACATCGATGCATGCCACTACGAATGCGTTTGAGAAAGGGATACTCTTCCGTATTGTTGTTGTTTTCTCGCGAATGGGGACAGGCACAGGCGAGTAGAAAGAAGGTTCATGGCAAAGCTGTGCGCCTCCTTCTTCTTCTTCTTGTGAAGATGCCGAATTAGGCGAGCAAAGAGAAATGAACACCATGGCACACAGGGGAACCATGGGGGGAATGCGTGCGTATGATAAGGTCCCATATCGGGCCTTTAAAGGCGTGATTAAAAATAACATTGGGCAGCTCACCCATGCCTGCTTGTATCATTGCATGTCATCTGGATACACACACACACAGACACACATATGCTAATGGTATCCTACTGGTGTTGTTCTCCATTGTCAATTGGGTTCTATCGTCTATACTACAGCTTTACAGCATGTGTCTGTTGTCCTGTCAGCACAATTGCCTGCGGTAATAGCAATTGCATGTCACAGAAAGATACACTCTATCACTATCTCCATCTCTAATCTTTATTAACCTTCAACCCTTCAACCCCTCTACCTTTCAACCTTCTTTCTTGCGTTCATCTTGTGTGCTATACATGACGAAGCTGCATGCTCCCTCCCACTCCGGGTAAAAGACAAAAAACCCAGAAATACAAAATAAATCGCTCACTTGTTGGCCAATGGGCATCTCAATGGCCTTCTGCCTCCTGCTCCTGCTGTTCCTGTGTGCCCAGTCCAGCCCTGACCCTCTCCCTCGCTCTGACGACAGCGAATGGGTTTTCCCGACCCCACTGAAGCGCGAGTACTCCGTTCCGCCTGTTTGTACACCAATTGTCCCTCCTCCTTCGCTCCATTTGGCAATTCGAGTCCACTGGCCCTTTTTTTCTTTCTTTTTTTTTTCGTCCCCTTCACCTCCTCTTTCCTTTCCTTCTCTTCTTTATCCTTTCCCCCTTTTCATTCTTCTCTCCCCACTTCACTCTTCATTCTTCTCTTCACGCCCTCTCTCATTCATTACCAAAAAAAAAAAAAAAAAAGGTCGTCGGCAACACTCGCTCACTAGTCCGACATCAAGATCCGAATCACCCGAAAAAACAACAACATCAACACTTGTCCAAGCCTGTCAAGCAAACCAGCCTCTGCCTCCCAAGAAAACCGAACAGCAACCGAAAAAAAAACAAACGCATAAGCAGTAATGGCTTCAATCCACAGCCTCATCAACCAGGACTCAGAGGACGACCGCCAACACCACTCCTATCCCAACCCTCATCCTCGCCATCCGCAACAGCACCCATACCCACCTCAACAACAACAACAACAGCACCTCCCACCGGTACACACCATCTCTCCAGATCACCACCAGCAGCAGCAGCATCCAAGCAATCCATTGCCGCCGATGCGCCACTACCCAGCAGCACAACCCGTCGAACCGCCGCACCCGGAACAACCTATCCGAGCATCACAACAGCCACACCATCATGATCGGCACCCGCCTTATCATGTCCCGCACTACCATCCTTACCCACATCCTTCGAGCGGTCCTTCCTCGTCTTCGTCATCGGCAAGTGGCTTCTCGCAGAAGCAGCAGCATCAGCAGAGACACCCTTACCCGGCGGTAGCTATCGATCCTTCGCAACAACAGCAGCAGCATTATCCTGGACCGCCTCCATCCCATCATCCTCATGGTCATCCTCACCCACACGCACATCCACAGTACCATGACCAGCAACAGCAGCAACCGCAGGTGTATGACAACAGGCACCCATACGACCACCACCACCGTCCTCCTCCAGCGCCAGTAACACAACAAAAGGCACCCATCCCGGACGAGACCTCCTCGTCTTCTTCAAGACGCCCCTCTGGCCCTACTACTTCCAGTACTGGACACCATCAGAAGCAGCAGCAGAAAGAGAGAGGAGAGATACACCCGATTGTCAAGACTGAGAACCGTGCCACAACTGGTGCCACAACGACGGCACCAGAAGACAACCAACGGTAAGAGGAAAAAAAAAAAAAAAAAAAAAAAAAAGATTCGAACCCAGTCACGCTTGAGAGAAATGGATAAACCCTCAAATCCACTTTGACACTTGAAACACATTCCCCCCCCCCGCTCCTTTTCTCTTCTGCACTTACGCACACTCTCGCTACTTTAGCGTACCTCTCTGCTCGAGCTTACCCCAACCCCTGAACCTGAACCTTCAATTGATATACTTACCATCATGTCAACTCCTCCTCTCCCAACAATAACAACAACTTCACCAAATAGACATGCAAGGATCAAAATCGTACAACAACCCCTCCACGCACGTATGTGTGGCTTTGGCGAGAAGGACCGTCGACCCGTCGACCCGCCCCCAATTGTCCAGCTTCTCCTCGACGAACAGCACAATCAGCACCCTGCGAGACGCGCACATCGGTCTGCTATTGCTGCTGCCCTCGCCGCCGCTGCTTCTACTGGGAAGAAAGGGAGCTCGGCCAAGAAAAAGGGCACGGGAGCAGGAGCAGGAGCAGGGAGGAAGGCCAAGGGCGGGAAGAAAGTCGGAGCAGGAGGACAAGAGGAAGATGCGGATGAGGAGAGTGTGCAGGGGGATCATGAGGATGATGAGGGGGATGAGGCTTATCACCAGGAAGAGACGAGCGATGCCGACGAGGCTGGTGGAGACAAGAAATCTTCTTCGTCTCGCAATGGTCGGTCCCAAAGAGGAGGAGCAGCCAAGAACCCAAAGCACGAGCACGGCACTGGATCTACATCCTCACCCTCACTCGGCAAACACGGCCGCCAACCAAATAAGAGCGATCACTCCAACAGCGACTCGGATAACAACAGCGACTCTGAAAACGACAACGACAATGTCGACGGAAACAACGGAGACCTGGACGAACAGGACCCGCTCTTCGTTCTCCACGTCTCCCTCTGGTCGCACGACGGTACTGAAGTCCGCAACATGATTGCAACACCTGGACAATCCGACCCTCCCAAATTGACCAGGATCTTGATGGGGTCCTTGGTAGTATCCCCGATCCTGTTGAATAACCCAGAGGGTGTTCCGGGGTGGTATTTCAGTTTCCCGGACTTGAGTATCAGGACGGAAGGGACTTATACCCTCAAGTTCTCTCTTATGCGCTTTGGAAGGTAACCCTCTTTCTTTCTTTTTTTTCATTTTTTTCTCTGTGATGTGCATGTGAGGCTGTATTGTTTACTAATCTACTTGTGTTTTACTTTTGGTTTTCTTTTTTTGTATGCTAATTTAGTTTTGACTTTTCGAGCAGTGAGGATGGACAAACTTCCCTCCTGGTCGCAGAAGAGACCAGCGACCCCTTCCAAGTCTTTTCCGCAAAGAAGTTCCCTGGCATGACTGGTAAGCCTTCGCCATCCTCTCCCCCCCCGTCCCCCCCTTTTTTTTATCCCCGTCCAACGCTTCCATGGTCTTCCTAATAGTTTTGTTCGAGCGTGAGCTGACATTTGTCACCTTTTTTTTTATCTTGGACCTTTTGTATTGATATTTTGTAGAATCGACGGAGCTGTCAAAGGCATTCGCGAAGCAGGGACTCAAGATCCCCATCAGGAACGACCTCCGTGTCCGTAAAGCCGACCGCGACTAGAGTAGGGATGGAGTAGAGCAGAGTAGTAGTGGACGGACATCCCCCCCCTCCCCAAAAAAAAATATATGCAAAAACACCAAAAAAAAAAGAAAAACTTGTCGCCTAAAAGAAAAAAAAAAAAAAAAAAAGAAGGTAGCAGCAGGACTGACACCATTGACCCAATGACCAAAAAAAAAAAAAAAAAAAACGAGGAGAGGAGTTGTAGATAGCCAGATACCATTAGAACAATAACACCCGTTTTTAAACAGTGCGCAATTATAAACTGTTAGGGGGTGAGGTTAGATGGAGACTTGGTTGGGTTTGACTTGCGACTCTTTGACCCTATGGCGGTTGGACCTCGGCGCCTCGGAGTGAATTTGGTCCGCAGAGAAAGAACTCCATCCTCGTCCAAACAAATTTACCCAGACCACTTGACTGAAGAGGAAGTGGTGAAAGACACAAATGCTCTATTTCAACAATATGGGTTCCTCCCAAAGTGCAAGTTCCCAATAGTGTTTCAAATACAAAACTGTTATTTTATTTTGAACAAGAAGCTACAAACCAAAAAAAAAAAAAAGACGTGAACCGTCTCTTATTGTTGTTGTTGTGAAAGGAGGAGTGTGAGGAAGTGGGTGGTGACATCATTTTTTTTTTTCGATTTTTTTTTCTTTTGAGTCGGGTAATGGCTTGTGGTTGGTTGGGGCGTGTTGTTGCTTGGGCAGCAGATTATTCCTGTCCGAATCCAACAGTCTCCTCAACAGCCATGGTCAACTTGTTGACAAGCACATCATACGACTTGTATGGTGGCAAATCGATACGGTTAAAGCTAATAATACACGGAAAAGTGTACATTTTTTAGTACCAGCATTCACAAGATAACCCATCCCTCAAAACACAAAAGAAAAACAAATAAAGAGGGAACTTACCAGGTATGGGACTTGGGTAGTTGACCAATCTCGCCAGCCTTCTCGATGGTGAACCGTCTGGGACCATCCGAGCCCTGAAGATCCTTGAATCCGTTGACTGGGATACGCGAAGTACCCGTAGTGAACTGCAACAGACGTGCCTTCTTCTCAGAGTCCCAGGTACGGATGCACTTCCAGAACCACTGCACAACCTCGTCCTGCTCAGTGTATCCACGGTAGTCGGTGTGCTTCTTCCAGTCGTCGCAGTCAATCTCAGAGATACCTCCCATCAACAACTCCAACTCGCGCTCGTCAAAGACTGTCACCAACTCCTGGGGGATCAGCTGGTGGAATCCTTCGGCAAAGGCCTTAAACTGCTCTTCCACACGACGGGTAATCCTCCACTCTGTCATCAGGTCGACGTACTCCTTCTTGTTCTCCTCCGTCACTGCGATATCCTGACCGCCCTCCTTCAGATCTATCGTTACAATCTCTCCGAACCGCTCGTCGTTGGTCGAGAAGGTGGTATCCAAAGTCTCGGCTCCGCTCTCGTCGTCCAGCAACCAGTTCAAGTTACGGTACACGTCTGCATCGACCGACTCCAGATCCGCAAGGGTCACCTTCTTCTTCAAAATCATCTTGTAGAATGATACAATGAAGAAAGCATCCAACAGACGACGGTGGAAAATAGCGAGACCAACAACGCGTCCAATGAACTTGAAGTAGTTAAGATGCTCAGAGTTGATGCTCGAGTGAGGGTTGATCTGGAGCGTATAGTTGTCGTGTGCCGAGTACTCGAACAAACAGTAGAACGGGTTGAACATCTCGTGCGACAACAAGAAGAAGAACTCTCTATTCATATTGAACAATATAGATATAAAAGCATTGGTTAATCTCCATCCATTTACCCACTTTTACGCGCAGACAACCAAAAACAAGGCTGACAATCCATACCTGGAGAGACCACCGTAATCGAGACCATCTTCGCCCTCAAACTTGATCATCAGGCGCTTCTTGAGATCTGTGGGCGACTGGCGCATAATCTCGTGGTAAGCATCCTCGAAAATGTGCGAACGGCGGACCTTCATATGGCACTGTCCAGGGACAGGGCGAAGTGCTGGCTGAGATCTAAAGTAGATCAACTTGCGACGGAAATCGCGCTTGTACTGAGGCACACTCTGGTCCAAACTACTAGGAAGACGAGGATCTATAATTATTTTGCAATAGGAACCATTCGTTAATAGGAGCAAACAATGATGTCGAGTAAGGTGAAAAACGTAAAGTTATGACAATTAAGGCAAAAGTAATTGAAAACGCACCATCCCAGGTGGTAGTCTTGGTGTTGTGGTCGACAAAGTAGACTCGAGCAGTGTTGGTGAGACGCATCTCCCATCCAGAGGGCAGAGCACCCAGTTGTGAGACGGGCTGTTGGTGGACTGCAACCTGGTTGGTCGAGCTACGAGGATCGCTCATGCGCACAAACTGCTGACGACGAGGGTCCACCCAGGTGGTTGAGCGAGTGTTGTGGTCCACATAGTAAGGTCTGCCTTCAGGCGTCAATCTCTGTTCCCATCCTGCCGGCAACGGTCCAGATCCTGCAGTGGTCGAGTTGAGACTGATGGGTGCCAGTCCTGTCGTGTTCTGGGGCATGGTCGAGTTAGATGCAGGTGGTGGTGGGGCGGCAGCTGCGGCAGCGTCGGGCATCGTGGCGCCTGACTGAACTGGCAAGGGTGTGCTTCCGCCTGATCGATCGTCTGGAAGGGCGCGGTTGTGGTGTTGCTGTCTCTGCATCTCGGTTTGGTTGGTGAGTTCTTGAGCTCTATCCTGTGTTGATGTGCTCAAGCTAATATAAAGAAGAAATATTGTAACTTGTTAGCGCCTCACGTTATATTTCATCAGATTTGATATCCATGAGAACATCAGAGTATAGCTCACCTTGGACGAGTCCAGGTGGTCTGACGGTTGTTATGATCCACGTAGTAAGTGCGACCAAGAGGATCCAAGCGGCGCTCCCAGCTATTCATAATAAAAGGCAACACGAGGAAAAAGAAAAGGGGAAAACGAAGGGATAAAGAACAAACGGTTAGTCATTGTCGTGAATATATTAGCTCGACAGATATGTGGCTTTGAGCGTTCTTTTTCCAAGGAAACATACTTGGGTGGGAGAGGTCCATGTTCATCTTCATAAGGTGAAAGTTGACGCCCTCCGTTGGGAGCGGCTGTGGGGACCGTGGGTGAAGCAGCGATGGGAGTGACGGCGGATTGGACGGGGCTGGAGGTGACAGCGATACTGTTGCGGTTGGTCGATATTGACCCAGCGTTGGATGAGACTGCAGAAAGAACAGAGGGGGTCCTGCGATGTGTCGATGCTGGTGCCTGGAGGGTACGTCCGTTGGCGACGGTGCCCTGATGACCGGTGTTGGATGAGACGTTGATAATGAGCTTTCCCTGGACAACCACGTCATTCGATCCAGATTTCTTCAATTCCGTTGTGAGCATTTCTAAGATAGGGATACACAGATGCAATTAGCAGGGAGGAGGAGGCGGATTGGTTCATATCATGTATGATTGCCATGGTGGAAGAGGAGCAAGGCATAGAGAGAGAGAGAGAAGACAACAAAAACTACGTACCATCTCCTCCAACGTTCACGTCAAAGACATCGCCCATCTGGATGTTGACGGTTCCCAAGAATCCTTGATCCTTTTTCTTGAACTTTTTCTGGTCAAAGATTTGAACTGCGAGGACACTCTTGTTGGTAACATTACTACGATTTATGCAAGAAGATGCAAGGAGATATATTACTTGTTAGCAAAAAGAGTGGGAGACAGAGAAGGGCTATGCAAACGGGAAGAAGTTCAGTAAAGGCAGAAAACAAAACGGCACTTACACTTCGAAGCTTTCGTTCCAGTAAGGGTTCAAGGTCTTTTTCATGACGGTGGTGGTATGGGTCTGGTCGCCATCAACCGTGACGACGGCGAATGGGTCGGGCAGACCTATGAGAGGAACAAGACCAACGCCAAGCACACAACAGCCAGGAACGAGAGAACAGATATGAGCGCTCATATTCTATTTTTTTCCCTTGTTTTTCATTCATGGCCATTTGGCCCAATTGTGTGTGGGCATATGAAAGACTGACGAAAAGTACTTACGAAAGACATCCCGCTTGTAAAGACCGTCGGCAGCGATGACTGTCAAGGATGACAAGATAATGCATGAGAGAGAGATAAGGTGAGTTAATAATGGGGTTGTTGTGTGTTCATTATTATTATTTTGCTTGGCAGGATCCATCAATAGCGGTCGGTCTATCGGCTTATTCTATCGTGTGTTCTTTTTCTCATCAGACCCATTGGACCCCGATATATATTCTCTCACACAAGAAGGGAGGAAAGGGAGGGATGCGGCTGACAGAGTCAGGTGTTGCTTGTGTGTATGTCTGTTGCTGTTGCTGTTGGTTGTTGTATGATGGTGTAGCAATTTCCAACTCATCGACTGTTGAAGAAACGGTGGGCAAATGGTGGCAAGGGGACTTTGCACTGCCAGGATGGTATACTTTTCTAGAACCCCTTTCCTCTGTTTTTCTCTTCTTTGTTTGCTTTGGAACAAAGTAAGCGGGTCTATCGTCTCTCCAGAGACTCGAAAGAGAGAGCGCACAAGGGAATCGTAAATGATGTATGTGGTCACGGCGTCGCAAGGGCCGAGGGCTGAAACCGCAAAAAAAAATATGCGAATCGAGAGACTGAGGAAGAAAAGAATAGAAGAGATACAACCAACAAACGACCCTTTCACCCTTTGTGCAAGGAAGGCTGTAGGGTAAGCCTTCCTCTTCTTTTTTATCCCTGCCAATATGAATCCTGCCTGTTGCTCTTTGTGCGGCATAACGTTGTAGTCTTGTTGTTGCAGTTGTCGTTATTTTCCAACTGTTACTTGAGAGAGGGTGAGAGAGGGTGAGAGAGGAGTCAGAGCAGCAGCAAGTCTCGCTGAGTAACAACTTACCAGTGAGACGAATAGGTCTCCTAAAAGTGACAAGAGGAAAAGGTGCAAGTGAATACGAGTGTTAGTCAGCAGTTGAGAAAAACAAAACAGCCATTAGAAACTAGAGAGACTGCGCGACGTGGACGAAAATAGGCAAAAGAGAGGAATGAATAGTGGACAGGAGCAAAGGAGCGCGGGTGTTTGTGTATGAATCTTAGTGTTTGGAGGAGAGAAAGGGCGGAGAGGAAGACACGAAAAGAAAGTGCGCAAGAAGGAAGAGAGGCAGTGGTGGTAAGAGTCGCGAGTGTGGAGTAGAGTAGATGTATGTGAAGGAATGATTGCGGTGTTGGTACATGAGTGACAGCGAGTAGAGTGATGTAGTGATGCGTGTGAGTGTGTGAGTGTGTGAGTGAGTGAGTGTGTGTGTGTGTGTGTGTTGATAATGTAATAAAGTCAAACTTACTGTGTCAGGCCGTTGGAGGACATGGTCGTTTGTAGATGTTTTGGTTGCTTAGGAGAGGAGACTCCTGTCAAAAGTGGACAGGGATGTGAAAAAGAATCAGAAACGAAGGATGGGATGAGAGGGAGTGGGTGGGTGGGTGAGAGAGTGAAGGTAGAGGAGAGGGGTGTGATGCGGATGGGGGGAAAGGGTGTGTATGAGAGTGAGGGTGATGATAGGGAGTTGTGTGGAGGGAGAGAGAGGGGGGATGGGATAAAGGGAAAAAGAAGAGAAGGAAGGCCAAGGAAAAGAAAGAAAAAGAAAAGGGAGGGAAGGGGAAGGGAAGGAAGGGAATAAAGAGAAGAAGAGGAAGAAGAAGAAGAGAAGAGAAGAGACAGAGAAGAAGAGAAGACACAGACAGTGTGAACTGAACACCGTCGGGCACGCTGATGTGATTTATTTTTGGTTCTCGAATCCAAAAGGCATACGAGACAGGGGGAAGGAGAAGCCATGAACACTTCCTTCTTGGTGATGATTGATCAGGATACTCCCCACACCACTTCTAATCCTACCACGACTACTCCTCTTCACTCTTTCTTCTCCTTTGTTCCTCTCTTGCTGCCCCTTTCAAATGAAATTCAAGTGCGTCACCACCGTCAACGGCTGAAAATAAAAAATAAAAATGAACGATCCATGAGATATGGCAATGGTGAGTGAATATTAATCATCGTTCAGAAAAAAAAGGCAGAGAACTACTTAAATGTGCGCTCTCACCCTCGGAGTTCCCTTGTGTTCTTGTCGAGATACCAATAATGGCGAGAAAAATGAACTGAAGAAAAAAAAAGGGCGCAGGCTGCCATAGAAGTAACTCAACGATACCATGGCATGTTATTCGTTCATGGTGAATTAACTGCTGGAAAGGTGCTCACAATCTTTGCAGCTGGGGTGGTTGTTGGGTACAGGCTAGTGAACATGACAGGTGGCAACGACTGAATGGATGCACTTTGCTCTTGAGAGTGCGCACACTGTGGCGACTGGAGTTCAACCAGGCAGAGGACAGGGGTGGGTGGCGAACACTCCACAACAAGCAGGGGGTCTTTGCTTTTGATGGTCAAAGATAATGCAAACGGCTGCACACGACTGTCTTACTGGTGAAAGGCAAAGGGAGCGGGTGTGCCACTAAAGCAGCAGAGCACAAAGAGAAGAATTCAAACATAAAAAAGCAGAGACAAGTCGACAGCGAGGCAATTTCAATAATCTGCATTTATCCGTACAAGCGACGCAAACAACAAAACAGAACGCAATCGTGACCTGCTTGCTCCACCTACATGCACCACGCCGGTCGATGACAAATTGCGCTGCATTCGAAGCACACAAACACACACGCCTGCCCTATCATGCTCTATCCTTAGCCTGTCTAGAATCCTTTATAACCCCCAGTAACATCACCCCTGCCATCATGTTCGTCATACCTGTCGCCTTATTCCTTTCACTCAACACCACTCCCTAACCTCGGACCATATCAATGCGTATTTTCTATTATTTACTAATGCATTTTTCAAAATGGGCGTACGGTTGTATATAAAAAACAGCATCGTAGGCCTTATCCTCGCGTAATCTACCTCCTGCGACCCTTCTTGACGACAGTCTCAAACCCATCCTCGTCAATAATCGGCTCTGCCTTCTCCTTCTTCACCGGCTCTGGTGCCTCTCCCATCTCCACATCCATATCCTCTCCGCCCTCACCCTCCTCCTCCTCTTCATCATCATCACTGCTATCATCATCGTCACCCTTCTGAGCCTTAGAACTCTTGAAAGCTCCGCTGATCTTTTGAGAATCCTGCTTGAGCGTTTGAACAAGGTCGTATCTCCCATGAGTACAATCCAGGAAGAGCTGTTCAAGGACCTTGGAGATGTGTTGTTCTGACTTGTCCTCGAGCATGATTGAGAATTCGTCGTTCATGACCTGGAGCAGGATGTCTTCCAAATCGAATGTATCCACCTTTGTTCCTTCTATTATGGTTGTATTTAAGTAGATTGTTTAAATGTTTAGTTCTCAGTCATTGGATACTTGTCCCTGGTTCATTCGTCGCTTGATTCCTGACATAAAAAAAAGGTGTAATAGAAGAACGATAACAACTGAAGAAGAAAAAGACTTACGCTCGCCAAAGTAGTCAACGATGGTATCGACGAACCAGTCCCGCTTGGCGGCAGAGTCGTGTCCGCCCCACTCGCCGTCGACAGCCAGCTTGAGGGCAGTCCAGGAGTGGAACAAATATTGAACACCCTCCCTGAAGGCGACCTGATTAGGATGAGGAGCAGCCATTCTTGTTGTCTCTTGAAATGTACTTGAGTTGCGTTGAAGGTGATGCTGAAGGCAATGGCTATGAAAGAAAAAAAAAAAAAAAAAAAAGTTGCCTTCAACACACACACGCCAAACAAGCAGTCCTACTCCCTCTCTTTCCTGCAATGCGATTCGTTCCTGGTGTGGCTTGAATGTGGATCGAACACAACCGCCATTAACGGTCATTTATCGCCCCATTGCTCCTTTCGCACGCCCAGCAACCTAGAACCTTTTTATTTTTATTTTTCCCTCCCCATCAGACCTTCATCTCACTCATCCTTCCATCCTTCCATCACTCTCATCACCCCCTTCACCCCTCCCTCCACTCACACACCTCCCAAAATGGTCAACAAGCCCCCCAAACCAGTGAAAGCCCCCAAAGCCAACAAACGCTCCAAGGCCGGCGGCCCTTCCCACGCCGACCTCCCCTTCCAGAAAAGCTACTTTTCTGACGATTCCATCTTTGGTCGCTCCCAAAAGTTTGTCCAAGAGAACGACGCCAAACCCTTCCGCGACTTTGGTTACTTTATCGCCATTCTCCTTGGTATTTTTATTTGGAGATATCAAGCTGCCCTTTCTGACAGTCGTGAGAGTAAGTTTTTTGCTTAGTCGCAGGGGTTTTTTTTGTAGAAGGAAAAAATGGAGTTGGTGGACTCCTTTCCAGGACGAAAGACTTGGACGAAAACAAAACGCCTATCCATACATGCTTCTCAAAGAACAAACAACCCACCCTCTCTTCCTTCTCACTAACCCCCCCCCCCCCCCCCCCCCCTTCTCCAAATAGCCGCAGTGGGAGTCTGGGGCTTCTTGACCTTCGCCTTGATCCTCCTGATCAACATCTGGACTTACTTCCTCGTCCTCATCAAGTCCCGTCGCGGCGGTGACATTGGTATTGTCAAAATCGTCGACGAGGATATTCACCGCTTCATGTGGCTCTCGGGTCTCTTTGGCGCCTGGGCCGGTATCATCTGTAAGTTCTCCTCACCTCTAAGTTCTCCTCACCTCTTTTCTCTTCTTTTTTTTTTTTGTTTCTTTTGACCTCAAATTAATTTTGATTCTCCCTGTGCCAAACCACTCCCCCCCCCCCCCCCCCCCCCCACCTCCTCTCACTCTTCCGTCGTGTGATCGATCGTGCACTTACATCTCGCGTTTTACTGAAATTGTAATCCTCTAGGGTTCGGATACTACCCCAAGACGCCAAAGTTCTTTGCAAAGGCTACGGTCTTCTCCATCTTCAGCTTAGCCTGGGTCGCCATTGGCATCAAGCTCTTCTCCTCCGTCTCCGTATAACATCTCTCCTTTCTCTTACTCTCTCTCGTCCTTGGTGCAAAATACTAGTCATAATAAATAATAACCGCCAATTCACTACATTCATCAGAAGAGACATGACAGAGAAATAATAGTTTATGAGAAGATGTGATGAACAAAAAAGTAGAGAAAAAAAGTGAACAAAGATGAAGGGGGAAAAAAAAATATCAAAAGTCTATAGTAGCGATAAGTTTTTTTTTTTTACTCCAATGAGACAGTGGCACCCAAATCCTCAAGGGTCTTCTTCAACTTCTCAGCATCGGCCTTGTTCAAGTTCTCCTTGACGACCTTTGGTGCTCCCTCGACAAACTTCTTGGCCTCGACCAGGTTGATGCCGGGGATGATGTTCTTGATCTCACGGATCAACTTTGCCTTGGCAGCAGCATCGAACTTCTCGAGCTTGACGGCAAACTCGGTCTTCTCAGCAACCTTCTCCTCCTATTAGCGTTTGTCAATAGGAAATATATGTGAAAGAGGGGTGGGGGGCGTTAGATCAAATTGTTCTAGGAATAAACGACACAAGGCGCAATGGAGTTTGTACAGTGAGAGAGTGTCCATCAATCGCGAGTTCTCGTACCTCAACAGGGGCGGCGGCGGCAGGGGCAGCGGCAGCTCCACCTCCGACGGGCATAGAGATCTCCTGGATGTTGAGACGGGTCTATTCCATGCAATGAAGAAATTATAAAAAAAAGAGTCAGTCGATGGATCTCATACACTGCAAAATCCTCAACATACCCAACGGATAGATCACTCCCCAAAATAGCCTTCGGTGAAAAAGTGCACCATACCTTCAACAAGGAAACCAAGTCGGCGGTCTGAAGAAGGGTCAATCCAGAGATCTGGTCCACAATCGAAACAATCTTGGGGTCAACATCCTTGCTCGATCCGGGAGCATCCAACTTGTCGGCAGCAGCAGACGAGTAGTTGGCAACCCTGCTGACAACAACGCGGGGAGCGATTCTAGATCAATTTCATTGAATGGGCAAACGAAAAAACAGTTTCGTTAGTGATAGGAACAAGGGAGGCATAAAAGACGTAAGACTCGGAGTAATTGAATGTTGACGGGGATGAAGAACGGGACGTTAGGCGAACATCTTGAAAAGAGATCAATTGTGGGTGGGATCCATACCTGGAGATGGTGCGGGGAGCGAGGCGGGCAGAGATGGTGCGCAACTAGATTTGGTAAAGAAACAACCATAGGAGCAAGACAGTGGTCAGAATTGAGCAAATTCAAATAGCAACACCAAAGGTGCCAGGAAGCCTCCTCAAAGTTGAACAAAAAGCCGAAGCTGTCTGAGGAGTTGGGAGACTTGTTTTCTTGTTGTTGTGTGAATCCTGGTGAATCGCGCGGTTTTGGGTCAGACAAAGGCGAAAGTTGCTGATCGCCGTCGGTCTCAACCACAGTTGTTTCATAAACTTCTCGGGTCTTGCTTCACTTCCTTGCCAGCTCTCTTTTCCCTTCCCTTCTCCTCATTCTGTCCTCCGAGAAGTGTGTGTGTCCTGATCAGCCTTTGCTCCCTTGCCGAACGAAAAGAAAGAAAACTCCAGTCACAGTGTTTGATGTCAAGACAAGGCGGGTGCAGTCTGAATACTGGTTGCGTGAACGGCTGTCGTAACCCCTGTCTGTGCAAGAGTGAAGCGATGTCGCTGTTATTACCATGGTGAATGTGTGGGATGTGTGGATGGTGTTGGTGGGAGACGACGGGAGTAAAGGTTGAAATCAGAGCAAAGGACCGAGGGTAAACAAAAGTTGCCAGGAACACTGGTAGAGTGACTGTCAATGGCAAGGGTAGATCTGGCCATCGTACAAGCTACACTTTTTATTAGATTTTGTTTGTTCATTCGAGGCATGGACAAGGTGAAGGAGGATATCTCTATCGTTGCTCTAACCCTTGTAGCCCTTGCCCTACACACACACTCGCATTCATATTTTTATCATTGGCAAAGAGAACAAGAGACATGGCCTATTGTTCTTATTGTGTTGAAAACCGATTTTGTATTATTTTTTTGCTCGCTCTCTTATTCTTGAAAACTGCTTTTGTATTTTTTTGTAGGTTGTGTTATTCTTGTCGTCGTCTTCCTCGTTTACACTGTTTTTCCACCGCTCTTGACAACCACTGCCCTTCTCAGACAACACCTGCAACAAGTGAGCAAACACAAGTATCATCCTTCAAATCGGAGCAAAAGAATCAACACATGCGCGCACTTTTCCTGGATCCACCTGCAAAATCTCTCGATCCTCATCATCACTCCCTCTCATATCCTGTTTTGTAAACGATCATCCCGTTATCTGTGCCTTTGTCCGACTAAAAGAACGCTGCAATAAATGAAAGAAGAGAAAAAAAAGGGTTATCCTTGATCCTGATCCTGTCCAAAAACGCTCCGTTACTCCCAAGTGTGTCGCAAGTCCAAGTGTACACCCCTTAGTAAGGAGCATAGTATCCTCCTCTGCCTCCGCGACCACGACTATTGTCAGCATGAAAGAACAAAAATACGTCATTCAATTGCTCTTTCGATCCACAGTTATATCCATTTGCATCAGATCGTGTAAAATAGAAACAAATGCGAAAACTTACCCGCCACGACCGCGATATCCTCCGCCACCGGGAGGTCCGTACATGGGTGGTGGGGAGCTATAAGGGTGGTGTCCGCCACCACCGCCGCCACCGTAGCCACCGTGGTGACCAGCAAATCCTCCACGGTAAGCACCCCTGCCGCGTCCACGACCACGGGCAGCCATTCCTGGAATGTTGGTACGCTTAGGAGTGACCTATAACAATGACGGAGAAAAGGGAGCCATGTGAGTACAGTGATCAACATTCAAAGTTTTCAAATAGGAACAGATGCCATTGCATGCAACTAAGGAGCTACCTTGATGAGACGAGCACGGAAGAGAGAGTCGTTGAGGACCATGGCGTTGGCGACTGAGGAAGCGTCAGCAAACTCGACGTAAGCGTAACCCTTGGGCTGGCCAGTCCACTTATCGCACAGGATAGTAATGCGGTTGATGGTACCGCACGACTGGAAGTGTCCTTGAATCTCCTCGGGCGTCGAACCCCAATCCACATTACCGACATACACCGACCTAGAATCCACAGCCTCCTTGTCTAAAGAGAACAAAGATCAACAAGGAAAAAGGGTTAGATCGATTTGCTACATGAGTACAGAAAGAATCCTTGCCTAATTCATTGCATATGGTAGAGAAAGAACGAAAGAGTATGTACCTTCTTCGCCCATGTTCATGTCCTTCTCTGCCTGAGCCTGCATCTCACGCAACTTGGCAGCCTCAGCCTCCATCTCCTTGACACGCTGCTTCATAGCCTCGATTTCCTATTGTCGTATTGAAGATAGATATCAGCGTCAGTTCCACCGGGAATATTTTCTGGTTACACATCACACGACATGAAGTTGGTGTCGCTACGATTGAACTTACCTCATCACCAATATCTCTCTCGAGATCCTCGTTAATAAGACCAGCCTCTTGTTGTTCTTCTGCGGACATTCTACAGGACGTTGAAAAAAAAGGAGAAGGGGGATAAGGCATTATTTTAGAGATGCAGGTCGATTTAAGAAAGAGAGAGTGCCACTCCCATGTTTGAAGAATTTGGCGCTGAAGGCGTGCTCCTGTTTCTAAGAGCTACTGACTCTCACACGACATCAGGCAGCTTGTCACTCGAGTCCCCTCTTCGTCGCATTACTAGATGTCCAGAGTCGCGGTGCTTTGTTTCTTTCCAGTTCAGCAGCCGATGACTTTGTTTTGGCGGTTTTGTAATTTGAATGTCGATGATGTTTGTGAAGCTGAAGGACTGCAGAAGGCGAAGGTGGTGCCAAATGTCGACCTCGGGCAGCGAAGGGGGTAGGCTGGTAGGTGTTGATGGTGCTGCGAACTTACGTGAGTATGAGTGAGTGTGAGTGGAAAGTATGTTAGAGTGCAAACAAGCAAGCGAAAAAACAACTTTATCCTCTCCAGCCAGCACCACAAGGCTGAAATTGATTTTTACGTCAATGTATCCGGATCAAACGCATTTCCTTCACTTTCGATCTGCCAGATAATAGCCCCCCCCCTCATGTCCTCCCTTTTCCTTGCACTCAACAACCCCAAACACACAGAACTATTCAACAATGGACAAGGTCAAGGATCTCTTGTACGCAGAACCGACACCCTCGGCACCACCCAAGCACAGCAACACCAACACTGTAGCCCAGCCTCATCGCTGTGCAAAGCATGTCGAGGATCTTATGGTCGCCATTATGAACTTTGAGGTTGAGGATCAGATGTCTCTCGTCTGGAAGTGTATGCGAAGCGAGAAGGGGTATGTACATATTACCAAACGAAGCAAATTTTCAGGAACTTGGAGGATGGTATTTAAATATAACCCGGGATTTGTCAAAAACTAATGCTTCCTTGGTGTTTTCTTCCCCCCTCCCTATACTAGAGATGAGCCTGCTAGACACTTAGCTGCCCAAGTCAAGCCCGACCACAACGTCTAGGCGATCCAGGAATGCTTAACATCTCAGCACCGGAAGTGAGATACAACAAATGTCAAGGAACAATCCGAGAAAGCAGGGTCAAGGCGTATCGAGGATCAGGGATCTGGAGGTGCTTCCGCCATACGTGACACCTCGCTCTCATTATACCCAGCCACCGCCTGCGGTTGATACAATTGAGGGTGGGGTCAACCCTTGCCTGCCAACAATTGGTCCAGGAGGCGAAAGAGGGTGGCATTGGTCTGACGACGGATTCTGATCCGACTTAACAGCGACGGTTTAGGCGATGACCTCGACTGCCCAAATGCCCATAGTATCAGGGCATGGACAACGAACGAAAATAAACATTTCATTTTTCATCACCACTACCTACCACCAAGCAGTTGAATGTCTGGACCCAAATTCAATACAATGAGAATCTTGCAAATAACTGGATACAGGTTGTTCGCGGACAGTGATGGCACCATGCCGCTCGATAAAAGAAGGGGGGGCGGGGGCGACAGAGGAAGTCTTCCCCATGATGAGCGCGACACGAGTGGATTTTCGTCCAAAAGGATCTGGTGACTGCTCCCCCTCCTCTCCCCTTTTCTTCGTCTTCAATTCAAACCCAAAAGTCGACACTCGCGCACCTTTCACCCTTTCCTTCAACCAACAAACACTTCACCAAACCACATCACCAAAACACATTACCAAAAAAATGGTCGCCATGGAATGGACACCTCGCCTCGAAAGCGCATTCAAAAGACTCCAAGACCGCAAAAAGTCCACCTCTACATCATTCGCCCCCGACGAGACAAAAACCGCCCAAGAAGTCGATGCCTTCTTGGCTGACCCAAAGACAAAGGAATGCGTCGACTTGGACTTGGTCAAGCGGGTCTCGGCGCTGTTGTTGAAGTACTCGAGCAGTACTGGTGATGCAAGCGGCGTCAGTGGTATGTCTTTAAAAGGAGCTTGAAGCGCTAAAAGAAAGGGACTTTCTACCACACGTTTTTTTTTTTTGGCAAGGCTGATTTTTTACTAACGTTTCTTGTCGTGTTCTTCCTGTGCTTACCACTCTCCGTTTTTCTAGTATCGTCAGAAGACTGGATTCATACCTTGGTCAAGGGCAGTACCGTCTACGTCCCCAAAGCAGCACCAAAAGAGCGGGTACGTGCACTCTGTTCATTCCACCTTCGAAACCTCCCCCCCGAACAACGCCTTCTAATACCACCACCCAATTTCCCACCCATGCAACAAAATAGAGCCCGGAATTAGAGAAACTGATGGACACCTACAAATCCCAACTGGCCTCAAAAGAATACTCTCGTATGATTTCCAGCATCGACCCCATCTCCTCTAATTCCTCAACACTCGCCTACAGCCTCCGTCAGGACATGAAGGATCTCAAAGACGTCAAGGCCCACACCATCGGGATCGTGAATGTTTTGTACACGGGTGCGGCAGTCTTCACGGCAGTGTTTATGATCTCGGCACACTTTACGGAGGATCTGGGGATGAGGGTGTTATTGTCGTTTTTGGCGTTTGTGGGCATTGTAGCCTGTGAGGCTTATCTTTACCATCGGCATGCTCAGACTGCTACTGGAGGGTCGAAGGTGAAGAGGGTAAAGCCTTTGCCAGAGGATGTTATCATTAATACCACGACCATTGGTAAAGAGAAGTATGCCTAGTCATCATTGTCGTCATATCCATACCAACTTTTTGTACAATAGATTCTTTTTTTATTTCAGTTCGTAACAATATAATGCAATTGCAACAGAAAAGAAAACAGCAAAAGAGAGAGAGAGAAAAACAAACCAAAGGTGTGTTAAGGCTCGGGGGCGGCAGGTTGGTCCTGCATGGGAGGACCATAGGCATGCATGGCGGAATCGCCTTCGCCCTCCTCAATCCATTCTGTGCCCATATCCGATTTCCGAACCCTCAACGGTCGAGGACGCTGATGGTGTCGTAATCCAGATCCGCTGCCGCTTCCAGATCCACCACTGCCGCCTGGTCCATAACTACCTCCTCGGCTGCTGTCATATCCTCCCTGCGTGGTCGACGACATGTCCACACCCGTGTCGGCATCAACAGCGCTGGTTCCCGGTCCATAATACACCTTGCTGTTGGCCATCTCCGAAACCTCGTCCAGATAAAACTGCTGCTCGACTGAAGCATCCGAACTGTGAAGGTTAGGCGTCCAATTGATCTGCTTGAACAGCTCCTCGTCCTCCCATCGATGCAGACTGAATGCCCCCATGTACCCCTCCTCATCGTCCGATGGCAGCACTGCAGGTGTGTCCCATCCAGATCCGTCTCCAGGTGAGGCCAAGAAAGGCACATCAATAGAGTCGTCAAAGTAGAAATCGCTGTACTTGAACGACGGTGCCTCAAGTAACGTTGACCTTGGTTTCTTGCCAAACACCTCGACCTCCAGCCACTCCTCATAGTTTTCCTCAAACCCAACATCCAGCTCAATATCGCTCAGCGTCAGATCCCGTTTTCGCTCTCCATGCGAAGAACTAGAGCTGCTATTGTGACTCCGGCTGCTATGATGACTCTTTACACTCTCCTCACTCTCCGACTTTGATCCGCCGCTGCTGCTGCTGCTGTGGTGGTGGTGACCATGACCGCCACTGTGATCCATATGGCCGACTTCAGGAATCGACGCATGGGCCTCATACATCTCCTGCCAGTCGTATTTCGGACCCGAGTACTGCTGACCGCCTCCAGTCTTCCCTGTCTTGGACTGCGCAGCCGGATCAGGGACCAGCGCATTCAGATGCACACGGTCATGGTAATGTCGAATCATGTTCCGCAGCTGCTGCTCCGCAGGAAGGGCATCCTCCAGGTCCTTCTCGACATCAGCCCCGGAGATCCAATCATCACGCAGGTTGGATCGACAAAAGACATAGATCCCCGTGATGACCTTCATATGCGACGACCGCCACTTGCGACCAAGGAAAGGGACCTGGCTCTTGAGCGCCTTGTAAACATACTTTTGGAGATCAGGATGGTTAATCTTCAGAAGCCGTTTCAAGATCGCCGAGGACTTGTACTGGACCAGGAGGAGGATGCGATGGGTTTTGTGCTTGGTCAGCTTCTGGAGGACGCGGAGTAAATTAATGATCGCAAACATGTTCCGACGGCAAACATAGTTTGCAGGAATCGGATCGCCGATATCCGCAGCCGCATCCTTGAGGATCGCAATTCGAGCCTTCTCCGGGTCAGCTTCAGATCTCGTCTGGCGGAAGATCTGGGTGGTCTTGAAAAAGCTGAACTCTTCGACTTCGTTCTTGGTGTGGATGTTGCCTGGGTTCTCGGCGTTGCCAAAGATCTTGAGCAAGAGCAACAGGCAGTTCGAGTCGACCAGAAGCTGACAGACATAATTGAAGGCCAAAATGTGATAGATCTTGAAGTGTTGCAACTGGAGGAGAAGGATGCTGGAGACTGCCTTGGCCATAATCTCGTGCTCCCGAATGTCGTTTACCCTGGTGAACGCATCCACTGGTTCCTTGGCATCCTGATCCTCTTTGGTTGCTTCTTTGGTGGTAGACGGGCTGCTGACCTTGACACACACCAGTAACGTCTTGAGCAGTGTGACTTGAATCTGAGCCATCCTCGGCACAATCTCGCGCTAAGAAGTCAGAGCCATTGGTGTTAGATATTTGCTCCGCATTGTCGTTAGAAACACGGTCGATGCATGCCACATACATAAGAACTTACATAGATGTGCTCAATGCGCTCAATGCGCTCGCGCTCCCTGTCGGTCACCTTGATGGCCTCTTTTCCGACAGCTGGGACCTCGATGCTACTCCTGCGCCTGTCATCATCCGACTCGTAGTCATCCTCACTCGCATCATCCGCTTCATCGTCGCCCTGGTTTCCATTTCCGCTGAATCGACGCGCAAGACTCCTTCTTCGAGGTCGGACCTTGTTTCGAATAGATGCTGGTTGCCTGTTCTCTAAGGCTCGTCCCGAGTCCTGGTCCTCAGCATCGTTTTTGGAACGGTATCTCCTGTCGGTCATCAGCTTCTTCTCATGAAAAACCTGCAGAGTCGCCGTGGATATGTACATGTTCTTCTTGAACAGCTCTTCTGCTTCCAGAATGGAACGCGGCGTGGAGCTGTTCATGGACGAGGAAGGAAAGATGAAGGGCTGCGTTCCTGAGTTGCCATTGCCCATACCTCCGTTCTGACCCTTGCTATTCTTGCCGTTTCCCGATAATGTCTTTGAGATGGATCCATTTGTGGATCCAGCTCCACCTGCTGCTGTAGGGGTCTTGGCCTGGAGGACCGTCGCAAGTGTAGCAATTGGAATCGTAGGACATCCGGCACTGTAGGACGTGTTGGTGGGTATATAGGCCGGGTACTTTTGACTCATCTCGGACTGGTAGACCAAATAATCCATCGGGTCCGATTTCTGGTTGAACTGGGCAGAGATTTGAGCTGGGTTGCCCAGCATTCTTCGAGCAATGCCCTTGAGCAGATTAAAGTCGCCTGACCCACCTAAAGTCATCCTGAGCACCTTCCACAGTAACAGCGTCAACTAACAATGTCAAAGTAAATTATGTCAGGAGTTAGGAGAAATGTGTGCGGAGTTTCGCGTAGTTCATCCTTAATGATAATAAATATTTACCTTCTTCAGCGGATAAAATTGATCTTTGGCAGGGCGAACGCATATCTGATCGTATAGGAACACAGTCAAGGATGGGTTCGTTGCAGCTAGCAAAGGATGAGATACGCGTTTGTGGTTAGACATAGAGTGTAAAACGCGGAGAAGTCAATGTGTTATCACAGCAAACGTAAGTGCTTACCAAGTTCATCCATGAACTCATGGTCGCCCTCGTGTGAAACTACGAGCATGTAGAGCAGAGTCACTAACACCTCAATCTCAGCAGTAGCTCCTGGATCCTCGGAGAGCCTATTACAACGTATGAACGGGCGTCAGCATTTGAGTTACTCCATTGGCAAGTGTCCCTCCTAGAATCAAGCAAAATTGACTTCGCTGTGCGAGACTTACTTTGCGCATGCATTCCTAAGCGCGTCATAGTAGGCCTGAAAGGCTCCGAGTTTCCTGAGCATCTCATTGTTGGTGATGATCCACTTCAAATGCTCCTCCTCGCTGGACACTCCTGCATACGCGCCTAGTTTGGAAATATGTGATCATCAGTCGAGCGTAAATTTCCTCATGCACCAAATCCAAGTTGTTGCTTCGATCATGAAAGTTCGCTTACCCTGAGCAAGATAGATAAGTTGGTGAGCGAAAGAGAGTCGACTGGCGTCATTTTTCTGATCCAAAAAGTTCAGGAGGTACTCGGCATACGCTTCGCGTTCAGAGACAACGCTCGTCTGCCAATCTATTATCGGTGAAAAGTGGCATGTCGCCATATCAGTATTAAACGCTTTTCTGGCGGCAGTTGGTTTTCGAAAGTAGCAACCACGAAAGCAGGGTTTCAAGGCTTGTTTTACCGCCGTCGTATTCCTTGTGGAAGTTTTCTTGGTGTTTGTGAAACTGTTCGACTTCAGAGTAACTAAAGAATTCGTCAATCTCCGCTTGGAGTGTGTCCATGTCTCCATATCGAAAGACCACAGGCTCTTGCTAACATAGTATGGAGAGGTGTCATAGTAAGTCTCTTTGGTTCTTTGTTGTCTTCGAACTGTATGTAGGTCCTGTTAACGCTGTAGCAAAGAAAAGAAGGCTATGTGTAAAAAAAGTACTTTCTGTTTGGAGGGCAGGGTGCTCACAAACTGCTTCAGCTGAGCCATGGTGATGGAGTCTTGTGTAGGGTTTTCGGCCATGGTGCCTTCTCTTTAGTGTTTTTATGCTGTTTTTGTGTGCTGTTGCTAATGTGTCATGAATGAATGAATGTCTTGTTTTTTGGGTTCCTTGGTTTCGTCCTGTTGGTTATGGTCGGTTGGGAGGTTGGTTGGTGTAAAGGTGAAAAGGAGAAGTGTGTGTCCAACTTCCTCTCTCCTTTTTTCTGCATGCGAACCCCTATCCCTAAAGGGACTGCTTCCTTAAGGGACATCGATATCGTGCCTGCCACCCCTCGCCCCTTCTTTGCCCTCCTGACCAACAACCACTACATTCTCTCCGTACCTCCTTCTCAAGGAACACATCAGCCTCGTCCTCTCATGGCCACTGCCTGCATCAACAAGGTCTTCCTGGGCGTTGACGTCGGCTCAGGCTCAAGCAGGGCTGCACTCATTACCGACACTGGAAAACTCCTCGCCATCCACTCAACCCCCTTCTCGACCTCGCGTCCTGCCCCCGACTACTTTGAACAGTCCAGCGACGAAATATGGGCCTCAATCTGCACCTCCGTCAAGGCTGCTCTTCAAATCGCCAAAGTCGACCCCTCTCAAGTCCACGGCATTGGATTCGACGCGACTTGTTCCTTGGTCGCGTACACCTCTGGCACCCCCGAGACAGCCCAACCCGTCTCCATCTCGCCCAGTTCCAATTTTGAGGACCACAACCGCAACATCATCATGTGGTGCGACCATCGAGCCAAGGACCAGGCTATCCGAATCACAGAGACGCGCCATGACATCCTCAAAAATATTGGCGGTGTTATGAGTCTGGAGATGGAGTTACCCAAAACTCTCTGGTTGCAGGATAACATGACCATGGACCAATGGAACAGGATCGGGCGCCTGTTTGATCTGCCCGACTTTTTGACCTGGAAGGCGACGGGTGATTACTTGCCAAGTCGATGCTCGGTTGTTTGCAAGTGGTGCTATAAGGCGGGACCAGAAAGCGGCGATTCCCTGTCGCATCACAACAATCAAGGATGGCCCGAGGACTTTCTTCGACAGATTGGATTAGGCGAGATTGCGGATGATGATTGTCAGAAGCTGTGTGGAGTCGGCAATGAGGGTCAGCGGGTACATTTTGCTGGCGAGCATATTGGTGGGCTAACAGCGCAGGCAGCAAAGGACATGGGCTTGGTCGCTGGAACTCCAGTAGGTGGTGCAGTCATTGATGCATATGCAGGAGCCATTGGGACATTGGGAGCCAGGATGAACGGCATTTCTTCAACTGTTGACGAAGCTCGCAAGAGGATTTCTCTGATCTGCGGCACATCCTCCTGCCACCTCGTCATGAGCGACAAGCCCATCTTTGTTCCAGGTACGTCTTGCGTTTGGTTGGACGTGTCACTTACTTTCGAAGTAATCGATGTTATGAGGATTACAATGCTTACCATTGTTTCAATTTACCAATAGGTGTTTGGGGCCCATTCCATGGCGTAATGTTGCCGGATATGTGGGTTGCAGAAGGAGGACAGTCCTCGACAGGTCAGTTGATCGACTACCTCACCAAATCCCATCCAGCCTATAATGAAGCAGTCGAGCGAGCAAATGCCTCCACACCAGCAACATCGGTGTATGAGTTCTTGAATCGTCATCTGGAGACAGTCGCCAAAAAGCGATCGCTTACCAACATCGCCTACCTCACCAAGCGACTTCACATGACGCCAGACCACCATGGCAACCGAGCTCCGTTCGCGGACGAAACTATGAGGGGCTCCATCTCGGGCTTGGATCTCAACAGCAACAATCTTGACGGACTCGCTATTCTTTACTTGGCGACAATTCAAGCCTTGGCGTTGGGCACACGACAGATCTTCGAAGCTCTTTGTGCGGCAGGATATACCATCGAGACGATCTGTATTTCAGGAGGCTTGTCGCTCAACAGGATCTTTGTTAAAGTTCTGGCGGATGTAACTCAGTGTCCAGTGGTGTTGCCAGGAAGTGGAGGAGATGCGGCGGTCGTGGTCGGTGCGGCAGTGTGTGGTGCAGTCGCATACGAGTCGTCATTGGCGGGACTTGGAACGAGTATGGATGGTCTGCTCTGGAAAGCTATGGTGCGGTTGACGGAGGCATCCGATGTGATTGAGGCGGACCAGGATCCGTCCCTGAAGCGGTTCTATGAGAACAAGTTCCGTATTGTCGAAAAGATGCAGCGGGACCAACGCGAGTTCAATAAAATCATGGACGAGTGAGAAATCCTTTCGCACCTGCTATTCACTTTTTTTAACTGATCTTTGTAAGGAGCGACTCCTTCTCTGACGCGCTTTTGTGTTTTCGGCATTACAAGTTTATCATGGGTCTGCGCAGTGTGAAGTGAACAAGGCTTTCATTATCCAAGGGCAAGGAATACTGGGAACGAAAACTTTTAATCTTGCAGGTTACACGTGATGTAAATGCTTCCCAGCACATAATTTTTTGTTGCCCTTTTTTCTTCAGCAAAAGGGTTCTTTTGTGCTTTTCGTCCATTCTTCTACTTGCAAACAAAAGAGATCAGGAGACATGGTTCATGATCACCCACCCTCAACACCGGACACATATTTCCAAGCCTTCCGCTCAGAACGCGACAAGGGCCTCATCCTCATCCCCGCCGTCCAACATCCAACCCAGGGTGACCTCTTTGTGATCTGGACAGACATCACCGACTGTTTCCCGGGCGCGACTCGGATTCAGTTTGACAATGTCTTTGTCCCAATGCTCAGAGACAAACGCTGCTACCGGTATGCAGCGCCTTCTTCTACGCCTTCTCCCATGCGGATAGTTTGATGAGAGGATGAAAAAGACGTTATTTTCAATTGAAAAGTGTGTATTTTCATGGACTGATGGTCTTACATTTCCTTACGTTGTTTGTCTGTGCCCTGGATTTTTTGTTTAGGGTCAAGCCGCATGGGATCAGATATCATCCTGGCGTCGTTCTGGATATCGTCTATGGAGAATATGGCTCATCGGATATCAGGAGGACCAAGACTGTCGGAAACAGCAGTAGTCCCCGTGGCACCAATACGAGGACCGAACAGGATCTCACCACCGCTGCTGATCAGGGAATTACAACAATTTCTGGTCGTCAGGAGTTTGAGCACAAGTCGACACCTGTCGTCCTTAATGGCTTGGTAAAGGCGACTCTTGAGAGCAATGGAACAGAGTCTGCAGTCAGTCAGAACAGCTCAGTGGTCGGATCGCCGGTGCCACAACAGTCGCCTTCGGAGCCACCGGAACGTTCGCGTGATCTTGCAGAGAACAAGGACGAGGATGAGGATGGCGACTACGACGACTATCACGGCGAGCAGGACGATGGCGCAGAGCAACAAGACGACAGTACTGATGAAGGCAGTCACGGTGATCAGGAGAAGGCGGAGGAGGTGTCGGTAGCGTCTGAGGAACCGGCACCGCGGATTGTGGCCGCGGCAGCCAAGCCGGTGCAGACGTCAGAGGAATCGACGCCTGTACAGGATACTGCACAACTTCAAGCAGCCACGTCAGTCTCACAACCACAATCATCAAACGACAAGGATACAGAGGAGGAGAAGCCGGACAATGCGGACGATGACGAGCGACCATCATACACCAAGGAGCTCGGGGATCCAACAACACGGGAACTCATCTCCAACACCATCGCAGAATGTCGGCCCGCATTGACTGCCATGGCAGAGGCGAACCAAAAGCTCCGCCCCTGGGACAGCCTTCCACACGAACCGCTTGGCGTCAGGGATTGTGTTGCTCGCCGTGTCATGGATATCTTCACCAACCGACAGTCATGGACTCAGAGCAACCACTCCCGATTCTTTTGTTTCTTACCCATCTTGGACCACACCCTGGAAGACATGTACGAATCAGAGATCCAACCCGACACACGATTCGAATTTCATTATATCTGCGACTGTGGCGACGTTCCAGGATTCGAGGGCCGTTGGTATCCGCACTGGAATCTGGACTATGGAGAGCACTATCACAAGCGTGCCTCTTACGAGACCCTCAGCCTACAGCAGATCGATGAGATCATCCCACTTGTCGGAGAGTACGTTGTAGCCGTCCTCGAGATGATCCAGTGTGGCGCTTCCATTGGCAATACCACATTGTTCCCTCACAACCCCAGCCAGGAGTCCGCCATACGCATCATATTGGCCTTGCAGTATTTCGAGTCAAAAGGGGTCTTTACCTGTGAGCGATATCTTCGCAGCAGGACGGAAGACCAAAAGGTGTCCCTGGACGACATCAAACCTCTTGCCCCGCTGGATGAGAAAACGTCCAACATTCTCGCGCACAAGGTTACCAAGCACCGATGGGAAGTTTACGACGAGCTGATCCCTTACAGGACCTCGGAGGGCGATGTTCGATGGATCTGTCAACCACATTGGTACGACATGGCGCCCAAGAGAGAGTGGATGGTCGCCAGGACATTCTCCGTCAACCCAGCATCGGCCAAGGGCGAGTACCTGACCACCCAGGGAGCCTTTGTGGCGGAAGTCACGAACCGGCAGAGGATGGTCGATTACTTTTTGCTGGCTGGGCGGTTGACAAAGACATGTATCCTCAGGGTGTCGTTGAACTGGGACATGACGACGGAGGACGAGATTATTGTTGCGGAGGCGATCGGGACACTGTCGGCAGCGGCGATCCACATCACTGTTCGGCCTTCGTCCGGTGTCAAGAGTGGCTCGGGGCTAATTGGCGGATGCTTCAGGATGACGATGGCGGCCATGCGGAACCCTAATCTAGAGGCGTTCAAGATGATCCAACGGTCCCCGACCAAGGAGAAAGATTACCCAGTTTTCAACGAGCGCCACAACATCATTACCTCGCACCTTTCTATGGAGGCTTTGGCGGTGTGGACGAGACCCGAGAGGGGCGGGAAGGTTAAGGCAAAACTCACAGTAACCGATATCGACCGGGCGGCAAAGTCGGTCCGACTCTTCGCCAAGGGACTTCACCACTTTTCGGAACTCGGCCTGTCGATCGAGCCCGTCTGGAAAACGGTGACCATCAAGTTTGCGGCACCCGGATCAGGAAAACCTGGATGTGATGTGGAGGACACGGATTTCAAGAACAATGACGTCCTTTCGTACCTGGAGAAGCGGGAGTTCTGTGACGAGATCATCTATAATGGCGTCGGGGTTGTCGACAGTCGGTTTTTGTATTCCCGATGTGTCACTGAGGCGCGACTCGAGTTCTCGCTCGCACTGGATCGGGTCAAGTTGCGGGATGTCATCAAGCTGAACCGGAACCTCAAGGAGCTCAACCTCGAGAACTCGACCAAGGACGACCCCAGCCAGATCTTTGAAGCCTATAAGGCTCTGATGGCAAACCACCCTTCACTCAAGTCGTTCGAGATTTGTCATCGCCATCTCAGCAGGACATCCTCCAACTTTTCATGGACGAACCCGAATGACCCTGCCAAGATGCGCCTGCGCATTTCCTGCTTCGAGGGCGACAAGGTCCAGTCCCTCTTCCAAAAATACGCCCTCATCATCGAATCTCTCTCTGTCGATCAACTCCAGGCAGGCGAGTCGGCAGCGTTAGAGAAGGCGATCCGACCCAAGAAGGGCACAGCCGCTCTGCGAGCTATCAACATCAGCGACCCCCACCTCATGGACCCATCTGTACTCGACGATCTCAAAAAGGTTATTCTGCGAACCAACATCGAAGTCGTCGCTGTCTACGGATCGGTCAAACGGACAAGGACACTCCCCGACTACGAAACCGAACAGGAACAAGACAGCAGCAGTCGGTCGGTCAAATTCGGCAAGGATAATAACAACAAACCTAGAGTGATCAAGGACGCGGACGGAAATGAGGTGGTGATTGACGAGGACGATCACGAGACAGAGAACGCGAATGTCTGGGCAGAGTTTTTGGTCGGGATCCGATCCAAGGTGTCGCGGTTATCTGTCCGGAGCAATGGTTCGATCTTCAAGGCCCTGGAGAGCAGGATGGTTGATTCCTTGGAGATGCCTCGATTGACCGACCTCAGCCTGTTGGGAGAATGGGAGCTCAGTCTATTCGGCTACCAATGGATCGAGAAACTCATGCAGCTCAAGAAGACCAGGAAGGAAACCATCGAATCCTTCCAAGTCTCTGGAGCGACCATCCTCCCCGAAGAATGGGAACGTCTCCTCCAAGTTCTGGACTTTTCACACATGACAAAGTTCCAAGTCGAACAACACAACCCACTCCCACCCGCCTTGCTGGGACCAATCACGGACAAGATCCCAGAGGGCAAGTCACCGATGGAGATCTTCATGGTTTGCGATGATCGGACGTTGGATGGGTATGCGGTTCTGGAGCATGAGGAGAAAGTCCGGGCCAAGATCTCTGAACGGAACATTGTTGTTATTATTAATGGATATACCATCTCGTAGACACCCTCTTTTTTCTTTTTCTTTTTTTTTCCTTCAGAGTAATAACCACCTAGTATGACACCGTATGTATTTTTTTCTTGTAACTTTGGATTAAGCGAGTGAAAATAGTAGATGTCAGGAAATGCTGGCATATGACTTTAGCACTTGGAGTGTGCGGCCATGATGTACAATAGACGATTGAGATATGTGGTCGCCATGAATATGGCTGCATCAACGTGAATGCGCATGCGTGTTCGAGAGAGAGAGAGAGAGAGAGAGAGCTAACGACCAGCAAATAAAAACATGCATTGGAGTCCATGTCATGACGACAACCTTCTTTGAACAAAAGGGTACCAACAGCATAATTAATATCGTCGTGATTCCAATGACGCATAATGGGAAACAAAGAGGTCGATCTCAGGAAAAGAAAGAACGGAGGAATGAAAGAAAGTAAGATGAGAAGGTAGTTCATTGAACGAGGGAGGGAGAGAAGGGACGTTGTAGGTCGCGTAGAATATCTGGTCGCCGGGTCTTTTCAGTTCTAGAAAAAACGCGATGGCTCTTCGAACAGTAGGGAGGTACTTCGTGCGAGTAATGAAAAAAGTGGTGAGTTGGCGTGTGAGTCTGAGATTGTGCGAAGGATATAATATTGTGTCACAGGAAAAAGGGAAAGAGAGGCGGGCTTCTCAGTCGCCACCGTTGACCTTGAACCCATAGTGATAGAATAGTGGTAGACCGAGGAATGCAACGAGAGGCCACAACAACAAACAAACACCAACGTTTTTTTTTTCTTCTCCGAAATGAAAAGGTGTGGTTTGCCCTCATGAACAATGAGTTCGAGTTCTTTATTTGTATCAAAATGGTGGTGGTACAAGGGTGGATATCATTTTTTCTACCACAGAGAGCACTTCTTCTCGGGGTTCATCCGCGTCCTGGGCGCACACTTGAAAGCCTCTGCAAACTCGACCGAGTTCTGGAGAGAACCCAGGACACGGAACTTGTTGAGGGAATGGTTATCGACGTTAATGAGTGTCGCGGAGTATTCGGGCGTCTCCTTGCTGCACCAGACCTTTCCGTGGGAGATGAAGAACAGTTGTTCGGGGGTGTACTTTTCGAGTCCAGGGAGTTTAAAGTTCTTGTACCTGTATTAAGTAGGGGCGAGGGGTAGGTAAGAGATGAAAAAAAGGTTTCGGTGAGCAAGGATGTGGAGATGAAAATTTCGCGCCCTGTGTGACGGATCTTTGCGGCGGGGGAGAAAAGAGGAATAAGGGAGCAAAAGAGTGAAGCGATATGAAGAGAAACCTACTTCTTGCCAGTGGGATCAGCCTTGAGACGGCTCTGCCAGGCGCGGAAAGCGTACTTGACACCTCCGTTATCGGCAATGTTCTCACCAAGCGTCTTGGGTCCATCGAGATGTAAATCCGTGCCATCGGGCCCCTTGATCGTGTAGTTGGCATACTGCTCGTTGAAGCACTGTGCTTTTTCGGTAAATGTTTTTTCAGTCGCTGGAGTCCACCACTAATAAGAAGAGAGGGAAAAAAAAGGAAGAAGGCCAGAGTGTGAGTAAGAAAGCTGGTGGCAAGGAGAAAAGTAAGGATAAAGTGGGAGAGGACAGGGACTTACGTTGGTGAAGTTGCCGGTGAAATCAAATTTCCTTCCGCTGCTGTCGAAGCCATGCTATTTTTTTTGTAAGTAAGCAAACAGAGAAAAAAAGACGCGTGTCAGAAAAAAAAAAGTACACAAACAGCTGAGAAACAAACATTCAAGAACAAAGAAAGACAGCTGCAATAAAGGTACTTACTCCGATCTCGTGTCCGGCAATACCTCCCAACCCAGCAAAGTTGACATACTCTGGGTTAGAAGCATGGAACATTGGCGACTGCATAATGCCAGCAAATGCATAGATATGGTTCGTGGTAAACATATATACGGCATTCACGTCAGTTGGAGCCATCTGAGGGATCTTCTTCTGCACATAAGGCTCGTTCACGGTCGCAAATGACTTCTCGGCCGCCCAGACCGACTTTTTGTTCCAGTTGCTAAAGTAGTCTGAGGCGTCGACATCGTATCCGCTGTAGTACTCCTCGACAGACTCGGACGAGGCGCCGTTGGGGGATTCTGCAGACTGTCCAACAACGAGGCCCATGGCGTGGAGTTTCTTGAGGGCGCCGTCCAAAGTGATCTGATCGATCCAACTAAGGGTTGGGAACCCTTCTCCGTAGGCGGAGATGATACTCTGAAGCATGGTTCTGAAGATGGTCTGGTCGGACTCTAGGAGAGTACGTTCAACAAAGTAGTGGCCCACAATGTCGGGAAGGGTCTTAGTGACGGCTTCGTTACACACCTCCCACCGTTCTTGTCCAGGAATTGCGGCCGTGTTTAGACGTTCTTTCTGGGCGGAAATGATGCGCCAGGCAAAGTAATTTCGGAGGGTCTTGACCGAGGTCGAGCTAAGGAGAGTCTCGAGGGCCGGCAAGAACTCGGGCGATTGGACACTGAGCGGGCGACCATACTTGACGTCAACTGGAAGGAGCTCGGACAGAAGCAGTGGCCAGTCAATCGATGGGGTAGCGTTGGAGAGTTCTTCGACCGTTATGGGGTTGTTAAACATGGGCAACTCTGGATCCAGGTTTGGGCGCGTGGTCTTAGCTGTCGCATCGGCAAGCAAAGTCTCGAAGGCAATGACATCTTGGGCAGCAGTAGTCCACTCCTGATCGACCGCGGGCTCAATCTCGGGTGTAGTACCATTGGTGGCAGAAGGAACTGTTACTCCAAGGACCTTCTGGAACTGCTGTGCAATGTCGGGTACAAGATCTGCCGCGTCTGTGAGGCTCTGGTTGTAACTAGTGATAGGGAGTGTCAATCCTCCTTGCATGCCTAGAATACTGCTGTAGCGGGGGTTATAAAGCTGTTGTCCGACGCCGATATTGTAAAAGATGAGCACTTCCAGTTTGATCAACTGCGCCATGGTCTTGGCAAGAGCAGCTTTGTCGATGGCGGGCGTATCCGGGATGAGACTGAGAACCGACTGGACTTGTTTGGTCAAGGGCTGCTGACCTGCAGTTTGAATCGCATCGACATTCATACAGCTGGCGTACATATCGTGCAGCTTCTTGAGGTTGCTCTCCGCTGCCTTGTCGCCTGGTGCAGGTTTAGGCGCCTTTCCCAGCGCCGCGTCAGCGATCTCACGGATGATAATCTGGAAGCGACAATCAAGGAAGGAATTAGTTTTCGTCAGTACCGTGGCTCAAGGTATGTTTGAAGAACACAAGCGAAATGGGATGGTAATAGAGAAGCGCGTTCGACATACGTTGTTTCGACTAGACATGATCGTTTGAAAGTTGACCGATGTCGTGTTGACATCAACAACTGTCTTCTCGTAGAATGCTCCGCCTACGTTAATGAGTAGTAAAAAGAAATGTTAGGGGTGATAGAAAACTAAAAAGTTATAAACAAAAACGAATTGGGCGGTATGACTTACAAGTGAACTCGGTAAAGTCATCGCATGGGTCAGCATTGGGGTTCATGTAACCGAGGAAGCTTTCTGCAGTGGCGATACATTCGGGGGTATTACAGACGTCCTAAAGCGAGTAAAGAAAAATGGGCTCAAGATTTAGAGGGATTTCAATGTCATTCGTAAAAACAAAGCTGATGGACCGGTGGAGAGCTGTGTGGTGTTTCTTACTTGGTTGAGCAGACGAGATCCATTTTCGCCTACGTTCCAGATGGGTGCTGCTGCGACCATGCTGATCGCAGAACCGATAGCCATGAAGACCGCAAGTTTTGTGGAAACCATGGTAGACGTTTTTTATGTATGTGTGCTTGTTGTGTGTGTGTACTTGTTTGTGTGACGAAGAGGCGAGGTCGATCTTTTATGAGCTGTAGTAGCGGATACTGTGTTGATTGTGTGAGTGCTTGTGGAAAGTAGTTTATGATGCTGGGTAGCTGAAGTGTGGGAGATTCCCTTTTATACAAAGCAGAAACAGGAATGTGAACAAGGACGATGGCACAGCCTATGGCGCGCGGTAGCAATTGGCCAATCAGATTTGTCCTCCTTCCACGAACACACTCACACCTAGCCCCGTCCCTCAACGGAAATGGAATAGGGTCTTTTGAATTCAACGCCCGCCTCGTTTATGTCTTCGGTATCGAATCCAGCCCTTGGTAAAAACTGTCTCCACGAGGTGTTAGTAAAGTATCATCGGTGGAACCCGAGGAGCGAACATACAAAACAAAAAAGGCAGCGTTCTATTTTTGTCATCATCAAAGCTTCCCCCTACGCACAAGCTTGGTAATGTGCTAAAGCCTAAGCATACACTTCGTCCACTCTTTTTTTTTACTCTCAGATATCTGACATGGTGGAAAATGGATAGAGATAGGGTGGATTAAGAAACCTACTCGGGCTTAGCGGTCAATTGGCTACCACTGTACAACTACAAAGATCCGAAAGAAAATTCCATCTGACTCAGCCTCGAGATAGTATTTTATGTCGAAGGTGGGATAGTACAGAATGACAAGGTCATGGGCTGGGTGTGCATTCGAAGAAAAAAAGAGGGAAGAGGCGTTTATGTGGGACGGGAAACCTTAATTTTTTGTACGGAAGTCTGCAAAAGATCAAACATTTTTTTCTTGTCGATCAAAGGGTTGGGCTAGTCTCGTTCAATCTCTGCCAGGCACCGCCTCATTGCTACCGAGGGCTTATCATTTTATTTCGCTCTTTTGTCGGATAGACCGTGAGTGAGCTATGCTAAATTTAAAATACACCCACGCATCCTCTCATCATATCCATTTTAGAGACGGAGAAACGCGACATCGTAGGCATTCGAAGGAAATACCAAATGCTTTGTGGACCAGTATAACAATTACGCCATCAAGAAACCCAAGAACGAAGATTCAAAGTGAACGCAGAGATGACCCTCCCCGAGAATCTTGCTGATAACGCCAGTACCAAGATGGCCTTCCGCAGCTGGCAGTCGTTTCCAGTCTGATCCAAAGGTGAACAAGCAGCCTTTTTTACTCCCTCTTTTATATTTTGCGCCATCTCCTACAAAAAAATGCATAATGTAATCTAACCAATCCCCATTTTTCCACTCATCCCAACCAGCCATCACCACCAATACCTTCTCCTCTGACACCCTACAGAATCACCGACGTCAAACTCCCAGGCCTGGACAAATATACCCCGGAACAACTCTTCTTCATCGCATACGGTCGTCTCCGGTGCACCAATATGACACCAGGGTCACCTGTAGACCTCGTCAACCACAACAGCCATTCGTCTCCTAAATGGCGAATCAACGGCGCCGCCCAGAACTCGTCCGATATCGCGAGAGCGTTCAAGTGTAAGGCGGGTGCGATTATGAACCCTAACAAGAAGTATGAGGTGTTGTAGATGCTGGTTGGTATCAAAGGAGGAGAAAGAAACAAAAGAGGAAGAGCATTTGAAGTACATGTCGATGAAAATAATAATACACGTACCATTATTGCGCAACGATTCATTTTGTTCAAGACTTCCAATCCTCTCTTGGCGCCCTCATGTCCTCGGTCGGCAGCCTTAGAGAACCATTCTGTGGCCTTTGTATTGTCCTAGGAAACACCTTGGCCGTTTTGTAGAGAAGGCCGATGCTGCATTGAGATATGGCAAGTTCACGCTGGGCGGCCTTGTGGAGTTAGTTCATCGCTTGCTTGTTGTCCAGAGGAATGCCTTGACCATACTTATGTAGAAACCCGATGCCGTGCTGAGAGGCGACATATCCTTGCTCGGCTGCATTGAGGTACCAGTCCATTGCTTGTGCGTAGTCCTGCCGGACACCTTGACCAAAGTAGTACAATTCGCTAATGTCGTACTGCGATCCTGCATGTCCTTGATGGGTGACTTTGAGGATCCAACCCATCTCCTGTGAGTAGTCTTGGGGAACACCGCGATCAAGGTTGCAGAGAACTCCGATGCTGTGTTGAGCTTCAGCGTATCCTTGCTCGGCAGCCTTGAGGTACCATTCCATGGCTATTAAGTGGTTCTGCGAGACATTGAACCCTTCATCGTAGAGGCCACCTACTCTCTGCTGTCTAGCCGCGTCTCCTTACTGGACAGCCTTGAGATACCACCCATGGCGGCCTGATAGTCTTACAGACCCCCATGCCATCCTTATACATGTCACCAAGCGCGACCTGAGCGTTCTTGTCCGCAGGCTGGCATTGATGCCCGTCTGGGCTACATCCATCTCCACGGGTACATCGGTTGTTGCAATTTTAGGTCGTGTAGTTGAGATCACTTTGTCGCTGTCAGGACGAGGAGTGGTTGGAAGATCCTTGACGACTGATGTTCGATCGTACAACGCTGCATGCGGATCTCGAGCTGACGGGAACGCAAGGGGTCTGTCGATGTGAGTGTAGTTTTCCATCGTCGTCTCTACAAGACCATAGACTGGGTTTTTAGGGAAGCGGAGGTTGCGCTAGAAGGGGCAGTGGGTGTTGGGGTGGTGTTCAGGGAGGCAGTCTCGACCTTTATCGCGCTGTCTCCGTCCTGCGGTGGCGCCGGTTGCAATGATAGTTGTTGGACCTGGGGGAGGCGACCTCTATGCCAACCAATGGGCCATCCACAGCTACATCCAGAACGGTATTCGGTGTGGCGGCAGTCCTGCGGGGTAGAAGACTAGGGTCATTGCCAAAAAGAAAAACGTGAGTATTTTTTTTATCTTTCATCCGGGCATATACACTAACGCATCAAAAGCACTACAAAAATACTTACATTTTGTACATACACCGTAAAGTCCTTCTTCTTTAGATACAGCACCACTCTCGTTCTATGTCGAACTTACACTGCGTTATCAAAAGCCTGGAGGATATTGTCTCAGAGAACAATCTCCTTCTGCGTCTCAGGGTCGGGGTGAGTGTCGACATGGTATATCTCGTCGGGTGTGGCGGGGGTAACGGCGTTGGGTCGGATGCTCTTATCGACAGAGCGAATTGCTTGGACGCGCCCCTGAGGATTATCCTCTTGTAACATTGTGTTAGTGCGTAACGGGTGGCGAGAGGAAAGATGTGGCGTGAGAGGTGTGTTGTGATGGAGGGTGATGCTGCTCTACTGCTGATGGGAAGGAGTGAATGTAGGAATGAGGGGAAGAGGAGGACGTGAGACTGGGTGAAGATGGAGAGATGAGGAAGGAAGAAGGGGAAGAAGGAAGAAAATAATAAGAACCTCGCCACAAGCGGGTGGTAGTGAACATGACGGACAAGCGGAACCTTCCAATTCATACACCATTAAGCGCGCTTTGGCCCACTTTTTTTGAAAGGGAGCGTTGAGGATGATAGGTATCTGTAATTGCATGTTCAATTAAGAAGGGAGGTCTTGCGCGGAGTATAAAAAGCCAGCGCGTCCCCTACTTCCACTTCTTCTTTCTTCTTTCTTCTTTCTTCTTTCTTTCCTCTTCACTCTCTCTTCGCCCTACTGCTGATTCTACTACATCTCTGTCCCTCTTCCCCCAGACACTCATTCTTCCTCACCTGCACTTGCTTTTGCAATCAACAGACAACAGCCACAAAAACACTCATTCAGCTTTACGCCACCAAAACTTACTTCACAAGGAATCAGCAACCAACACAACACACACATACATCACCCTCATCACCAAGTGCCTCATTCGCCTTTTTTTTCTTCACCATGGCTCCGTATTCGCCAACGTATCTTGCTGTGCCGACAGAGTTAGTGCCACACCCTTGTTTTGTTTACATGAAGAACAAACTCATTCTTTTGCTTTTGATTCACGCGTATCCACGCGCTACCAGAAAGACGTAAACAAACAAACATTCCTTAAATTAACAACCCTTGTTTGTTTTTTGTCTGGCTGTAGGACGACAGTGGATAACACCACCAACAACAACAACATGGCCGTCAAGCAGATCGCCAAGATGAACGAGAACAAGAACAAGGAGCACAAGCTGATGATCCCGGAGATCCTGATGCTCATTGCCTCCTACCTCCCTCTTTTCGACGTTCGCGACAATGGTAGATACTACCACACTGTTGATATCTGGGATCCCAAACCTCTCCTCCGAGCAGCTACCGTCTGCAAGACCTGGCACCAGGTTTTTACCTCGGTTCTATGGCAGACGTACGACCTTGCCATCATGGAAAACATTGTCCCTCTCGACGTCCTCCACAGGAACATCCATCTCGTCCGCAACCTCTCCCTCTTCGACAAGAAACATAAGAAGCATGCACCACTCTGGGACGCACTCCAGGGGCACGCGCATATCGAGAAGTTGGCGATCCACGACGCCGTGTTCCCTGTCAAGAAACTCCTCGGACCCACGAACCATAATCTGGGAGAGCTTAAGCTCTCGGGGACGTGTGAGCGCATGCATCCCTTCTTGATGATCTTTGTTGAGAGGCAAGTCCATCTCAAGTCCCTCGAGTTGACACGGTTCAAGTTTACGGCCTCGGACTGGAAGCGTATCATCTCGAATAAGCCTCACCTCCGCAAACTCACCATCGCCCAGCAGTGCGAGTTCCTCGACCACAAGAGCGACGAGAACCAGGACAACATCACTGAGGCAGAGGATCCGACTCCGGGCATGATGACGACAGCAACCGGTAACCACCCCTCAGTCACCAACAACGACGCTCCCATCAGCAATGGAGAAGCCACTAGTGGAGGATCCAAGAAGCGCAAGAGCGACGAAAATGGTGGAGGCAGCTCCAAGAAGCGTAGACGGGCCGAGCTCGTCAACGCCGAGCTGCCTGACGCCAGGAACATTGGCACTCTCTCGGTCACCCACCTTGTTCTCCAAGACAACCTCCTGTTACTCCCCTTCCAGAAGGCCATCCTCGAGGCCTGTCCACACCTGGAGCAACTCGAGATCTGCTACTCGAAGAAGGCAGACGGTGGCAAAGTCGCTACACTGGTCAGAGATAACTGCCGCAAACTCCGTCGACTCACGCTGGAAAGCACTCGACAGCCATGGACTCTGGAGATGATTGACGGGATGCCGCACACGGTCGAGGAGCTAACTCTCCACACTGGTCAGCTGGACCTCCAGATGGCAGCTGCAATCAACGCACACGCCGATAAACTGACGAGACTGGAGCTCGATTTTGGACGAAGGGGAACCAAGGGCAAGCGTAGGTTGACATGTATCCTGTCGATCCTTCGAAAGTGTACTGAGCTCAGAGAGTTCTCGTACCACAACCATGCAACAGACAAAGTCTTCAAGGGGATGATGCTCAATAAGCCCTGGAACTTGCCCAACCTGCGCAAGCTACATGTCCGCGGTGTCTCCCCTCGAACCCGGTACAATGGCCTCCCACAAGTTCCCGTTCCTAGCAGCTGGAGACAGGAGATCCAATTCCGAAACGACGACTGCTGCAACACCCGGTGTGTGGAGGATGTCCCCAAGCAGGGCGACACGCCACTCTCCCCTCACTTCGACGTCGCCCTGCTGAATCACATCAAGGACCTCCCCAATCTCTCGGAGGTCATTATTACCGAGGCGAAATATCGCAAGAGGCTCGGTTAGAAGACGGCCAGGAACTCACATCGGCGTCATATCCGGATATCAACCCATTGCTACGCCTCTTCCATCCTCTTTCATCCTCTTCTCGCCCTCCCTTACTCTTTTTTGCTCTGTTATTTCATTTCTAATTGTTTACTTTTTGTATTTGTTTCATTCACTAACTGGCGACCCGCCTTTGTATAATACATCTTTTGTTTCTTTGACTTCACCACTTTCATACCGAGTTTTTTTTCCCCTTCTTATCTGCTCCGCACAGCGAGGCATTGATTTTCTCTAGTCAGTTGAGTTCGCACATAAGTGTGTTGTTCCCTTGTGCCTCCTGATCTATTCTACTTGTATATTTTTCTACCTTTCACCCATCGTATATTTCCCAACCCAACTGCTGGCCTCATCTTTGCTCTTTGCTTTTTCTTCCTTTATATCATCACAACAAATCTACATTTTGCTTATTATTCTTCTACTGTACACTACGCCTAGTCTTTGCTTGCTCATTTTTCTCGCTAATTTGCTACCTTACCACCTTTTCTTTCTCGAATAAATAAATCAGAAAAGGGCATGATGCCCACAAAAGTAAACAATCGTCGATCTATAGCATTGTAGCAGATCGCTCTTTAGATTACCGATAGTGGTGCGAGTGAGAACTGCTGTAGAAGGATTGATACTTCCTTCTAGCAGACCAGAATTTGTTACGCGTTCATTTTCTCGACGTCCTTCATGTCTAACGTTCTTGCCTAGGTGTACTATCCGAAAGACTCAAATATTTGAAACCTAGGGCCTAGAATGACGGGGTGTTCCCACTTGTACCTTTCATGTAGACCCCATCTTCATTCACCTCTCTGTCTTTCTTGCCGTGATTCGTCGTTGTGAGCTTATTCCTTATTAAATTTTTCTCTTACAAAAAGGGAGAGTTGACATCTGGTGGACAAACACAAACAAAACAAACAAACAAGCAAGCACAAATAAATAGCGGTAACATAAATACAACCGGGTAAAATAAAGGAATGGCTCGACCATTGGACCTCTTTGGGGAGATGGAAGGAAGAGTTTTTATTAGATGGACTCCCTCGTCCACTCTCGTCGTCTCTTCGCTTATGAAGATAGAGGATTTCGATTGCTCTTCGATATATTAACAAATATGGACAGGAGAAATAAGCGAGGATGATGAGAGATACATACATTCATTCAGCTGAAGGGCGTTATGAAGAGAAATCAAGGGGGGGGGATGGGGCTCCAATGCGGGTTTTAGGGTATCCGATACGTTATGAGGTGTTGTATTGTAGCCATGTATTGACCCATACCATACAGGGACGTACCCTTCTCTTAAAATTGACAATAGAGGCGCCAAGGGGTTCAGGGGTGAAAAGTGTGTATTGGGGTTTGAGGTAGGCCGCCAACGGACAAATTCAGGAACGGGGGATTGGGGGGGGGGGCTCCGATCTTATGCCAACGGAAATGTCAAACATGATTTTGGGAGACCAGGGGGAAAGAATGAAGGCCTAGTACCTATCTTCCTCCTCTGGTATTCAAGAATATGCATTGGATCTGATATAGATGAGAGGGGGATACTCCGCTGACACAACGGCGACCTAGAGTAGAGAGGAGCAAAAAAAATGAAATGAATAGAGCAAGGCTCACTTGTCCGTGTGGCAGGGCAAAGGGCCAAGAGAGCAGGGTGGCAAAGGGTTAAGAGCACAAAAAATAACGATAACGGACTTGAGGACATTGAGAGAGCAGAAACGGATACAGAGGCGTAGTCGATGGACAAGGCGGAAGTGGTGGGTGCTCAGTCCAGGCCAAAGAGCGAAGAGTCGACCGCCTGTATGTGATCGAAAAGAGAGGCGTGGGTGTTGATGGACAGGAAAAACTGTATTTTGTGATGACTCGTGGTTGTATAGCCGATGAGTACAGTTGATGGGAATACAAGAACAAAAAACGCACGCAAGGCACACATGTACACGCCGTGTGCCTTTTGAGTTTGCCACTTCGGTTTGGCCGGATGATGGCTGCGCCAGTGATGACGATAATAGTGTTACTGTCGGCTTAACTGTGCCCTTCTTCGCCAGGGTTGGCTATATCCAATTGAAAGTAACAACCGCGGAGGATGGGCGGTGTCGTTTTACTTCCATTCTAGAGACGACAAGCCAGGTAAACAACCGCAGTGAAGATCATCCATAACAGAACCAACAAACGGACAAAAGAGCAGATCAGGACAGTAAAGCGGTTGCTATGTTTCTAGCTTTGTTTTTGGTTTATTGTAGTTGTTTCTGTTGTACATGGTTGTAGGATGATGATGTGAAGAAGTAAAAAAAGGGGAATAACTATGTTACAAAGGTGGATATGTCAAAAGTAGATGGGATCGAGATAAAGGAGTAGATGATGCTATAGTACAGGAGAGGGGTAATTGGGGAAGGTCACTTGAGTTCTTGTTCATCCTCCTATTTATGCGCGGGAAGAGAAGGCAGGCAAGCTGGTGTGGAACGGGTTGGTGTATCCAGAGAACTTGCGGCCCTTGCCAATGATCTCGACTTTGATCTGGTAGTTGCCCAGAGGAGTGTCCTCAGGCAAACAGACATACATGAAGCCGGCCTTGGCGTCGACATTGGCAGCAAGGACACGTACGACCTCCTGGGTCTTCATGGAGACCAAGAGGATGTTAACACGGGCACGACGGGCAGTCTCGAGGGCCTTGGGGATTGACCATCCGACGGTGTAGGGAGCGCGGAGGACCAAGGTGCCACGGAGGGGCTGGTGGGTCAATTCGACGGATTCGGTCTCGAGGATAGCGTGCTGGTTCTTGCGCTTGAAGATGAGGTCGCTGGTCTCGGGCTTGCGAACCGTCTGTGGCTGCTGCTCCTGAACAACCTCGTCCTGATCTTGAGGCTGCTGCTCGTTAACAATGGAAGAGAGAGCCATCTGGGCCTCGGCATCAGAACTCTCCTCCTCAACAAGGATAATGCTCTGAACAAGCGAGCGTCCGATGACGATCGAAGTACGACCCTGGAAGACGGTCAAGAGGAGCGAGTAAGTTCCAGGGACAATCTCGGGGCGCAGATTGACCTGGGTCGAGCCGAGGCGAGTGGGGACATAGCGACGGAGGAGGATGGACTCTTTCTTTTCGTGGTGAAGGAGGGCGATATCCATGGTTGAGCCCTCAGGCATGTGAACAGTGTCCCAGTGGACGGTTGGGAGAGAGTCGACCAGCCAGAGGGTGTCTGTCTGGGGGGAGGAGACCTCGAAGCGGAAGGGATTTGAGGGTGGAGCGGGGCGTTGTGGGGTTGGGAGGGCGTGTGTGAGGGTTGAGAGGATGGCGAGGAGGAGGATGAATGCGAGTGTGGTTATTGAGCGAGCCATTGTTGATTTTGTGTTGTGCGTTGGCTTCTTTGTTGGTTGTTGCTGTTGTCGAGAAAGAGAAAGAGAAAGAGAGAAGAGGAAATGGAGCGAAAGAGAGAGAGTGGAGATTATACGGTCGAGTGCTGGTGGCGGTGAAGTGAGGAAGAGAGGGTCAATGGAGAAAGTATGATACAGAGGGCGAGAGAGATACAGTGATGCGAGTAAAAGAGAAAAGTTCAAAAGTGAAAAGTGAAGGATAAGGAAGAAAGCCGAAGGGGGGAATGGTTGTCTTTTTATAGGAGTGCCTTTTTCCAGGATTCTTTTACGCCCACAAGCAAGAGAGGGGAGTGTGCGGGCACTGCAGCGTCAGCAAGGGAAGCGAGAGCAAAGAACAGGCGGCGGTGAACAAAAGAAAAAGTGGGTCTGTTGACTGAAAGGCGATGTTGAAGGGGTAAGAATAGATTTCGTTCTTTCTCTCTCAGTTGACCGATTGGAGACAGACAACCAACGAACAACCCTTTTTTGTATACGCTGCGAATGGGCTATTTTTGTCGCCCCTGAACCCAGTTCTGAACCCCAGCTATGTGAACGCTCTAATTCAATTGCTCAATTATTCTTTACCTCTTTGTTTGTTTGTTTATGTTTGTGCACACGCTACTTCTTTCATGTCTGCGTTCCTAGGGTCAAAGGGCCAAGGAAAACAGGGGGGTAAACATGCCTCCCCGCTCTGTCCACCTGCCCATCATCCACCCAAAGTCAGTCGACAATCTCCTCGACCACTCAAATTTGTCCATTCTTCAGCATGCCTCTCCCTTCTCTTCACTCTTCATCCTTGGAATTCATGTACGCCCTTTTTTTTTTCTTGTGCTCGTCTACTTCTGCAATGATGGATGCGGCGAGGGTCTGACCGTATACCTGGAAAGTCCATGAATGAACAAATGCAGGAAAGAAAAAAAGAGACAGGGGACAATGCGGTATTCTTTTGACCCTTCGTTAGCCGAGGAGCAGTTGGAAGGACGAAGGTAGGACTGGGAAGGGAGGAAAAACATACCTCCAGTCCAGGTAGTCCAGGCAGTCCAGGATGGCATATCATGTTTGACACTTGAATGCAGGAAAGCAGAGAGGTGGGGGCTAGGGCATAGGTTGGTCGAGGCAGAAAGTGAAGACAGGTGCGATGCAAATGGGCGCAGGCAGGATAAAAAAGACCGCGATAGCCTCATTCTTGTCCTTTTCATCCCTCTTTCTCTCTGTCTCCCTTTTAACCCTGTCTAGGCCTATCTATATACCCTTTTTAGTTCTTTAATGCGTGCCTCGACTCACATCATTTGTCTTTTTCCTGCACACCTACCATTCTTCCTCCTCGGCGTTTGTCTGTCCCTTCTCTCACCATTAGGGTTTCCTTTGCACATCCTTCAGCTCGCTTCTCTCCTTAGATTCGATATCTATGCACTGCCAATGGCAGGTTTGGTTTTTGGTTCAACAACCAGTGATAATGAAAGAATAAAAAAAATAAAAAGCGAAGGAGGGGCTGCTTCTGATTGGCACTGCCCTACCATTGCAGCATGGTTTTGTGAGTGTCCCTTGACAACAGGAGAACTAGATCTTTCTATTCCCCTTCCTTCCCTCCTTCCCTCATCCTTCTTCCTTCACTCACCTGCCAGCCTGCCACAATACCTTTTTATCCGTTTTTGCGAATAAGTCTGCCTCTCGCTTTTTTTTTGCTGTTTTATGGTCAGCAGTAGGGTAGATCGATTTATCCAATCCAATCATTCAAGCCTGCGCGTTGTCATGAAGTGTCCAGTGAGAAAGCGAGCACGAGAGAATGAAGAGTAGGAGAGCTGAGTTCCAGAGCTGGTAGCCGTTTCTCTACCCAGCTCAGGCTACACTACGTCAGGCACCAGAAACTTCAATGTAGAAAAGCGCAAGGAATTAAGAGAACGCCCAAGTGAAACCTTCGTGGTAGCATCGTGGAACGTAAACTGTTGGTCGTCCTTATTCTATTTTTGAAATGGGAGGAAGGTATTCATGACCAGCTCAAGCACGGCGGCCACGAACACAACCCTTCTTACTCGCTCCCTCACACCCACTGTGGACTGCAGTACATTGTGGGGATATTTTGTCTCTTATGAAGAACACATGGAAGAGCTTTTCTCTCTGCAAAACATCCTTGCGTAGTGATATATCTAACGTGTGTAAGAAATCTCCGGTTCAACTGGACCGCGTTCTATTTTTTAATATGGTGGAGTAGCAAAGGGGGGGAAAGAGAAATAGACAAAAACCGATGCTAATGGCAGGCACGACGATGGGTAAAACAGATGACAAGGATAGGAGGAAGAGGGTAGTACGCTGCCTTTTTTCGATGCAAACAGACCGCAGTGGGGACACTAGCGCAATCGCTACTAATCTCCCTCCTTTTTTCTACTCTTCACTCGTGATCGGACAGGATAACAACACAGATAAGTTGGGGGGATTTATTTGGCGAGGAGGCGGGATGAGGCAGTGCGAGTTGAGTGCACGACAAGCAACCAACTGACATAGATAGAAAGGCGGGCTGTGACAGAACAAACAACACGAATATATTGGACATCATCGCCACCTTACTCCTTTCTTCGTCCTCGTTTCCTCTTCTGCTGCACTCCATAAGCAATTGTGGAAAAGAGAGGAAAGAGGGGAAGAGGGAGGGGAGGGAGCGGATGAGACTTGATCCGTGCTGTGTCCAAACCCTGCCGTACAGGATGGCGCCGACGGGATAAATGGACCATCTGCCCACCAACAAGTTCGCTTTTCTGCGCTAAGGAAGGGACGAAGGAAAATATTCGGCGATGCCATGGCGGTTGAGTACAAACGAAAGTATACTTCTTCTGTCCAACTTCAATTTTTTTTTATTCTCTGACAAACAGAAGCTGCAAGAGGTGCATACAAGCCCCATGGGCTCGGGTTGCAAGGGAGAATCGTACATAATCGGCCGTTTGTTAGCAAGGCGCAAGGTTCGAGGATGACGGTATTCTGTTTCTGGTGAGCAAACCCTTTTCTGCTTCCCACAAGAACATCCGAGCGATAATTTTTGTTGTGCATGCGATGATTATTGTCTTCTAAGACGTTTTTTCAACTCTTTCATGCCCTTTCATGTCAAAAACTCCATTTCGCACATGCATACATTACCTTCAAGCCCACAGAATTACATGGACTCTACAACTCTCAACTCATCGACTCGGGACAGGAGCAGGAGTCGTAGTAGAGATAGGCGAGGCCGGAGCAGAAGTAGGAGCAGAGACCGCAATAGCAATAACCAACGCAAATTCTCTTCTGGCAACAGCAACAAGTACCGTCGGGGCAGTCAAAGCCCTCCCAACGACCGTGAGACCTACGACAAAGAGTCAAAGTTGAGTTCTGGACCTGAATATCGCAACCGCCTGGATAGAGATGGTCATTCATCGTCTTCCTCGTCGAACTCGGCTGACAGAAAGTACAGCCAGAGGGCTGACTTTGGCAACAATCGACAGGCGTTATCGACATACGACAACAGCCAGAGGTCGTCCCGCCAGCAACAACAACAGCAGTACTCCCGGAGACGAGACGATGTAAGACATCGACTCCTTATCTCTTAAACTTTCTTATTTTTTTGAACGGGCATTAAGGAAACCATCGCCTGGCAGCTCTTTGGCGTTGTTGTTCAATTGATGATGTTCAATTATACCCAACCTTGAACATGTTTTGGCTTGAATGACTTGGATCAACACTCCTCCCTCCGTCCTTCCCTCGCCTCTTTTCCTTTTCCTCAAACGGTGTCTCAGCGGCTCTCAAACTCACGTTGTGTCTCACACTTTCATTTCTCTCTTGTTTTCTTTTCTGGTGCTCTCTTGGACCTCTTGTCCTTCGTCTAGGATGAATCAACGCAAAGAGAGCCCCAAGTCGAAGTCATCCTTCAAGGGCTACCTCTGGACTTTCAGGAAGACGATGTAAGGAATGCTGACCAAAACGCAACGGAGAATAAACAGGAAAAGGAGCGACTGGAAGATCATGGACAAAATCTTTGCATGTGTTCAGATACGAACCATGTTTGCATCATGCATGGCAACTAAAGCATGTTCTTCAATCTCACACCTCTTTGCCCTACGGGTGATTTATTTCTCTTCTTTGACCCTGGACTATTAGGTTCGGACTGTGGTTGAGACCCGAGACATCGGACTCGAAAGCATTCGGATTGTTCGCGATCGTTACACTGGTATGATGACTCGCATGTTGTGTGGTTTTTGCCTCTGTTTGTTGGCTTTATTTATTAGTTTTCATGCCAAAAAGGAGACAAGGACTCTCATCATTTCAGTCCGGGCCTCCTCGGTGACACATCCCGGGCAAAAATTGCTACGTAGAAAAGACAACTCCCATTCTAACTACTTTACTCGGTTTCCCTATTGGTAAATAATGTCCCTTAGGCGAGTCCAAAGGTTTCGGCTTTTTGAAGTTTGTTGAACCACAGTATGCTCAAGACTTTGTAAACGAGTTCTCGCCTTCGATCGGGATGGGGCAAAACCGGGTCAGAATCGCCTTCAGCAACAATCCCAGCGGCTCACGAGAGACATTGCGCCGTTGTGCCGAGGTGAGGCCACCCTTCGTGGGAACTGTACCAGCGGGACAAATGTTTTCGTGCTTTGAATATCCATGCAGTGGAGCAGGCACTAACGCCAATCCCATCCACACTGTTACCTTCGCAATAGTGTGACATGACAAATGGTGCACATCGAGAAGACTGTCATCGTTCCTCGCCAAGCAAGCAAGGTTTGACAGTCGCTTGGACGCATCACTACTTCGAACAACCTTCACCCAGCAACAGCTGCTGCTGCTCTCGATTTTCTATTGTCGCGGCCCAGTTGTTGTCTTTGGACACGTTCAACTCGCTGCTCTTACGCACCTGAACTTTTTTGTTGATCCACTTTCAAGAATCTTGATTCTGACCAAATCTTGCCTGCTGCCGAACCCCTTTTTCTTTCCTCCGATTGTCCACGTGTACACTCGACTCGCGTACGTTTGACTCGATTATCCCCCGAAACACAACTACGTTGCCACGGATAAATATTTCTGCACATGTACTTGCTGGGAACCTTACAGTCGGCCATGCCTCGGAGGGGCGGAGTTCGCGTGAATACGGTACCAGCAACATCAGCGGCGGTAACAGAACGGGAACCGAAATGGAATCTGGATACGATATGCATCAACAGCAGCAGTACCATGACCAACAAAAGCAACACTTTTTGAACCAGAACCAGAGTTTTGCCTCGGCGTACCAACCGCAGCCGCTGAACGTTGGAGCTCGGGACATAGGGAGTGTCCCAAACTCTATTCTGATTGTGACGGACTTGCCGTCATTAGTCAACGAGTCAGGGATCTGGAACGCGATGTCACTTCTTGGACCTTTAGTCCGAGTGATGTTGGCCAAAGATCGACAGTCTAAGATCAGCTGGGGCTACTGCTTTGCCGAGTACTCTGACATCCAGGTACTTATATTTTTGAGAAGTGCAGTCGATGTGATGATTGGGATGAGATGGCTGGGGAGTAATTTCTATCATTCTTTACTGACTTGGTTGTTTGTGTTGTTTGTGACACTAGGGTGCGACGATGGCGCTGGAAAAGGCCCAGGGCATGGCATTTACGATCCAGAAGAAGGCCGTAGAGATACATTATGCACATCACGGATCGTTTATTCCAGCATACGCGCCAACACAATGGACAATCGATTATGGGTCTGAGGGCCAATTGGCGATCTACTGGGACGAGCAGGCCTTCCTCTCGGTATACACCGGTCCCTCATCTGTATCGCGTACGTCAACAGCCTCTTCTCGTAAGTTCCTTACTGTGTGTTCTAACGATGCTCTTGGATGTGTTCGTTATCGAAAAGTCTATAGTGGAATATCTGGTCCAGAAATTCCCCGCTTACCAGGTTTTTTGTATGTCTTTTTTTGTGTGACCTTCTTTTAACAGACCCCAAGATCACAGCTGCTGCTGCAAAGACAACAGGATCAGAGACGGACGAATTGACCGCGTTCTATGCTGTCATGGGAGATGTTCTACAGACGGAGCCTCCTCGTAGCGGCGCTGGATCGTCTATTTTTGCAGTTCCGACGTTTGGGGGGAATGCTTCTAGTACCGGCGCTAGAGCAGTAGTCACTGTACATACCGCCGAGGCAAGACCAGTTATTCCTACTTCCATTCCGACCCCGGTTGTTCCAGAGTTACCCTCGATCCCCACAACAGCCAAGATCGATAAGGCCCAGCTTGCTGGGATCGCAGCAGCCCAGGCAGCAGAGCAATTGGCCAAGGCTGAGGAGAAGAAACGGAAGGCGGGACCGGGACTGCCATCCTCGGTCATCGGTATCGGAGGCGGCGGAAAGAAGGTAACGGTTGACTGGTTACTTGACTTGGTTTGAAAGTGTGGAAATGTTCCTGGTGTTTTTGTGCCTTGAGGTTATTGGTATTGATCATTCTTATCCTAAAATTCCTGGTTTATGTTTTGTCTCGCTAGGTTTCTATCCAGCTACAGAAGTGGTCGAATATGCAGGCCACCGGCGATCTTGCTCCGACAGCTCATGGAACCGGCCAGGGAGAACCACCCACATCATCGTCACCGCCATCTTCCATGTTATCACAGACGTCATCTACATCAACAGTGCGTCAACAGGAGTTCGTCTATGAACAAGACGAGTTACTGGATCTGAAGATCAATGCCTGTCTGCTCTGTCAGCGACGTCTGAAATCACTCCAGGATCTTCGCAAGCACCAATCGTTGTCGGATCTGCACAAGAAGAATCTTTTGGATCGTTCTGCTATTGAGGCGGCGCTTGCTAAATCGAGGGGCACTACCACAGTTGGAACTTCGTCGTCATCATCGATTTCTTCTGTGGCACCATCGGCGATAAAGGCGCTATCGGCAGTGGGAGAGGAGGAACCAAAGTACCGGGATCGAGCAGCAGAGAGACGACAAATTTTTGGACAACCGGATTACCCTTTACCACCCATGCCTTCGGGTCGCGACTTTGGCAGCAGCGGCGGTGGTGCTCGTGGTAATTTCAACAACAGTAACCCCTATGCTCGAGGAAGTAGCAATACTGCATATGGCAACCAGGGCACCATCATCCCAGAACAACCGACCAAGGATGGAATCAAAGAAGACAATGTCGGAAACCGGCTATTGAAATCTATGGGGTGGAAGGAGGGGCAAGGGCTGGGGAAGGATGGTGAGGGGATCAAGGCCCCGATCCAGGCTAGTGGGTATGCCAAGGGTGTAGGAATTGGGGCGGGGTTGCAGCGGAAGGCTGATGGCAATGGGAGAGGAGGGCCGTTGGGGAATTATGCGGAGAGTGCAAAGGAGCTTGCTAGGCGGCGGTATGAGCAGTCGGGTTTGTAGATTGGAATACATAAACGTATGATTTTCTTTGGCTTTCAGATGTGGTCGACTGCCCGTCGACATGAATGGTATTTTGTCTTCTGGGCGTGGCGTGAACGTATGTGGCTTTGATAAGTGGGTGGCTGGAAGGGCAGTTGGAGTGTGGTATAGCTCACGCGAAATGGCTCCTTGTTTTTTTCGTGTCTTTCAGAAACTCCTTGGAGCTCCTTTGGTATGGCCGGCTATTCCGCCATACTGGATGAACCGGACTAGCTAGCTCCTCCTTCCCCCTTTCTTTCCTCTCTGCTATCCTTGCTTTTTCGTAGTGTCTTGTTGATGGTGTTTTCGACCGGTTCGGTACTAAGAGGTGGAAAAGAAGGTGCAAACGTGAGTGCTATGATATGACGCCAGGAACCGGATAAAAAGTCGGGCCTTTGACTCGAACGCAATTGTTTCGTTTTTTTTTTTTTTGCCCTTTGTCCTGTCCGAAAGCACTCTTTGTTACTCTCTATCTCTTAAGGAACTTCATTCATGAAAGACAACAGACTGCGAAATGTGATGATACTTTAAAGGGGTGCGTTTTTAAATATATATTCTGCGTATGGGTAAGGAACGAAAGACACGGTCGCGAAAAAAGGTCCTTGAAGGCGCGCGCGTTCCCAACCTTTGTTATCTGCGATTTCATGCTCGCCAGATCGGCGGACACACCATGGATGGCTGCACCGTTTTATTGTTGGGTATACGTGATCCATGATCCCCGCGCTAAATGGTGGCGATGTCAATGTGCAGCGACAAATTACATTGATATATGGTCTCAAGGGAGAAAAAAAGTTAAGGAGGTTCGTTTTATTTTTGAAATGAGTAATGATGGCAAATGGTTGCAGGACAAAAAACAAGGGATAAAGATGGAAAGGGGAAAGGGCATCGTTGTTAAAGTGCTTCATATTCATAACAATTTTCGCTCTTTTCTCAAAGATTGAGTGAACTGTGGATGTAGAGAAACGTGACAACATAAATTCTCTCACGTCCCTAGGTTCTTGGTATGTAGCATGTGTCTCTGTTACCCCCATACGGTGAAATGAATGGAAACAAAGAAGTGGAAATTCAGTGGTGTGAGCGAGCGTCTCAAATCTGGGAACAACCAATCACTCGCTCAGTACTACCCGATTCTCCCGTAACAAGATGCAGCCATTTCGCTACCTCATCAATTACTTGCATATGTCAATATCAGCCTGTGACAATGTGTGCAATAAACAAAAAAGGAGGCACAGCTGTAGGTTCCTAATGCATGCAAATGCATGGCATCAAGAGCGTCTATACGCTGAAGAAAAAGGGCGACGTAGCTGTGCGAGCATTATTGGGCTCACGAAAGGTTTAAAATGTCGCATTACAACCGTTGTTGCTATTAATGAGTAGTTGTTTTGAATGATGGACGGATGAAGGTACGTATTGAATCCCGATTTGAGCAAGAAAGGAAGAAAAGAGCGAAAAGGCGAAGGAGGGATGTTGACCGAGCAGCTCGAAGGTTGGTTGTCTTATGGTTCTTTCTCCATTGGCCACTGATTGATTATTGTGAAACTAACAAGTTCATCAAATATCACTGCTTATTATCTCATTTGATCGCCCTCGCCCTTCAATAATGGCCATCTGAATTTTGTAGAATCCAGATCTCGTGCATTGAATGTGGTGTTTCCCTTCATGCCTTCACTCTCTCCTTTTTATTTGACATTTTTGTGGATCTGACCCGCTACTTTGCCGCCTCTTGTTCGTACCCTTTCCTGTTCCTTTTCTTAGTTCATGTGTCCCTTGATTTCCCTTCTCCTTCCGTTTCCCCTCGCTCACTTACTCGAGACATATCAAATAACAACCCCCTTCGGCCTCTTCCACCTTTCCTCGATCCATTCGGCGGTTTATCCCTTCCCACTCTTTTTTTGGCTGTCATACACCCATGCTACACTTGTCGTTGTCATCTACATCCTCCTCTACTGTTCATTCGTTTTATATCCCTCCCCTTCTGCCATCTCCACAAAACCTTAGCAATCCATTGGAACACGAGAAAAAAAAAGTGCTGCTGGACTGACCTTTCCTTATTCCATTTTGTCTCCGTGTCTCCTCACTCCCCTTCTTCATCCCCATCCTTGACCACCTCACAACAGCACGAGCGAGCGTCGTCAATCTTTTTTTTCCGGCGTAAACCCTCGTTGTCCTTCTCTTTCTTCATCCCGTTTATCCGGCCATCCCTTGGATTGCCCTTTATTTTCTAGTTTCCCTTTTTTTAACATCTTGTTCCCTTTCCTTTCTTTTCCCTTCTCACTTTCCTGACAGTGGCTAATTGCCTATTCTACTCACTTTGAACATACGTATTTCATCTTCTTCCTTTTCTCCTGCTCCTAATTCTTCTATCTCGATCTATTCTCTTTCTCTTTCTTTCTCAAACTCCCCTCCCTTACTTCGGCTTAAAATATTCGCTCTCTCCCTCTCTCTCTCTCTTTCTCTCTCTCTGTCTCTTTTTCGCTACGACCCATTCCATCTCGCCTTTTCAATCTGCCTTAACGACTTCTCATTCTCACTCCATCCTCTCTCTCATTCTCACTCCCACATATCATCTCGCATACTCCTACTTCTTCCACCTCTTCCTTTCTTAATCCATCCCTACGACTAACACACGACGTCCACACTTATTTTTCATGATCCCAATCCTTTTCAGCATTGAGATAACAAACATCGCAGCGATAGACGACACACGACACCATAATCATCCGCCCTTTCTTCTCTCTCTCTCTTTCAGTAATTCGAACTATCTTCCTTCTCTCTTTTGTTCCTGAACAAAACATTTTTCGTCTTCTTCGTCCGAGTCTTCGATCCAACCTCGTCAACTACCCTTGAGAAGCAAAAGCGATTACAGTAACGCCAACATACGACACTCCTCACTTCATCCATCCGCCCCTCATACTCCTTTCCTCTTTCCCCCTCTCTTTTTACCTCGCCTCCGCTCGTCATTCCCTCCTTACATTGTCTCCCTCTATTTTCACGTCCTGCAGGCAAAAACAGAGTTGTTTGTTGTACTCACACACCAACCTTATGTAATCCAATCAACACGAACCCTTTCACGACAAAAAGGATCGCCACTCTCTCTCCACAAGGTGAGTACCCCAGAAATGAGCAAATATCCACCCTCTTCCCCTGCCCTCAATCACAGACACATGCATTGGGCTCTCACCCCTCTTCCCATTCCGCACTTACCAACCAACACCACCGGGCCAGCCACCTTCTATTGCACACATTCATATCAAAACGCCATACCTTGACGACTACATGCCTTACTTAGTCTCTGAGGTACCGGAGCCAGATGACTTCGTGGACCAGAATTATAGTTGTGTTTGGCACCTTTCTACTTTTGGTCCGTTTTTTTATTCCTCGTCTCCTTGTTTTCTTATATCACTTTTTGTGGTTCCCATCCTTGCAAGTCTCCTCCTTCATTTCTTTTGCTTGCTTGACGACCCCTTCTTTGGCTTACTTCATGCTCGTTTGTTTGTTTATTTATTTCTCTTTGTCGTCGGGTCAGCGAACGCGGGATAGACAACGCAAGTGTGTTTCTTTTATGTGTCCATTCAAATGTTCCTGCCCTCTGTGGTTGTCCTTTATTTTTTAGGTTATTTTGTACTTTACCCCTTCGATTTCCTTCAACTGAGAGGAGTGCTCTCTTTCTCTTTCGCTCTCTCACTCGCTCTCTCCGTCTCTTTTCATATCTGTACCTTTTGGCTTTCCTCTATTTTCTTTCTCCTTTTTTCTCGATGACTCCCCTCCCGTCACCTTCCATTTCTTTTTCTTCTTCTCCTTATCCCAACAACAGCTACAACAGTGCACTACGGTGTTATATAATCGTTAACTGGAGGCACAAAAAGGGACAAGTGTAAAACTACACAGAAATATAAGTAGAAAATAATAACCGATGAAGGGGGAAAAAAGAGGGTGGTGGCCAAAGCGGAGGGTGAGAAACTGGAGGAGAAGAGAGAGGGGAAGAAGGAAGAAAAAAAGGAGACGAGGAAATGAAGAACAGGAGGGAGAGCGAGTGAGTGCGTTGAGGGGATTAGGTTGGATGTACCTTTTATTCACTTGTCCTCGTTGAGAGTGTCCCGGCACTTACTCCACAAACTTGAGTTCCCTCTAGAATAGTCTCGAGTGTAAATGCGGTTGGCTGAATGCAGACCATGGGCCGATTTGACGACTGCTGTTGGTTCCCTTCCCCTCTTCCCCTTTCCTGCTCTCTCTCTCCCTCACTCTCTCTCTCACACACACACACACACTCACTCTCTCTCTCTTTCCTTGATGCAATTGAAGGTTCAATCACTCCCACGCTTCGCACTCAACAAAAAAAAAGCAAGAAAAAAAACCTCGTATGTTTTGCATTGCCTTGCATGTCTTCTGCATTCAACTATGAGCTGATTTTGCTAAATGTTGAATCATCCATTTATCCATTTTACCCACGTATCCATGTTTTTCGTATCTGTGGGAGTATCTCGCCTGTTTTTTATTGCTTTTTGGCGTTCCGAAACTCATCCGAGTCCTTTCTCTTTTATTGCCCGTGTTCGGATGTTGGAAAAATAACAGGCTACACGACATTTTTTTTTGTTTACATTTTTCTTTGTCATCGCTTTGTGCGCCCGATTGTGGTTCTTGTTTATATAAAGGCAGTGTTGGGCTTTTCTCCAAGGATTGTTGTGGAGAGAGAGAGCTACACGACCTCTTTTGTTTTTCTTGAACCACAACATATACCCAACGAACAACAGACAACAAAGAAACAATACAACAAACAACAGTAAAACGTAAATGCCTTCCCCTTCTCTGTCTGCAGTGTGGTTCAAGCACCTTTGACATCATCCAAGATGGTCGTTCCTTTCTCCTTTCTCCTCATTCTCCCCTTTGGAGACGCCAACATGGTGGTCATTCCTTTTACTTCCCCTTCACCTCTCTCTCTCTTTCTCTTTCTCTTTCTCTTTCTCTCTCTTTCTCTCTCTTTCTCTCTCTTTCTCTCAAAGTCCAGAACCATCATCTTTCCCAAGTCGCTCTCATCAATTAAGCCAATGTTTCAACAGAGGAATAAAACCTCCGTTAATTTCTACAACTCGCCTTCACTCCCAAGAGTCGTGGCCGATCCCCATGTGTCGTCCCATTGACCAATATACAAACATACCATCCCCATCCTCACCTCTTCTTTCTTTTCTCCTTACCCGCCTTCGCACATACCTTCTCTCTCTTACAACTATATTGTAGATTCACTCACCTTCAACTAATCGACATTGGTCCTCATCCCGATCCTCTCTAACCCGAACAGGAATACAACAACGGCGATAACATCAACACACTCTCCTCCTTTTGTGTGATTATCCTCGTTTCGGCACCATTCAGCTCACTACTCAACTCTGGCTGTTTACATTTACAACGTCAAGGACTAAACCGCCCTGAACCACCCACCCATCTGCACGCACCACAACCAACAAAACGCCCACCGGCTTCCCTTTCACTCATATTCCACGATCTCCCTCAGCACCTCCAACTGACCTCTACCTTTTCGGTTCCAGTGACTACTCCTCAACACCCTCCTTGCACCCTTCTCCTGCCCTTTTTCTTTTGGTGGCTGCAAGAAGGATCGGACCATCCATCTCAACCGATCGAAAAAAGGAACGCACGTTCTTTCTACCTTTTCATATCAGTTTCATTCCCAGGCCATCTATTTAGTCCATGGTGGCCTTTTCGACACTCATCTGGACCAGCGCAAAGTAAGTCTCGTACCTTGATTCTCTCGATCGTCATTATTCGTCTAGCCCCTCTCCTTCCTTTTGAAACAGCCACGTTTTTGCTTGGACAATTGTTTTTGCTAACCTTCTTGTCTGTCACATCAAATTCACCTCTTCAACTTTAGGCCCATCATCAAGTTCGTGGTGTTCGCAGGTAAGCACTCCTCTGCTCTACTACAACTGTATTTTCCATAACTACACCAACATCCGTTCCTCACGCCTCCCCCCTTCTGATACTGGCATGAATTGGTATAGGATGCGGCGCGTTGATGGCCAAACATGGCCTGCTCTCCCCGGCAGGCACCAAGGTCGTCGCTGGTCTAATCTTGAACTATACCCTCCCCGCCCTTCTCTTTGCCAAGATGCTCGCCTGTGTCAGCGAAGATAACGCCGGAGAGCTCGGGTATGTCCCACTTCCGTTGTCCTCTCAGCACCATGGGTAACTGTATGATTACATTTGACATTGACTAACAGGTGCTTTGTTCTTCTCGTGACCAATTGGATGAATGGGGAATAGGTTGGTGGCGTTGGTGGCGGTCGGGATTATGTTGATGGGGGGGTTCTTAGGGTGGCTGATTCAAAGGACGGGGTTGATCCCCAAGCGTCTACATTGGGGCATCGTTGCCGCCACCATGTTCACCAACTTTGTAAGTCTGCATACTTCCTCTCCTTCAATCATGGCCTCATTTGCAAACTACTGTTTTTTAACAGTTGTTCAACACCTCTCATCATATTCCAATAGGGCGACCTACCAATCTCGATTATTCTGGCAGTGTCGGACCACCCACCGTTCCTGGTGGGAGATGGAGCGCGGGGCACAGCATACTCGAGTGTGTTCATCGCAGTGTTCTATCTGTTCCTGTTCCCCTTTGGAGGATACAAGTTGATTCGTATCGATCATGTCAAGGAATCCAAGCGGCTCGCTAACCTCACCACTGCCCTCCAAAACCACGAAAACAACAACAACAACAACGTTACAAGCGAAGGAAACGGAAATCCTTCTTCTTCTGGTGCACCTGTAACGATTTCACCAAGTGTGAGTGAGGTCACGCTCGGGGGCGGACATTCAAGTCCACTTCAGCGACAACAATCTTCCTCGCCTCATCAGGATCTCACGCTGCAGCATCCTCCACATCAGCGACACTTGTCCTCACCGCGTCAGCATCACGTTCGACAGGACCAAGGCGGGCTCCAGTCTTCCTTCTCGGCCACGTCGACTATGATTAGTATGGATTATAATATGGAGGAGAATGCGAAAGAGTTGAGTTACAGGCCTTCGGATCCTTTGCAGGGTACTGGACACGGACAGGAGCCTTCTAGCCCTTCGCTGGATTCGGCTGCTAGCCCTACAACGACTGCGAATTCGCCTCTGAGGGAGACGCATAGTGCGTCGACTAATCCTTTTGCGAGGATGAATCAGGATCCGGCGGGAACACAGCCGACGAGTCCCGGGGCTGGGAATCATAGTGGAGGGAGCACTAATGGACAGACGAGCCCGATGCTAGTCCATCCGCCGTATCCACTCCACGCGCTCAAATCTTCCGAGTTACAGTACCAGCACCAACATCGGTACAGTGTGGAGAGTATGGCGAGCAATGGTACAGGAGCAACACAGTTCTCGACCAGTCATGAGGACGATCACAATAGTCTTATCCACCCACCTGCGCCGGCTATGGGCAAAGGAGGTCTGAATAACTCTGCATCCAGAAAGAAATCGATCCGGCCGACATTGCTCAGAGGGTACCAGCCACCGACTCTGAGCCAGCAGCAACAACAACTATCACAACAGTCACCGACGACGCCGAGGTCATTGGGCAGCATGTCGAGGAGTGGATCACAGTCACCGTTTATCTCCCTGACGCCGCCGAGTACATCTGGAGACGGGTCGAGTGGGGGAGCACCAACAGAAGTGTCTGGTTTGGGATTCAAGAGACGTGGAAGTGGAGCAGGAACAGTTGGTGATAGGATTGAGCCAATGACGGATGTGCCCTTCGAGATGGTGACACTCGGAGCCACCCGAGGAGAATCGAGCGCGTCGATGGGCTCATCAGCAACAACAGTTGCATCCGATGCAGCAGAAACACATGACCCAACACCATTACCAAAGGTGCCGCCACAACTCCAAAAGTCCTACGAATCCAAGAAAAGCCTCCAACAACTCCAACGCCAAGAAAAACAATGGCTCTGGCGATTCTTCCACTCAACACGCGAGTACTTAACCCCTCCAACCATCGGTCTCCTCCTGGGTCTCCTCTGCACCCTGACCCCTCTCCGTGGCCTCTTTGTCCTCACCCCCAACCCCCTCCCTTCACCCGACGAACTCCCTCCACTGAGCTTCATCCTCGAAATCACCCTCATGCTCGGCGGCTGCTGCGTCCCTCTAGGCCTAACCGTCCTTGGCGCATCCCTCTCGCGCCTCAAACCCGGTCGTATGCGACCCCTGATTCCGGCCCTTACCATGATCACCATCGCGAAAATGGTCATTTCCCCCCTTGTGGGAGTTCTATTTGTAGAACTGGTCCTCGTCCGACATTTCCAATGGGTCTCTGCACAGAACCATATGTTGCAGTTCACATTGATGTTGATGTCGGGTTCGCCGACGAGCATGATTTGTTTTGTGTTGGCGCAGGTGTGGGATCGGAGGACGACGAATGCAGGGAGTGAGATGGCGGCTGTGATTGCGGTCCAGTATGCAGTTGGGACGGTGTTGATTACGCTGGGTAGTGCGTTCATGATGTACTTCTTGTTCTGAGTTAGGAAGGTGGAAGTAGAAAGTGGTAGGTCGGGGTGGGAGGGATGCGTCGGGAGAGGGAGGAAAGTAGATCGGTAGAAAAAGGACTGTTGACGGGACTACGAGTTTAGAAAAAGGAAAACGCGATATTCATGATCAGACGACAGCTAGATAACGATAGTGATGCCTCCTAGGTCTAAAAACAAACAAAACACAACACAACACAATCCCCACTCACTCCCCATAGAAAACGACAAGACGACCCCTACTTTTTTTTCACACGTAATAACAATAATGATCTGGTACTGAATAAAAAAGATACGAAAACGTGTTGTTGTTCCTTCTTTGTTGCTGACTCATGGTTATGCACTGTCTCCTGCGGGCTTACAGGATGGATCGATGGAGGGAGAGAGTTGGGGCTAGTCCGATAGTCGAATGGGAGAATGGAGAGAGAGAGAGAGAGAGAGAGAGAGAGAGAGAGGGAGGGGGCGGGAAAACAGTAGCAGAAGTGTAAGATAGCTGTGTTTAGTATTATGAAGGTGATCGCGGTAGTTTATCCAATTCAATCTTCCGCAAGCAGGTGATTTCTCGTCTCTCAACCTTATGGTTTTCTATGCCTTAAGCGAAATGACCAGCAAAGTGGCGATTGTGATCGCCTGAGGAAAAAAAAATTCACTGCATTTTTTGCCATCCGACGCTTGCCGTATCCCTCGTCTTTGTGCTCACACGAGCAATTTTTTTTGGTTGTGCTTGGGTTGTTTTTGCTATTAGGTTTCCTTCAATCGAGCGCCCATAGTTCAAACCCGCTTAGAGTTCGCCCTGTTGTCCCGTTTCTGTTGTTTTGGGACAGGGTGTGCGGTTTATGAGATCCAATCATGGTCATTTCTGGGCGCACGATGTCCTATCTGGTACTTCTTATTCGCCCTCATGTTCGTCTGCCTTTTTCTGTCTCTTTGTTTGTCTTCCTATTTTGATGGTTTCTTCTCGGGTTGATGCAGGGTAGAAGCGCAGAGATGACATCGTATGTTTTTTTTTTGTAGTCTAAGGAGAGTTTTTGACAAGTGAACACAAAGAAAACAAACAAACGAAAAGCGAACACAAGAAACCTCACGCGACAAGAAAACTGGAACGGACCTTGATGGAGACTCGAGCAAGTAAAAAGTTGCTCACACGACAGAAAAAGTGACAATGGGTTTTTGTTGTCCTTGCACTAGCTCTTTCTAATTCATTGAAAAATAATGAGAGATGAGATTAGAAAGGGGGGTAGCTTCAAAGGTTACCTCTTAATTTCTTCTAAACAGAAAAGTCCCTTTTGTGATGCATGTGCATGACGCTTTTATGTATGTACTAGAGCACTCTTCGACCATCCATGCCTGCCTTCAATTAATCATAACAAACAACAATGCAATGCATCCTTTTCACGCCCAGACACTCGCCACAGACTCGTCTCCACGGATCAGAGTTCACGGATAGCCTTTGTTTAGGTAGTTGTCTAGCTCATGTCCTTCCGGCTTTTACCATACCATCCTAGGTATGGTGTCGAGCGCGAATCTACGGAATACGAAGCAGCCAAGGTCAGCACTTTCCCAAGTTCCCCGGTACTTCTGTTTGTAATACAGTTTATGTCCTCTCAAGCACCCGTCCACCACTGCCTTGTAGGGTACCCTCGTTTGCTTGCTCTTTCCCATCGATCTGCTGCTGCAGCAAGGTGAACAAGAAGGCGAGTGTGGATATGAACGTGAATGTGAAAGGGGGGAGGAGGGGGGGACGGAGGTCGGTGCGTGAAAAATGGAGGAAAAAAAATCCAAGTGGTCGGCCCTCCTTTTTCTCCTATCTTTTTTTTTCCGGAAATAAGTAACAAGAAAAAGAAAGTGGTCGATCGGTCCGTCGGCTTACTTTTTCTATTGTTGATATTCTGCTGATCGTATCGCATCACAATTATCCGTGTTGTGTCCCTTTGATGAAGGTGTTGTTGGTTGGTTAGCAACGTATGGACAAATGTTCGATCCGGATAATTTTACCCCATTGCTTTGCAACCCAAAACTATGGCCATCAAACTCAAATGAAAAAAATGGTATCCGGCCAATTCCTCGTCCATTCGCCCACCTCTACCCTCCTTTCTATCCTTCTCTCTTCGCCGATCTCCATTTTCCTCCTTAATCATCCACAACCCCATCTTCGTTCTCCGCCGAATCCATTCGACAAAAGAGGCATACAGCAGATAGTCTCGCCCGCATTGAAGCCACCAACGCTAATCGTGTCAACAACATCTGTTTACCCAGATTAGGGCAAGTGTTGTCCAGTCGTGCGGCCCACGTGCGTCGTTGATTGGCTAGAACGATTGTCCAGCAGTGCAATTTTTGCGATAGAGAACTAACCTTATTTACTTTGGTATCATCAAAGAGGGAGGCTCTTTGTGTCAACAAAGAGAGCGGACAGAGCGAGGAGGACATTGTAAACAAGGTTGGTGGCCAAACAGCACCAACAGTGTGTGTAGTTGAGTCTGATCAAAAAAAATAAAGATCGATCCGCCCATGGCCATGCGCTACACATCGGTAACCTACAAGAAGAAGGAAATAGAGAGAGAGAGAGAGAGAAAAGGAATCATACATGCGGTTGAATACCTTGGGCTGTTTCTTCATGCCTTTCTTGAATACTAGTGGTGCGGACGAGTATCCCCGGGTGTGCATCCTCAATCTGCTACTCTTTTTTTTACGCCCTCGGTCAAGAAAAATTTCAGAGACAAAAAAAATAAATGAACGAGAATGAACGAGAATCGACATGGACAAAAAGTTGTATCGTAGACAGACCGACCCTCATTACAAAAGGGGTAGCATTCCCATAGCCGGGCCAAGGAACTCCCTTCGAATGTATGTGTCTTCGACAGTGAATCAAAAGAGGCCATTTTTCGTTATCCAAGATAAACACAGGAGGACAGAGGGGCACAAACTTTTTGGGGACAGGCTGGAGAAGGAAGGGTGCTACTGTCAGTTGGTTTTTTTTTCTTTCAAACATCGACAAATTCATGAAAAATGAAGGAACGACAATGGCCCTCAAGGCCCACAGCGAACAACGAAAGAAAACAGCCAACCCCAAGTAGCCAACTCCTCCTCCGCTCCACCTCTAGCCAAAGAAGATGGGCTCCAAATTCGGACGGAGAGAAAGAAGACGAACGAATGGTTGTGCGTTGCGCCTTTGGAAAAGAAAAATAAATATATCTGGGGTAAACTTGAAAAGGAGATTCAAAACAAACGACCGTCAAGAGAAATCACATATGACAGGCATAGCTCTTTTACTTTCTTTTCTGTCTGCAGTCCAGCTTTTGAGGTGCCGGCTGTCGTTGTTTGTCGTTTCCCACAAACGCCGAAGGAGAGAAAGAGATAGGAGTAAAGAAATGAGGAGGGACCCGCATCCATCCAGTGCCTCTTGCACCATTCAGCCATCCCTGCGCCCATAACACATGCCCAATGCACAATGCACTTTGCTCACACTGGCTGCACCTGTAGCGTGAGAAATGGTGTCAATCGCGTGTTTGTGCAATACATATCTCTATGTATGCATATGTTCACTTGTTGTTCCATATTGATAAAGGAATACATCCTCCTCAGATGTCCCTTTCATTTTGGTTATATGAATATGTGTAAGAGACGGAAGTGAAGATAGTACTGTACGTGTCTGTGTGTGAATGAAAGAGAGGAAGAGAGAGGGGCCATCAAAGCAATCAATAATTGCAATGGTTCTGAGCACTGATCGCATCTGCACTCCTCGCCTCCCACGCACGCACATCCAAACGCGATCCTGTAAGTAATAAAAGACGTTCTAGAGCGTCGTTTGTAAAAACCCACAAACCCACTTTCGAGATTCACCATGGCCCCCCTCCCTCCTCCTCATGCTCATGCTTGGTCGTCATCATTTCTTTTTTCCCTCGCTTTTTTTCTCGAAGAGAGAAAAAAGTGGCGTGCGTGTAGTGGATTGCAGAGTGTGCGGGGTGGCATAGAGAGACGCAAAGAAAATTGGTTGGTTCGCGATGCACACCATTCATGGGTGGCGCGAGAACCCGATTGTCAAACAAAGGTATCTGTGAAAGAGTACTTTCATCTTATGTATGGCGCAACGGAGGGTCACCATAGGATGCGAATTAAGAGAGAAGGCATGTGGGAACTTTGCGCCCACCCATTGCGCCTCCCCTGCTCGCATGAGAATGAGAGGGGAAGAGATGGAGCCAAACATCAAACTACACTTGTCGTTTTTATCTTTGATTTTTTTTTGCTGCAGCACGTTTTGACAGTTTGCTTTTTTGATGGGGAATGAAGGAAGGGAGTTGGAAGAGGTTAGGGAAACGAGGATATACATTCTACTGTAGAAGTTTCGACTGTTCTGTTGGCAGTTGCGATGTTGATGGTGATCATCGGCCTCTCTGCTCCTTTATTAAAAGTATACACAATGTGAAGATCGATAGCACACAAAGATATCGTCTTTTGAAATAGCCCTTTTGAATCTTATTGTGTCGAGTCGTCAAGCTGCCTTGTTTACTGTTGCGTGATCGGAAGAGCAAAGAAGAGTCATTCATTACCTTCTTGACCCTGTTCTTCAGTACATGTGACACCATCGCTTTACTTTGTTCTGGGGGTTGTCGAGCAGGCACTCCTTTTCTAGGAGCAATTGAGTTGGCCTGGGTCGAGTCCAGTGCTAGCTAGGGTCTGAAAAGAGAGTTCTTGTTGAATACTCTTATCGTGGATAAATCTGGGTATGGCTGTCCTACTTTGGTACTCATGAACGTTGTTATCAACCAGTTACTATTTTGTCAGGACAATAGCGGACGAGTGGGGAAGTGAAGGACCGAGAGTGGATCCCACCATCCGTGCACAAGTAGGTTGACAGCTTGAGAAAAAGAAACAAGAAACGAAAAGGCGTATCGACAGATGGGACGTTCTCAATTGTCTATTCTCAACCAGAGAAATAAGGGAGAAGCGTTGTTCCTGTTTTTTGTTCGTCCATCTATCTATCTCTCTCTCTTGCCG